GAGGGTACCATTATCCCCGCTGACGGAAAGATTGTTACCGAGGATGCCTTCCTCCAGGTCGACCAGTCCGCCATCACTGGTGAGTCCCTGGCTGTCGACAAGCACCAGAACGACTCTTGCTACGCTTCTTCCGCTATCAAGCGTGGTGAGGCTTTCATCATCGTCACCTCCACTGGTGACAACACCTTCGTCGGTCGCGCTGCCGCTCTCGTCAACGCCGCCTCCGCAGGTACTGGTCACTTCACTGAGGTCCTGAACGGCATTGGTACCATTCTCCTGGTCCTCGTTGTCTTCACTCTCCTCATCGTCTGGGTTTCCTCCTTCTACCGCTCCAACGGCATTGTCGACATCCTCCGCTTCACCCTCGCCATCACCATCATCGGTGTCCCCGTCGGTCTTCCCGCCGTCGTCACCACCACCATGGCTGTCGGTGCTGCCTACCTTGCCAAGAAGAAGGCCATTGTCCAGAAGCTCTCCGCCATCGAGTCCCTTGCTGGTGTCGAGATTCTCTGCTCTGACAAGACCGGTACCCTGACCAAGAACAAGCTCTCTCTGGCCGAGCCCTACACCGTCGCCGGTGTCGACCCCGAGGACCTCATGCTCACTGCCTGCTTGGCTGCTTCCCGCAAGAAGAAGGGTATGGACGCCATCGACAAGGCTTTCTTGAAGTCGCTGCGCTACTACCCCCGCGCCAAGTCTGTCCTGTCCAAGTACCAGGTTCTTGAGTTCTACCCCTTCGACCCCGTCTCCAAGAAGGTCACCGCCATTGTCCAGTCCCCCGCCGGCGAGAAGATCACCTGCGTCAAGGGTGCTCCCCTTTTCGTCCTCAAGACCGTCGAGGAGGACCACGTCATCCCCGAGGAGATTGACCAGGCCTACAAGAACAAGGTTGCTGAGTTCGCCACCCGTGGTTTCCGTTCGCTCGGTGTTGCCCGCAAGCGTGGCGACCAAGGCACCTGGGAGATTCTCGGTATCATGCCCTGCTCCGACCCCCCTCGTCACGATACCGCCCGCACTGTCAACGAGGCCAAGTCTCTCGGTCTGTCCGTCAAGATGCTTACTGGTGATGCCGTCGGTATCGCTCGTGAGACCTCCCGCCAGCTCGGTCTCGGCACCAACATCTACAACGCTGAGCGCCTTGGTCTCGGTGGCGGCGGTGACATGCCCGGCTCTGAGGTTTACGATTTCGTCGAGGCTGCCGATGGTTTCGCTGAGGTCTTCCCCCAGCACAAGTACAACGTCGTCGAGATTCTCCAGCAGCGTGGCTACCTCGTTGCCATGACTGGTGACGGTGTCAACGATGCTCCTTCCCTGAAGAAGGCCGATACCGGTATCGCTGTCGAGGGTGCCTCCGACGCTGCTCGCTCCGCCGCCGACATTGTTTTCCTCGCCCCCGGTCTTGGTGCCATCATTGACGCCCTCAAGACTTCTCGCCAGATTTTCCACCGCATGTACGCGTACGTTGTCTACCGTATCGCCCTGTCCATCCACTTGGAGATCTACCTTGGTCTGTGGATCGCCATTCTCAACCGTTCCCTGAACATTGAGCTTGTCGTCTTCATCGCCATTTTCGCCGATATCGCCACCCTGGCCATCGCCTACGACAACGCCCCCTTCTCCAAGACCCCCGTCAAGTGGAACCTGCCCAAGCTCTGGGGTATGTCCGTCCTCCTCGGTGTCGTCCTCGCCGTCGGTACCTGGATCACTGTCACCACCATGTACGCCCACGGCCCCGACGGTGGTATCGTCCAGAACTTCGGTAACATGGATGAGGTCCTCTTCCTTGAGATCTCCCTCACCGAGAACTGGCTCATCTTCGTCACCCGTGCCAACGGTCCCTTCTGGTCTTCCATCCCCTCGTGGCAGTTGTCCGGTGCTATCCTCGTCGTCGACATCCTCGCCACCCTCTTCTGTATCTTCGGATGGTTCGAGGGCAACCAGCAGACCTCCATCGTTGCCGTTGTCCGTATCTGGATCTTCTCTTTCGGTGTCTTCTGCGTCTGCGCTGGAGTCTACTACATGCTCGAGGATAGCGCTGGTTTCGACAACCTTATGCACGGCAAGTCGCCTAAGGGCAGCCAGAAGCAGCGCTCGCTTGAGGACTTTGGTAAGTTTATATACCCTTTTACCCCACACAATGTGTCTGGTTACAGAATAACGGCTAACCGTTTCATCAGTCGTCTCCCTGCAGCGTGTCTCCACCCAGCACGAGAAGTCACAGTAAAGAGGGACATCTTTGCAGAGTCTGAATTGGACATGACAAGATGTGTGTCATGCTTCATCGATCTGCTGGATGCTCTTGGGCCACTAGATTTCGGCCATAATCAACCGGAGAAGCAGACATCGGCTTTCTCTTTGTTTAAAATTGTACGATGTCAACATCATCGGTAATTACTGTGATTGAGTGGAAGTGGGGGAGAATACCCTGAAGTGCGATTAGACCTAATACAAATTCGTAAAATTGAGTAAATCATTGATTTGCAATTCTTGCTCGCATGTGATTGTTGGTGTTGTGAAGATCTACGAGAATAATGCCGCTGCCTGACTACAAGGCACGGAACAGCAACTTCTTGAACTTGTGCATTAACAACAAACACCACGTTGAACTGATGCAGTTTAATTCATCTGTATTACACATCTATTTATTGAGGGACAACAACGTCCTTGGATGTATCAAGCTCCTCGTGTCTTCTCAGGTCCATGGGTCGGTCAAGCAGAGGCACAACGTAGGGGTCGAAGGTCTTCCAGTAGGGGTTCTCGAGGTGGTACTTTTGGCTCTGTGAGGAAGACAGAAAGTCAGCAGCCGTTCCAATTGCCAATTGACGCTCTCGCCCAACGACGCTCTATTCAGGGGGGCGGGCAACTCACAGCCTCGGTCTCGAAGCGCTCGACGATGGTGAAGGCCCTGGGGTCGTGGACGTCCTGCATGACGAACCAGCTGACGGTCTCGCGGTCCTTGGAGTAGACGCGGGAGGCCTCGATGAGCTTGGCCTTGAGGCGCTCGACCGAGTCCGGGTGGTCGTTGGCGTGGAGGTGGACGGTGAGCGTGTAGACCATTGTGAGGGGTTGGTGACGGCGTTTTCGTGTTCGATTGAAGCTGTTTGGTTTGGAGGTTGAGGTGTGTTGGAAAGGGAGAGCTTTGGTTTGGTCTGGTGGTGGGAGCTAGCTATCCTGTTTCTTGGGGAGGGGTGGTGGAGGGGCAAGGCACGTTGAGCTCAGCTGAGGGGCTGTAGGGTGGGGATGGATAGATGTCATTGTAGCGAAGTATTTGGCGGGTTTTGAGTTTGAGGGACTTGGAGGGGCGGGAGTCTGTCACTTGTGGAACGCGTGGAATGTCTTGCGGAGGTTTCTTGCTTGGCTTCACGGACGGGTGGTGGTTTGTCTTGGAGGTGGTGTTCTTTCTTTTTTTTCGTGACCGATGGTGTTGCACGACGGACGGTTGGGTGTTTGGCTTGTTAGTGTGAGATGGTTTATTGGGATTGTGGTATTCACAACGGTCTCGAGGCGTCAAATCAGGTCACGATGTAGCGCCTTCAGAGGTTGGGGATAGTGGAATCTTGATGGCGCCTGTCATACGCCGTCTCACGATTCTGTATATTATTCAGCTGTCAAGCCATTGAATATGTTACCCAGAGACGGGTAGAGACTGATTCTTAGGAGGCGTTTTCCCGAGAGGTTGGTTCAAGTCCGGTCTATCCATCAAGACGACCAGAACAGCGGTCTACGCCCGCCGCATTTCCGCCACACTGTTTCGTTTTGAAAAACGAAAAAGCCGTTGTGGGAATTTAGAACAGCCATCATCAACTAAGTAGACTAAGAAGACTATGTGAAGGATACACGCCCTACTGACTACCTTGGAGCGTTTCTGGATACGCCGCGCCAGATGGATGGAAACAAACCAAGCTTTTCCCAAGTCTGCTGGTGTCCGGCTCGGCCGCGTCCTGTCAGAGGTTGGAAATCAAGCCCAGCTGGCTGGGAATCCGACTAAGGATTCCTTCTAGCGCCCTCCGTGAGAAAAGCCGCCGAGGATTCCAGCCGTGGTTTTGTGGTGGTTTTCTTAGTCTCGCTGTTTCCTTGAAAGGCGATGTGACGACGCCCCGTACACGCGGCGACTCGGGGCGCTGAAGGTGCGGTAGATGGGGGCGGGATTCAGCGAACGTTGGCGCTGTACCGCGGGGCCATGGGCGCTGAGGTGAGGACCTCCCTCTCCCTCAGTCTCCGAACCGGTCCCGGCGCCGACCGACCGCTACTCCAAGTAACCCCCACTTGAATTTTCTTTTCCTGAGCGTGGTTCCACCCCGCCGTGCCCGCCGTGCGGCCCTCCCACTTCCACCCTTCCACCCTTCCACCAACTCCGTCTTTCCCGCCGTACGTACGGATACCGCACACCAACCACACACTGCCCGCCTTTTGCTTTCGGCGCCACCGACGCCATCTTCCTTCCGGGGTTTCTGGGGTGTGGTTTTTCTGGTCCTTTGTCAGCGCGAACGACGACGACATCGTGCCGGACACACACCCTTCCTGCATGTGTGTGTGTCTTTTTCGGCCCAATCCGCTCTTGCGATTGACATATCCGCCACTGTCATTGTTTGCTCATACTGCTGCTGCTGCTAGCTGTTGTAACACCCACCAACACCATACACCCATCAGATCGCGTCACAGTATATCCAGCTTAGCTCGGGAAACTGTGCGCCGCCCTGTTTGGATCCTGAAGGCGAGGAGAAGGCAAGCTACCTAAGGTGGTTTACGGCATTCTCGTTATTCTTGCTGCTTTGCTTGGTGTGGTTTAACCTGTTTGGGCAAATAAGCCTCGTCCAACTGGCCCGTCGTCTCGTCTCGTCCCTTAGACGACACTTACACCTACCCGTCTACACACACTCTCACTCTCTTTCTCACATTCTCGGGACCGAGGTTCGTCGTCTCGACGCCTCTCTTATTCACACACTCCCCGGAGCCGAAAGAACGCGCCGCCGCCAAGGCGTCGTGGGTGTTCCGATACCATGGCACCCCAACAACGGATGCAAATCCCGGGGTTCTACTACGGTAACACCCCATCCTCGATATCTCAAACAGATTCACTAGTCACTGACACCAAACACAGACGAAGAGAAGGGAAAGTACTTCAAGATCGAAAAGGCGCAGAGCGCGCCGCAGAACGCCGCCTGGTCCGCCGACAGCGTCAAGCGCCGCAAGATCCAGCACCGCGAGGCCGAGGCCGTCGCCGCCCGCCGCGAGCGCCTGAGGCGGCACATCGTCCGCTCCGCCGTCCTCCGGGACCCGCTCACGGGGGGCTTCCTGGAGGCCGAGCTGGGGGTCTCGCGGCGGGAGAGGAAGTGGAGGGCCGGCGCGGGCGGGGAGTTCGGGGTCGAGGACGTGCCGGCCGTTGCGTGGGCGAGGGGCGTGGCGGAGAAGGGGGAGGTGCCGTTCGTCCCGAGCTTCGCGAGGGCGAGGTTTCCTAACATCCCGTGTTTCTATGTCGGGGGCGAGGACGAGAAGACGGGGCTTGGGGTTGCGTATGCCAGTGAGATCCATCATGACCCCTCCCCTAAGTGGTCTGTTGCTGACGAGCGTAGCTGTTGATGAGGAGATCTTGATCGGATCTTATATCCCCACGGACGAAAACGACAGGTATGTTGACGAATGGCTAGAACGGGACGTGGGGCTTTTGCTGACGGGAGGTCTAGGATTTCGTTCAGTACGGACTCGTCAGGTCGTCCAGAACGTCGTCTGTCACACCGCCATGAAATGTTCGGCTGCCCGCAAATATCATCGATAAACTACCACTCACACTCCAACCGCATGATCATCACCTCCCGCGAACCGAGTAACACCTGCGACCTGTTCCTCTTCTCCCCTCCAAAATCCGCTCCAGACGATGACAGACCACTCTGGCTGCTGGATCGAGGTAAAACCCTCCCCATCCCTCGTCCCACGCCATCACCAGCTAACACACCATTCAGTCAACAACATCCGCCACATAGCCTTCAACACAGGCCGCCGCGAAGGCGTCGTAAACCAAACGACCCCGGCCCCGCCCTCCTCCTCCTCCATGGCCTGCGTCATCGGCACGAGCTACGGCCTCCTCAAGCTCACCACGGACGAGCGCATCCACTGGCTCGGCCCGCAGCGGCCCCGCCCGGGCCCCGCCGAGGGCGACTTCCTCGACATGTCCTTCCTCCCGGGGAGCTCCCCGGACGTGCTGCTGGCGGGCGGCCGCAACCGCGACGTGAAGCTGATCGACACGCGCGTGCGCTGGTCCGAGTGGGACGCGGTGTCCTCCGCGGGGCCCCTGGCGCGTCTCGAGGCCGTCAACGCGCACCAGTTCGTGACGGCGGGCCCGCGGTCGCGGATGGCCGTGTTCGACATCCGGTTCCGCCGGTCGAGGCCGAACGGGGCCGGGGCCGTGGTCGAGTTTGCCGGGTACCGGAATGAGGCGCACATGCACATCGGGTTCGACGTCGACGTGGAGGCCGGGATCGTGTCGGCGGCGGGGGATGAGGGGGGCGTCGGGGTGTATTCGCTGCTGTCGGGGCGGAGGCTGAGGTGTCCTGCGCTCGACGCAGTGAAGGCGAGGACGCCGGTGAAGTGTTTGAGGTTTGAGAGGATGCCGGGGCGGAGGCATAAGAGTTTGTTCGTGGGGGTTGGGCCGAATTTGAGGATGTTTTCTGTTGGGAGGGCGGGGGAGGATGAGGAGTCCTAGGAGAGGTCTTGGGTGATGTCGGTTGTTGCGAGGCTTTGGGCATCTGGGGTCCTGGGTTGTGGATTGGAATCCCTAGACGTGGAGAGATGGGTGCTCCTCTTTCCTAAGCGCGAAGCTTGAGCCGCAGTAACGTCTTGCTAGAACGATGCTTAGGTGCTCAGATTCTAGCTCCATGGTATAAAAAGACCGTACACAGATGAGCGTAGACTTTCTACAGGCAGCGCGGACAATTAGTTCTGGACGTATCTCGATTGTGTAGAGGGCTTCCAGGACAAGATCAAAACGATTCAATGCACTCCGTACGCACGGATCGGAATTGTCACCACATGAACTTTTATCACTTGATCTTCACTATCTATCAACGTGGTTTATCTGGGGACGAATAATCGAGGAGAGATGGAGAAGTATAACGGTGTGAGCTTTCCGTGCTTGAGAGGAGAGGGTATCTGAATCTTCTTGGTACGATTCACTAGTTGCGGCAAAACGCCTGAGTGTTCTGGAAGTGGGTATGTGTTTTAGCTACAGACTACATCTGAGGAAAGTCTACGATTACTAGCGCAGTCATCTTATACACAGCATCCGGCGCGAATGGAGCCGGAGTGTCAGGAGTCTATTATTGAGGGAGACGGGTTGATCGTGAAGGTGGGAGTGAATTCAAATAGTGTGACACAGGGAAGTAATATATATATCTGAGCAACCGCTCGTTTCCCCGGAATCCTATCGCCGACATGAGATTGAACCTCCTCACGTTGAGGAGTGCTTCTGTTTGTGCTCTCGCCTATCGCACGAAGATCCCAAGAGGTTGATAGCAGTAGCAATCTTGGCTTTCATTTCAGTGACGGGCTGAACGCCAGCTTTGTTTTGGCTGTGCTCATCCGTCTCTGTTCTTGTATTCTCACATGTTAATAAGCCATGACCCACGAAGGGGGAAGGAAGGTCTGAGAACGTCAGATTGATGACGAGATTCTATCCACAGCATACGTGCTTGCTGTCGTCAGCTTGTTATGTGTGGATAGCTGTGGTAGTTGATGGGGATCGGTACGATAAGTACTACCATAACGTTGTCTTGTTGGATGGAAAAAGCCGAATCCGAGTGCTGTGATAGCTTTTAAATGATTAACATGAAGGAGCACGATCTACGTCCGGATTCCTTAGCCTCCTCTCCGCATGTAGATGATGCTCTTACTCATATCTCTAGCCAAAGCCATTTCCTATGGATTCCATGAAGCCCTCGATTATGTAAACGCCCTCCTATATATACAAACAGCATTATTTGCTTCCATTCTGGCAACAGAACGCAACCCAGGAATTGGCTTCGGATTGTCCATTTTGGCTCCGGATTGAAACACTAACCAGCTTGGTTTTGGCCGCCTTCCTCCGTCCCTGTTCATGGCTGTAAAGTATCGCCGTTGCTGGAAGGGGCCTGTTCATGTCTTATTACACATTAATAAGTCACGACCAATAGAGGGAGACGGGAGAGTTGAAGATTTTGGATTGGCGACAACATGCCTCCGGCGATAAATCTGCTGTCGTCATCTTCTTATGGGTGGATGGCTCTGACAATAAACGAAACAACGCTTGAACCACCACATCTCTGGATGAGAAAAGCCGGATTCAATTTGGAAGATACAAGGCATTTAAATACTCAACATGGAAGAGTTCGTTCTAGTCTGGATTCCTTGGTTTTCTAGCACGTAGATGATGGCGTCCTGCTGAAATCAGGGCTACGTCCTCACAACCATCCCAAAGAGTGTCAGGCGAGGAAGTGATCAGCCTATCTTAGTAGTCGGGTAGTCTCATTGCAAGACTCGTTCCTCGTCAATTTCTTCCCCGAGTTGCACCGCCCATTTGATGGTAGGGCTTACGCTTGCTCCAATGTCATAAGTCCTCCGACCAGTGGAGGGGGCGAGCCTGGACGAAAACGACCTGCGCACCGTTTTCCGGTGAATGAATTGAGGTGCTGATCGATTTTTTTGTCTTTGCCTGTGTATTATCACACGTTGATAACTCACTGCTGGCAGAGAAGGACGGAAGACCGGAAGAAGTCAACTTGATGATATCCATCCCTTCTATTGCAATGTATGTCATATCATCAACTTCTTGTTTCTGTAGACTCCCAGAAGGCTTTCAGAGACATTGGTGTTTCCGTTTTAGAATTTATGAATCTATCTACTTTTACCAATTATATGTGTTGGCCAATCGTCATACGAAAGACGTGTTTCCCCGCCTCCACGCCGACGTCAACTCTATATCCTCACAACAATAGCCTCCCGAATCAACCTATCCTTCAACCCCCCTTTAACAGCACCATTAACAAGCACCGTCTCCCCTCGTGCCCTCCTCCCGCCCCTCCACCAAACACCAAACCAAGCCCTCACCATCCGCACGAACGCCCACACACCCCTCCCGCCCTTCGACCTCTCCAGCACCAAATCCTCCCACGCCCTCTGCACCTCGTCGAACCCGACAGCCTCGACCCCGCGCCCGCAGTGAACGTGCCCGAAGACGTGCAACCGCGGCCTCACCCGCCACACCTCCTCCAGCAACTTCTCGCAGCCCCAGTGGCCCTTCGGATCGTCCATGTGTCCCTTCGGCGGCGCGTGCGTGACCATGATATCCGTCCCCGCCGGAACGTCCCCCGTGAACGGGTTCGAGGCGGCCGAGCGCGGGTACTGGAAGGCCCAGTTGCCGTGTTTCGGCGTGTACGGGCTGCCGTAGACCCGGACCTCCCTCGTCTTCACGTCCCCCGCGGAATCTTCCACGGGGATCTTCAGAGTCGCGGAGGAGCGGTTGAGATACACCACGTCCCCCCAATCCACCACCTCTTCCTCACCGTCCTCGTCGAGACAGAGATCGTGGTTCCCCGCGATGACGACTTTGAAACGGTGCGGCTGCCGCTTGATCCAGTCCACGGTCTCGCGCACCTCCTCCCGCTTCCCGGAGACGGAGAGGTCGCCCGCGTGGACGAGCACGTCGCCGGGCGGCAGGCGCGGCTGCGTGCCGTGGGTGTCCGAGACGCAGACCACCGACACGGCGCCGCCGCCGCGCGGGGACGGCGTCGGGAAGGAGACGGGGAAGAACTCGTAGAGGTACTTCGCGATGGTGGTCAGGGGCGAGGAGAGTAGACGGTCCCAGGTCGTCTCTTCCGGACGGTTGAGGATTGCGTCGAGGCCCGACGTCGGAGATCTGAAGAAGCGCATGTTTCTTTGTTTTTTTTTCCCACTCTTTCTCTATATAATCTATATGGTCGAAGTAATGATTTACTCTGCGCGGATTTCGGTGGGCGTCAGGTCCGAGATATAGATGCCATTTTGGGAAGTATTCTTTTGTTCTTGATATGACGTGAGATTTTGACTGGGACGGGGTACTAAAGTCGAAAAAAGAAGCTTGTGTGTGTGTGGACAATGATGACTGTAAAGGACAGACAACCTTGTCCTACCGCTTGACAACAAAGCAAGTCTACTCCCTCTTTTATTTCAATCGCAAACTGGTGATGACTTTTGCTAGTTTGATGGTTTACTGAGGCGCAGTAGATTGCGAATGAAATAGTGGTGAGCCTGCCCCGCGGCGATGGTCCAATGACATGGCTTTGACAAATCAGCAGGTTTTCGGGACACAAGAGTCTTGGAGACAACATCGGTCGGCGATCATGTTCAATCCTGCCAATGTGGAAGAGAGAAGTTGGCGTGGATGAGTGGTGTTGAATCCTGACTACGCAGTTTGAAAGACTCTCTCTCAATTGGTAGAGCCAAACGTTTGTTCATTTGCGGTAACACATCCTTTGAGAGGCCTTGGTGTAGTCGAGCTTTCCAAACTTTTGACGTTCTGACGCTTCCCTGAAGACGTTCCCGGACCAGACAATCCGACATTATTTTCAGGCTTGCGATCGATAGCAGTCAAAAAAGGATCAATTCATCCCCATACAGATGCAAAAATCAAAAGAAGTAGGTCCATCCAGGATTCGAACCTGGGCTTACGGAAGGTCTGGATGTTAATCAGAATCCGACGTCCTAACCAACTAGACTAATAGACCGTGGCTGTAGGGGTGGAACCCCGCTTGTTGGAGGCGGGTAGCTCTAGCGCTACCTATATCGCGTGTAGCGAACGTCGCGGGCCCGTGATCAAGCACGCTCCAAGTGTTCAAGCGGCGCTGCCTCTCAGGATGGTGGCCGACGAAAGGCAAGTTGGCGGCGACGATTTGATGTCGAAGGAATACGAGTCGGTATGCAAAGGTCGCGCAATTCCGGCGCCAGGAACTTTGAGGCCCCGGTAGCAATAAGGTACGGTCCTTTTTCGAGTTCTCTGCGGCCGGCAAAAGGGGCATTTGCAAACCGTCCCGAACTGATTTGTGGAAGAATCCCTTAGTGAATACAATTGTAGCCCTTGGGCAGTATGCCGAGTAATGAAAGATTCTACGCAAAAAGAAAGAAACGAAACAAAGTCCCTCCCCCAAACGCCAAACCATGCTATGCGCCTCCGGAGAAACAGAATTCGGTAATGAACAGCACACACATCGTCTTCCCCTCGTGGGGAGGACTTCACACCAGACTCGCTGCCGCCTCTCTCTTTCATCCCTTTCGATAACCTTCCCCTCTCCCGTCAACGGCCGCACCTCTTATTTTAAGATGGCAATCAGCAAGACCAAGATGATGATGAGCACAATGATGGCCATCATCTGCTTGCTCTCCCCGGCGTCCCGCGCGACCTTCCCCAGCGACCTCCTCGCCCTGTCGAGCCTCCCCTGGTGACGATCCACGACGCCGTCGACCTCGTCGAGCATGGCGACGTGGGAATCCAGCTCGTCGCCGATCTGCATGCTCAGCTCGCGCTGGCGGCCGATGGACTCGCCGAGGCGGTCGAGGTGGTCGTCCTGGTCGCGCATGATCTGCGTGTGGTACTCGTGGATCTGCTGGTTGTCCATGCCCTCGGCCTGGTCGCGGTAGCCCGCCGTGTCGGCCGGGTCGTCGCGGTAGCGGCCCTCGCCGAAGAGGGCGGCGGCGTTGGGGTCCTCGGGCGGCGGCGCGGGCGAGTCGGTGAAGCGCACCGTCTTGCTGTTGTTGGCCCCCGCGGCGGCGGCGACGCCGCCGGGGAGGCCGCGGAGGGAGCCCTTGAGGGGCTTGGTGGACTGGACGGCGGAGAAGTCGGGGGAGAGGGACGGGTCGTTGGGGGTCGTGGTCGTGCTCGAGGTGGAGGGGTTCGAGAAGCCGTGGAACTGGGAGGTGAGGTCCGAGAACTGCTTCTGCAGGGCCGGGAGGGAGTCGGTGATGTTTTGGGCGGCGCTGTTTGATTCCGGGCTGTCAGTATTTTGTGTCTGCGTGTGTGTTTGGTTGTCGTGATGTCGAATGTAGGGTTGGTGGAGAACGTCCGACATGACGTCGCTCGACGTTTTGGAGATATGGGGATCTCGCGGGCAACGGGAAAGCTCACCTCTCGTCGCCTGCGCCCTGGAGGCGCTTGACCTCGGCATCTAGAGACTCCAAGCCATCACGGAATTGGTCCAGCGACCGCGAAATATGACCGTCCTGCGTGTCGGCGTCGAGGTTCAACGACTGGGCCCGCTGGCGCTCGAGGAGGGAGAGCTTGATGTGGTCGGCGAGGAGGTAGAGCTGGTTCAAGGTGGACATGATGAATCCTGGGTATAATAGATATAGAAGACGGTAGGTAAAAAGAAAACGAGCGGCTTCAACGCCTGGGATTGATTCGAAGAATCAGACAACTCGAATACTCGACGGGACGGCGGCTTTCAATCTGAACTCGTAGCGGACTCGACGTGGAAAGACCGGAAGTTGAAGATTCGGGGTTTTGGGGGTGTTCATGCGCCCGAACGGAGAGGCCATGTGGAGGACGCCCAGCAATGCGGATTACGTTTGCGGTTCAGGCAGCGGCTTGAGGTTCCCGCGTTCACAGGGATTGGTTAGGCGGACTTGGGGTGCCTGGGGTAGCGCTTCCGGTGGGTAAGGGTCTCTGGATTGGGGGTCTGGGCTCTAAGATCGCGGGACATCAGCTCAAGGAGTCTTCCTACTAGGCAGCTTGATGTCTAAGTGACTTTACCATGTGTTTAGAAGTTTTGTATGTTCGATATGTGAACAACTCAAGTTATAATTACTGCTTTTTGTAGGATATTCACATACACTTCTGGGAAGCTGTGATAATCGCAGGTTTCAGCTCGAGACCGTTTCAGCAATGCCACCGCCCAGATGATAATCAGGATGAAGAACTTCTCGCCTTGACGCCAGGTCGTGCTGAGAACTGCCAGAGCCATCAAAGGTCAATGTGGCACAGCGGTTGAAGAGTATCTGCCTACTCACATCTGACCCAAACGACACCTAACACTTACACATGCACTTGCTTGGGTTAGGAAGCATATCTGTATCATTCTGTTATGATCTACTCTCAACTCCTTCACTCGCAGCTCACCACGAGCACTAGCGAATGACGCCCAACTGCTTATCAATACCATCGAGCCCCTCGAGAATGTCGCTTCCACCCAAAATGCCAACACCATCAGTCGTCTTGTTCGGCCTGTCTTTCCACACCTCATGGAACTTCACGTTCTTGTCGCTTGTGGCCATGACAATAACCCCTTCCTTTGACGTCCGACTACCCCTTTTCGCATCTGGCGGTGCTCCAGGATATGGAATCGCATACAAAACCCGTGGTCCATTCTCCCACGCAACCGCGTCAACTTGTCTACAGGACGGCCAGCTGAAAACCGCGATCCGATATGGGTGATCAGGGGTAGCGTACCCGAATGTAGCAACGATTTCGGGGCGCGTTGTTGACCAGATCAACGCTGTGACCTGCGATGACACCGCGATGGTGGCCAGAGGTGCGCCGGTCGCAACGTGCCAGAAGTGAATGCATTTGTCATTCGACCCGCCACCTGTTGCGACGAGATTCTTTTGCCAAGGACAAAAAGCGACTGCCTTGACTGCTGCGCCGTGCTTCTAGCGGCTTTTCTCTGAACCGGGAAAAAATCTCATGATGTCGCCCTCAAATGGCTGAACCATGCGAGCGCTAGTTCCTTGGGTTGTCAACTCCACCATCTCCTCTCCTGCGAACGCGGTGCTATGCAACAGCGACTCCAGTGTGCGTGGAAACCAGTCATGCTGCCTATCTCCATATTGCCTAGGTTCAATCTGGGTGTCGGAGGAGCGACTGTTGAATCTTCGACTGGTAAGAGAGGTAGCGTCGGATGAAGTATTGCTTGTTCTGTGGCGTTGTGTCACCATCCGCTCGACCTCGAAGTAGCATGCCGAGTTGTCGTTGGATCCCGACATCATGTTCTGGCCGTCCAGAGACCAGACCATAGCGCAGATTTGCTGTGAATGTACAGAGATTCGAGCCATCATGGATACCACGCCCGGCCAGCCGTCTTGTTCCATCTGCCATGCAGTCGGCCATTCGACGACGTAGTAAAAAATGTTTCCGCGCTCATCACCGACTAGTAAATCTTCGGTCGGTACCAGACGAGCAGGAGCGCGAGGATGTTTGGATGGTCGCATTGTCACTGTCGGCCGCTAACTAACACAGTTGACCTGGCATTGTTGTCTAAGGTGTAAACGGGCAGTGTTCTCCATGATGGATCTCAGAGTGACATGGCCGCGAGACCGGCTAGCGGCCAGAATTGCGTTGCCGCCTTGTTTCGAAGAAAAGGAAAGTGATGTCACCCACCCGTGGTAAGCAGCAGCGTCGAGAAGTTGCGCTCCAGTATCTTCAGTCCAATAATACAAAAGGCCGCCGAGTCCGACAGCGAGCGCGTTGCAGGTTGGAGAGTACGCCAAAACAGAGCAGTAGTAATCGTCTCGAAGGCCAGGTGCGTCAAGGATTTTATATGAAGTTGTTGGCAAATCGCGTAGAACTGGCCGCAAGACTGAGAAGACAAATATGTTTAATCCTGCTGCCCATATGGTCTGTAGGATCGACTTACCTGACTTTCCCGGTGGGCTCACCCACTGAGTTCCTGTCCAGTACGTTTTGGATTCCTTTTGCGTTTGCTTGTTTTGCTGAGCCAGTACACGGTACGAAGACCCAATAGGATGTTCAAAGTCCAGAATTCTTGAAATCTGGTTCAGCTTCAGCGCGTCGGCAAGCATTCCCCTGTGTTGCTCCAGGTCTTCTTTCTTCTTGATGCGGGCCGTGGAGAAGTTGGTGGTGATGAATCGGGCATTCGATCCACTGCGGAGATAATGGCCGTGACCATCATCGACAGCGGTCCCCGGAGGAGGAGCATCCAAACCGCCGACAGTCCATTCGACACCGTGACTTGATCGTATTTGTTCCTGGTTCTGTGATACCACCGATAGAACCGTGGGAACTGGTGGCGTTAGACATTGTGATGGAAAACTGTGATGGATACTTACGACCAAATGGTGCATCTGATATGGAACGAAAGCTAGATGCGAAGGAAATGGTCTGTTGCTGTGGTCTGCGAAAGGGATCTGACGCCACGCAGTCGTGCCTCAGCAGTCTTTCTTCTGGTGATAAATCATCCATATCTTTGGTGACTCGGATTTTCTCGGAGGTTGGCGTCTGGTGATCTCGACGAGGTATGAAACGGTCAGGACTCCGGAGAGACCCCGGACTTGGCCGCGTTTTGTTGGTCAAACCTCGCCTGCGTTTTGACGGCGTACAAGCGGCAGAAATGAAGTGATTTGAGGATGAAGAACCTGGCTTCAGCCGTATTGGATCTGGTCGTGTTCGGATGGCAATGTCGCCATCATCCGAATCGCTGTCGTTGCCAGCCCCTGAGCCGTCCAAGTAGAGTTGAATGTTGGACGGAGCCAAGGGACGACCTGCGCCGGGGTTTTCATTTTCGATATCCGATGGCGAGTCTTCAAACTGCTCGTTCTTAGAATAGCCACGGCGGCAGCTGTTATGAAAGTGACCTGACAGGTGCCGATGTCTTCGAGGCAGACGCATGGGTGGAAGATGGCTTCGAAACTGGTGGTCTTTTAGCTGGACGAGACGCTGACATAAGTCTGTCATTGGGAGTTGGGGTATGCCGATGCAAGTATAGAGCTATCGAGTTCCAGAATGAGAGAGACTTGGTTCTTCAAAAAAGAGATGCGGGTTGTTTTGTGTTGCCAACAGACAATCTTCCGGCGAAGACGGTCTTGGAAGCTGTCTTAGGCACGCCGACGGAAGTGTAATGAAATTAGTGATGTCAAGTCGACGTACTTAGGACAGAGGGAAATTCTAGGAGCGGAGATGAAGAAAGAGGAAAAGGAGGCCGAAGACAGAGTTCCGTCTGCCAAGTGCCAAAGGCATTTGAGAACGGGCTGCATGGCATCATTGGCCATGGCAGGAAAGAGGCTCTCAGGAAGATGTTTGGTAACCTGTTCTCTTACCTCCAGATGTGGCAGCTGATGTTTCAGGAAGATCCAATCCCACATGGACGAGGCAATTACTTCGATGATGACTGCCATAGAGTCGTTGTGACAGACCCCGGATTTCATAAGCATCCATCTTTGGGAAGGTGTGATGAAGTCTCATCTAGTTGCTCTGAAAGGTTCTTTCCGAGATACTACTTGGAGAAGGGTCGAAACCGGCCTTGTATCTGCTGTCTTTCTCTTATAAAACGACTCAGCAATGAATGAAGACCATAATCATTGTCGGCAATTGATTTGTTCAACTGACGACTGACGTTGAAAGTGGACGAAAGACGCAGCAAAAGAGACGCGACTTCCACGCCGGGAGCTCGGGCCCTATGGCTAAATGACTTGCCTAAACGAGGCACCCTTCAGGGTCCCCGTTGACCTGTCTCACCCGCCCGAGAGCAGCCTGAGTGGTGGGGAATCCCTGCCGGCGCATCCTGCCCGCATGAGCAGCTTCAATTCCCGCCCAGAGCTTCCACCCGTTTCCTCCACCCCGGGTCGCCTCTCCGGACACTTCCATCTTTCCGCGTCCCTTGTCGTCCTGATCCTTGATTTCATAAGTTCATCCCGCTCTTCCAGAGCACCCTCGATTTCTCCATGGACACCGTGAGCATCCCCTTTTCAGACCTTGTCTCTCGTATCACCATCTACCTCCTCGCTCTCTCTAACTTCTGCCTCCAAGCCTCCGCATAGCATCTCCAACGCTGACTGACGATCAAACCCCAGCACGGCGTAGCCCGCACAGCCCGGAAGCCACGCACCGAAGCACAGCTCCAGGCCGACCTTGCCAAGATCGCGACCCTCCGCTCCCTCGAAGACTCCCTGCTTCGCGCCAGCCCCGACCTATCCGATCCCGAGACCTTCTCCCTCACGACCAAGCTCTTGCGCTTGAACCCAGAGCACTACACGGCATGGAACGTCCGCAGGCGCTGCCTAACCTGTGGATCATTATCAAGACCCTCGCCTGGGCCGTCGCCATCGGCGCAGCCCGCGAGTTCGTCAGCAGCATGCACTCAGTCTCCGTCCTCCGCCGACTCGTTGCCCTCTTCCTCGACCACGACCCAGCCCGACCCCGCGTCCCGAACAACCCCAGAGAGTGGGAAGAGTGGTACAACAGTTGATGATGGCAAAGACGTCACTTCAGAAGCGAAGAATGCGCCTTCGACAGAGGTTGTTATCGAAACGCTGAAGAACGAGTTGATGTTCACCATTCCCCTGCTCCTCGAGTTTCCCAAGAGCTATTGGATCTGGAAGTACCGTTCCTGGCTCCTACAACAAGGCATAGATCTCCTCCCGAAAGCCATGGCTCGCCGCATATGGGAAGAGGAGCTTGGTCTTATATCCAAGATGCTCACGAAGGACCGCCGCAACTTTCACGCCTGGGGCTACCGCCGGGAGGTAGTCACCACTTTGGAAAGCAAAGTCCTCGACGGGAAGAGCATGGTAGAATCCGAGTTCGAATACACCACAAAGATGATCAACGTCGACCTGTCCAACTTTTCAGCATGGCATAACCGCACAAACTTGATACCCCGCCTGCTTGATGAGCGCAAGGCCGACGACGCCGCGCGGCAGAAGTTTCTGGATGATGGTAAGACGGCCGATGACCCGAGGCGACTTGACTGTACTGACCGATAAAGAACTCAACCTCGTCCGCGAAGCACTGAACGTCGGCCCCGAGGATCAGTCCTTATGGTACTACCACCAGTTCCTCGTCCTAAACTTGACAGAATCAGAAAACGGGCCAAAGATCGCTCCGAATCTGTCGCAGAAAGAGAGAGCGGAATACGTTAAGCGTGAGATTGACGATATCAAGGAGCTGGCAGAGGACTACGACGACGTCGTGGGCATCTACAAGGCCCTGCTGGACTACACTAGGGCCCTGCCCCAAATCGAGGAACGCTCTCTCACCGATGATGAGACTGCGGATCTCAAGGCGTGGATGGCGAAGGTGCGACAGCTGGACCCTATGCGATCGGGACGATGGAGCGATCTCGAGAGGGAGTGCGGACTTGTCTAAGTTTATTGATTCGACAAGAATATGGGCGGGCGATGTTTGACCAAATACCATTATGATTACAGCGAACTAGACGCAAAATTGTACATATAGTTACCGCGTACGTATGTATATCCCATCGTACATTCATGACCTCATGAGCTACGAGGCAGTGCACTTGCCCTTGACGAGACTAGCATTCTCTCCAACCAGCCCGTCAAAATACGCCAGCAGCGTCTCGACAGGAATCATATCCATCAAACCCAAAGACGGGTTCGACGACTTGAAAACCTGCCCGCTCCAGAGAACACGCACATACCACCCGCTCTCTCCGCCAGCGACCGGCGCAGCCGTAGCCGCCGCCTCGCCACCGCTCTTCTCCTTCTTCTTATACAGCTCGAAAACCACCTCGGATCCCATGCCGGGCCAGACCATCTTCTCGAGCTGCAGGATCGACAGCAGCCTCGACACGGACCCGTCGTGCGCGACGTTGTGGAAATACACCACCTCGCTCTGCCCCGCCACAACGGCGCGCAGGTGCGTCGCCAGCTCGGCCACCCACACGCCCCAGCTCGCCACGCTGGCGGTGAGCGAGTCGGGCGCGTCGCGGTACATCTGCGAGTACTCCCAGTTACCCAGCCGGTAGACGGCGTCCGCGAGGTCCTGCGTGACGCACGTCGTGCTGTTGGCGCCGTCGACGAGCTTGCAGGGCAGCGGCTTGTCGTGGCACTGCCGCGCGGAGAGGTTGTCGTAGTAGTGGTCGAAACTGGCGTGGAACCCCGCGTCGTCGGCCGGCACGCCCGAGATGTCGTCGAGGGCGGCGTACAGCGGCGCCGCGGCGTCGAGGTGCTGCTGCCAGGGGGCGTTGGCGGAGGACTTGATCCGGTTGAAGAGCGCGGCGCCGGCGGCGCAGGCGTACTGCGGCTCGAGGGAGTCGACGCCGGCGGCCTGGATGCTCAGCGCGGCGGACCCGGTGGTGCCCCACATGCCGTTGACGACCATGCCGGCGACCTGGCTGGTGATCTGGTTGTTGGTGACGCGGTAGCGGACCTGGCGGAGCCAGTCGGGGGAGCCGGCGGCGTCGCGGGCGGGGAGGAGGCCGAGGAGGTCGTGGTAGACGGCGAAGAGGTCGGCGCCGTGGACCCAGGAGTCGTCGAGCCCCTGGGCGGTGATCTGGGGGAACTGGCAGGTCCCGATCCAGCCGGCGGGGACGAAGGGGTTCACGGGGGAGATGTAGACCTTCCAGTACGTCTTTGCTGGCTTGTTGCGGCTGGAGAAGGGCTCGCCGTAGTAGAAGAGGCCCTGCTCGTCGCAGTTCCACTGGTAGGATTCCACGGGGAAGGCGTTGGAGGCGTAGGGCGTGCGCTTGTGGTGGCGATGGATCTGCGGGTTCATGAGTTTTCACGTAAGACGAGATTGTGAACGAGAGGAGGGCTGCTCACCAGTTCCACGTATTTGAGCTCGTACTCGTCCGAGGCCTTGACGTACTCGGTCTTGCGGACGTGGGGCATGTTGCACCAGTTGTACTGCCCGTACTTATCGTCGGGCGTCGCGGAGGTGTCGTAGATGAAGCCCCAGACGCCCTTGCCGCCGATGACGGAGGTGAGGTTGTTCACCTCGGAGCTGGCGGGCGGGTGCCAGCCGATGTCGACACCGCCGGGGCCGGTGGTGGTGGTGTTCCCCGGCGCGACGGAGGACCCGCTGCCGCCGCTGCCGAAGACGGCGAGCGCGGCGAGGAGCGAGGAGCCAGGCTTGGGGACCATGACTTGCGACAGGGTGTACTCGACGAAAATGATGAAGCTGGCGACGAGGACGAGGGACTTGATCCAGGCGGCGGGCGAGGCTAGAGGCCTTCGGGGGAAGAAGTTTGGGGAAGCCATTCCATTTCTCTCTTTATTTTTTAAGTTGGATTTGACATTGAGGAACGGTATGGGTCGTATCCCACGTGGGAACCTCTGTGATTTCCGTGCCGCGGGGAGGCAGGATGGGAATTGCGCACTATTCGCGCGGCCTTTCAGGGATCACAAGCGTGGATTTTGATGAGTGGGGATAGGTTGCTGCAACTGGCCTGCAGGAATTGTTGTTGTTCACCTCATTGAACCTCGCCTGGAGGTCGGTAGGAATAGACTGCGGTTCGGTGACGATGATGCGGGAGGCGAAAAGGTGCAACCGGGATAGCTGAGATATCGAAGCTTGTGTGGGGGGGAACGTGCAGCACGTGCAGCAGGGGATGCGCCGACTGGTCGTGGACGGTTGGAGCTCAGGGGTTTGGACAGGGGAGATGCACGGTGACGGCCATTTGCTTTCGGCGCCCAGACTGAACCTAATCTGTATTGAGTATGGAAGTCCGCTTGTGAAGCACATTTTTGATTTGGTTTATTTGAGGTAAAGAACATGCTGGTGAGCTCGAAGCTTGAAGATAGTATTACAAAGATTAGAGTTGCCCAAACTAACAGCGGATCGGGGCCCACTCCGAAGAGCCCCGTGTCGATCCACATTCCTCCGTCTCCGGCCCCGAACCGTCCTCCGGAGACTCCGGTCCGGGTACGACATTCCTCAGCCAATCCACCTTATCATCCGGCAGGTCCACCACGACGCAGTGCCGCGAACCGCCGGGACCCGCGAGCAATCCCACGATCTCGTCCCAGTTGTCCGCGTCGAGCAGCGGGACCTCCGAGTGCCCGAGCAAGCCGTCGCCCAGCTTCCAGCGGACCCTGACGTCGAAGCCGGCGCGGATCATGGCCTGGGTGGCGCGGAGGCGTCCGAGGAAGCGGGCGTGCGGGTCGGCGCCGCTGCGGTAGTCGTGCAGGCTGCGGTTGTAGAGGAGGCCGACGGCGGCCTCGCTGACGAGGTGGAGGAAGTTGTAGACGGTGGTCGGGGCGCCGTCGTGTTCGATCAGGCGGACGGGGATGGTGTTGTTTTCGTCGGCGATGAAGGCGAAGCGGACGAGGACGCTGCGGTGGATGAGGGGCTTGGTGGAGTAAGTTTGACTGTTGCCTAGGGTTGCCTCGCTGCTGCGGGAGCCGTGGAGGGAGCAGGATGGGTTTGAGCAGGAGGTGAGGGATGAGGAGGTGGAGGGGGATGTGGTTCTTCTGTGCGAAGGTTTGGTGAAAAGGTTGCGCCAGCTCATTTTGTCTTCTTAGTCGTCGATGGTAGTTGTTGATTAGGCTCTGGTGATTCGTGGTGAGTACGAAGATGTCGTTGATGTCGAGAAAGTACTGAAGCGATGACCAGCACTAGAGAACCTCAACTCTCTACTTATAGATCACGTCTCTACATCTGAGATGATTCACCAAGCGCATCTTCTACTGATCTGTTCACAGCTTTGCGGTCTCGCTGATTCACGCCTTACACGATACACGTCTCCAAGGCCCTGATAACTGGCCAGGGCCGTTTGATAACCTCAGTACTTAATTATTGTCGCCTTATCTCCTATCTTAAAAATGATGAAACTCTGAGAAGACAATATGAAGCTTCAAATGAATGGTCAAAAGGTCCTGTTGTTGCGACTTCTTTGTAGTTTCTCAAGGCGACTCTTGGCCGCGAGAGAGACCTTCTTATTTGATGCGAAAAAATATCACAGAACCCCTAATTTGATATGTCACAATACACGGCTGATGATGAATGTTTATCAAATATTCCTGGATTTTGGCGACCCATTGGCAAAATATTTCTCAGTTAGAAAATGATATGGTAGAAGAGCAGTGCCACCGCCATCCAGTCAAAACAGTACAGACTTTCTTACTCAACAAGCATGTGTATTTATTGAAACCATGCCACGCATGGAAGAATATTTACAAGAAGTGAGGTGGTGCATGAGCGAAGCGACTTACGCTCCTAGGCATTCTTCAATCGTCAGACTTCTCGTGATTCGTCATGGTCATAATCGTATTACTGGGTCATTCGAGCACAGATCCTTCTGACCCTCTTGCCTTTGAAAAACAAAACAACCCCCAGCAGACAAAAGGCTGCACTCACGGCAGCGTATATGCCAAACGTCCGGACGGGGCCGATGTTGGCAATGTACTCAGTGGTGTGCTTGCTGAGCCCGAAGCCAACGAGGCCGCGGGTGACGGGGAGCGCGACCAGAATCGCACCGGCGAAGCTCGGATGGCTGTCGATCAGGTACGCCGTCCCGACGGTGTTGACGCCCATGAGGACAATGAGATACCCGTCGACGACGGACACGATGGACATCCAGTGAAAGTTCTCGGGGTTCTTGAGGACGTAGCCGTACAGGACGGTCAGGACGAGCGCCGTCGCCATCGGCAGGATCCACGCCACCAGCCTCTGCTCCGGCTCGTGCACGCCGTGGTTGCGCCGCGCGGAGACGCGGATGACGTAGTCGCTCATCCAGCCGATCAGCGGCACGCAGAGCAGCGCGACGACGATCTGGCCCAGCTGGATGAGCGAGACGGACGTGTTGGCCCAGTTGTACGGCGGCTTCACGAGAACCTCGGCGTACGTCATCTGGATCGATATGTCGATGCCCTGGAAGAGGCCGTTGTTGACGGCCACCCAGAGCACGTGCGGGAAGAGGAAGACTTGTCCGATCTGCTTCAGGCAGAGCCAGCAGCGGGACCAGGTTGGCTTGTGCACAAATATCTGCAGGTTGGAGGCGAATGTACGTTCTTGATAGTGTTCCAAATCGACACTCGGCCTGTCGTCTGTCGCGGTGTACTTCGGACCCGGTGAGCGGCTCCGGCCAATGTACCCAGGGGTACTGCTCTGCGCCGGAAGGAGGTTCCGCGTGTCACTAGGGTGAGAACCCATGAAGGACTCGATAGGCCGATCATACGCCGTCTCAGGGACGAAGAAGAAGGTGAGAATCATGGCGAGGCCCGAGAGGCCGGCGAAGAGCCAGTACCAGGACCGCCATCCTAGAGCGTCGGCCATGTAGGAAGACGCGATAACGAGACTGGAGTTGAGGAGGACCTCCGCGGACGCATAAATCTGGAATACGCGAGCGCGCTGGTGGAGGAAGTAAATATCCTGAAGCGTTTGAAATCAGCCTTCGCCCTGAACCGCCTCTGGAATGGAGACTTTTGTTTTAATTACCTGCATAATCAGCAGAGCCAAGGCCTGGCACTGGGCCGCGGCGAAAGCGGCAACCATGCGCCCGCCGAGATGCCAGTAGTAGTTCCTATTCGTCGCGCAGAGCACGGCGGCGAGAAACAGCAAGACGTTGGACGCCAGGATCACGGGTCTCCGGCCGACGGCCACGGCGATGGGCATCGACACGAGGTTGCCCAGGCCGAGGAACAGATTGGGGAAGGTAAAGAGATTCGAGATCTGGTCTGGAGTAATGCCGTCGCGGTTGTAGTCCGGCATGATGAAGACGATGAGCGCGGAGAGCGCGGTGATCAGGCACAGGCCGGATATCGCATCTACCACGCGTGAGTAAGACGCTGCCCAGGTGAGTGGACGGCCGGCGACTTACACAGCACGATGATACCGACGATGAGTTTCTTGTGCCATCCTGGGAGGTTGAGGGGATCTGGTTTTGGTTCGTAAGCCGAGGGGTTCGTATTTTCCATGAGAGTTTGGTCTATCGTTTCCGGGAAATTGGAAGAAAAATGGTGATTTACAACGTACCTCTGGGATCCGAGCTCGGGGTCGGAATGAGAATGACACCGTCGCCCACGGTGAGCGTGGCTGTGCCGTCAAAGAATCTCGGCCTCATCTTCTCTTCGATTGGTGCGATGGGTATGTCTTCGGTAGGAGACAGGTTCACGCACTTCTCCACGTCTGTCACGTCTGTGGTGTGGTTTTCAACTCGGACGACTTCAGGACGTGGAGAAGACCCTGAAGGGTCAGCCGCCTTTTCAGGGTCCATCTTCACGGCGACGAGCCCGGGGCGCGGGCCGAGATCTTAGAAAGTCCTATATCTGAGGAGAGAGTGGGTAGCCTTGGCTTTGTGCCCGCGTGATTGCCAATTGGGGGCTGGTTATGTCTGGGGTGTCGTCCGCAGATATTCCGAGATCGTCACGACGTCGTCGCAACGGCAGGGGTTCTCGATGATGTGCCTATGGCGGTGAGGGGAGCAAACACCGGCAACGCATGAGCCAGCGTAGATGCCCAGACCGTTTCCAAGCGGGGACACTGTGCCATATTTATTTCCTATTTTACTCGGATTGTATCGTTAACTGCCGTTCTGTCCTTGGCTGTGAGAGAGTTGCTCTTACAGTTGACAGGAACTCTACTCGACTTTGAGGAAGAGTCTAAGATGCCAAGACGGACTTGTGTAAGCGTAGTAAGCGCCGTGTAGCTGCCGAATCGGCAAGCCGTAGAAGTCTGTATATACGAGGCATTATCTAGGGCGTGTATCAACGGCACGTAGAGTGGTTTCCGGTGGGAGGACGGGTAATCGGCAGAACGACGCGCGCCATTTGATCGTCTAGCGGTTCCATGATACCCAGGATGGCCGTCCCATTCGAATGCGCTGTAAGCGGCCGTAGTGAAGGATGGAAAAGTCAAAAAAGTGGCATTCACCGATGGTAATGTCGCATCACCAAACGCCAGACCACTTAAGCTCGAAAATAAAGTTTCAAGCGCAACGCTTGCGGGGCGGTCCTGATACGTTTCCTCCGAGCTGGGGTCTCCCATGAAGCCGTGCAAGCCGACGTTGTCGTAAGTCGTGCTTGAACTGGCTTCACCCTTTCTCCTTTTTCTCCTTGACTCGCATCGCGAGAACGATCCAGAGGTGAGAGAAGCTGCATACAGTCGAGAGCTGTACCTCAGTCCGGCAAAAAGAAGTCGTAAGAAACCAGGAAATCAGAAACGTCGGCTGTATACACTACTTTTGGTCCGAATTCCAGTTTATACCTTCTTTCCCCTCCGTCCATCGCCGATTGTCAAAGGGCGAAAAGATCAGCAAGCTTCTCGAGATCTGGGCAGCAAAGACGTCACTGTTGGCCGAACCATTTGACAAATGCCTGCCAACGAGACACAAGCTGTTGGGGATGGTCTCCAGTTGGTGAACGAGAAAGACTTCGACGCCAACATCAGCTCAGAGTGGCTGTCATCGGATGACAGGCATCCCGAGGAAGCCACGCGGTTTCTGGACCCGGAGCAGGAGGAGGGCAAAGATGGCGATGTAGAGGCTGCCGCCGATCACCACCCCGCGTCAGAAGCTTCGCCGTCCGAATTGGACGCCCGCGAACCCTTCGACCCGATCTTGTGGTCGGCCAGGAAGCGCTGGACTCACATTCTGGTGGTCGCCTTCATAACATGCGTCACGTAAGTCCACATGGCTGCCGCCCATCTAGACTTCTGCACTGCCGGAGCCAAAAGAGAAATAAGCACGCGCTAACGGCATCTTGCCTTTGCTTCCCCGCAGTCCTCTGGCATCTGCCGTGTATACGCCCGCGCTGGACCAGGTGATTCGCGACTTCAGCATCGAAGACAACCCCTCGCTGGCGCACCTGACGGTGTCGGCGTACGTGCTTGGGTTCTCGGCGGGCCCGCTGCTGATCGCGCCGCTCAGCGAGGTGCTGGGAAAGAAGCCGGTGTACCAGTTCAGCAATGTGCTTCTTCTTGTGTGTAATCTGGGCTGTATGGTCGCGCCGTCGGCCGAGTGGCTCGTCTTCTTCCGGTTCGTGGCGGGGTGCGCCGGGGCGAGCCCGATCACGCAGGGTTCCGGGACGGCGACGGACGTCATGAAGAAGCACGAGCGCGCCCGGGCCTTGTCGGTGATGGCGTTCGGAAGCGTTTGTAGTCCTGCGGTCGGTTCTGCCCTCGGAGGCGGGATTGCCCAGGTCTGGGGGTGGAGGGGGTGCTTTGGGTTTCTGGTTTTTATGGTGAGTTGAACATCTTCCGCCGGCTTGTTTCCTTTCGATGTTTGAGTTACGGCGGGATGAGATGACGCCTGGCGTGTCATGGCATTTCCCTCGTGGGCCGAATCCTCGTCTCATGTATGTCTTCGTTCCTTGGTCGTGTTAACCAGAAGTAACAGTGTTCGATAAGTGTTGTACTCACGCAGTGTCTCATGTGCGAGACGCATCTGCCGGTGCTTCGAAGAAAGTTCGCAGCAATGGGTATTGTTGGCGACGTTAACGGAGAGAAGGACATTATTACTGAAGCCCCCAAACCCATGAGGACGTTGCTTTACAAGGCGGCGATTCGACCTTTGGCTCTGGCCTTCGAGCCTAGTATCCTGCCCGCCATTATTGTCACATCGTTCTTCTACGGGCTCCAGGTCTGGCTGTACATCGATGTGCCCATGACCTATAAGGAGGTGTATGGATTCAACACCGCAGAGGCGGGGTTGGCGTTTGCAGGTATGGGAGTAGGCATGTTCACCGGACTCCTCATCTTCGGCTTCCTCAGCGACGTCGTGGTATCACGGCTGGCCAGGGGCGGAGAGAGATTGCCTGGACACCGCCTTCCACTGCTCAACGCTGCTGCCATACTAGTCGTAGCTGGCATGATCATCTACAACACGACTGCCCGATCGAGTGTGTCTTACCTCGTGCCTCTACTGGGCGAGTACCTCATTGGCTGTGGGCTGTTTGCCATAACTGTAAGTGCTTTATCACGACTTGAAGTGTTTGAGGGTGAACGATGGCTGACTGGGTTGGTAGATGACGACGGCCGTGTACATCATCGATCTTTCACCTCAGCATGCGGTCGCCACGGGTGCCGCGATCGCGCTTCTCAGATACCCATCCGGAGCGCTGTTTCCCTTGGCGGAGCATGCTCTTGAAAGCTTTACCAGCAACAGCAGCGCGAAGTGGTTCATTACCGCCGCCGCCGCTTCGACAGTACCACTCGTGGTCTGGCTTCAGTTCAACTGCGAGAAGTTTCGCGCTAGACTTCGGGAATCGCTTTGAGTTTGGACTTGTTGTTTAGTTTCGTAGCATCTTGTTTTGTTTTGTGGCATCTGATTTGAGCGATACCCAGGCATTCATCAGGTTTCCAGGCCTGATGACCATCAAGTATACAGAAGATCTCCATCGCATGGGTTCAGAGCACGGATACATAGTACGGCGCCGGCGTTAGGAATGGAAATCAATAGACTCGAGATGTAAAAGAGACATGTGTTGGACTAGAATAGACAATCAGAAATGGAAGTAGATGAACGAGGCATGAACATACGTGTATCGGTCTCCGACGACGACCTCGACATCATTCGGGGATACGACTTGCTTTTCCAAGGTCAAAGCATGATAAGAAAGATGGTGATGATTGAGATCGGAAATGGTAGTAGCAGAATTAACTTTGTATCCGTACCCACCTCACAAAGCCATTCGGGTATTCCTCTATCAGATAAGGTCACGTCACGGCCTTACATAATCCATCCGATAGCCACATATGCTGGATCTCGAGACTCCATCCGAGCGACCTGCAACCAATGGCAACGACACTAAATCGCAAGGTGTCGTGGTCCAGGTCGCCCGTGGAGCTGGGATTGCGCTAATCCCAAATGAAACCAATTACAATCGTCACGCGGCTCATTCAACAAGCTGGGAGACAGGACGACCAACGCTTTCCCCACGTGTTGCAGCCACTACCACAACGCGGGATGCTATTGTAGTAGCTTAAACACCATCTAGCACGCCTCGCATCACTTCGCGATACAGAGTTTCCGATAAGCAGTCGCACGCGACCCCTCTGTCACCATACCGTCCCCGGCTCCAACTCAAAATCCCTCCTCTACCCACCAAGCAGGCACTGCGCCTCCAGGACTTCTCATTGACCTTGATCAACCTTCATCAGGCCTTCGGGAACGGGGAGGGAGCTCCACCAACGACGCCGACGCTGTTGCGACAACCGAGAGCTACGAACTTGCGGACTACAACCCCATCACCGCCCGCAAGACTGCGGAGGACCGAGAGGCCCAGCGAGAGCAGAAGAGGATCTGGAAAAGACGGTGGCTTGAGGAGCAAGACGACATGAAGTTCTCACACAGCATCCAGTTTAATGCTGTTCCGGACTGGAGCAGCCATTACATCGCGTACAGCAACCTCAAGAAGCTGTGGGTCTCCCCAATGCCTTCCCCAACCCGAACCCGATGTCTCAGGTGACTAATGATGCGCCGTAGGATCTACCAGCTTGAGAAGACCGTCCACCAGACCTCCGGAGGCGACGCCGAATCGAGACCCCTCATTCGAAATGAAGAGCCCGAAGAAGTCTTCAGTCGCGCCCTGGGCGTAGAGCTGGAGAAGATCTGCTCCTTCTACGTGGCCAAGGAAGGCGAGCTCCTCGACGATGTCAACCAGCTCCTTGGCGACGTCGGCAACTTCTCGTCCGAGGAGGAGGAGAACGGCGAGCCCAGACGGTCATTTGGCAGCGGCTCCCGCCCGGGGATGTCAGGGACGAACGGGGCGAGGTCCGAATCGATCGATGGCAACATGGATGACAGCGATGACGACGAGGAGGACGACGAGACGACTGGACTGACAAAGAGTCGGTCCAGCCTCGGCGGCGGCGCCAGACGGAAGACGGCGCCGAATTTGGGCCACTCGGCGACAGAGCTGACGGCGTCGACCGAATTGACGCTGGGCAGGTCGTTGCGACGGTACAGTACCGCGCAGGACGAGATGCCGGACCAGTCCTTCCTCTACTCGTCGAGCATCATGCTCAAGAAGCGCATCATCAGCCTCTACGTCCAGCTCTGCGAGCTGAAGTCGTATGTGCAGCTCAACAGAACGGGTTTCCGCAAGGTTCTAAAGAAATTCGACAAGATCCTCGACAAGGAGCTGCGGCCCAAGTACATGTCTGCGAACGTCGACTCGGCGTATCCTTTCAAGGTGGAGAGCATCAAGACGATCGAGGAGAACATTTCCAAGATTGAGAAGGCATATGCAGAAATCGTCACGCAAGGCGACGAGAACCTCGCCAAGCGAGACCTCAGATCTCACCTTCGCGAGCATGTTGTCTGGGAGCGCAACACTGTGTGGAGAGACATGATTGGTATGGAGCGTCGCGCAGAAGCTGCCAGCTTGGGCAGAACGCTTCTGGGTAGGGACGGCATGTCAGGCTCCCGGCGCCTCCAGGGTGACGATGAGCTCGCTCCGATCACCAAGGAGGTGGTGACGCCCATGGGTCGCTTCGTCGTCCCGACCTGGGTGGCCAGCACACCTCTTCTCACTCTTCTCATCGCGATCACCGTTTTCATGCTGCTCCTCTTCATCCCCATCATGGAGAAACCTGAGCAGCAGAACTGCTTGGCACTGATTGTTTTCGTCAGCATTCTCTGGGCCACAGAGGTGAGTTCAATAACCATGCGCCAAAAGCCTGGCAGCCACTAACATGCATCCAGGCCATTCCGTTATTCGTGACGTCGCTCATGATACCCTTCCTCTGTGTCGTTTTGAACGTTGTTCGCGCCGAGGACAAGCCGCACAGGAGACTCGATTCAAAGGCGGCGACATCATATATCTTCTCCGCGATGTGGACGCCTGTCATCATGCTTCTTCTCGGTGGCTTCACCCTCGCTGCTGCGTTATCCAAGTGCAAGATTGATAAGCGCCTTGCGACCTTTGTTCTCAGCAAGGCTGGAACAACTCCTCGGACGGTGCTCATTGCCAACATGCTAGTTGCTGCTTTCGCGAGTATGCTGATCAGCAACGTCGCTGCCCCTGTTCTTTGCTTCTCCATTATCGAGGTTGGTCCTTTCGTGCCTCCAAGTAACACATCTCACTAACACTTTCAACAGCCAATGCTGCGCACGTTGCCCTCCGAGTCAAACATGTCCAAGGCTGTCATCATGGGCATCGCGCTGGCCTCCAACATCGGCGGCATGCTGTCACCCATTGCCTCGCCTCAGAATGTTGTTGCCATTGGAATCATGAAGCCCGCACCCACGTGGATCCAGTGGTTCTTCATTGTCATCCCCGTCGGCATCGTCTCCTTGCTTCTCATCTGGGTTCTGTTGTTGATCACCTTCCAACCGAGCAAGGGGACCACCATCGCTCCTATTCGCCCGGTCAAGGAGAAGTTCTCTGGCATTCAGTGGTTCGTCTCTCTGGTGACGATCGCCACGATTGTTTTGTGGTGCGCCAGTCACCAACTGGAGGGCACCTTTGGCGACATGGGTGTCATTGCCATCATCCCCATCGTTCTCTTCTTTGGCATCGGCATTTTGACCAAGGAGGACTTCAACAACTTCCCGTGGACCATCATCATCCTGGCTGCCGGAGGCTTGGCTTTGGGCAAGGCCGTCAAGTCGTCTGGTCTGCTGCACACCATCGCGGGTGTGGTGACGAAGGAAGTCGAGGGCATGAGCCTCTACGTCGTCCTCGTTGTCTTCTCGTCCCTCATTCTCATCATTGCCACCTTCATCAGTCACACAGTGGCGGCTCTCATCATCCTGCCGCTGGTGTATGACGTTGGTATGAACATGGACGAGCCTCACCCGAACCTGCTGGTCATGGGCGGTGTCTTGATGTGCAGTGCTGCCATGGGTCTGCCGACGAGTGGATTCCCGAATATGAGTAAGTCACTAATCTGCTCCTCTATTGATCTTATGCTAACCATCCGAAGCTGCTATCATGAAGGAAGACCCAACTGGCCAGAGATATCTGCAAGTAAAACACTTCATCAGCAGAGGTGTTCCCAGCAGTATCCTGACGTTGATCGTTGTTGTTTCTCTGGGTTACGGGCTCATGAGAGTGGCCGGTCTCGACTAAACAGCTTTCGTACACATCTTCCACATAAACATCCCCGTTCATACACACCGCCTAACTTCGCAAGATGTATCGTTTCATTTGGATACATTTGGAGAAGGAGATAGCGGAGTCAAGAGTTCTCGGTATTCGTTTCCGTATGGCACGCACATAGACAGACTTGGTTGCATAGATGGCATGGGTATTTTTCTGCCAGCAGGGTTGAAGGGGAAGCTAGAATGGCGTGCTGATATTTCCCAACTCAAGCGGTTGAGGCGTTTTATTCGTTTATTAGGTGTGACAACAAGGTCAAATGCAGTTCATTCAAAGATGCAGTCAAAAGTAGAGTAACGTGCCTAATGCATGTGAAGCAAATCCCCGGAGGTACACTCAACCAATCAGAAGCTGTTCCCAGCACGAGTTGAAGGAGGTGGAGTCCAAGTGCTTCAAGTGGAAGGGTAACACTGGCGCTAGTCCCAAACGGGCGTGGAAAGAGGTCATCGGCTCCCTTGTGGGGACTTCGTCCTGACGTACGGCCGGGCTACGGCGTACCTTACCTTCAGCACCCAGCCATACCTACCTTACCCAAACCGAAGCTCTCAACAGATCTCTTCCGCGCGCGATCATGATAACCTCGCTGCTGTGACATACCGGCGCGAACTCGACGAAAACCACATCCTGATGAGGGCATACTGAATATTCCACAAACTCGCCTTGCGGCCCGGCAGTCGCCATGCTCTCAGCATTTACAGCTCGGCCTATCATAGAGCTAAAGCAGCGGGATAAGTCCAAGATTGAGACAATCCTCGCGCATGGTGCGTCGTCTCCCGACACCGGCCCGCATCCTACGTGGTGATCTTTGGCTTCTAACACGACATTCATAGGCGATCGCGTATTCGTCGGCCTCAACAGCGGTGTGCTCCGCATTTACCGCCTGAACGAGCTGCCCCCTCCGTCACCGATCAAGGCCAATGGCTCCCAGCCCACCGCGACGAGCACAACCCCGACGACCAACGACGTCCAACCGCCCCAACAGCCCGAAAAGCCGACGGCCCTGCTGCGCGAGGTAGAAAAATTCTCGACTCGAGCGGTCGAACAGCTCGCCATCATCAAAGAAGCGAACACCCTCGTATCACTGTCCAACTACTACGTCTCGCTGCACGATCTGCAGACCTATGAGCCGATCGAAACGCTCCAACGAACGAAGAATGCCACATGTTTCGCCGTAACGTCGAACATCGTTAAGGATGCTGCTACGGGGATACCGGAGATCATCAGCCGCATGGCCGTTGCCGTCCGCCGGCGACTGTTACTATGGAGCTGGCACGAGAGCGAGCTTAGTCCCGACGTCGGAGAGGTGACGCTGCCGGAATCGATACGGACTGTGACGTGGGCCAGCGCGACGAAGATTGTGTGCGGAATGAACGCCGGATACGTCATGGTCGATGTCGAAAGCCAAGAGGTCGAGGATATTATCAGTCCGGGCTCCGCCACGTCGGGCGGGCAGGCAAGTCGCTTCGGAGCGGTCGGCAGCGCGGGAATGGGCTACATGGGTCTCGGAGGATACATGCCCAAACCTCTCGCTGCGAAGCTGGCCGAAGGCGAACTGCTTTTGGCCAAGGATATCAACAGCATGTTCATCACCGACGAAGGCAAACCCATCCGGAAGCGACAGATCCCATGGCAAGCGGCGCCTGAGCAGATTGGCTACTCGTACCCGTACATCTTAGCGCTCCAGGCGCCAGCAAAGGGCTCTCTGGAGGTGAGAAACCCGGACACACTGTCACTACTGCAGACCATCTCCCTCCCCGGTGCGGCGCAGCTCCACTTGCCGCCGCCCAACCTCAGTCTTGCACACGCTGGCAAGGGTTTCCATATTTCGAGCGATCGCTGTGTGTGGAGGATGGGCGCCACCGATTACGACTCCCAAATCGACGAGCTGGTAGAGAAGGGCAAATACGATGAGGCAGTCAGCATCTTGAACATGCTGGAGGACGCCTTGCTACGGAACAAGAAGGAGACTCTGCGAGAAGTAAAGATGCTGAAGGCAGAGATGCTCTTCAAGCAGAAGAAGTACTACGACTCCATGGACTTGTTCAACGAAGATGACGTCCATGCCCCTCCTGAGCGCGTGCTGAAGCTCTTCCCACCCTCAATCGCGGGTGAGATGTCCGGATGGGCGCAAGGTGCGACAGAGGAATCGGGTAGCGACGACAAGGATGGCGAAGAAGAGGTTCACGAAAAGACAAACGGCGATAAGTCGGCCAAGGACGAGCCGAGCGAGAACCCGGCATCTCCCGCGAGAGGCGGCGTTGGCTTTGCCAAGCTGTTCATGGGACACCGGAAACCGGCGCAGTCAGACACGGCGTCCATAATTTCTAAGACCAATACGGTGGATGTCGAAGAAACTGCGAGCATAAAAGCCAAGCCAACAGAGAATCAGCCCTTGGAAGGAGACGATCTCCTGGCTGCTGTTCGAACACTAGCTGGCTACCTGGTCGGGACGAGAACACGCTTACAGCGGGTCATCGACCCAAGCACCGGCAAGCTGAAGCGCACAAACAGCAATGGGTCTCAAACTGAAGATGCGATGAAGGGCTTCATGTCCACTGCTCACAGCGAGGAGACAGGCAGTCAGTTGGAGGGAGAGCTCCTCAGGACGTCCAGGATGGTCGATACCGCTCTATTCCGGACCTACATGACAACGAGTCCGTCTCTGGCTGGCTCGCTCTTCCGTCTGCCCAACTTCTGCGATCCGGACGTCGTGAACGAGGCACTGCTTGCGCATAACCGGTACAATGAGTTGGTAGACTTTTTCAGCGGCAAGAAGCTTCACTCACAGGCGCTGGAGTTGCTGAAACGCTTTGGAACCGCCGAAAAGCCCGACGAGACCGCCCCTGCTCTACATGGACCTCAGCGGACGGTGATGTACCTTCAGAACCTGCCGCCGTCAGAGATCGACCTGATCTTGCAGTATTCCGAGTGGACGCTCAAGGCAGACCCGAAGATGGCCATGGAGATCTTCATTGCCGACTCGGAGAACGCGGAGACGTTGCCTCGTGGTCGGGTCGCTCGGTTCTTGGGAGGTATAGACCCCGCACTCGAGGTTCAGTACCTTGAACACATTATCAACGAGCTTGACGATACGACTCCCGACTTCCACAACCGGTTGGTCGAGCTGTTCATCAGACAGTTGAAGGAGAAGAAGAGGGACGATGAGTGGGATGCAGATATGGGGCGCTTCGTGGCGTTCCTCAGAACAAGCTCGCAGTATAGTCTTAGCAAGGCATTTGGTCTCATCCCACGAGACGGTGAGTTCGTCGCATGCTTCTAGCTTTCAACAACTGACCTGAAGCAGATCCCTCGTTTTACGAGGCCCAGGCTGTTGTGCTCAGCAACATGGGCTCGCACAAGCAGGCTCTCGAGATTTACGTGTTCAAAATGAAGAATTATTCCAAGGCAGAGGAGTAAGTTTATTCGAATTTTCCAGCGATGGCACCGGCTAACCACTATAGATACTGCAACATGGTTCACAAGTCGAGAGATTCCGCAGCCTCATCACCGGATCGATCCCGATCCCGTGAACGATTTCAGCAGAGGCCGTCTTCGGCAACCGATACAGAAGACTCGACCCCGTCGATCTACCACACGTTGCTCTCGCTGTACTTGACGCCGCCGTCACCCCACAAACCTGCCTACGGACCAGCCCTCGAGCTACTCTCAAGACACGGATCCCGTCTACCAGCAGCTTCAACACTATCCCTGATTCCAGATGACCTCCCCGTCCGAGATCTCGAGTCTTACTTCCGAGGCAGAATTCGGTCTGCCAATAGTGTCGTAAACGAGTCGCGCATTGTCGCTCGGCTGCGAGACACGGAGCTCGTATCAACACAAGCCTTGTTGCTCCTCGGTGACGGAATTCCAGGCGGGCAAGGCGGGCGCAACAGAAGGGTAGTGATCACAGAAGAACGTCTTTGCGGAGTATGCCACAAGAGGCTCGGAGGCAGCACTGTGGTTTCTGTGCTGCCGGATAACAGCGTTGTCCACTATGGCTGTCTGAACAAGACCGGGTTGCAAAGGCCACAAAGCTCGCGGGCAGGCGATTGGGCTCGAAGGTTTTCGTGATGAGGCAATCGTTGGAAGAGAGGTCTCGGCGCCGGAGTCTCCTTGGTGTTGGGTTTCCCTCGGTACATATTGGTATTTGCATAGCCTGGGCGAGGGGAGGACGAGAAGCGGCAAGCATGATACAGCAATACCCCGTATATAAGGAGGCAAAGAATGTACGATGGCGCTCTGAAACGAGGCGTTGCGTTCCGTTTTGGTAGCTTCTTTTAATTTTTATTTCTTCTCCAATCTCAGTCGTCGTTGGGAGGTGCCTCCTCGCCGTAATTCTCTTCCTCGAGGGCATCGTCGACGGCGGACGCGCCGTTCTTGCCGCCCGCCTCACGGGCCTTGTCCTCTTCCATGCGCGCCGTGAGCTCCCTGTTGATGGTCTCCTGGGCGGTGCCGATGGCCTTGCGCAGGGAGTTGAGGTAGGCCGTCCTGTCGTCGACGCCGGAGGTCGGCGGCGCGGGGATGGGCTCGGTGTGGGTGAAGGGCTCGTTGGCGGGGGAGGTGTAGGTCGCGGAGAAGGTCAGGGCCGGTGCGGCGGTGCCGTTTGATTCGGTCATTGTTGCGGTCGGTGTGGTGTGGAAGAGGAGGAAGTTGGACGAGATGGGTTTGGCGTGAGGGCGATCGTGATGTGTGGTTTTTTTGTTTTTTTGGGGGGGAAAATGCAGGAAAAAGCAATTTGTTGCACCGATTATGACGAAAATTCGAGTGCAGTGCGGCTCTCCCCTCATTCCAATGTTCCGCTGAAGATGGGACCTCCGGCGACACTGCGGGGTCATGCTTCCAGAGTAGCCCAGCCGATCCAGGCTCCAGGGTGACAACCCGCGGCGCGCCGGTGGAATACCTTACTGAAAGGGCACCAGGGGGGGCTGGCTGGCGTCTGGCGGGGGATGCGCTTCCTTGGTTCAGGTTCGCTGCCATCCGACCCAGTGACGAATTGGAAGGGCTTTTTGGAGTCGGTCGCCTACCGCAAAGGCAAGACTTCCGCCGTCTTCCTTGGTCATTGGATCCTGCAAGTTGCTCCGGAACCAGGCGAGGGTTGACCCTTAACTCATCCCAGGTCCTGGTCCAAGACATGCGTAAAATACCTTAGTATAATAGCCAACTGATAACCAAAGCAGGTAGTGCAAGGTGTTGTGCAGATAGATGCCGGGTTCTATTGTCGATTTCTTGTCTACCTCACACCCGCCCTTGAGGCAATCAATCAAGCAATCAATAAATCCACTCCTGGCATCTCTCATAACAGCCACCCTTCCTTCTCTTCTCCCTTCACCTCGTATTTTCTGTCCCTCTCTTACATCACCGTTTTCGTCCGCGCCGATCACATCACCCTTTTCCGACTCCCACTTCAACCAACAACACCTCCCTCCACTGCAAAAAGACAAACAACCATCTATCAACAACACCCCTGCCAACATCACCAAACAGACCTTCGCGGCCCGCCCGATCTCGAATCGTCCCAACTTTCCCAAGATGTAACAGAACCCTAACACATCCACGACAATGCAACCAGCACGACCCCCGCCCCGCGCGCCCGGCAGCTTCAGCCCTCTGCCGGGCTCGACAGCTTCCTCGAGCGCACCTCCGCCTCAACGTCCACGACCTCCAGCCCGCGCCGACTCGTCTTCGAGCGAAGAGAGCCTCTCCATCCACTTCGTCAAGCCGCGCGCCCACGCACCGAGCGCGCCCACCGTCCCCTCTACCGCGACCCCGATATACGCCAAGTTCACTTCGCAGGCCAACTCGAGCACCGCGAGCCTGCAGAACTTCTCGCGCCCGACCGCCCAGCGAGCCGGCACCACACCGGGTCCGATAACTTCGGGAGGAGGCCCGGGAGAAGGCAGGAATCACGACCTGAGCGTCAATGTGAACATCGCCTCCGCCGCCGCCCGCACCGCGAGCCCCCTGACGAAAGGCCACTCGAGGAAACACAGTCAGACCCCCGGCCTCTTCGACTCGTCTCTCCCCTCGACGAGCACCTCGAACCTCTCCCATGTGGGCATGTCACAGCCCTCCTCGGCCGCATCCTCATCTACACACCAGCACCAACATCACCACCAGCAGTCGAGCCCGGCACTCTCAGCCAGCCAGATCGCCGCGCAGGCCGCCGTCCTGCAACACCAGAGCAACCAGCAGCACCAGCAGCACCAGCAGCAGCTACAACACGCCAGACAGCGGTCCCAGACTGTCCCGAACCCCAACGGCAGCGACGGCGCCGACAACGTGAGGAGGGGGAGCGCAGCGAGGGGCCCACTCAGCCCGCCTATGCTAAGCCTGACCGAGGCGAGCGCTCCACGAGAGAGTGGTTTTGGAAACCAAGGATACCACAACGGCCTGTTGGGCAATTCGGCGGCGACGACAGCAGCGAACGCAGCCTTCCCGCGATCAGGTCAGACTTCGCCGAGTCTGCCCCAGCAGCAGTCGCAACAGCAGCAACAACAGCAGATTCACCATCAGCAACCGCAGCACAGCCCTGTCCACTCTGTCCACCCCATTCACCCCCCGCCGCAGCTCATTCCCGACCCGAAACCGACGAAGCCAGAAAAGTCCAAGGTGAAGCTCTTCTCCCGCCCGGTCAAGATCGGCACGAAAGGCGATCCCAAGGATAAACCGCTCCCGAGCCCCAGCAAGATCGGCAGCGCGCTCGCCTCGTTGCAGCGCGGGAATTTCAGCACCAGCAGCCTGGTGGACACCAGCGGCCAGTCCCTATACAGTCTCAACAACTCGTCGTCTGCCACCGTCCGCGCCGTGCCCGAAACGCCCACCATGGAGAAGCCGGAAGGACGAGAAAAGGAGAAGAAGCATCATTTTTTATCGCGGCAGAAGCACAAGCTCAAAGACGACTACCACCTCCCGTTGTCTTCCGCATCGAGCAATTCGAAACCCACAGACCCCAGTGCCCCGTCGAGTTTATACAGTTTCAACTTGCCCCCTAGTCCGGCCCCGACTGCAACGTCGTTTGGCAAGGGACGTCGGGACAAAAAGACTGAAAAGGAGACCAGCGGCCTCGGCGTCGAGTCGAACTCTCTTCCGTCGGAATGGCCTGGCCCAAGCAGTCTGCCGAGTTTGACGCATCAGTCATCGTATCTTTCCGAACCAATTGATGCGGGCAAGTACGGCCTCAACAGTATGGCGCTGGACGATGCATGGCCGTATTTGAAGGCGAAGATGCTCGTCATCTTCGAGGGCGAGGAGCTGCGGCAGCCCGTCGAAGACTTTAACAAGTTGGTCACACTACACATACAATACTGCATTCAGCGCAGATCACCAAATATCATCCTGGAGGACTTGCGCGAGCTGCTCTCGACCGGGTTCGCGTCGCTGGACCACACCCTCAGGCGCACTCAAGAAGATAAGGTCATTCCGGCACTTGTCGAGATGTGGCTCATCACCTACACCTCTATTCTACCATACATGCAGGCCGTTTTTCTGCCCCTGGATCTCGAATTCTCCGGCTGCGGTCTCCTGATGAACCCTGATCAGGCTCGCGACTTCTGGGGTGGTGTAAAGGCGACTCCGATGTCGACGGACGGATCGCACCTGAGGCCCGCCTCGGCCGTTTTCGACGTCCGCCGGATCGTGCTAACCGCCTATCGCGATATCGTCATTTTACCTCGCTACGAATCCCTCAAGACTATCTTCTCCCGCCTATCCTTGGAATTCCTCCCCTCCTCCTTCGCCTCCATGGCTCTCGCCTCCCCGCTACCGGATCCGGCGCTCTCCTCCAGCCCCGCCGACACCATGAGCATGATGCGCCCCGGGACGGCCATGAGCCTCGACCCCTCCGTCGCGAGCTACAACTCCAACGCGACGACCCTGCTAGGCGACGCCAGCGCGGGAGGCGGCGGCGGCGGAGGGCGCAGCCGCGGTCTTAGCAATGTGAGCTATGCCAGCGGCGGGAGCGACGGGCAGATTCGGCCCTTCACGCGCGAGCAGAACGTCGAGGACTCCAAGCAGGTGACCGAGATGGTGGGCCGCATGCTGCAATGCATGAGCATCCTCGCCAGCATCGGCGACGTCGCGGGAGACGGCAGCCACGAGGGGAACAAGAGGATGGAGGAGCTCTGCCGCTTGCTCAAGCTCAACTGGCTCGGGAGAGGACGGACTGGTAGGAACAGGAGGGGTATCGTGGGCGGCAGACGGAGGGACATTCCCGAGTCTGTGAGGGAAGGTCTCCGCGTGCTGTGAGGCGCGCGTTGGAGGCCGAGATGATTATTATGAGTGGTCGTCGTTCTTTTGCAAGTTGGGGGGAGGGCGTTTGTTTGCGATCATGGCCCGTCGTGTGTGATTTATACGGGCCGAGAAAAACACGGTGAATGGCTACGGCCCCCGTGGCGGGATATACCTTGCGAATTATTTTGCTGTTATGGGATTTATCGTCTTTAGGGGATTGGTGTTTCGGGACGCATGGCAGTTAAGGGAGGGGGGATGGGGTTGGCATAGATGAAATTCGAATGATTGGAATCACTTGTGTGTTGTGACTTTTTGGTTGTGTGATATGTGAGTAGTCGGCGCTCTCTTGGTGAATGGTGAGATTTGAGAATGGACGGGAGATGTTGTTTGGGTATGTGACGAGCGTCTGTGGTCAAGTCCGGCTGATGAGGATGTTCGGCGCGAGGTTGCTGCGCGCAGCAGCGACGGCGGGGATGGGAAATACGAGATATGGACGCCGTATGTCTTCTACTAAGGTGAGCGCTGATGAGTTGACCTGCTGGCTACAATGTGTCTTGAAGGTGGCAGTTCGAGACGAGAAGCAACCTCGAAGACGTAGGTGTGTGGCAGGCAACGATGCTTGAGCTTTTACAGTTTTTCTGCATGTCAACTGTAAATATCCATGTGATGACAGGTTACGAGGATGCTCATGCGATCTTGATCACCAGTGAGATGTTGCGCTGAGGCATGTGAGCCGTACGCAGCTCCAGATATTCCCAGCACGCCACACGACACCAGCAATGGGGATCAAGAGTCTACAGTTTCTCGGGCGGACTTGCTTCACGGGTGATAGCAACCATGCTGAGATGTACCGATCATACACACTCGACAATATCGAACGAGAAGTTCTCTCATGTTTCATTCTTCTTTATTTAGATCTTGATCTTTTTTATGTAGTCTTTGCAAATACAAAAAAGCTCATTTTTCCAGAATCCTCTGACATCCAAGGAAGATTTGCTCCCTCATGCGACGAAGGGCGGACAGAATTAGGCTCATCTGCCGCTGATCCCCGTCTCGAGTGGAAACTGCGAATAGTGTGGAAATTTCTTCATAGGAAGCGGAAAAAATGAGGTCAGGCATGAGCCTTGATGTGAGGAACTACCTCGACGCGCAAAAAGCAAACGGACAGGAAATGAAAAAATCGGAAGCGCTGAAACAAGAACGACGCCGTTGACAAAATCAATCAAGCTGGACTATGCCACCCGATAGTAGAGAATCCTGTTCTTGAAGATGTCAGCAAAACGTGTTTCCCAAGACTTTGCTGAAAAATGTGCGAAATGAGAGAATGTCAGACAGTGTATACTGGCAAGTAACAGGTTCGCCTGCGACGGGAACCCGAACAGACTAGACTTCTTCATGGTCGATTCAGTTGGGAAAAGAAGACAATTTAATAGATATCATCATTCGGTGGTGATGTCGTGGGCGAACGTAGAGAAATGATGGTGTGCTTACCTGTTGGCTGTCCGCCGCAGACGAGGATCCCCCCGACGCTCTCGTTAATCCCTTTAGCTCTGCCTTGAGCTTCTGCGTTGCGTCCAATCTGACGAACGGAGGGAGATGAGGCGTCGGGGTCCTGTCTGCGGTTGGGAGTGAGAAAAGTTTGGCGTTGAAGGATGGTTTGGAGAGAAGGTCTCGGTCGCGAGGAAAGAGATTTTATAGATGCGGCTCATGATGGGAATTGTGGGGCGAAAGGTCCCTTTGGGATTTTTTTTTTCTTCGTTCCTTTTTTTTTTACTGGGGCCTTCCGGATGAACCCACTGGCGCACGTGAGCCTGGATCCAGTTGGATGGTCGGCGCCGAGCTGAGGCACGTGATCCGGAAAATCCATCCGTCTTTGTCGACACGTGACCTTCTTTCGGAGAGAATCGCCGGAATGCCGGGCGCACCCCGCTGGAAAACGAGCTGGGGGCTACCCTCATTGGATCCCCGCTCAAGGTTCATGTCACCAGACGAAAGACGATGGGGAGAGAGTGAGAGAGAGTGGGAGAGAAAAGGGAACACGTGGTGTGCCATTGAGGGACGCAGATTGTAGGATTGAGAACGGACGGGACAACGCGATTCGAAGCGCTGGGATTTGCGGCCTCCGACGAAGAGGCATTTTCTCGTCAAGACGTGGAGGGACCTCCTGTCTCCTGCCTCCTGCGACGTGCTGTGCTGCCGCTGCTTCAACTTCAACCCCCTGGCGGCGTTGGAATTGGAAGCGCGGGTGCTGGGTGCTGAAGAAGCTTGTCTTGTTGCATAACCGCTGATCACGGCGAGGCCCAGGCCGTTGCTCTTAGTTGCATATCCCGCGTTTCGATGGAGCTTCCCGCCACCTCATTCCGGCATATCCATGCGTGTCGTATCTCGTTATGTGCTTAGCGTATCTCTGTATCGCGGCTGAGCCCCACTCACCGCGAAAGCAAAGGGCGGGTTCCAGGCTGGCATTGGCAGTTCTGGCAATTCGGGGCGCCCGCCCACCTTTTCGCGCGCTTCCATTCTCTGTCCCTGCTCTGTTCCTGTTTCCCCAGCTCAGTCAGTGTGCTCTCCCCCGACCTCATCTGCTCGCTGGCTGCTCGTTGTTGGTTGTCGAGAGTTTGGATCTGGTTAACTCAACTTGATCAACGGCTGCAACTCGTCTGCCCATACGCATCATAGGCCGGCCTCTGTTAGTGTTTTACCTTATATATAATTTCTGCTGTCGGTGTTCGGGAGACTATAACAACTTCGTCCCGTGTTCTGGTTCGGAAAACGAGCACACCCTCCAAAGGAATCCAAAGGAACCCCCAAAGGAGGACCACGACCTGGAGGAATAAGGACTTTTTCTCGGTCTCTGCTGTCAGTGTCCGCTGGCAAAGAACAAGCTTCCTTCCCTTCTTCAGCCACCTAGGATAGCCAGCCATTTTTACCTCAGCGGTACCCGAAAACCCGCTCAACCCCAAATTCGCAAATCTTCAGGTCCATCTCGCTGGTTAGGCGGCGGCGCGGAAAGGCTTGTCAGCGCTCGACGTGTGCAAATTAGAAAAAAAAACCCGGGCTTATTACAACAATCTTGCTGCAACTGCGACAATCTTCGTCGACGCATATCGACTTGAAGCTTTTCGTCTGTTCGTTGTCGTCCAACATCTCACGACTCTCTCCCCAACTCTGTTCGCTCGCTTCGCCTCGCTATCGCCCAACTCTTCGACTCCTGTCGTATCTATCCTTTTTTTTCTTCTTTTTGTCGACAACCAACAAACCCAAATTTTATCTACTCCGTTCGCCACGCCCTTCTTTTTTTTTTCTCTTCCCACTACGTCGCCGACCACCCGACTCATCCAGGTCACGCCTATCCTGTTATCCACCGCTGTGTCTTTCTCCATCACCCACAGACTCCCACCAGCACCAGACTCGCTTGCTGCCAGACTTCCCAGTCCCAGCTCCAGGTCCCAGTCCCATCTCCCCCCGTCATCGGGCTACCTTAGTCGCACCCACCCACTCCCCCCGAACCCTTTCCCATCCATCCAGCAGCAGCCAGCAGCCAGCAGCTCTTCCTGTTTGTCGTCGCATCCCCGACCGACTTCCCTACCCAAATTGTCTCTCCCGCCCCCGTCGTCAACCACCACCACGTCGTCGATCATCGATGCCTTCTCGGTCACCTCTCGCCTGTTGACCACGACTCGACCGCAAAAAACTGCTCGATCAGTGAAGAAAGGGGACTCCTATCGCCAACCCGATTACGTTAGCCGATCCGCCAGCCCACGCATCCCGCAGCCGCGCGATTGACAGGCTACTCTCCCGCGTCTCTCGCAAACCCCCCGAACGCCTAAACCCCCATCGCTACCTCGCGTCGCGCCATCGCAACCACGCTCCACGGCCAAACCCACCACCGCCTCCCGCAACGCTCCTCTCTCTCGCTTCTGCGCGGCCGATTGCCGATATCTCCATCGAGACCAGGACAACGTTGGACTGTCGCAAGCGCATGAGATAGTGCGGAGGCCAGAGACGTCGATATCCACGCTGTGGATTATCGACACGCTGAAGACATGATGACGAGTATGGGACCATCGTTTGCGGGTCATCCTGCCGGCATGCAACAACATCCAGGCGTACCGGGCCATCCCATGGGCCCGGGTATGCCTCACAACTCGAATCAACAAGGCCCGCCGGGCGGAGGAATGCCTCACCAGATGCACATGGCCGTATCAGGGCCTGGTGGCCAGGTCAATCCAAACCAGTTGATGGGTGGCATGCCACCCGGTGCTGGAGGTCCGAACGCTCACGCTCTGCAGCACCTCAACCCGCAAAACCCAATGTTCCAGCAGAACCAGTTCGGCCAGAATTGTACGTCGAATTCCTTCGCTGCGTTTCCCCCGCGCGCTCTTGTACGTGTGTGTTCCTGCTAACCTCGACACGCAGTCGGCAACCCGGCCGCGTTGGCACATGCGCAGATGGCGCAGCAGAGATTATACCAGCAGCAGCAGCAGGCAAGGCAGGCCCTCATGGCCCAACAGGCATTCAACGCGAACATGGGCGTCAATGGCATGCAGATGGGCATGCCCATGAACCCCATGAACGCAGCCCAGCTCGCGGCTATGAGGCAGGGCATGCGGCCGGTAAGCACCACGCGCACGTTTTCACAGTCGAGATGCTGACAACGGCTTGCAGCAGGCGCATAACCCTCAGGCCCAGGCCATGTTGGCACAGCAGATCGCTCTTCAGCAGCAGGCTGTCGCGCAACAGAACCAGCAGATGCAGCAGGGTCAACAGCCCGGTCAGCCCGTCCAGATGAACCCTCAACACATGCAGAACCTCCAGCAGGCCCAGATGGCTGCCTCGTTGCAGGCACAGCAGCAGCAGCAGCAGCAGCAACAACAACAGCAGCAACAACAGCAGCAGCAGCAGCAACAGCAGCAACAACAGCAACAGCAGCAGCAACAACAACAGCAGCAGCAACAGCAACAACAGCAGCAGCAGCAGCAGCAAGGCCAGCAACCCCAAGGACAACCTCAACAGCCGCAACCTCAACCCCAGCAGACCCCCCATCAGACGCCGCAGCAGCAGCCAGCTCAACCCGTCAACCCGCAATCTGCTGGCCAGCCCACACCGTCGCAAACACCCGGCCCTCAGCCGAACCAGCAGCCGCAGCCTCCCCAGGCTCAAGCTCAGCCGCAAGGGCCCCCTCAAATGCCTCCGCAGGCTGGACAACCGCAGGTGAACCCTCAACAGGCTGCTGCTGCCCAGGCGGCCATGGCCAACAGCATGGCTCTGGCTCAGCAGCAGGCCGCGGCGAGGAGAGAGGGAATGAAGGGCCACTGCTTGCTCAAGCTGATGCAGTTCAGCGAGCATCTGAGCGGATACCCCGTATGTAACGATGACAACTCGTCCCCAATTCGTGCTGACTGACATACTAGGGACTCAAGGGCAAGGACGACTTGTCTTACTGGACCAATTTCGTCAACCAATTCTTCTCGACCAAGGGCGTTTTCCGACACTCGGTCCACATCACCGACGTCGAAGACCAAGCCGACAAGCAATACGAGATCACATACCCGGCACTACCGAGATACTTCCACACGCACTTCGACAGCGGTGTGAAGAACATGCAGTTGATCATGGAGAAGGGCACAACGGACCGGCCACTCCCAGGCGAAGGCCACTGGATCGAGAACACAAAGTCAAGTCTGGTCTACTGGTTCGACAGCGGCTCTCACGTATGTTACATGGTCTTGCGTTGAATTGCCGTCACTAACCATCCCAGCTCGTCGCAAACGGTACCGTCAGAGCCCACTTCGATGCGGAGCAGAAGATTGAGCTTTTCGAATTCGTAACGACCAGCCACGAAGAATACATCTCGCGGAAGGCCGCCATCGAGGCGGCAAAGCCAGTACATAACTGGGTCAAGGAGTGGCACAAGGTCAACTCCCAGGACAGCAAAACGTCCCCGGAGATGAGCAAGAAGGGCAAGGCCCGTATGATGAAGTCCCCGCAAAATCCCCCGCCAGAGGCGCTGGTGGATCTGCCGGAGTCGGCTGTCAAGAGGGGCATGGGCGTGACGGAAGCCGTCTTCCAATTCCTCGAGGTAGGTGATGCTCTCATGCATGCATGTGGATCACCCACGCTAAAGTGACATGCAGATTGCTGAAGTATTCGGCCAAATGAACCCTCTATTCAACTTCTGCCACAACCACACGAATCTCGGCCCGTACGCCGCCCTCGAGCAATATGTCGGTCAGATCAATGCCGCGCCGCAGAACATGAATGGTCAGGCCATGCCAGGCCAAGGTCCGCGGACGCCCAGCTTTGGCCAGTTCCCTATGGGCGCGAGCCCAGCCCAGCCGCACATGCAGCTTCCTGGCTCCCCTCACGTCACCGGCAGCCCTGCCCCGGGCCACATGCAAGCACCCGGCATGCAAATGCAGCAGAGCCAGCAGGGAACAAGCTCCAGCGGGCCCAGTGCGAACACCTCTCCAGCCTCCAACAAGCGTAGACGTCCGTCCGGCGTCAAGATGGAGGAGGACGGCTCTCAGGCTCCTACTCCGGGCGGTCCTCAGGTAAACGGTGTCCAGAACAAGGGCAAGCCTCCCACGCCGCGGATGCAAAAGAGGCTGAAGGGTAACCCAGCGTAACCTCGACGGTCGCCTGTCGATATCAAGGTTTCGCTCTAATACGAGCCCGGTCACCCTGGCTCAGTAATGCCTTTTTTATGTCATCATTATGCAGCATGGCGGCGTCTAGTGCTTGTTTGTGGCTCTGAGTATCTCAGGGCTGTTCATACCGCGGGTGTTTGGCAAGCATATCGGTTGCGTGGTGCTGGATGGCAATGATGCCCGACAAATGCTCGCGTGTTCTCGTTCGGTGACCGCGGCGCCCAGGGGAAGTAGGCAAGTTCCTGCTCGGACACAGGGCGAGACGCAACCAGCTGTCTGCAGCGCGGCTGGAGTCCATCACATCGGATGCGACGCATGTCGTTGTCGAAGTCGGGCAAGGACAGCGAGCTGTGGTCCGTCCCGAAGAAGACGCGCAGAGGTTAATACGGCGTTGAGTTAATACGGCGTTGACAACAACGTCGTCCTCGTGTGTCACTACCAGAAAAGAAAACCCTTTCCCCTGTACGATATCAACGCTCGAATTACTGTCCAAAAACGGGCGCACTGTTTCATGTTTTTCTCCGTCTCTCAACACGAAGCTGTTGTTACTTCCCAGACCATCATCATAGTTGTTGTTTCGTCTCTTGTCGGCGAGGAAATAGTCGGGAAAGATGGGGGATCTTTTTTTTGTTTTCCAAAAAAGAAAGTGTGTGTGGAATTTCCTGGTGGGAAGTTTACTTATCAAAGGCGGCGGCGGAGGGGTATTATTGGTGTTTTGTTGGCGCAGTGAGTCGTTGGAACTTGTTCTTTACGTTGTTTTTTCCCCGTTGTCTCTTGCTGTTTCGTGTGTGTGTTTTTTTCTCGATTCAAAGTCATCTCCAAATACCTAGTCTCTTGTCGGAAAGGAATATGCATACCCAGATTTTTGACAGGAATGGCATGGTGTTCGTCGTGCTTGTGTGAAATATTTTGAGTGAGGCACTGAGTACTTGATCTACTATCTACTCATCGTTGGTCTTGATGACCGTCACGGTTTCTAAATGACTCCCATCGGAGAGGGTTGATTTTAAGCTGATTTAAAAACCACCGAATGCTACGTGGTAAGGGACCTGCCCCCCTGAACTCCTCGGGTTCCAGACAGCGAAAGTGAGAGTAGCCAGACAACCCACCGGCCGAGTCCTTTTCGTATCGAGGATCTACCATCCACCATCTGCCCGCCAGACGAAAACCCCCAACTTCCGTTCTCTCAAGCCACCCGAGTCCGTGACATCATCACTCCGCAGTCGCAGCCTCGGCATCGGACGCAGCCGGCGGAGGGGGGCTAGAAGCCGGAGGTGGCGTCGCAGGAACAGGCGAAGACAGCGGCGCGGGCTCCGGCAACGCGACGACGGCGGGGAGCACGTCGCGCCCGTCGACGTCGACGAGGAGGACGAGCTTCAGGCCGTTGGGGCCGAGGGCCCAGTCCAGCAGGCCGGCGAGGGCGTCCTCTGCGACGGCGTCGAGGCGGGTTTCGCGGACGACGTCGGAGACCACGGGGCGGTTTGCGCCGATGGCGGAGGAGGAGGGGAGGGCGAGGGCGAGGTTGAGGTTGAGGAAGGTGAGAGTGCCGCCGGGGTTGATGAGTGTTGTTGTTTGTTGTGGGTGTTGTTGGTAGGCGGGGCCGTAGGTGTGCAGGTGGTTTATGCCGTTTGCGTAGGTGAGTGCGAGGGGCCAGGCCGGTTGCTGCGGGATTGAGTAAGAGATGATTTGAGGGGGGTTGTAGTCGTAGACCGGGATGCTGATGGATGATGTCGTGACCGTCGAGGTTCCCGGGAGGGAGAGGACGCGGCCGTTGAGGGTGAAGTAGAGCGTGATCTGGGCGTCGACGACGGGGGAGGCGAGGCCGAGGCGGGCGAGGGAGGCGCGGACGAGGGTTAAGATGTCGGATTTTGTGGCTGCGGCGTGGGGGAGGCGGAGGTGGAATGAGCGTGTCCAGGCGGAGGATTGTGAGTGGAGGTGTGTTTCGAGGATGAGGGTTGCGTTTGACATTTTCTATTGTTTGTTAGTATGATTGGTATTTTCTGGGAGGATGGGGAAGGTGGTGTACCTCTTGTTTTGTTTGTGTGGGTGGGATGGGGATATCTTTGTGGTGGTTGTTGATTGATGTTGTGGATGTTTTTGGGGTTTGGAGCTTTGGAGTAGATCTGGAGACGTGAAGACGAAGTTGAAATTTGTTGATTATGACTGTTATTGTTGAAGTTTGAAAGGAAGGAATATTTGTAGATGGGAAGTCTGCTAGATAAGTTGCTGGCTTTTGGGAAGAGATCTCTTTCTGTTAAGAGGTAGCAGCTCCAGGATGAATCAGGTCGCTGGGTTTTCATTGTGGCTCGTGATTCACAGCTTTGCGGCTTGGGTGTGTCATTCACGTAGTTGAATGAAATGTGATATCGAGGCACATGATAAGACAGATGGGAACTGTGGTGATTTGGGAGATGAGCATGGAGCAGTTGGTGCTAATTCCAGATGGAATTTTAGCTCTGAACAAGACTGACAGACAGAGTTAGTTATACTGTAATATCATATCCTTGTTGCTGGAAGATAGTATCAGACGCCATCTGCCTGATTATTCAAGAGGCTGTTACAGGAAACATGCTGGATCCTTAGGAGCACCCTCGTCGACGATGTGGAGGCCGTACACCCCTCTTACGCGACAGTTGAAGTCAGTCCATTTTGTGACACGGTATTCCCCTCGCCCTCCGCACCAACAGTACACGTGCTGGTGGTATGGTGCCAAGAAGTCTGGTTCACTACCTATCCAGAGTAGGAAGGAGAACCTCAATGTTGCTGAACAGACTTAGGGGCATTTCATTTTGAGTACGAACTCCATAAATAGTGCTGGTTTCTTGTCTCACATGAATGAGCGGGAGAAAAGTAATCAATTCAACAGGTTGATAGCAATTGATCCTGGTAGGAAAAGAGTCGAATAATTTTCACTTCAATTTCAAAATGTTGTTAGTTTGATCAGTAACGCCGGGCATCTGCAGTTGGGCCGGGAAACCCGATCACTCAACGTAACATTTTATGCATGTGGAAGGACAAAATCGTAATCGGTACTCAAGCAACTACACGAGCAATTACAGTCCTCATGGTTTACCTCAGCATACGTGGTTGTGGTCGTTGCTTCCCATGATCGTGAGCCCAAGTCGAGGTCGAGCTGATGAGTCATCATTTAGTCAGCGAAATCGTCCCCTTTCTGGCACCTGCCAGATTGTTGACATAGCAACGCGTGGCATAAACACCAAAAATACTCCGTACCATCTTTATCCCACCTTCCTGCGAGATACCCACCACCGTCCATCGCTTCGTCACATGCGATTGTGAGCAGACGACTTCGCTCCACGTCCATCCACAAAACCGGCCCATCATCGACATCATCGCGGCGCAAATATAATCAGCATGTCTTCGGCATTCGAATCGTCGCTGTCGGCCAGCATCAACCGCCAGTCGCTGATGGCGACGCCATCGGTCGCGGACACGCTCCCGAACGCTAACTTCGGGTTCGAAGAGCTGCGCGACCGCATGACCAAGTTCTCATCGAGATTCGACAACTTCATCGAGTCGGGTCGCAAGCGCGTGCTGGAGGAGAGAAACCAATTCCGTATGGACATTGCCGAACTTCAAGGTACGTTTTCCCCGGTAGCAACCGACGCGAGACTTGACGGTAATGGGTTACTGACTTCACTGCAGAGAGCCAGCGCATGAAGAAGAAGGACATTGAGATCCTCCACCACAAGACGAGCACCCACCAACATACCATCCAGAAAGAGAAGGCCGAGACGCGGGAGATGCAGAGCGCCATCGCTCAGCTGTCCGAAGAACGCGACAAACACATGGCGACGCGAGACGCCCTCAAGAAGCAGATCGAGGAGACACAGAAGGAGATCGACACGCGGTTGGCCGCGCAGAGGGCGCACGCGAAGCAGCTGGAGGCGCAGTCGCGGTTTAACGTGCCGGAGCTCGAATTCTGGCAACAGAACCTCGGCCTGCGGATAGAAGGCGCGGGCCAGGACGACCGGCTCAAGTTTGTCTACTCGTACATCGACAGCGAAGACTGGGACAGGGAGGCGTGGTTCGAATTATCCACGTCGAGCAGGGACTACGATATCCGGCACTGCCGGCCGAAGCTGGAGCGGGAGCGCGTGGAAAAGGTGCTGGACCAGCTCAACGAGACGCGAGAACTGGGCGTGTTGCTGAAGGGCATGCGAGAGCTGTTTGTCGAGGCGATGAAGCAATGACAGGCGAGTCTGGAGTGGTTCTGTAAGATGACGATGCTTGACGATAACGATAATGTTCTTGAATGGATACCCAAGTTGGCCGGGGGCTGTTTTTGGCTCGACTGCTTGGCGCCTTTTGCATGTGAGACTCATTGCCAACTCCGGCTGGTCTAGATCGACAATGGTTTTCTTGATTACCCATCTTCCTTTGTTCAGGACACATGGGTGAGACAGTTTGAGACGAAGTGCTTCCATTGGAAGGTTCCCGAGTCCCTCGCCAACTCGATGTCGAGATGGGTGCATAAAACGGACTTCGGGGTTCTGCACCCAACTGACATAATTCAGATGAGGTCTGTGCATGAATTAACATAAACAGGTCGCCGCGCTTCTCGTCTTCGCGACCACGAGCCATCCACGAGGCGAGCGGTTTCTGACAGCGAATATGCATAACTCCCGGCAAGTTCCCGGTATTGAGCGCTATGGGCGTCGAAGCTGATGCCACTTGTGCGCCTTCACAGTAGAGTCAGGACCTTCGAAGCTGTTGATCCGTGGCAAGAAAAGTCTATCCTTAAACCTTTGAGGATAGACTTTTTCTTAGTTTCTTCCCCCCTCCCCGCCTCGAGTTAGCTGATCTCATAATCAACACCACCACCACGATCGGTCAAGGTCTATTTCAGATATCTTCCCAGCTGCATCCGGCGACCAGCAATCTTTCTTGAGCCGCATTGGAAGTTCTTCGCCTGCAACCCGACCTTCCAGACCTTTCTGAAGGAGTCAACAAGAACGACCTAGGGGCCCACCAAACTTGGCCTCCCCCCCCCCTTGTCTGCCACGAAAAATGCCCGAGGCTAGCACAAATCTGCACCGTTTACCGAGCTGGTCATGACTCGGGATCTTGGCCTCCCGACGCCGTCTCTCGGTTTCTGAATGATTCATTATCTCCTTCCCATTCGCCTGTTCCCGTCCTTTCCCAAGCAAGCCAACCCGATCCCCGAAAAAAATCATACCATTCTCCCGAGTCCCCTCGTAGCTCGAGGTCGAGGTCGAGGTCGAGGGTTGTTTTCCTGCCCACTGCTCCGCTGCCCTGCACCTCAGCTGCACCCGCACACACCGTCGGTCGCCCTCGAACCCTTGTTCCCACTGAGAGAGAACAAGACAGGCCGGGCCAAACCACCCAACGGGCGTCTGAGGCGATCCAGAAGGAAAATCGCCGACGGCCAGAAACAAGGGCCCTGCAAATAAACACGGAGGAAAGACATTAAGGGACCCGACTTTTTTTTTTCTTACCTTAGCATTTGCTCATACCGCACCAATCCCGTTCACAGCCTCTTTCTATTTGATCCACTAAACGGAGAAAGGCACATGCCTCACGGCCGCCGCCGCCGTCGCGCGATCACGGCCAAGACCGGCTTCTTGACCGGGCGGAGCTTGACCTGAGTACTTTGGACCTTGGGGACAGGCGAACCTCGGACCCGGTACTAATCTGCCCCGGCCCTTGCTACTCGCTGGGCCCCCGTGTTCCGACTTCTCATGGCCCCCGATGCCGTTTCCCACCCCAGTCCCGTCGGCTCCGTGGCCTCGTCCGTGACCACCACCGTCCTGAACAACAACAACAAGCGCAGCGCCCCGGACACCAACCACAGCCCGGCCGGTCCCGGCCATGCCGACTCCACCCCGACCGGGGCCGCGCCTGGCACCTCACCTGCTTCCCAGCCCGCCGATACCAAGAAGCGTCGTACCGGTCCCGGATCTAGGGGTGTCGCCAATCTGACCCCGGAGCAGCTGGCCAAGAAGCGCGCCAATGGTGAGCACACCTGTTCATCGCTTACCCACCACCCGTCTCACCGCGTCATGACTGCCGTTCCCGCTCACACCTGATCACACCGAGAGGGGCACTTACACCTCTTCTGTCCACACCGTCCTCGCATATTCTCTGCATCATACACCGTCCCTTGCACCTGATCGAACCATGTCATGGCTAACCCAGCCCCCGTGACCCAGACAGGGAAGCTCAGCGAGCCATCCGCGAGCGCACCAAGAACCAGATCGAGACGCTCGAGCGCCGTATCCAGGAACTCACCTCCCAGCAGCCCTACCAGGAACTCCAGGCCGTCCAACGCGCCAAGGAAGCCGTCGAGGCGGAGAACGCAGACCTGAAGCGCCGCCTGCAGGCCTTCATCACCTCCATCCAACCGCTGATCTCTTCCCCACCAGCCCAACGTAAGTCGTCGCAGAACACCCACTTCGCATTCTCGACACCCGGCGACGCGGAACGGTCCTTTCCCTATCCTAACCGTTCCACAGAGCCGGTATCCGTAGACCCAGTCGTCTTCCCCTCCCCCAGCGGAAGCTACTCTCACCCGGTCCACCACCCCAACGGGCCCATGTCCGCCAACAATGCCTCGACACCAAACAGCGTCGCCTCGCCCGCCTCCCTGGATCCCACGGCAAACTGGCAGACCCCGGGCGGCGCCATCCCGGACCTCTCGCCCCCGAACCACATGCACGCCGCCGGCAAGATGCTGAACCAACAACGGCAGGATCTCCGTCACGGCCTCGACCTCGGACCGGAGCGCCTGGGGCTCGACTTCCTCCTCGACTCCAACGCCCGCTTGGGCAAGATCCAGAGCGGCACCAACGGTGCCCAGGACTCGCCGTCATATCACCATGTCCCCATGAAGCACGACTGGACCGGCGTCGGTCCCGTATCCCACAGCCGGAGCCCCTCCATCAGCGGTCCGACAGTCCACACCCCCCGTTCGCAGATGGACTACCCCCCACCAGCTCAGTCGACACCCTCAGCGCCCTCGGAGCCGCGAGGGTTAGCAAGCTACTCCGCCGAAGTCAAAAACTGCGGCCCGACCTGCCCCCTCGACTCCCTCCTCCTCGACTTCCTCCACGAGCGCCGCCAGCGCGCCGCCGACGGCCTCCCGACCCAGGAGGTCATCGGCCCGCGCTACCCCTCCGTGCTCTCCCTCCTCAACCCGGCCAACAGCAAGTACTCGCACCCGCTGTCGAAAGTCTTCACCGACATCCTCGCCACCTTCCCGGACCTGTCGGCGCTGCCGCAGCGCGTCGCGGTGCTGTACATCATGTTCCTCATCATGCGGTGGCAGATCTCGCCCACGCGGGAGAACTACGAGCGGCTGCCCGAGTGGGTGCGCCCGCGCGGCGCGCAGCTCCTCGCCGAGCACCCGGCCTGGATCGACCACGTGCCCTTCCCCGCCATGCGCGAGAAGCTCTGCCGCGACTACAACCCGCGCGAGTACCTCTTCGACAACTTCTTCGTCCCCTTCACCACCACCCTCAGCCTCAACTGGACCTACGAGGACACGGACACCCTGCTGCAGGTGCCCGACTCGGACGAGGTCGTCATCAACCCGGTCTTCGAGCGCCACCTGCGCCGGCTGGAGAACTGGACGCTCGGGCAGGCGTTCAACCAGACGTTTCCCAAGCTGGCGGGGACGTATAACCTGAAGCTGTGACGGCTGTGGGTACGGGATTAGGTTCAGGGGAAAGTGATGGTATGCCAACCCCTGAGCACACCCGTCATGATTGAGATTCACATATATGGGGACCGTCAGGCATAGACGGTCATTTCGCGGCGTTGGCATGGGACATTTATATGTATTATTATTATTATTATCACCACGGCGTAAACCCGCACGGCGTCCGGTGACGTTACCGGGGCACGCGGCTCGGCTTACAGGAGGGGGGGGGCTCAGGCACTTTCGGCGTAGAGGAAATGGCAAAAACCGCACGGCTCTGTTTGACCGTCGTACTCTCTATGATGGACGTTCTGTACGCGATCTCACGGTGAAAGAGAAGAGAAGATGACCAGCAGGATGGAGGTTCTCTCCCAAAGATCCCAGACTCGACCACCATCAAGGCGCCCTTAAAAGGTTGCTGGCCATTCTTTCGATGATGCTGGAGGCATGGTCCAAGGTTTCAGATTGTGCCGCGGCATGTTAACGGCTTCGCCCCGTATGCACTGTCTGTTGCAACACGTGTTGATTCCCGACAGACGAACCAGAGTTGCTTGAACACTGTGCCTTGGTTTCCAAACATTTCGGCGATGGGTTGGTTGTGTGTGAGGGAGGAATACACGAGATACAGTGACAGTCGACACCGGCACCTGCCGTCCTCCTGACGCTGCTCTGATGTTGCTCTGACGCTGCACTTTCAGATCATGATGTCTGCTGCGTGGGCACGTGGCTTGACGATCGCTCAGATTGCGGCTGATAAAGCAACGCAACCAGAACATGTATAAGGCTACTAACGAGGATAACTAGGTGCCTTAAGTAGTATCGTTAAGCTACGATACGGACTCACGGGCTGGTTTTCCTCGACGAGGAACGGCGCTGCTTTTCATATTTCACACCTCGTTCTCGGCGGCGAGGTTCTGGACGTATGAATAGTTGCCGTACATCTTTAGTAGGCAAACGATTCAATCGATTCGTTGAAGCTGATGACATGTTCGAGTCGAGCTTCTATGGCGCTGGACCGTCTCCGAACCGAAAGACCTGAAGACTTTAAGGGGCACTCGCGAAGATAGATACCGCTGCGGATGGATGGCTCTCCTCGGTACCGTTGTCGCTCGCTGCTCCCGGTGTATTCCTCTCAACTTCAACCCGAAACTCCGCTGCCATTCGAAAGGGTCCAGTCGCGCTCACGAGGCCAAGGCCATGGATGAGTTTGACGGGTTTCGAAGCCACGATGATGGGTCACTTCTCGACGCGCCAACAAAAAACATCACGGTGGCGAGGTCAAAAGAATCTTGGGTATCGATCCCGAGATATACAGGTTCTTTTATACTGCCCGTCAGCATGGCTATGATGCCTGTTTCAGAGGGTTCTGATGTACCCGGGTGGTTTATGCGGAGGGTGCTTGCTCGATTGCTGATATAAGTACGTTGTCCTGGGACAGTATTCTTGGGTTCTTAACGCCAACGTCTCATGTAGTTATGGCCACGATCGGAATGTCCCTTACTCTTGTCGTGACAGCAACTGCTTCGTCCGAGTATGCACCATGTAAGACGCTCAGCAGATGTACGTTCCGCCGAGCTTTGGGGATCAAGTTTCTTCGTTTTCGTACCTCGTCTCTGTTGCTGTGGTATAAGGTTTCGTGTATTATGTCGGGCGGCAGGATGGTAGTAGCCATTCTCGACATGTTGTTCTTGAAAACTTGGGTGTAACGAAGTAGGAACTCGTTTCATCAAACACGCCCCTGCATCAGCCGGTTAAAACGAGAAGAGCACCAAGTGAGCTGTTCATGCCGCAACCGGTGCGTCTTAGCCAGCTATATTTGTACCTGACACCGAGTCTTTGGGCGTGGGCGTCGTGGCTTGAGGACATGTGTGTAGAGTATGGCGACTTCCCTGTTGAAATGAGGAACGTCGCTGAGAACATGGTCCCATACGTGAGCGACTCTCGAATGGTGTCTCTGTGATTTGTCTACCGACGAAGGACCTATATCAAGACCGTAAGCTATACCAGAACTCTGATCAAGCTAGATGCAGCTCCTTCTTTCTTCTGGGAAGTGAACGGTGCCGCTGTCTTTCTTGTCTGGAGATTTATGGCTACTTGTCAGCTGCTGTGATTCTTGGGTCGGTTAGACCGCGGGGACAGGAATAAGGTTGATTGATCTCGTGAGATAACTGTATGCGTAGGGTTTACTCGAGGAAAAGAGGCGGTGGACGAGGAGGATGAACGGATAGAAACCCTTGTCTTGCTGCACATCTTATAGAAGCCGATATGTAACCACAACCGGGGAAAACTCATCAGAGGAGCCACGACAAACTAGAGGAGACAGCGTCATGGAGAAACAAGACTGGTCGCTGGCTGTAATCATGAGAGAATGAACCGAGACCCTATATATACAATTCACCAGCCGTAGAAAGAACAACACATGAAGATATCAAAATGGGAAGCGAGGGCTGGAGAGTATTTAAACGTCTTCTGTCTGAGATTCTGACCACAACGAAACAACAGAAGTTGTACGTCATGACCTGCTACATGCACTCGACGCATCGTGCCCTTCGTTCCATGCCATGATAATCTGTCGTTTTATGGAGAGAATCATCCATTATCGCGTGTGCCCCTTTCTTCAGCGAATGATGCAACATCAGAATAACCTGAGGATGGAGATGAACGACGGGGGAAGATTCCGAACGATGATGTCGCCGTTGGCTCGACCGCCGGCGCGTCCTTGCGCTACATGGCGTCATCTTCTCACCCCCCGAAAACATTCCCAAGAGATCGTGGAGATAGTTTCAATGAGCAAAGAACAGCCATCAGATCGATTGTTCGCAAAGGAGCATCGTCCTTGAGCTATCGAAGGCAGAAGTTAAATATCCCAGCGGCCGGGGGAAATTTTGACGGATCGGTAGCCCTTGGGATTCTGGGCCGTACTCTTGGATGGGCGACTTTGAATGTGGCCAGACTGCGTTCTAGTCAAGTTGACAAAGAAAATAAAAGTTTTGTCGATGATGATCGACGTGTTGAGACTGGACTGATGCTTATCAGACATCTTCCGCTGAAAGTTGAGTAAAGTTGAAGTTCGGGTTGATAAGATAAGTCTCTTGATGACTTGTCATAGATTCACAATACACGAAGGATAGAAAGAAAGAACAAGAGAGCCAGGTGAATAACGGAGAAAATCTTAGAGCGACGAGTAGCTTTAGTCAGAACCAAGCAAACTCACATCCATCATCCGCATACGAGGGTATCTCGCGGCGACGACGCGTTTCCTGCGAAGACCGAAGCGACAGCCCGATACATGGTTAATGATCTGGCACTGCCCGCTGCCCCGGGCCAAGTGTCTTTAAAAGTTCGTGGCAATGCTCTCGGTTGGCGTTACTGCGCCCAAGAGTTCGCCGGCATATCGCAGCTCCTGGAGCAACACCTCGCTCGGTCTCAGGTGATGCTCATACTCTTCAACAAGTTCAAACTGCCCTATCGTGTTTCCTCCCGAATGCAGCGCAGGAGGAACGCCGGAAGGGGCCTTTTTCGAGCCCGTCCTCTTCAGCTCGAGGCTGTCAAGCTTCAGGAGCTCTACAACTCGTTCGGGCGTCATTTTACTGTAACGTATAGAGGCCTGGCTCAGAACTCTTCGAACGTGACTTGACTTCGGGTTGATGTGACGACATCGCCGAAGCAGTTCGAGCGCCGCGGGCCAGTGACCCGCCTGGCAGGCACGCTCCCAAAGCGTAAGCGATTTGGGGGCATCGGGCATCTTGTCCGTGTCGGCCCCGTGGTCTATCAGGGCCTTGATGCATTCGGTATGGGGTGTTCGGTGTCGCAGCATTGCATACAGGGGCGTTTGGTTGTCCGAGTCGACCACGTTCGGATCTGCGCCTGCTTTCAGCAAGACTTCGACGAAGGGCAGGCCGCGACCGCAGGCTTGGTGCAGAGGAGTTCCGTACGATGCCGAAGAAGCATCGAGATCCCCACGCGTCGCCTTTCGTAGCCTTTGCTTCAGAATCTGCAGCGACTCGGATACTACGACCTCAGCAACAGACATGTTGCTCCAGGTGAGATTGGCTTTCCGGTGTCCGCCGGGCTTAGCATGCAGAATCCTTTTGATCCCGTAATTCCTGGTAATTGTCGCATTATCGACGGCTGTTCTCCCGTCATTGATTGTAGCGATATCGACGGTTGTTCTTCCGTCATTGTTTGATATGTCACATCTTGCACCGGCTCCTAGGAGTATCGTGGCAGCTTGGAGTGCCGAATGCCGGCGGCTTTTGCAAGCTTCATGTAGCGCCGTATCTCCGTTGTCTCGCTGAGCATCGACATCCAGACCCGGCGCAGAGCGCAGCAAGCTGGCGAGGGCCGCCGGGGTCCCGTGCTCAACGACGATGTGAAGAAGCGTTCTCCCGCACGAGTCTCTGAGGGTGGAGCAACTGCCTTTTCCCATGATGCAGCGGAAGAGGTGTTGACTGCCCGAGAACAAGTCATACTCGAGAATCGATAAGAACCCATCACATATTCTGTGGGGGTCGGCGCCGTGGTCAAGAAGGAAGCCCAAGATCAACGGGCTTACCTGCCGCTGTCGAGTCGCCAGAAACAAAGGCGTCCAGCCCCGCCTGTTTGCCGAGTCCACGTCGACGCCCTGGTCCAGCAGAAGCCTGACAATCTCTGGCTGGTCGTGTTGGACTGCGGTGTGGAGAAGTTTCTTCCCGTGGACGCTCTTGGTCTTCGGGTGGATGTCCGGCGAATCGAGGAACAGCCGGGTCATGATGGCGTTGCCTGACCGAGCCGCGTCGAGCAGATCCTGTCCGAGGTTTCCGATTTCCCGAACCAAGTTGTCGGCGTTCCACTCGGACTCGCTCCGGCTTTCGAAATGCTGCAAGTGGTCCTCGTGAGACCTTGTCGATCGGCGAGAGAGCTTGAGGCCTGCCGAGTCGTACCTCGTCGTGGTCGAAGCGAGTAAGGCGGCTTTGTGATGCTGTTGCATAATCTCACGTCTTTCGCAGATATATCTGAGCCGAGATACGAGATGCAGGGTGACTTCGGACTCGTTTCCGTAGAAGCGTTCTGAGAGGCGTACAGCTGACTCCATGGACTCGATGGCTTGGTTCAGGTCCCCTGACGTGTGGCACGCTCTGGAGAAACCGCAAAGAATGTCAAGGGCCATCTCGTCATTAGGCCACTTGAACCCTGCCTGGCTGTCTCTGATTGCTTCGTATGTGATAGCTTTACGGAAGAGATCTTTTGACCTATCCGCAAGTCCCTCAGAAAGATCGGCCCAGGCGGATTGGCGAAGGATGATTGCGTTGGGCGTTCGAAACTGGCCATCGTGCGGATTCAAGTCTTGGTCGGACAAATGTTCTTTAATGAGAGATAGCTGATGCCTAAGCGGCGTGAGGTACGTCCGGCAGATTTCGTAATGACTACCGTCTAGCTCAAGCTGACTTGAGATGGAGGTCAGGTGGTTGCGTTTACAGACTGCTCTTGCCAGTCCGTGGGCTGCCTGCATGATGAACGTCTTCCGGTCAGCCTCTAATAATTTATCCAGGCTCCATCGACACAATATTCTGTGTACCGCCAAGCTCACGATGTGGTTTCCGTCTTCTTTGAGGCGAATCAAAGAGAAACTGGCGAGCCTACGAAGCGTCAGGCGGAGAACCCCCGGCTTCCCCAGAATGTCTTGAACATTATCAAAGCCTGCCGAGCTTGTGTTGGGCACTGACGGGTTTGGACCGAAGAACTCAAAGTTGTCCAAGAGTGACATCGGGATCTGCCATGATCCCAGCACCCCGATGAAGTTGAGGAGGAAAAGTTGCTTGGGGTCGATACTGAGATGGCGGTAGGTCATGTCAAGGATCGTAAGAATGACGCCATCCTTCTCATATGACAATGTGCCCTCGTCCAGGTGAAGTTCCATGAGGGCTCGGTAATTCTCCCTATATTCATCAAGAAAGTCGGGAAGCGTGAACTCCCCATTGAGGATCAAACCGCCGGCTTGTTCTATCGCCAGAGGAATGCCGCTCAGTTCTTTGATAATGGCTTTTGCGGGCTCCAGATCTTGACTTAATATTAGACACTACTGAGTCGAAGACATGAAATGTTCTACTCGTAACTTACCGTCGGGGATTTCAGCAAGCCTAGCGGACGTCAGCAGAAGCTTGTGAGAGCTACCGAAATCGAGACCATCAAGATGTATGGGGCTCTCAGGGCGAAAGCCGATGCAGGCCCGTCTTCTCGTGCTGGTCACCAAGACCGATCCGAAATCGCATCTCGGAATGTACTTTGCCAAGTCGTTCCGCTCCGGATCATCGGCGCTGTCGATGACGAGCAGCCAGTTCCTGTGGCGGGTGCAGCGGAGTCGTGATTTGACCTGCACCAAGCTGTTGGCGTCCCGTTCCGCGGGCAGCATCGGCGTGTCGCGCGGCCAACTGCTGCGCATCGCGGCCGCGACCTCCTCAATGGATTCCTCAGCGCTGGCTTTTGTCGATGCGTTGATCCATATGATGGCCGAGTATCGGCCCCTCTCCTCGTGAATGTGTCGGAGCGCCAGCTGAGTCTTTCCTGAGCCGCCGACTGCGAAGAGCAGAGCGTTTTTGCGGCTTGGTCGTAGGGGATCCAAGGCCGTCTGGAGCTGTGAGAGTTCTCTACTTCTGCCAAAGAAGGTGGCCGTACTTTCGGGCAGGCCAGGATAGACTAAACTCGAGGGTCCGAAGCCCAGGGCTTGGTACATGGGCGGTTCTATGCTTTCGATTTCTCCGATTGATTCGGGTCAGATCCAGAGGACCATTGACTAAATACGTTTCAATCAAACTTACTTCTTCTCGGCTTGATAGCTAGTGCACATTGTTCCATCTTTGTTTGGCGTCTCCTTAGATACGCCCTGGTAACGGCAGTGATATGCTGTAAAGCCTCGCTGTCGCTCTCATTCAGCATCACCGACTCCAAACCTCTGTCCACATCGAACCGGTAATACGCATCACCGGCGTTACCTTTCTCAAACCTAACAGACGGCTCAGCGGTGCTCACGGCCAGACGACGGGGAACATGCACGTCACTTACTTGTCCTTGATTTCCAGATGAGCCTCGTGGCAGTCGGTGGCGATTTTGATGCACATCTTGGCCGCATTCTTGACGGAAGAAAACCCCTGAGGGACGAGTTTCGAGATCGCGCCGGAGGATTCGCGGCCGTAGGAGCCGAGACCGGTGCCGATGGAGACGAGGCATCCCACTCCGGACACGGCGTCTCGCAACGGCAGAGGCGATTCTGCCGATTCGAGCTCCTTCAACGCGGCGTCGGTGGGATTGTTGTCGCGCACCGCGCCGTCGATGTACTCGATGCCGTTGATCGTGATGGACGGGAAGCACGTCGTCGCGGCCGACGTCGCGAGGCAGGCGTCGACGATGGGGCACGCCTCGATGCTTGCTCGGGTGCCGTACGTACGGAACATGTAGGAGTGGCGCGTGGATCTCGACACCGCAATCACGGCAACCTGTGGTCCCCGGCAGAAAGTTGAGAATCGCGACTCATGTTGGCAGGCCGGCGGTCGAGGCGGGTCAGGTTTGTGCTTACCGGAACGTGTCCGCTGCTGGCGCCGTCCACCTCGTGCATCTTCTGCCCTCCCACCTGGGACCGGATGACGCCGGACAGGCCTTCGCTCGTGTGTTTCGACCCCGTCGACACCATCCTCAAGGCCCTCGAAAAAGAGCCGCCAGAAAATATCCTCGACCCGAACTCGCGGAACAGTGTCTCGCACTCGTCCAGCGTCTTTCCGAGACGGCCCAGCAGGACGGCCAAGAGCCCGCCCGTGCTGGTCCCGCAGATGAAGTCGAAACACTGGTTCGGTTCCGGGGTGTAGTCGAGGTCGTTGCGGATCCGGACCTGCAGCATGAGCTCCTTCAGGATCAAGACCTCGGACAGGCCCCGGATGCCCCCGCCGTCGAGGCAGAGGACTCGGGGCTTTGCGGGGCCGCTCGCCAGCATGACGCCGTGCCGAGGAGAGGGGCGTTCTGCTTTGCGTCTTTCGGCGACGGGTGACTTTCGAAATGGTAGAACCGAGGAAGAAACGAAGGAGAGAGCAGATGGGCGAGATGGCCGCGGTTTAACTGCGTTTCTTCATACAACCCCGCGCTTCGGCCTCCGACCGGAGGCGTGGCGGCCGGTAGACACCGGCCCCTGTCTTTCCTCGTCATTATGCGTGGCTGAAGATCTATTGTACGCAACAGCCTGCACGGTACAGCCTGCGTGTCTTCTTCCTACAGGTGGGAGAAGAGGCAACGACCGTGTTATCTGCAGACTAGTAAGGCATCCGAGCTAGCCAACAACATATCAACCAGATACCGGTCTAGCTATACTAACTGGGGCAAGTTTTCCTTCGAGTTTCTTACCAGATTTGCTCCCCTCACCCTGCTACCCCGACGTTGCAACAGGCAGTGCAGTGCATCTGAGCCATCCCGCCAACATGCATGTTAGAGGCCTGCAGGACGACGGTGGGGCGGATGCCTTGTTTGCTCGCCAGACGAGCGAACACGGTAGTCAAGATGTTGTTTCTGTGAAGTCTTCATCGGGCTTTTGCCCTAACACCAGCGCGTATGATAGCCTCTATGCATGGTACTTTGGCCAAGATGGTTTGATAGGTCAATGGCGGGGGAATGCTCGGCTTATCCCTGAGTCCCCCTTCCCCCCCGAACGAACCCTTCGTCCCAGGGATGAGACACCAGATCTCTCGGCCAAGACACGACATTTCAAGAACTTCGCGAGGCGAGAGACAAAATTCCAATCGACGTGGGGGGGAGGGAGGGACTTCTTCAGCTCAACTCAGCCGCGCAGACACAGTATCTGGCATGATCTATCGACTCCGTCTCTGTAGTCTAGCACCACCCGAACTCCAGACCAACAATCTAAACCCCCCCCCATTTAGCTCTACGTCTAGCTATGATGCATCCTCAGAATACCCTCATTCCCTCTCCCACGCCGCCAGAACCCCGCCCACAATCTCCTTCCCCTTCGTAACCCCGACCTCGTGCCCGCCCTTGAGCACCAACACCTCCACCGCGTCCTCCCCGAGCACCCGTCTCGCGTCCCAGACCGTCTCCCCGGGTACGACGATCTCGTCCCTCTCGCCCAGCACGAACAGCACCCGTCCCTTCCTCAGCCCCGGCGGTCCTCCTTCCCCCCCGCCCTCCCGTCGTCTCGCCTCCAACACCCCGGCCAGGGCCTTCCACTCCTCGTCCGCGCGGTCGTATATCGGCGCGTGCCGGATCGTCGACATGTAACTCCGCACGTACCCCGGATGACACCCGAGCTGCCACGCCACGACGTCCCCGATGCGCGCGCCGCCCACGAGCTGGAGCCCGTCCCAGTCAGCGGCGGCCGCCGCGTTCTCGGCGTCGTCGACCGTCTCCTTCTCCGGCACGTCGCCTTTTCTGGACGGCGCGGGGTGGAGGCGTCGGGAGACGAGGAAACGTCTGAGGAACTCCGGGAGCAGGTCCGAGTTGTACAGGAGCCTGCTGCGCCAGCCGACGTGCGCCGCGGAGCGGATGAGGCCGCCCGGGGCGATGAGGGTCAGGGACTTGACGAGGTGGGGGCTGGAAGAGGCGAAGGAGGCCGCGACGGCGCCGCCGAGGGAGTAGCCCAGCAGGTGAAAGGCGTCGTTGCCCGTCCAGCCGCGGAGGGGGGAGGAGGCGAGGGCGAGGAGGATCTGGGTTGTGTAGAGGCGGGAGTCGTAGGGTAAGTCGGTTGGTGCGTCGGAGTAGCCCCTCCCGAAGAAGTCTGAGATGTTGGTTAGTGAGATTCGCTCTCCTTTTGATCTCATAATGTTTAAGATGAATGTGATCTGAGATGAAGCTGACGACCAGCTTGTGAGCTCATCTCAGAGGTGCATGAAAGCCACTCACCAAACGTCATAACCCTCCACCCCCGCTGAACAAACTCCCCCGCGGTGCCCCCCAGCGCGAGACACGGCGTCCCGATGCCGTGCAGCAGGAGAACTCTCTCGCCGTCCTCGGGCCCCCACTCATAAACCCTCAGGTTACCATACGGCGTCGCGACGTCCCTCGCGCCGGGCAGCGCGTCGGGCGGATACGGCGAACTTGACCCCGACGCCGACCCCGACATGACCAACGTCGACGGGTCATCCGGCCCGCCTCTCGGCGACCGCGCCGTCTTGCGCCGATCCCGCGCCGGCGCCGGTGCGACGACCGGGATGGGCCGGTGGTGCAGGAGGAAGATGTGGCATGTGGTCGCGGCGGCGGCGCAGGCGGCCAGGCCGAGACCTATGTGCGCCGGCAGCTGGTCCCCCAAGAACCTGTCTCGCATGCTGAGATAGTATGGTGTGAGTGGGCCGCAGGCAGGAGACGTACTTTGTGCTACGTTGTGTCACTCAAAAATTGGCAAGACTGGATATCTGGACTGCGAGGCTGTTCACATTGGAGAGAGGACGTCAAAAGGTGCGGCCCGGTGTGGGACGTTCGGGTTGCCGTCGCCGCACGGAAGCTGCGGGCATTACCTCGGCAGTATGCGGGGGGTGGTCGGGGCGGGCTCACTGACACCCAGCGCCATTATGCTACGAAGAACCCGGCATCGATGGATGAACTGGATATTACCGCAACCAAGCAGACGATCATGTCGTTCAGGGAAAGAATACAAAGAAGAGAAAAGGACGGGTTCGCAGACTACAAGTCCCTACCTTAGCTACCGTTTGTCGGCGTCGCCGCAAGTGTAGCCCCTCCAAGATGTGACGTCGTTCAGGTCCGTTGAACTCCCTTGCAGCCCGTTCCTCACTCGTACGAAGACAACGCCACTCGGGGGGCTCGAACGATGCTGCAAGACCTCGGGCAGATCTACCGGCAGACGCAGAAAAAAAGATGCAAAGCAACGAGAAAGGGTTCTGTTGTAGCAGGCGGCAGCCAGCATTTGGCGTTCCGAAGATAGAACCACTCGGCTCCTTGAAGATGCAAGCCCGACAGACACCGCCCACGAACTGCTGCTGCTAATGTGGCGCCGCATCTGCGCCAGAGACGTATCGGATGAAAGCGCGCGGCGGGACTTCATCAACAGACATCGAGAGACATGCTGCCGCCTGCGAGCAACGCAACGAGAGCAAACCAGACCGCCAAGCTGAACACTGTGCAGTTGGCAGGTCGTCTCCACCGCCAGGCGTAAAGTCAGGCATGGCTGCCACATGCACCAGCGCCAGCAAAGCACCAAAAGTCGATGCCGGCATGCCAGAATCCAGATGTGTCGAGCCTAGGGGGGCTGGGGCTGGGCTGGGTGCGCGGGCTGGGTCGCCTGCTGCACTGGCGGCGCCGAACGAATCGTTCGCATTCCTGAGCTTCTTTGCTTTTTCCTCGTTGGTAAAGTAGCACCCGAAGCTACTCTTTAACGTCCGAGACATGGGCTGCTGCGCCCAGATGTTTAGCAGATTTGCAGCCGTAGCTCGCTGATGTCTCTCGCTCTCGTCAACTCTCCCCCGTATTGTACGGCAGATGGCAGCAGCGCGCATATCCGGAGGGAACTTTGGAGCTTCCCCTCCATCCCAGCCAAGGCGAATGGCAGCCGCCAGACGCCAGACGCAGAACCTGGGGGATAGAGTGCTGAGAGTGAGACACCAAAATATTACCCGTGAGCCGCAGCAGCCGACGCACAAAATCTCGCCGGTGCGTGCTGGATCGACGAGTCTGGTTCAACCTTGATGCCAAACTGGCGGTGTGGCAGCGAAGTGAGAGTAGCACAATGTCGACGAGAGCTTCCCTCCCCGCGCACCTTGGTGGTCCACGGCTGCCACGCATGTGGCTTTCCGGTGTTCCCCCATTCCCTGCCTCCTTTTCGCACCCTTGAGCCCCTGATGCATGTTCAATGGGCAGACAATACTCCGTCTTCCGTTGAGGAACAATGACCCACGAGATCTCCTATCCCTCGTGGGGTTGTCTGACCGCACAGAAGGTTGGCGATGACAGCGACTGCAACCCACCCAGACAGACAAACTTACACGCACCACACAATGAACCGCCCGCAGACGGTACGGTGGTAGTTTCACGCAGGCGTCCGTACTGTTGGCAGCGGAAGGTTGGTGGGCGGTGATCGTGGATGCGCACGGTTGACGGAGCTAGAAGGCTGGGCCTGCCGCCGACCGCGCAGAGGCTGGAAACAAAAGAAGGTTACTCGACGCCGTCGTCGTCGTTTGCTTCCTTTCCAAGAGAAGCTTGTGCCTTTGGGGTGTAGGGCGACGAGACTGGATTGGCTGCTTCGCCCTTCACGATGTGAAGTGTGTGACGGGCAGAGGCAGAACTCAATGGGAAGACCTGATAAGATGATCCCCACACATCCAACTTTCTTTTCCAGGCTTCCAGGCCCTGCTGCGTGAGGTTGTTGGTCTTGCCTTGCTGCAGGCATTGGGCTGTGAGATCCGCTTCTTCTCGGGATGTCCTGGGAGGAATCGACATCAAGGATGAAAGTGCCAATCCTGCCTCGATCGAGGAAGACCAGCAGCCCTGAAAAGCCCTGGAGCGGCGGGCGGGCGGGCGACCTGCCTGCTTCTGCTGCCGCCGCTGGAAGGCAAGAAGGGTCCTCCAACTACGCAGTACGCAGGCACGAGGGGGAAAGGAATCCAGGAACCCTTGAGCCCTGGACATCTGCTACGTCTTGAAGACCAGCTAGCACTGTAGCACGGGGAGCCGCTACTGTGCCACCAAAATAGCACCTGGTTCCCCTCCGTCCCAGCGTCCCAGGCGCCATTGACGAATGGAAGGGAAAACGGTACGGGAACGGAACCAGAAGCTTGTTACGTCGCATGGGGGAGTCCCGTGTTTGTACCGCCCGCCGACGCCGAACAGCAAGTGCAGACGATAGATTGAGGCGGGTGACTCTAGCGGTAAGGCGACGGCGGCGGCGGGACGGGTGAGACTCTGAGTGTGACGGCAGAGGCGACCGCCGTGCGTGGGGTGACGAGAGGCGCACGAACTCGAACTGGGAATGGGAATGAGAATGTTGATGTTCGCCCCTTTCGTGGGCTGGAATCCCCTTCTTCTCCCCCGCAGCTCCACCGGAGAGATCACGAAGGCATCGTCAGCTGTCTCATGACGGTTTCCCATCTTCATGCCCCAGCCGCGGTGGCCTGTAACGATTCATCTTGGCAGATTGGCCTCTGCGGCAGGGGCAGCATTGAAGCCTTCACAGCCATCAATGTCGATGGGGAAGAAGGTCGTTGGGACAGGGAGGCGGTGCTGTGCCACGATGGGAGAGACAGCAGTTGAGCAGTTTTCCAGGGTCTGCCCCCGGGTGGTCAATGGCGCGGTCGCCCAAGAGGCCCGTCCGCTTCATGCAAGCTGTTCGATGCGATTGAGGAGACGGGTGCCACACCAATCCCACGTTGGGCGTTGGCGAACGGGAGGTCCCCTGCGGTCTAGAAGATGGACGTTGGCGCGCCGAGGGCGGGAAGGGGAATCTTGAAGCCGTATCCGTACGAAATAGAGGGGATGGTTGAGTTGACGGGTGTTGCATGGCATGTCGAGTCTAACCTTGAGTCTTTCGCATCTCGTCCACTGTATCGTGCATCGGCAGTCGGACGGCAGCCGTTGCTTGGCCGTCGGGTGGTGAAGATGATGAAAGCCGAGAATGGAGAAGTGGTGAATGGTATGGATCGATAACAAGGTCGTGGAGTGCCATCATGGCATGTTCATCAGTTGGCCACTGACGGATGATGCTGGGGTGAGAGAGGGGGAGGGGCAGCGAATGACGATGGCGGCGGGCGGCGACAAACTCTCACAGCGAGATCTGCGTGAATGATGAGTGAGGTGAGTTGAGTTGAGTTGAGTGTGAGGTGAGTGTGAGAGCACAGTGAGTGAGAGGAGAGGGCGAGTGACGGTCCGTGTGCGTGTGGTGTGTCTCTGAGAGTGTGACGATGAAGAGAGTGGAGTGCCAGTGACATTTCGACGGTTGCCCCGCTGTTAGTGGTCAGTGCCGACATGTTTCTGGCTCAAGGATAAAAGGTGGGTAAGACTGTGTTGCGGTACGTACCTGTCTTGGATTTTCGAAAATGATTTCCTGACCGGGCGGGCTGCAGGTGGCAAGCGCACACTGTGATGTATTCGTACCTGCTTGGTGCCTAAGGAGTCAGGCAGTCTCCACAACCGTAGCGCAGCGCAGCGCCCGACAGCCAGTCGGGACCGGGGCCTTGTCGCTTGATCTTGAAGCGTGCCAGCCGCCACGTTTCCGAATCCAGGCTGGTGGCCTGCTCATCATCTCTCAGGTTTTTTTCTCACCTGGGCAGTCTTCTTTGCTTCCCATTCTCACGGCGACTAGGGTCTAGCAACCAGTCATAGCGGCATGCTGTCTCCACTCGGCGCCTGGCTGCCAGTGTTGTGGAGGTGGCTCGCAGCCCTCCGTGTCGCTAAGGAGCCACTGCCTCGTTGTTCGTTATGCAGCCCAGGGCTCTAACCACCTGCAGCGCAGTACTGTGTAGGCACAGTTGATATGTACCTTACGTGTACGTACCCAATGCAAAGGGTCACATCGTGGACAGTATCGATTCGAGGTCGACACTCAGTGGTGAATGTTGGACAGTGTGTGGTCGAGAGGTGGTGTGTTGTGGCTGGAATCCCACGCTATGCACCTTGACCGGTACTTTATCGACTCGCACTGGACTCTGCCGCCAACAGCGCTGTTCCAGTTGCAGACGGTCGGGTCTGTCCAACTGTGTGTTGTGACTGTCGACCGTCGACCACTCAGTCATCGGCGCTTGTGCCATTGTTTTGCTTCCCCAGCATCAGTCAGCCTGGTCCGGTGGTCCCTCCCTCCCCCGTCCCCAAAGGTTGGGATTCGACGGACCAGGGCCACCCAGGCGAGAGGGTCGAGAAGGGTTTCAACTGAGCCAGCGCACACTGTAGGCGGACCATGTGAAGCCAGCCGAGTGTGAGGACCCGGGAGGAGACTCCAGCCAGCATGGAATGGGAAACACTAGGCTGCGTTTCTCGTGTTTCCGAACTTCAGACCGATGCCCCTGGGGATCGCAGACTCGCAGTAGGGTAACAGTTAGGTTGACTTCCGTCAGCCCTTCAATTCGAGGGCTCTTGAGTTCGAGAACGTTTGTGCGCAGCGGGTTGCGTACAGCGCTTCTGTGGAAAAGTGTCCGATGCCAAAGCAAAAAGCATCCGTCGAATAAGTTTGCCGAACTTGTTGCAAGACCGACATTGGAACAATAACAAAGCCCGCCCCAGGGTTCTTTAGCGTCCCGCCTGGATTCCGGACGGTGCCCTGCTCTGCCCTGCCCTGTGGCTCGTGGCTCGGGGTCATGGCTTTGGCTTGCTCTCCCACGCCTGTTCTGGTTTTGGTTCTGGTTCTGTACCCGTCAGCCCGTCGTCCTGCAGAGTCCGCAGTAGAGAGAATGGCAGAGGCATGGAAAAAAAAGAAAGGGACGCCGATGGAGGAGCAGCGAAGACGGGACGAAGAGCGAGACATTCGTTGGTCGGACCACACATAGGGCCGAGAGCAAAAGGTGCGTTGTCATTTGACCAAGAAGAGAGACATGTCGATGTGAACGCCCGTCTCCAGAGGGCACCACCAGGCAAGAGAGAAAGAAGACGACCACAAGCCGCAGGCACTGTGGTAGGGATTGTGGGAGAGGAGAGGAGAGAGCGGAAGACCAAGACGGTGGACGGCAAAGTTGGATGGCAATAGCGGACGGTGGTCCAAGGCCAAAGGAGGCGCTGCGCCTTCAGCGCCGTGTCTCTCATCTCCCGCTCTCCGGCCGTCTCTCGTCTCTCGTCTCTGGTTTCTCGTACGGCACATTACCAGGTCGCTCCGGCGTGATTTGATTCTCCATCAGCGTCGCTCACACTGGGGTTCTGGAATGAATTGGTGTGGGCAGCCAATTTCTCGGTGGCCGCAAGCGTCAACAACACAACACAAGCGAGGACAGACGGCGGCTCCCGGGCAAGTCTCGGGAGATGGGTACTCTGTACCAAGTACTGTGAGTGACTGTGCAGTGTGAACCTGGGCTGAAATGATGGTCAGTCTACCGTCTGGCAGCAGAAATGAAGAACAACAAGACGAGACCTGCTGCTGGACTGGACTGGATCCACAGTGCGCCTGCATCAAGCGGACGGGACTCACCTCAGTACCTGCATGCCACGCCTCAGCTTGCCCTGCAGTCATGTTCCGACCTGAAGGTGTTTTTTCGCTGCCAGGCACCCAGTGCTGCGTCTGCCTCCCGTCGCCTGGCTTCGTCTGCACGGCAGTCCAGATGCCCAGAAAATGAATGCTGAGAAAGTGATGTGGGTGAGGTGGATAAGTTGCGGGGACGACCAGGTATTTCGGTACACGTAAACCTGGAAGTCGCCTGCTGTCTCCTGCTCTCGCTCCTGCCCTGCTGCGCATTCACCGTTTCCTTCCAGGTTCCAGACAGGGCATCCAAATACAGACAGCAGCGCCCCACCAATACTGTCCGTCGCACTGGTAGGACTGGTTGGACTGGTAGGGTTGACGGCAGCCGGCGCCACGCCCCAAATTTACACCACCGCCCTAAGAGACGCTAGTCCCTGGCGGCTCTAGCTCGAGATCTGCCGTCCAATCGAAACCAGGTGGCGAACTCGCATATGGCGTCAAGCTGTGGAGCCACAGTGTTCACCACCAGAGCACTGTCCCCTCTGATCATCTCCCATTGGACAAAGAGTGGATCCACCACCGCCTCCTCCCCCCAGTCCCAGTCCCAGTCCCAGGCCCAGTCCCAGTCGTGGTGCTGCGTGCTGCCCCCCCTCCTCCCATCCCTCCCTCCTCTCACTTCCAGTACCACTGTCTCCTTGCCCTCCGTGCGGCGTGCGGCGTGCCCTCCTCGTTCCTCTCGCCTGCCCGGCTGCCCTTTCCAGTTTCCACCCGTCCTCCCACCCTTCCCACAGCGGTGCTCGATCCAACAAAACCATCGCTCTCTCCGGATTTCTTCCCTTCCGATACTTTTCAACATCTCTCTCCCCCCTCCATCCAAACGTATTCCTTTTCCACCGCACAACCAACCACACTTCTAAATACGATCCTCACATACACCGACTAAAAAAGAAAAAGCATTACCATACGCTACAACTTCTCTCGACTTTCGACCTTTTCAAACGTATACATTTATACTCGCACAACGTCGTCGACTCGGCAGGTTTCATTGTTTTGTGTTTCACCTGCAATAATACCGCAAAAGCTCGGCTCACCCATAAGACCACCGCAATTCCGCTACACACAACACGCACTTCGCCCCAACCAAACACACGGCGCACCTCCAACACACACAACACACAACGACCATTCTCCCACTCCGATACACTCCGACAAATTTATAGACAATGTCTTCATACTACTCGTTCCAACACCAGGCGCATCCTACCCCCGCCGTCCCCGGCGCCTCTCACAACCACCATGGCGGCCGCAATCGCAGACAACCCAGGCTCTCCGTCTCCCAGAACGCCCACAAGCAGTTCCGCGGTGTTCGCAGCATGAAGGAGCTCACCGAGACTGCTTCCATCAACGCTTTCCGCACAAAGTTCGAGGCTGGCCGCTCGTTCGACCTCGAGGACGACATGGAATTCTGCCCTGGCCTGTTGACCGACAGCGACGTAAGTGACTCGGAGCCCGAATTCGAGGCCCCAAGATCCGGTGACTAATTACCGTCGACCCTTGCAGATGAACTCCATCCACAGCTCTTCTGAGCGCTCCTCCCTGGCGAGCAACTCCCCCGAGTCATCTCCGACGCAGCAGCCTCAGCAGGTCGCTACCTTCAACCTCAACTCCGCGTCCCCCGCCTTCATTCCTCCCGCCTACCAGCACACCGCCATGAAGATCCACCAGCCTTCTGCTACCCGTGCCCGCAACGCCATCCCCATCGTTAACCCTGCCACTGGCATCCAGATGTCCAGCCCGCCGCCTTCGGTGTCCCCCGCCAGGATGCAGCAAGGCATGCGCAGGTGGTAGACGAGCCGCGTCCCGCTCTCGTAACTGAGAGCCGGGGTTGGCGCTCCCTACCGTCTGCGCCGATGCAAGCTGATGTGTAAGACTACTCATTCGGCCATTTCAGCCGATCGTCTTGGCGGGCACCGAACAAAAAAATTATGGCATCGATGATTTCTCTTGCGGGCTGGGTACCTCAAGGTTTTTGGCCGGGCTGCTGGCGTGGCCCGGCCTTCTGTTGGCTCAAACGACATTCCTCCCTGTATAAACAACCTCACACGACATACCTCTGTTTAACCGACAAAATTCCCTTTGAGGCTTTACACGGCGCGACGCGGGAAGTTATCGATACCATTTTCCTTTCTTGGGATTCTTTCGACTACAAAAAAATTCGACAAAAATCATTTCGGTGTCCGACCTCGGAAGACGAGGCTGGACTTTGCACGAATGGCGTTTCCACACGGTGTGGTTTTGCATTTTCACGACATTGCATCGGTGCCTAATCGCACCACGGCGGAGTTCTCGGATATAATTAATTCTCGGCATCTATTTTTCACGGACAGCGGGACGACTTTTGATTTTCCAAGATGATTCCAAAATTTAGTTGCTCATCATGGTGCTCGACGGGTCACGAAGTCATTCCGAAAAAGAATATCTCGACATATAGAATGAGTGTCTTTTCACAGCAACTTGTTCGGAGCGGGGGCAACAGGTGTTTCTGTTATGGGCTCAAACATTGGGAAATATCAAACGGGGCGGTGGCGGGCAAAGACATGCGTTGCTATTGTTTTGCGGCAAATCTCCAAAGCTTGGAATCGGGATCCGGGATATACCTTTGGGAAAAGGTGGAGTTGGTCATGATATTTGGTCTGGGTGGCCTGCTGGCGGTGAACTCTCCCGGGGAAACGGAGAGGGATCGGGCAGCGCTCTTTTGCTTTCTTGTGCCTCTTCTCTCATTATTTTTTTCACTATTCGACGATGGACCGTTCTCATCACTACTACTTGGTTCTCCTGGGAGGGGCTTTCTTGTCACACGGGTTTAGCATCTCAGGAGCTGGGAACTGTTGGGTGGTGGGAAACACCTTGTCTGGGAGCACTTTCGCGAGCATTTTTCGGAGAAGTGTGTTGTCGATTTGGGAGCAGCGGAATGGCACGATAAATGGCTCTTGTGGTTTACTGGGTCTGGGAGAAAGGGATACCTCTTTTGGGTGGTTGTACAGGAAATGCTCAAGACGTGAAAGGTGTTCAAGGAGAGATCCGGGCCTCAGTCGCCCGGTCTTGTGGCGCGAAGCCAGCAAGGCGCAATTGCAATATACGATACGTTCATCTCAACTTCGGTTTTTGAGTGTCTCCCTCAAAGTGATCGTGCATGCACAACGCTGACGCAGATCGTGACGGACTCTGCAACGGCGAGCGGCATCACAGCGTTCGTGGTCTCGGACCCTCGATTCCAGCGGTTTCTCGCTCGCTGACTGAGAGATTGAACCTTCGTTGGGTCGTAATATTGTCGGCCCTGTTTCCCTTCTGGAGGCGAAGATGCTGAAAAGTAAGATGAAATACATCCCCTCCCCCCACGGCCCCGCGCTTATTTCACCATGTCGGCTGTCATGCGGCGTAGGTAGGTGAGTTGATGACTGCCCCTGAGATCTGACGGTCACGATGCAATGCGGGATGCGGGTTGAATAAGACGTCTAATATGGTAATATCCAATATCGCAATATGATATGGGGCCGCTACGACCCCCTTTCTTCTCTGAGAGCGAGAGAGCTTGTTGTTCCCTGGCTACCCCTCCATTTCTTTGCTCAGCCACCCGATGAAATACTAGAGCATTATCAGCCCCGATCTATCCCGTTCTTCAGCTCGACTCGCCCTTGACAATGGCAACCAGACAATCCGTAGCCGCCGGGATGAGACAGACGGGCCCGTCTGGCGACCTGCGAGCTGCCGCGGAAGGCCAAAGACCGGGAGTCTGTCGCGGGTGGACTGAGCTGATGACTGGATCGGATGTCACGTGATGCGATGACGCCCCTCAGTTGAACCAAGCCCCGCTTTCTTCTGTTTTGGAGCTGAAGACTCCCGCCAGCTGGCGTTGAACCGTTAACGCCGATACCTCCCCAGCTTTTGCAAATCGCTGAATGGCAGTTGGTCGAATGGTCCCCCTCACAGAATCCGCAATCGTAATCCGCATCCGTCCGGGGTCCCGTTTTTTGCTTTTTTGGGGGGGTGGGAAAGAGACACTGGAGCTCGGGCCTGAGGAAAAGCGCATGTCACTCTTCCATTGTTTCCCAATGAGAGAAGCTGCGAATGAGAGTGACGTCACGGGTTCTCGGGTAACCGATGCGGCAAGCTTCCTGCGTCTTTACCTAGGCAATGGGCTTGAACAACATCATCGTCGTCACATTCCCTACATTTTTTCCCTCGTCAACTAATATTTCCCTCACCTCTTTTCATTTTCAATAAGTCAATTCCAATTCAATTCACAGAGAAGGGAAGAAAATCGCCTGCAGTAACAACAGAAAAAAACGAAACACATCACAATGGCTTCCCGCTTCGTCCTCGCTTCCGCCCCCATCGCGCGCGGCGCCTTCGCCGTCGGTAGACAGACCGCCCGCATCTCGACGACGAGAATCGTCGGTTTGAAGGAGTCTGCTGGACGTGAGTCACTTTCTTCCCAATGTTTCTTCTGCCCTCGTTGGTTGTTGGGCGGTATTGAAAGCTCGTCGTCAATGGCATCTCGCGAGGTCTGGTGTGACGACGGGCTGGGTGTCCAAGCTACATTACCCCACCCGTTCATGCCATCATCATCTTCATCCTCGCAATTATCATCATCATCAACCCATCCCTTCAGCCCTACCCAGCTATCCCTTCCCAGTCCATCTGCACGAAACGCAAAAGTAAATGGATAAGTATGCTAACACCTGACCCCACGACGCAGACTCGGACGAGCAGATCCACGAGAAGCACAAGCAAGACTCCCTCTCCAAGCAGAAGCAGGGCAAGGGCCACTGGAAGCCCGAGCTCGCCTCCGACAGCGAGGAGGCCATCAAGGCCGACCGCAGCCACGAGGGCGTCGACCCCAAGACCCTGGCGGAGCGCACCAAGCGGGCCGCCGAGGAGACGAGCAAGGCCGGTACGAGCATGAGAGAGGGGTTGTAATCCGCAAAACCAAGGGGACGTCTTGTCGTTGTGTGTGTTCTGTATTGCTTATTCGTACTTGTCTTCCCCAGCATGAAAAAAAAGGGTTTTGAACTTGAACCCGAACCCCCCCCCGTCCGAAGAAGGTTTTACCCTGCTTGAGAGGGAAATCCTGAACACCGTCGTCGTCCCGCCCCGCCCCTTTTACGGAAACGTATTCGCTACGGAAACCAGACCGATGTGCGTTTGAAGGCGTACGCTGTGCTGCGGCTTGGAGGAGTTTTGTGTGTTTGGACTTGATGGGGTTTGGGGAGATTGCATGGGTTCGGGGTGTAAGGAAGTGTAATTGTATCATGTTAGGCTGGGTCGGAAATTGATCAGTTTACATCAACACCACGCGACGTGATGGTTGGGATAGGTGCCTGACTAACCCCGTGAACTTTTGCATGTTCTTGGTGGACAAGTGAAGAGAGCAAGGGATATCATATCACGTCCCGTGCTGGGCTGAAGTGGTGCACTCGTCAGCGCCTGAGCATGGACACGCCCCTATATATAAAATAGGGCTGGGCCAACTCCCCATCCACTCAGCAGAAATAACATTCGGGTGTGGATTTCTCCGCTGGAAGAACGGACTAGGCGATGATACACAGTCTTGTGGCATCGAATACGCGTTTTCAGCTATTCATCGTGCCCAACCGACGTGCTCTCCGAATAGGTGTCCATCATCACCTCCGCCCGCCATCCGAGAGATATTCGGACCCAATGCACCGCCAACATCTTCAACAAGATCCCGCGTGAATAGATTTACATTGATGACTTTGAGCAGCATGACATTCTCGGAAGTTAGGGTCGACCAACTTTGCAAAGCAATCGACATACCACTTCAAAACGACCGGTTTCAGAGAACACCGGAATCTCGGGCCCGTATCGCGCCTGCTCTTTCAGGTGCAAGGTAGGATACTCCAACACGGCTTTTTATATCTCTAAGAGGGGCGGGGCTTCTATCGAGTCTGCCGGTGTGTGACGAATCAGTTGTTTATCGGGGTGAAGCTCCGTGAGTGTGTATATATTGGGGACGTGGTCTCTAATGAGTGCCGAGAAAGACACACGCGACAGACAGCGAGCGAATCTTTTTTTCTTTCTGGGAGCAGCCGATACCTTCAGCTTTTCCTTGGTACGATGGTCCATCTGGCATATCATCAAGACATACCAAGATCGGAACGCGTTTCTCTCTGGAGTTTGTAGTACATAATCACCGTCCGTCTTTGTCTTATGTGTCTACAAATCCGAATATCGTGGAACTGGAAGCTCGGTGCGGTTGTTCTCGACAGCCAGCATCAATTCGCCTTGTTCGAACCGGAACACGTACTGATTTACGTGGGTAGAGAGCCAGACATCAATATCGGCCAAGTTTAATCCCCGAGCAAGAGATAGCATGGCGAATCTGTCGAGGGGATCATGAGCTTCGGGGGGAGTGGTTTATTTTATACCAGTATTGTATCGTGTCTTGCGCCGGTTTTGGTGGGTATAAGGGGAGGAAGACGGGCCCTCTTCAGCCATTGAGCAACAACATCCAGTGGTTTTCATACATGTTTAGATTGTTGAGGTGACTGACAGGAAGCAGTCTTCACGTGCTGGGAGTGCGACTGTTTTCGATCTGTTTGATACTGCACCGAACTTGATGGGGGGTTTCTGAACATGTATCCCTATCCTTGATCGTCTCCGTCCGCCAGGTAACGCGTATTCAGATCCAATACACCAACTTCGTCGTCGTATTCATGTCGACTTCACTTGTTCACCGTTGCGTTTTTCGCTTTGAAAGACATGACGTTCGTAGAGTGTACTTGACTCCTTGGGGCTTGGAGAGCAGGATTGGATGTCTCGCGACGGCTCTCTGGGAACTCCATCTTGCATCCTGCATCTTGCGACGATTCCGGAAATGATGCGGTGGGAGGTTCTTTTATGTTGATTCTAGAGAATTGGTGGTAACGGAGTACTATGTCATAGGTTCTTTACATCTTGCGACGACTCTTTTCTCGCCTACGTCTCCTGAGGAGTAGCATACATATGCACTCGTGCACGGCAAACTGCATGCAAGACCGGACAAATAAGATGCGGCAGAAGATATATCAAGACGTTCTCGAAATCCTTTTTCTTTCTCAGGCAATATCGAATAACTGACTGTCACCATTAGATATGTTTTCCCCGAGGAGCATCTACTTCGTAATCCCTCGTCTACATCGACTTTCGCTTTGTACGTCCACTTCTTGAATCACCACAAGAGCTATGGACTTTTGTGATTCGCAGCCCGATTGCACTTGCCGTTGCGACCTTCCTCACTGTGTACTTTCTCACTACTAGGTACGATCGTGCCTCTCGCGGGAACAGCTCTGTCGCTGCGGCTGCAGATGTGAGTGAGTGAGGTGGCCACTGCCTCATGCAGTATTACACACAGTAAACGAAACGCATGCAGAAGGCAGCAGGCGCCTACCTACCTGATGTGGTTTATACCGGGGTCTTACCTATCCGTGCCAATCACCACATGACATGGTCTCTTCTCCGCCCCTCTTTGCTTACGACCAACGTCCAACATCATCCTCATTTCTCCACTGCACTGCCAGTCTTGGGCCTCAACAACGCGATCAAGTCCTCGTTCCGACGAGCTTTTATTTCGCTGTCGGCAAGTTGTCGATAAGCAATTTGGTTTCGATAGAGAAACATTTATCCCGAGATACCTGTCAACAAACCGGCGCCTCGCTTTAGCATCTCCGTCGTCATCATGTCGGGCCTCGAAGGCTTGGGAATAGCCTGCAATGTCATGGCGGTAATCACCTTTGCCCTGGACACCGTCAAGCTATGCAAAGGAATTCTCGACACCGGCAATGCGGACCCCGACCTCAACGAGAACGCAAAGAACACCCGGCAAACATCCGACATTCTGCAGACGATGCTGTCACAGCAGCGTCCGAAACCCACGGAAGCGGAGGCTCGCCTTCGAGCTCTTGCTGCCAACTGCGTTGAATGTGCCAAAGATGTGGAGAAGGTGGTGACCGACATCTCACCTCAAAAGGGCGGTGTTTTCGCTGCCATGAAGTCGACTGTGAAGACCATGCGGCGAAAAAGCCGCCTTGAGAAGGTCAAGGCCCGACTTGAGACTTCGAAAACCGCCATGGACTCGGCTGTGATCGTCCAGATACTTGACGAGTGCATCGAATCAGGCGAGCTCCACCGTGCCGCCTACGAAAGTCTGTCTCAGGAACAAAAGACCCTTGTCGCAACTTATGAGCGACGTTCGAGGGCTATCGAAGATCTCATCCGACAAGTTCCAGACCACGTCACTGCTGAGCACGTCGAAACGCGCCAGGTCCTCGCGGAGCAAGCAGACGTGTTCGAAACGAGAAACCATGAGAAGCAGGCTTATGAGAAACTTTTGGAGAGTCTGAAGTACCCAGGGATGGACGAGCGGAAGAACAGCGTCCCGAAGAGGCACGTGAAAACGTTAAAATGGATATTTGAAGACATCGAGAGCGACAGCATTCATAGCGACAGCATCCATAGCGATGACGTCCATAGCAACGCAGAATCCATGATATCGAGCACAGATTCATTGCATCGAATCTGGCAAGGTACGGTCACGGAAGACTCCAAACGGGCGAGACGAGAAGCAGATCTGGCCGGATGGCTCCAACGTGACGATCGTCGCCTGTACTGGATCAGCGGAAAACCCGGGTCTGGAAAGAGTACCTTGATGAAGTTCATTGCGACCGACGAACGAACTGAGAACGCGCTTCGGGGTTGGAATCCCCGATGTATGATAATCTCACATTTTATATGGAAGCCTGGAACACCTCTGCAACAAAGTCTACATGGATTGCTCTGCTCTCTTCTGCATCAGGTATTGTCCGAAGACACTCATCTTGCCTATCAGTTTCTCCGAGATAATCCTACGCTCCAGATGAAGAGGGAGGTATCCGATTGGGATATAGATGACTCGGAAAAACTCCTATTTCAAGCCATTCGCACCTCACCGCGAGCGCACCTCATTCTCCTGGATGGCTTGGACGAGCTTTCAAAGCCACACGGGGGAATGAGCACGCTATTTTATCTCCTGGAAAAGTTGGCTGCGGAAGATCGGGTGAAGGTCTGCGTCTCCAGTCGTCCTGAGCGCGTGTTCGTAGACAGATTTGGGTCAAGCCCCATGCTGCGAATGCAGGATTTCACATTCGGTGACATCTTCCACTACACCACCGACGTCCTTGGAAGCATCAACGTCCGGTCAGAAGACGGCTTGCTCCGAAAGATAGCAGAGGAGATCTCCTGGAAAGCAGAAGGCGTTTTCATCTGGGTTTACGTCGTTCTACAGAACGTCAAAGCCGGGATCGAGGAGTTTAACGAAACCTGGGAGGACATTTACGACCGCATCATTGAGCTGCCACCGGACCTGATGACCCTGTATAAGGACATGTGGTCCAGGTTGGGCGGGAACAACAAGAAATACATCAAGCAAGCAGCGCGGTACTTTCAGATGGCTCGCCACGCAGGAGAAATGAATGAATGCAACATCACAACACTCTCGGTAACAGAGGATGAGACTCTGGAAACTTTCACAAAATCGGACAAGATCTTGCCAGTTCAGAAGCTTATTGCGATGTGTGAAAACACGTTCAGAACACTCTTGCCGGTCTCCGCGGGTCTCCTACAGGTCCGCAAAATCAGGGAACTGAATTATTTGACAGAATTTCCGGACGATAACTGGAGAGTCATTGAGTGGGACTCCATGGTCGTGGAGTTCATGCACAGAACCACTCTCGACTTTCTGGACAGTAACGAGGGAAGGGATCTCTTCGGCGAGTACATGTTGGGGCCCGGGGATTTACTCTCAGTCTTTGTCAAAGGAGAACTGGTCCTACGTTCGGCTACTGGATACGATGCTCGTCCTCTCCAAAGGATTTGGCTAATGATGGAAGACCACTTGGACTCGGAGGACGGATGTGTCAAACAGATGATCAACGATCTCCTGCCCCTCATCCATCGACATGCTATCGACAAAACCAGAGACCTCCTTCTGCTATCATATTGCAAAGGAGTTAGTCTTCAGAATAAGTTCTTGTTCGAGGCAACCTTCTATCGTTTCTACGACTACGTCGAAGACTGGCTGAAGTCTACTGGAACCTACGACGGACTGGATGCAACCTACGTTCTGCTTGGGGCGTGCAATGACCGATATCAGAGACGGGGTCGTTCGGACATTGAACTGAGGAACAAACGATTCCTGTTGATACGAGGTCTTTTGCAAAAGCACGCGCGGGTCGGCGAGGACAAGTCGGAATCACCCGCTGCTCTTCACGTTTCCGATAACATTATGCTCGCATGGCGTTGCTTCCTGCTCCATGAGTTGCAGCGGAAGGGAGGACGACCATTTGATGCGCAGGATGATAGGCAAAGAGTGGAAGAAACCTTGGCGTCTTTCATCGCCGCTGGTGTCATGGACGAGACGCCACAGCCAGATTATCTCATTTCGGTGGCTTACTATGGCATCTCCATGGTTCACAGCCGCGGCGATAACGGCGGCGCACTCTACTGCTCCATCATATACGCAGAGGTCAACGACGCATTCCTTCTCCGGACTCTACTGGGTGCGCCTCTTGTGTTGCCAGAGGTTGTCCCCGGCCCGGGCGCAACACCTTTCATGCGCCCTGTGCTGGGCGCGAATAACCGATTGAAAGGCCAGGAGGACAATTTCTTCCGTCTATCACACGATGGACGCGACCAGGAAGCTTTGGAGACTTGGATGTTTGGAGACTTTGTCGACCCTGAAAAGGACGGAGGTGTTCAGGACATGTTCCCCGACAAAACGCCGGACTTTTTAGAGGCGGTGGATATCGGAAAGTTCTCAAGCGACCTCGATGCTCTCAAGGAGATTGGGTATGAACTGCCGGAAGTCAACTTGGGCTATGTCTGCGCACACTATTGGTGGATGTAGCCGATGAGACGATAACCCGACATACCTGGAGAAACGCGATACTGGAACGTCACCTCCGGTCGTCGAGGCAAGAGAAGTAGCACATGAGTACGGTTTTCGACGGACGGGATCGTTGTGATGTTGAGTTTCAGCAAGGTCAATCTCGGCTCATTCGTATACTTAAACTGGCCTGATAAGGTCTAGAACAAATCCGACACGCGTAGTCAAAAGCCCTTGCGCCCACAGTGCTCGTTCAGCAGGCCGGTAGCTCGGATCCGACGTCGCCAGTGCCGAAGACGATCGAGCTCAGCCCGTTTAAGACTTCGCACGGGAGAAATCACGGCCCAGAAAGGCCGCAGAGTGTATTCCGGGGATAAATGATCAGGGACGCTGGGGATCTCCCCAGAACATCCGTATCGTGGTGTAGCACATCTCGAGGGAGTCGTGGACCTCGGTATGGGGAAAAGTCGTGGAAATGAGGCGACAGTGTTGTGGCAGCCCGCGTCTGCTGACTGGTTCAGTGGAGGCCCTGCACAATTTGATGGTGCGGGCACATTGCCGTATGGAATCATCAGCATTTTTGGTAGGTATGTGATTATTTCAATTAAGGAGGTGGAGATTTAAGCACGTCAAAGACCACTTGAGAGATGTAACAACACACTCGGTTCCATAAGTTCATATTTTGTTGTATCATCAATGACAGTCCTTGCCGCGCATGTGACTGATGTTCGACTTTCAATAAGCAGCGGGGCATTCTGTGTTGTAATCAGAATCAGATGGACCTATTCTTTCAAGGTCGAATTCAGCCGCACTCATTGATGCAGGCGACGAATACAGATAGTGATTATTGGGGATGGTTTCCAGACCACGATGGGATTTCGGAAACGTCTGGACCAAATCCTGTTGCAGAATAGCTGCCTATCCGCATAATACTCCTCCCCGCACAGCATCTTTATATGAGGCATGCCGTGCGCAGTCAAGTCAGCCTTTCCGTGTCGCGGGCTACCGGCATTTCTTATGAGAGTGATGCCATTCGCTTTGGTATTGAACAGTACTGCCGACGATGCTAAGAGAAGTCCTCCACTTCTCAGCTTTGGTAGCGTACGTGGGAAGGCTGGCGGCGCGGGTGGTCGGACGCGTTCGCGTCGTTGTGCCTGTCTTGTTAAGCGCTGCCAATGTGCTTCTCTATTGGCTTGTAACCTAGTGAGGTCGCCCATCTCACTTGTCAAGCCCTCTAGCTTTGACGAAGCGGTTGATCTGTTCTCGCGTGATCTTGTCGTTGTACTGCTCATGACAATCGTAGAACGCAATAAGCTCCTGGGTGCAGTCGACCATGGCGGCGATGTCGACATTGCTCTCCGCCAGCCAGGCGCCGTACCTCTGGACCCGGCCGAATCTCTGCTCCGGCTGCTTCTCCTTATCCGCGGGGTTCGGAGTTCCTGGCGTCGGGGGTAGTCCCGGTGCTCTACCCTGGGCCTGGGCCAGCGCCGCACTCGCAGCAGCAATGCCCGCCGCCGTGGGTTGGTTCGACCCTGACATGGTAGAAGACGGCCTCAGAACCAGCACGAGCAGGATTGCGGTCAGCGCGATGGTGTGTGGCGGGTAGAGAAGAGGTAGGTCCGTCATGTAGTGGTCGTTGATGATTGACCAGCCCAGCGCGATGTCCTCCTGGGTCAGAGCCAGCTCTTGCTGGTAGTTTTTCATGGTCCGGTAGGGTTGGTACACGATAAGCTGGGAGCTCATCTCGGATATCATAAAGAACTCGCACTCGCCGAGCTTGGAGGTGTCGAGTCCGAGGAAATCGGGCCACAGCGAGCGGGCCTCGCTGACGATCAATCGGATGTGCTGTGGGCATTCCTCCATCTTACAGGCGAGGTAGAGGGCAGTGGCTACGACGAGGTAGGGGTTCGTTCGGCGGATCTCGACTTTTGTGTAGAAGCGCTTGATGTAGACCTGGGCGGTGGCCATGGCCTGTTGGCGGACGACCATTCGTTTGCCGAGACGGTTGACCTCTGTACGGTAGCGTGTTAGCGGAACGTCAAGACCTCCAGGACCAGTAGAACAAACGCTGGTTGAAGAATATGCCTAGGTGCTGCTGCGTCTTCGGAAGAGGGAACATCTTGGCGAGGTCGGCATTCTCGTCTTCGAGTTTCTGTCGGACTGCGCCGAGCTCATCTTTGGAGAAGAGCCAGAAGCGACGCTGGGTCGACTCCCAGTAGTTTGCAGCCATAGTGAGCCGGCGATGATATTCAAACAAGGCCCCGTGTCATGATTCGTGTTGGAAGTGTCTTCTGGAGCGAAGCTGCGGCGTCAAGTTGAATCTGAGTATTGGAAAAGGCTGGCAGTGACATCTTCAACGGAGGTCAAGGGTCTGTGGCGGTGATTGGACAGATCTGTGGCGGTGTCATCCGATAACGATAACGATAAGACTGGACGGAATATGTCCGGGACGGGCGGGCAGCGGGCAGACGGGAATGGAAACCCAAGATCCAACCTGGAACCTATGGAATGAAACCCCACTGTCCAGAAGCTCTGGAGCACTAAAAGCTCCGGAAGCACTGCTAATTGGCGGCAGCTGATTGCCTCGCTTGTCTCGCCTGTGGAACCCCCAGCGTGCCAGACTGCCAGCAGAACCCCCCCCATGCCAGCTGTTGCCGAGCTTTCGACGCTGTGGGAGGTGTGGCTTTGGCGCGAACCATTTGCGGCAGGCGGGTGCTGCTTTTTCTTGGTCGACGCACCTCACGATCCCTCCTACGTCAGTCCTGTGACTTGCAGCTGCAAGTGTCGCGACAACACCCTTTTTTCCCCCCGCCATGTCTTCATGAGACCAAAAAAAACATACCTATCGAAACCACCCTCCGCGCGATTTGAATCTTCCTCGAACCCGAGACCGTCGACGCCGCCCCATGAATCCCGCGTCGAAACCGAAGCCCCGACTCTACTGCCCTGCATCCTGATGCCGCCGCTGCCATGGGGGTGACAGAATGGGTTACCGAGCTCGAGATGGGTGTGGACGAGTCCCAGAACCAGCGCGATAAGCGCGTGGAGGATTTTTGGAAGGAATTGGACGTCCAGGGCACCGGCTACCTCGACTTTAAGGGGCTGCAGAAGGGCCTGAACAGGATCGATCACCGTCAGCATCTTTCTTTGTCCGGCGCTTGCTCTGCGGCTTGGCTGATGTTGCGCTTACAGCTATGAAGAACGCGGAGGACATGTTGAGGAGGATCATGACCGTCGTCGACACCAACGCCGACGGCAAAATTCAATACGAAGGTGAGCTTTGCGAGTTGAAGTCGTCCCGAGGCTGGAGCTATCGCCTGGGTTCCCCTGTCACGGGGTCCGGGAACGGTGCTAACGACGTCCTGCCGCCAGAGTTCCGCACCTTCGTCGAGCAGACCGAGAAACAGCTCATGATCTTGTTCCAGTCGATAGACAAAGACAACAATGGACGACTCGACAAGTCGGAGCTGCAGGAGGCCTTCAGACGGGCTGGGCTTGTCGTGCCCATGCGCAAGCTCAGCGCCTTCTTTGGCGATATCGACATGAACAACGACGGCTTCATCAGCTTCGAGGAGTGGAGGTGAGCTTTCTTTCTTTCGTCGCAGGAGTTTACGCTGGGCGACAGGCTGGCGGGCCTCAGGGGTTGTGGTATCCAGTGCAGCTTGGGGTGGAGATGAGATCGTGGAATGCTTCGGCAGTACGATGGCTCCTTCCGTCTGTACTTGAGATATTGACGTTGTGGTTGAACATTCACTGACCCCTCTCTCCTTTAGGGACTTTCTTTTGTTCATGCCGATACATAATGGCCACGCACCTCTCAAGGCTGTGATGGACTTTTATTCTTCCATAGTCACCCTCACAGCAGAGGGCGACTCGATGGTGTCGGAAGAGACACTTGAAGGCTTAGGTACGACCGGCTTCCTTCTGCAAACCCTCTTTGGATCCATTTTAAGGATCGCATCTCCTTCGGACCGTGAGACTCCTGTCGAGCCCCTCACAGACAAGGACGGCCAAACGGTGCCTCCGCAGGAGGAAGCATCCGTTCCCGATATTGCGAAAATACCCACCTCATCGAAACCAGAACAACAGACTTCACCAAGCAGCTTTACAGATCCCACAGCAGCAATAGCGTCAATACCGACATCAAAACACCCGAAAGTCACCGACGGCGCGGACGTCGACATGGCGGCAGCGGCGGTACTCCAGGCGGGCGTCAAGGCCGCGGACGACAAGCTCACCGGCATCGCGACAATACGACAAATCCCCGGCGTCGGCACCTCCCAAGCGAAACCGGTCTTAGGCTCCGAGCAAGGCTCCAGCTCAGATGCAACTGCTGAACGCAAGACCAAGAGACTGACTGACTTCGCCCCTGATCCAGGTTACTTCGTCGCGGGTGCCGTCGCCGGAGGACTTTCGCGAACTGCCACCGCGCCTCTCGATCGCCTCAAGGTGTACCTGTTGGTGAACACGAGAGCAAGCACCGAGACCGCTGCCAGCGCCTTCAGGCAAGGGCGCCCGGTAGATGCTCTTCGCAACGCCGTGCGGCCATTCGGAGATGCGGTCAAGGATCTCTGGAAGGCCGGCGGCATGCGGAGTCTCTTTGCAGGTATGAATTTGTCACTCTGGTGATGTCTGGCGGCCCTCTCGAGTCATCTTTCGGCTGAGGGCGATGCCGTCGAAGCTTGTTTACCGTGTGCATTTACTGACCGAGTCAAGGCAACGGACTCAACGTCATCAAAATCATGCCCGAAAGCGCCATCAAATTCGGATCCTACGAGGCCGCAAAACGCACTCTCGCTAAGCTCGAGGGCCACGACGACCCAAAGCAGATCAACGGATATTCGAAATTTGTTTCGGGTGGTGTTGCTGGCATGGTCGCGCAGTAAGTCTTTCGTCCGTTTCCACACCATTGTCGCAGCTCCATCCCTGTCGTTGTTGGCCGTTTCATTCAATTATGCCGTTGTCAATATGTTTCTTTGTTATTCCCGTCTTTGTTTCCATCATTAACCACCGTGTAGATTCTGTGTGTATCCCCTTGATACGCTGAAGTTCCGCCTCCAAACATCCACAGTGCAAGGCGGCCTCACGGGAAATGCCCTTGTTCTTGATACCGCCAAGAAGATGTGGCAAGCTGGTGGAATGCGCAGTGCATACCGTGGTGTTACCATGGGTCTGATGGGCATGTTCCCCTACAGTGCCATCGATATGGGTACGTTTGAATTTCTCAAGAATTCTTACAAGAGTTACATGTCAAAATACCGAGGCATACACGAGGAAGATGTCAAGCCGGGCAACATCATGACTGGCATTATTGGGGCTACCAGCGGTGCTTTTGGAGCATCAGTGGTGTACCCTCTCAACGTCCTGCGCACGCGACTACAAACACAAGGCACAGCTATGCACCCGGCCACATATACCGGCATCTGGGATGTTGCCCAAAAGACGCTTAAGAATGAGGGCGTGCGGGGCATGTATAAGGGCCTCACCCCTAATCTCCTCAAGGTTGCTCCAGCACTGAGCATTACCTGGGTTGTGTATGAGAATACAAAGAAGCTCCTTGAATTGGAGTGAAGAGGAAGAAAGGATTGGAAATAAGGGGATTGATCTATGGTCAAGGCTGGATTGATGACAGCGGCCAGAAGGGACCAGAAAGAGTGGAAGCAGGGGAGGATTTTCGAAAGGCATGCGGAGGATCGCCTGTAGCCGCCACGAGAGCGGCTCTTCATACAATTGTTTCAGGAACATGGCACGCAGTCATGGCGTTTGGAAGACGTGGAGGAGAGATACCAGAAGACTTTTGATTGCTCGAGCAGACCAGGGAACCGGACTGGCGGTAAGGTAGCCATGTGCCGTGCCGTAGTGGATTAATCCCAGAGATCTATGCTCAATGCGGATGAACGCCGTTGTGTAAGTGGCTGCCCGCCACGTGGAGCTGATGCTTGGTGAGGTTATCGTGACGACCACCGAGTCCCCTCTTATACGGATGCTGTGGTGGTACCGACGGCGGCGCCCGCGAGGGGTACATCTCCCATCTCCCATCTCCAAATCTTCAGATGGCAGGACGGGGTGACGTGGACAAGGCACGTCGTCGGTCGTCGGTCGTCTGCCCTACGAGGACCCGGTAGACAAACATTTACGACAATCAAGCTTGATCATTGAGCTTACGTGCGATCGTCGTCACCCCGCTTGCAGGATTCCGACCGCGAGAAGCTTGATTGATGAGGTACCCCGTCGAGGTGCAGGGAAGACGACGGTGATTCGTAACCCGCGAGAGAAACCACCCCGGCTCGGAGCGGTAGCCGAAGTCGGTGGAGATCGGTGCCGAATGCGCGGTAGCCTGGAACTTTTGTCGTCAGCGTAATATCGGTCAGAAGATAGTCCACCGAAGTCGAAGCTTGACTTGATAAGGTACTGAAATTTATTGCTTGCAAAAAAACACAGCAAAAACACGATAGGCTCTTGCCGTTGACATCACATCCCGGTCGACCATCGTGCTTACACCACCATGAGGTACAGATACCTCCAAGATGTATCCCGTCAGTCATATCCATATGGATGGATGTCCCGTCTGACAGAAGTCCCTTCCGCCGGGCGAGACTCCACACCGCCATCTCCGTCCAATTGAGTTTTCCCAATGCTGCAGCATTCGTAGTCTCTTCTTTAACCAGCTTCCTGTTTCGTTTGGCCGCACAAGCGTGTGTCACGCAGCCTGGAAGAAGAGTCAAGCCAGAAAAACACAGCAGTCACCCAATGTTACCATGGGCACGTCAAGCGACGCGGGGCAGCTGGTAGGGTAACATGTCTCTGTCGCCGCCATCCACCGCCGTGTCGGTACGCGGTCTCATATCTCCCTGATCTACAAGCTGACGAGTCGCCCCCTCCCCTCTTGCGATGTTCGAATCCTCTGCCGCCGTATCGGGTACAGTCGCCGCGGGGGAACGATGGTGTTTTTTTCGCTACGATTTGGTAGTCCTCGGCGACCCGATCGATATACGACCGGGGCTTCTCAATTTCTCAGCGAATTCGCAATTCCACCCGGTGGTTGGGGACCGATGTTGGAATCGGCAGCCGGTAGCCGCAATTCGTAATTCCCATTCATTCTCTTCCGTCGTCCTGCCGCGTCTGAAGCTGACTCTGACATCTTTCTTCCCGCCTTTTCCCCCTCCACCTTTCGTGTGTCTATCCAAGTGAACACGCACTCTCGTCAACGCCGCGAGTCCTCCTTCCTATTGCCATCGTCTGCCTCAGGACGATTGTACACTTTTCTCAATTGTACTTTTGCATAGGCAATCGTAAGCTAATCTTTGCCGGCCGTCACTCTCCGCGGAAGCGAAGCCGTCACCCAGACTGTTTGACACCGTTTCTTGGCATCCGTTTTATCCGCCTCTCGACACTGCGCGTATCAGCCAAGCCCGTCACGATTCAGTCCCGTCCCTCTGTCAGGAGCTGTCCAAACCGTCCGTCTGTGTGTCTGGCTTGAGTTTTCAAGGGGCAAAGCTCAAACAGTAGCTGCAATAACTGTCAAGCATTAAGAAACAAAACGGTACCAGGCCAGGCCGCACGTACTGAAATAGAAATTCGACTGCCCGCCGCCGCCATGCCGGCCCCGTATTCCGACAACCTGTACTCCGCCGACGACTCCGATCTCGAAGGCCCGGACGACGACAACCTCGACGCCCACCTGTCGCCCACAGACGGCTACTTCCAGAGCTCATCGTCGTCAGCAGGCAACCTCTACCCTCCCCAGCAGACGCAGGAACACGAGCGCCGCGATACCTGGGACAACGTCACCGACGCGACGCTGCCCACATCCGCTGGCGTCCCCCACGTACCCAACGTCCTCGTCCAAGACCCCTCTCTGCAGAAAGGCGCATCGTCAAAGGACCACGAAGCAAGGGAAGAGACGAGGTTGAACACATCATTCGCCCCGCAGAGTACTTCCGCGGTTGACGACTTCTACGACGGCGCCTCGACCATCGCCGATAGCGTAGCGACACCATCACACACGACTTACACCTCGGCCGCCCAGAGCTCGTCGTCTTATACGCCTTACTCGCCCTCCACTGACGCTCCCCTGCGCACACCCCAGACTCATCCAAGAAGGGGTCTGTACTCTCAGCCATCTTCGCTGTTCCGCATCCCAAGAGAGGCGCCGCCTGCCTACACGCCTTCGCCCACGTCTCCTTTGTCGTCATCACCAACAGAGTTCAGGAATTACCAGACCTTCAACACCATGGGGGCGCCTGAGGAAGCGCGGCACCTGCTGGGCCGTGACCCGGAGAGCATGGGCGACGAGCCTTATGATGAGGACCCTAGACCTCAACCGTGGAGGGAGAGAGTTCTTAAGAGATTTCCCTGGGCATCCAGACGGACGTTGAAGATGGTGTTGTTCGCCCTGCTGATGTTCTCCATCTTCGTTGGCTTCTTAAGCATGATGAGCGGAACCGCCAATCAATCGGTAGGTGACATTTTCCCAAGACTTCTATTTCTAGCTAACACACGCTTAGCCTAAATCTCCCTCCAAGGAGCCCGCCAAGCAATTCGACCCTGTCACGGGTCTCCCCATCAAGGACGGCCCTGAGGCTCCTGCCCAGCCTTCCGATCCTACCAAACCATCGCAGCCCGGACACCCTGGCCTTGAACGACCTCTTCCCTGGAAGCCTCAAGACATTTGCGCCAAGGCGGAGCACCGCTTCGAGACGAAGGTCTTCGACCTCTCCTTCGCGCCCGAGAAGACCCTGAGCGTGCTCCAAACCGTCGAGAGCGACACGCCCTCGCGCGGCTACCAACCCCATGTGTCGGGCAACTTCATCGTGCGCCGCCAGCTCTCCGACGCACCCGGCCCGTCCATCGAGCTCGAGGTCGTCTCCAACGACGAAAGCCTCAAGGTCGAGGTCGAGTGGGAGTCCAGCATCCAGCAGCTCAAGATCAAGTCTCCTCAGCGGGTCGAATGGAACCAGCCGCTGCGACCCTGCATGACCATCCGCGCCACCGTCTGGGTCCCCGAGAACGCCGACATCAACGTCTTCAAGCTCGCCGCGCTGCACCTCGGCGTCCAACTCAACGACGATCTCGCCATCTCCGTCAAGGACACCCTCGAGATCCGCACCTACGCCGGCGACGTCCGCGTCCCTGTCGACTCCGTGGCGTCCTACCGCCTCGACTCGCGTAACATCGTCGTCCAAACCATCTCGGGCGACATCGCCGGCACCTGGCCCCTCTACGACTCGCTCAAGATCGGCTCCGAATCGGGCGACATCGCCGCCGGCGTCGTCCCCAAGCCCGTCCTCGAGTCCCGCCCCCTCCCCGCCGTGCTCGAGGTCACCTCCGTCTCGGGCGACGTCGTCGTCCAGGAGCCCCTCAAAGAAGCCACCGCCAGCGCCAAGCCCGACACCGTCATCCCCCCGCGCGACTACTACACCAGCATCGACACGAAGTCCGGCAGGATCAAGGCCTACGTCGCCTTCAGCACCGTCGCCGCCATCACCAGCGTAAGCGGCGACATCACCGGCGTCGCCCTCCCCGTCTACGACGTCAGCCTCCTCAAGAGCGTCCCCGAGCCCGAGCTCCACACCAAGACCAAGTCCGGCAGCATCGTCTTCGAGGTCCTCGAGCCCATGTGGGTGGAGATCGCCAAGACGCTCGGCAGGGACGAGAAGAAGGCCCCCAACGCGAACCCCAACATCCCCGTCGACATCCCCACGAACCCCCTCCCCGTCCCCAACATCCCCCGCGTCCCCTCCGTGCCCTCCATCCCTTTCATCCCCATCGGCGCCCGCGACCCCTACCGGAACCTCCCCGGCTCCAGCCGCCGCTGGCTCGACCTCCTCCCCGGCAAGCGCGATGCCGTAGTCTCCTCCTCCTCCTCGTCCTCCTCGGACACGCGCCAAGCCGCCCCCGTCGCGGCGGTCGCAGTCGCCCAGCCCCCGATGCGCCACCTCAAATCCTCCCACACCACCGTCAGCGGCAACATGGACATCAAGTACCCGGCCTCCTGGGAGGGCACCGTCAGCGCCGAGAGCATCAGCGGCGGCATCGACCTCCGCGGCAGGGACCTCAAGATCGACAGCCACACCAAGTGGCCCAGGGCCGTCCGCGCCCACAAGGGCCAGGCCTGGACGTGCGAGGCCTCGCTCGGCAGCGTGAGCGGGCACGAGAACCTGACTATCGGGCCCGAGAAGTAAAGAAATAATATTCGGGAGAAGAGTTTTTGAGATGAGGAGGAGGGGAGTGTCCAGATGTGCGGGAAATATCGTGGACGAAGGAGGATGAAGAAGCAAGGAGTATGAGAATGGATTACGGAATATGGATATACCTGTCGTTACGAGACCCTTTTTGACTTGATTTGGCGTTCGACGGCATGGCAAAGGATGTGTCGTTATATCTAGTAGTGCGAATACCGGCGGGGGTTCAATCAACGCCCACGACCTTTTTTTCTTGAATCAAATACATACGTACAAACATTCGTCTTCCCTTCAGATCCATCTTGCAAATGACTTTCTTGTATGAATGTACGTGTTGAGTTGTACAGGGGTATCAAATCATCTATCTTCACACCTACTCCTCATCCTCATCCCTCCCCAGAAGCTCCCAATCCACCTTCCGATACCTCACCTCATACTTCACCCACCTCTCCACCCCCGGCAGTTGCACCCCGAGCGTCGGCAACGCCAACATCCTCAGAATCTCACACCCCGTCTCCTCGTCCCGATTCACCGCATACAGCGCGGGGAGCGTATACCGCACCTTCCCCGGCGCGAACCGCTTCAGCACGACTTCTAACTTACTCCGCGCCCCCTCGTCGGCGAGACCCTCGCGGAACGCCTTGGCGTGCTGGGCCCCGAACGGCGCGACGCGGAAACACGCCCTCACCCGTCCCTTGACGCGGATCCAGAACCGGCCGTCCCAGAGCTCGAAGCGGCGCCAGGAGCGCCAGTTCTTGGAGTTGGCGTCGGGCGCCGGGAGGGGCTGCGTCGCCAGGTGGCGGAGCCACTCGGAGTGGGTGAGGTCCGGGGAGAGCGGGGGCAGGGAGACGAGGGCGTCGGTCTCGCCGTCGCGCCAGGTGGAGCCCGGGCGCGGGCCGGGGGGGAACTGGGGGAAGCGGCGGTGGGCGCCGCCGGAGGCGGTGATGAAGGAGGTCTCCGGGGTGGGGATGTTGGAGGGGTAGGGTTCGCGGGTGAGGTACCATTTCCGCGGGTGCGTGGGGACGGGGAGGAAGAGGACGGAGGCCTGGTTGAATGCTTTTCTGGTGGATGCGTCTTCCGGTTCTTCGGCTAGGAGGGGGAAGAGGCGGGCGACGACGGATTGGAGCGAGGAGAGCTGGGCGTAGTGTTTCTCGGGGGATACGAAGGAGAGGAGTTTGCGGACGACGATGGCCGCGATGGTTCGGCGGTGCGCGAGGCGCAGCTCACGCCGTCTTTTCGTTGTCGTCGTACGGCGTTTTGACAAGGGGACGGCCATGGTCGGGAGCTCGACGACGAGGGTCCCCGCGTTGGGCTCGAAGTCGGCGACGACACCTCTCCTGATCCACCGCTCGGCCTCCCTCTCCTGCGCCCGCACCCTCTCGTCGCAGCGCGCCGAGAGCCGGAGGATGTTCTCTTTCGACAGCGCCGCGGGCAGCTCGTGGTTGCGCACCATATGCCTCACGGCATTCCGCATCGTCAACGTCCGATCCTCGTTCGTCGGGTCCTCGAACCACCGGACCTTATTGTGCTCGCACGTCGCCCTCAACCTGTCCTTACTAAACCCCAACAGCGGCCGATACAACATGACCCCCGCGTCCTCGGTCTCGATCCGCGGGACGTTCCTCACAGCAGCAGCCGCCGCCGCCGCCTTCGCCCTTGCCCTCGCGGAGGAGAAGACGACGTCCTCCTCGTCCGGATCCGTATACGGCGCCTCCTGCGAGCCCGCGCGCGCCTCGGCAGAATACAGGTCCCAGTCGAGCTCGTCGGACAGCTCGCGGCGGACCCAGCGCCACTCGCGGCGGGGCGGGCGGAAGGAGATGGGGGGCACGGGCAAGGTCAGGTCGTCGACGTGGCCGGACTCGTAGACGCCGTGCATGTCGTGGCACTCGGGGATGTCGGCGCGGGGCATGATGCCGCGCAGCCCGCGGCTGCCGTGGCCGGCGAGCAGGCGCATGAGGACGGTCTCGTGCTGGTCGTCCTCGTGGTGCGCGAGGAAGACGCTCTCGATGTGGAGGCTGCGGCAGAAGGCGCCGATGCGTCTGTATCTTGCCCTCCTTGCTAAACTCTCGAGGTTCGGGGCGTCCGCCGGGTCGCCCTCCACGCCGACGTCCCTCTTCCAGTCGAGGGCCTCCACGACGGGCGAGACGTGTTTATAGGTCCTGAGCTCCCTCGCGACGGCGGCGGCTTCCTCGCCGGAGCCGGGGCGGAGGCGGTGGTCGACGATCATGGCGGAGATGCGGCCGAGGCAGTTGTCGACGACGGGGGCGGTGGGCGTGACGGCGCGGTGCTGGTTGAAGAGGAAGGCGAGGGCCATGGAGTCGAGGCCGCCGGAGACGGCGAGGAGGACGCGGCGGCGCTGGGAGACGCGGGCGTGGGGGAACCGCGGGGGCGCGCAGGCGCGGAGGGCGGCGGAGAACTCGAGGAAGCTTATGGGACGCGGGACCGGGTGGAGGATCTGGGAGGGGTGGATGGGTGGTGGTGGTGGCGGCATTCCATTTCCTTGCTGGCGGGTTTCTGCCCTTTTTCGTGGTGGTGTGGAAGTGGTTTCTTAATGTTGTGTGAATTTGTGTCTTCGGCGGTGGCTCGTAGGTAGATTTCGAACGAGCGTGGCGGGTTTGAAGCTGTAGATGTTCAGACAAAAGTCCAATTGGCGAATCAGAGCGGCGTGGAGCTTGCAACGTGGGATGTGTTCCCCAGGATCTTGGACCGGGGGAGAGCTCGGGGCCCTCGGAGGAAAGATTTCCCAATCGAAGTGGAGGGTCCAGTCCCGGTCTCTCGGAGCAGCACCCGAGCTAACTGTCAAGGACCCCTGTTTTTTTACGTACATGGCACCGCGGCGACCGAATCGAAGCTCCGATATCTCTCTCACCAACAAAAAAGATATCGCAAAACACCCTCTCTCCCCGCGCAAACCCTCTCGCCTTTCTCAACCAGACATGACCCCGCGATCCTGACGAAAAGCATAAGGCCCTTGAGCCTTTCCCCTCCAATTGACATATTCCACCATTCTTTCAACCGTCAATTCCTCATCAAGACCCCTCCATCGCAGCGCACGCGACCCGAACCCAACCACACCGACACCGACAAACACCCACCAAAATGTCCACAAACACCCCCTTCACAACAGCCCTCCTCGCAGGCGCCCTCGCCGGCACGACCGTCGACCTCACCCTCTTCCCCCTCGACACCCTCAAGACCCGCCTGCAATCCTCCGCCGGCTTCTTCCCGTCGGGCGGCTTCAACGGCATATACCGGGGCATCGGCTCCGCGCTGGTCGGCTCGGCCCCGGGGGCCGCCTTCTTCTTCTGCACCTACGAGGGCGCCAAGACCTTCATCTCTTCTCGTCTAGTGTCCGCCGACGGCGCCAACGCGCAGTGGGCCGCGCCGCTGAGCCACATGCTCGCGGCGTCGCTGGGCGAGGTGGCCGCGTGCGCGGTGCGCGTGCCGACGGAGGTGGTCAAGCAGCGCGCGCAGGCGGGACAGCACGGCGGCTCGTCGGCGGCGGCGCTGCGGGGGATTCTGGGGCTGTACGGGACGGGGGCGGGCGTGGCCGGGGTGTGGAGGGAGCTGTACCGCGGGTGGAGCATCACGGTGCTGCGGGAGGTGCCGTTCACGATCATCCAGTTCCCGCTGTGGGAGAGGCTGAAGCGGTGGGGGCGGGAGAGGAAGCAGAGCAAGAACTGGAAGCTGGGCGGCGCGCCGCAGACGGAGTATGAGGTCTCGGCGGTCGAGAGCGCGTTGTACGGGAGCGTGGCGGGCGCGGCGGCGGCGGGTATCACGACGCCGCTGGACGTGTTGAAGACGCGGGTCATGCTGAGCAAGCAGAAGGTCAGCGTGGGGGATGTGTTGAGGGAGATTTATCGGGATCACGGGGTGCGGCCGTTTTTTGCGGGTATCGGGCCGAGGGTTATGTGGATTAGCATCGGAGGCGCGATCTTCTTGGGAAGTTATCAGTTCGCGGCGAACACGCTCACCGGGGCGGTGTTGTGAGATCGGGACTGAGAGAGAGGGACGTCATGGGCCAAGGAAAGAGATATGCATTGGAGGCCACTCAACATGCCTCCCGCTCTGTATGATACCATCGCACGTGGTCGCGATGGCCACGTTTGACGACTTTTCCGCTATGTACATTACTAGAAACGCCATAATACCCGTGCTGATAGAAACCACAGAAAAGCAGGGCTCTGCTCATGCTTGGACGACGATTGACTATCCAATTCTCCTCGTTGCAGATGACTACGTGTCTATGCTGTAGGGTTTGGAGGTGTGCTGCTGCCCTGCGACGGCGCAGGCTCGGGTTCGGGTGCGGCAGGCTGAGGGGGCGGGTTGGGGATCTCCTTGCGCCCGTTCGCCTTGTAGTACAACTGAACGTCATTACCGCCCTTCCAGATGTGGGCGCGAAGGGTCGCCAGGGTCATGGTGATGGGTAGAAGCTGGGATGGTCAGTCGCAAGTTCAAGTAGCATGAGGAAAAGACTCACCTGTTCGTTGCAGTAGAGCTCCAAGTACTCATGCGGCAGTAGAGCATCCGGCTCCGGGTTCTCAACTGGGGCCTCGATCCGCTCTGCAACGTAGGCCAGGATCTTCTTCACACGAAGCATCCTGTTGGCATTCAGTCGGTTGTTGCCATCCGTCGACGCAATGTCAGGCAGGCTGTTCTGCCATGGCTGCAGCACGAAGGAAACCTTTACTGGCTCCTTCTGGGGAATCTGATTTTGAAGCAGGACCTCGCCCAGCCACATAGGACCGCGCTGCTCAATAATGTCCGCACCCTGGCCCACGGTCTCCACGGTCCCTTGGTAAATGTTTGCGCTACCACCGGACGTCTCCTCCTGGAGGACGACCTTCGTTCCGGATGGTAGCTTCAACACGGGCGTGTCGTTTGATAGACTTGGCGTGACCTTGGTTTCGATCAACTTGTCCGGACTTTCGGTCAGTGACTTGTCGTAATCATTGCGGATCTTCTGGATCGCGCCCAAGAAGCTGTCGTCAACCTCCTTCTCGTGCGTTGACGATGCCTCGGACTCTTCTGCCTTCTCGTCGACGACAGCAGGCTTTTCCGGCGCCGTCGTGGAAGCTGAACGTCCCGACTTTTTACTGCCGAAAGACATGCCCATGCCCATGCGGAATTTCTTTCCAAAGGGAGACTTTCCATTGGCTGCATCCTTGTCTTTCTCCTTATCCTTATCCTTTTCCTTCTCTTTAGAATCTGCGTTGGACTTTGTATCAGCTGCCGGTGGTTGTTCAGTTGCAGGAGTTGCTGGCGCCGCAGTCGGCTTGGAGGCGCCCTCGATAGGCCCAATAGCGCTGGTAAAGTAATCTCCCTGATCAGTTGACGGGCGGCCGAACTGAGAGGATTTATTGTCGAGCGGACTGCTTGGGGTCGCAACTCCCTCAGGCACGTCTTGAAGCTTGCCACCAGGGCCCGGCGTCGCAAGGCCAATGGCCATGCCGGGGGTCATTGGGTACTGCGAGCCGTTGGCTCGAGGGGTGCCCATGTTTTCATCCCATCCAGGCGAGCCGGTTGGAATAGTGATCGAAGACGGCGGGTTGGCACGAATGGCTGCCACCCTCCGTTCTACTACTTCGTTCAGGGTCTGACGATACGCCTCATCCCGTTTGATCTCCTCATCAATCAGGCCGGCAAATAGATACCGAAGCACCCATTTGCCAAGGTTGACTGCCAAAGTCAGCTTTTGTGCGTCAGTCACGTTGGGGTTGTCTTACTTCTTTGGTCTTCTCTGAACTCAATAGGCTCTTCTAGTGCCAGCTCATCGGCGTACATCTCAGCATCAAAGCAGTTGAACGGCTCAAGCACCACCGTAAGACTACCGGAGCTGATGTCGATAGAGCACCAAGGCGCAACTGCTTCAGTTGTGTTGACTTCCGGCTCGACGTCTTCAAGATGTCTTTTGCCAAAACTCTTGATCGGCTCGCACTGCTCAAGTTAGAAATTGTACCCACCATTGACTCATTGAACGCACCTTGATAAGATCCCAAAGGAGAACATCGCCAGCAGTGTCTAGTGTCAATACTCTTCTTCTATCATTCAGCAGCTTATGTTTCACAAGACCAAACTGGCCCTCAATGGTCTCCTCCGGGTTCTGATGGATCGGCTCTGTCTCCTGTGGGATGTGGGCCCCGGTAACGGTAGCGGGAGGGGTTTCGGGGGCGGGATTGGTTTGGATGGGGAAGGCTGCTGTATTGGATATTCTCAAAATCGACCGGGTTGAGATCTCCTTCTTTGGTGCGTTGGCTGGAGGCGGGTTTGAGGGTTGTCTGGGCCTTGAGGCGGAGGATGCTGCTCTTTGTCTTCTGAACGCCTCGGGAAGCTGCAGTTCCGGGCCGGTGCTGACATTAGACCATCGGTTGATGGATGACGTGTTGGTTGCCGTCCAGATGTAGTCGCCTGCCGCAACGACCTTGCTGATAGAGTGGGACTCGTGCGCGACGGCGACTGACAGACCCTCGTCGAGGTCCGCAAGGCTTCCTCGCACGTCCGTCTTGACGACGAAGCCGGAACGGTCACTGCTGTAGAAGGTGCCTAGTTCGGGGTCGTCCGAGAACAATGACCAGACGCTGTCCTCGTGCATGGTGAACGTGTACATACAACGTCCAGCAGTGACACTCCACAGCTTGATGGTGTGGTCGGAGCTGGCCGTCAGGACCTTGTCGCCGGCTTCGTTCAACAGAATGCCGCGTACGTTATCCGTGTGACCAACAAACTTGGTTACGCTCTTGCCAGAACGAGGATCCCACAGGCGCACGACAGACTCGGGACCACCGTTGGCCATGATGGTATGGCCAACGCTCAAGGCGTAGATGGAGCCCTTCTCTGCAACCTCATCCCCCTTGGTATCGATTTCGAGAGTCTTTCCGCCGCCGTTGAGATCCCACAGGCAGATCTTGCGATCGAAGCCACCGGAAGCGACCCAGTTGACCGAGCCGCCCGGGGGCGTGGCAACGCATTTGACATAGTCCGCATGTTCGCCAATCTTGTCTGCAATCGTGTTCGTCTCGGAGTGCGGGCGCCAGACCTTGACGGTCAAGTCGTTGGAGGCGGTTACGACGGCGGTGTTCTTGTTGGCGAGGACGATGTCGTTGATCCAGGACATGTGCGCCTGGGTCTGGGAGCGGAAGGTGCTCTTCGGTTTCTTCTCGGGCTGGGGCGCGCCGGGGTTGAGGTCGAGGTTCAGGTCCCAGGCGCAGACGAAGCCATCACGGGCGCCGGAGTATCTAAACGCCAGGATGGCTTATCAGTGACTGTCGGGACGTATGCGCTTCGGGGGTGGGGAGGTATCGGGAGTCGCGCGTCGGTATCTTACAGGATGGCGTTGTCCTTGTCGACGGCCAGGCCATTGACGCCGAGTCTGTGGCCACCGCCCTGGGAACCGGCCGGGAGCTCGAGGACTGGGAGGACGGTCTGATTAGCACGACTGGCTTCATGTCTTGGGAGTACTGCATGGGCCACGGCCTTGCGACTGCAGATGCTCGATGCGCTCGACCGTGTGGACGTGCGGGGTTGCGTCGTGGGCTTCGGGAGAGATGCGACGGGACGGGAGCGCGAGCGACACACGAGCAGCACAAGCGCGGGTTTGGAGGAGACATACCGTAGCTGATCCTCTGGCGCGCCTTCTTAGCCATTTCGAGCGGTAGCGCGGGGTTCGATTAAAGATTACGCATGCGAGACGGGGAGATAATGAGACAAGTCGAAGCAGTGGGCACTTGGCGAGACGTTGGTGATGTAGCGAAGTTGGCGATTTGGCGGTTAAGGGTCAGTCAGGTAAGGTATGATGTATGGGTGGATGTGCTGTGATGAGCAGATATGGGGCGGGACCTGGAAGATGGGACGGGGTGGGCGAGGCTAATGTCTGTCGGTGTCGGCGTCGGTGTTAGTGTCGGCCATGTTCATGTTCCATTGGTGTTGGTGCAGGTTATTGGAAAGGATCCATCGCTACGACGTGAGGTCGGGGTAGAGCATGCGTGGAGCAGGTGGGTTTCTGGACAGGTGCAGGTGAGGTGGCAGGGGACGTGGATGCTGCTGTATCTGTACTTTACGGACGCCGCAGTAAGCACCTCATCCTCTTACATCCTTCATCGGAAAGATACTTCTTGGTGCAATTGAGTTCATCTATCTTCTAGGCCCTTACGTCGTCAAGTCAATGCCCCAGGAATCCACGCAGGAACTATTGGACCCTGGAAATCGCATATTGGTGCTGGCATGCACTGGACGGGACGAACAGGTCAGCTCAGCTCAGCTCGAACCTTTGCTATCTTGTTCATGCAGTTCGTTGGTGAAGCAGGGTACAGCAGCATGACAGCATTCGCTACCACAAATGGCTCGATTAGCGCCCCCAGGTGTCAGGTGCTGCAGATGAGTCCTCTCGTCCGTCTGAAGAACATCCTCACATAAGAAAGCAGAAACCGAGATGATGCAGAATTCCAATCGTATTCCAGAAGAAGCCTACTTCCTTCTGACGTCTCATTAGTGTCTCCCTCTAAAAATTGGCAGGTGTCATGGAATGTCGAAAAGGCAGTGGCTGGGAGGAGGAGGAGGCCACCCGCACCTGCCACCTGCACCTGCATCAAAAAAGCATGGACCGCCGATCCCCCTCCTTCCTTCCTTCTGTCGGGTCAGTGCCAACGTCACGGTCGTGCCTGCCCGGAAAGCTGGCTCTCCAATTGCGAAATTGTGGGGCCACCCCGCGTCTGCTCCGAGAGGCCGGCCCAATTCCATCCGCCCCCGCGTCCTTCGTCCGTGTGACATCGCCAACTGTCAATCTGCATCGTGAAATCCAATTCATGTCTCCCCATATCCAGTGTTACCCAACTCATTCCTCACGATCTTCGTTGCGGCGAATTGCTCGACGTCGGTCGCAAAAGAATTATGGCAGTCGAAACTCCCCTTGACGGCCAGCGGTGTTGAGCGTCAATAACCACAACGGCAATTGAGGCCATGTCGATGAATCTCTCAGTAACCCGAGTCCAAAGGCTTCGCCGCCGCGACAAGCTTCTGCAGACCGAGGACGCTGTTCCGCACACCCGCCGCCGTGACCGTATCGTCCCGAGCACGTCGAGCGCCCTCTGCACCCGTCGTCAGCATTGACTGCTTTTTCTCGCCTTCCATTGAAAGTCACTTACCAAGTAGATCCTTCAGCTCTCTCTCCTCGCGGGCGCAGGTACGGCAACGGCCGGGCACGGGACGGACCGCATTCTTGATGTTGCCATCGCACAGGGCGTTCGGGACCTGCGCCGGCTCCTGGTCGGGGAGGTGGATGGTGCGATCGAGGGTGAGGCTTCGCGATGACTGGAACATGGAGCTGCCCCGGGCCGAGAGGCACTTGAAGGTGTTCTGGTACTGCTTGTGGCCGCAATCCTTGTGGTAGGTGTAGATGTAGGTGCACATCTTGGCGGTTGAGACTGTTGAGGTAATGCGATGCAGGGCGTAATGGATTCTTGCGATGTAGAGAATGTTTCGTTTTCCTTCACAAAACTATCAACTTGTGGAGCGCATAAAATTGAGAGAAACCGTTGTGGTTGTGGTGATGGTTTACTGTTGTTGACGGTTGACTTGGTGCCAAATTGGAAAGAGCGATGGGGTGGGCAAGGAGTCAAGGTGAGACCAAGAGAAAGTACTGTGCCATTGTAAGTACAATTCTTCTCTGAATTTTCCTTATCGCGGTTATTTCTTGATAACTTGAAAGAACAAATTCTTGAGCAAATTGGTGAATTACTGTAACAGCCCACGCAGAAGCCACAAAGGGCAGGAGCGCTCAGCATTGATCTCTCACACCCTCAAGCACAAAGACACACCACTGCCATCTCAGACTCTTTCTTGCTTGTTCTCTGGTATCTGAAGCGCTTAAATTACAACCTTGAATTCCTTCATACTTATGGTGCTTTTATCAACTTCAACACAACATCAATGACAATAAGGGCACCGCCAAGCTAGAGTAGTAAGGGTAGTGAGGACATAACTGTCTATGGGGACAAAAAGTAGCCACGAAATTACTTAGGAATGCATGCATTCCCAGCTCTTGAATCGAATTATTCAAATATCATAACACCAGCTAACCCGACATCACCTTATACTTGCCTTGACCTGACTTGGACGATTTTATTAAGTCCGGCGGGGCTTTAGTGTAAGACCTGAGAGAATCTATTGAACCTGAAACAGAGTATTGGGGCTTCAGTCTGGTTAAAAGATTGGCTTGAGATGAAGATGACTTAGGGAATACCAAGACAAAATTGCGTTGCTGTTTAGTTTCACCTAATCTGAGTTGTGGTGAGAACCGTATGAGAGCGCCTGCAACACTAACTTCGTACGGAAGCCTGATCAACCAGACACATGCTCAAGCCAAGACATCATGGGGCATAGCCAACAAGAAATAACCTGGCCAGAACAGGCTCCGTGTGAGTTCCGTATGCGCTCCGTGTAAGCTCCGCCTAAGTGGGGCCGATATCGGGAGCCGGCGCCGGGCCGGGCCGTCGACTCTGGTGGTGCGACGACGGTCACGTTTGCGACGAAAACACAGCTCGAGAAAGGCTTTAAGCGCGGAAGTTTTGCGAAACGCTATTCCGAGGGTGGGTTGGACGGCAGCGCTATGCGAAAACAACTTCGCGGTTATATGCGCGGTACTTTTGTTGACTCTCCTCGGCAGCTCAAGCTTTGAAAATCTTCCCTGGGCAGTTAATACCGGCATTCTCCCTGGAAAAAAATACTAGAGGTGGAAACACAGACTCTTGAATCGATTCAAAACATGTTGGTCCTGACCGTGTTCTCGTCCACTCTCTGTGCCGCAGAGCCTGATTTCATCCCGGTGATTCCTGCGCGCCGTAGTGCTGCCTTGGTACGGCCGAATCAGCCAGTCTGATGTAGGCAGGCTCATCCAGTCAGTTCCACTGCAGTAAGTACCTAGTACGGAAGCTGATCCGTACCATTTGAGTCTATTAAGGATGGTCGCAAGGCGCTGTGGACATGAATGAGACTAGTGTAACGTTCCCCAGGGCACGGCAGGCAGCAACTTGGGAGGCTACAGAATCCATCAAAATCAGTGACTTTCCGCTTTCTTCCTACGGCGCTCAGCCTGATTTTGTTTTGTTCCTGTAGATTCACCGACGTTGTCGTTTCCGCGAAAAAGATGACTCGTGCCTCGGCAAGTTGTGGCAACGACCCTCCTCCCGCCACGATGGAGGCGAACTCCTCGCAGTGCCCGCTCCTCGGCGAGGACCAGATCAGAGAAACAGATAACAATGTTCGAGATGACCGGCACACGGCTCCCACAACGCCCGACGGGTCTCCCAGCTCTTCTCGGACAACCGACCAACCCAGTGTGAGAGAAGAGATGGAAGAATTCGACGCATCAACCCAGGAGACCTCGTTCTGGTACAGAAGGCGCACAAGAAACGATAACAGTCCCACTGGAATCTCACGCGAAGACACAGCTGCTTGGTCCTTGTTCACGAGGGACGTCGACAGTGTAGCACCCAGCGAGCCGGAGATTGTATTTGATCCAGTGTCATATTGGGACCTGCGAAAACTCAACACCTTCATTATGTGGCAATTGGAAGTCTTTTCTCTGGTAATTTCAATGGCTTCTTTTGCGGGCATCGTGGTGCTCCTGGCCATGTACGACGGAAAGCCACAGCCTGGATTCGCGAGCCGGATCAGCATCAACGCGCTCATCGCCATCTTCTCTACCGTCCTTAAAGCTACGCTCCTCTTCGTAGTATCCGAGGGTGAGTGGATATCCACATCTATAACGGCCGTATCTGACGACTACCAGTCATGGGACAGCTCAAATGGAAATGGATTGAGACTCCGCGGCCGGTACGCGATATAGAGTACTTCATCAATGCTGGAGCGGGCTTAGGAGGTTCTTTGAAGTTTCTATTCTTCACATGGAAGCCGTTCGTTTTCCCAAGCATTTGCAGTCAAGATCACGAAAAGACGAGCGACAGTCACTCACAGTTACTGCAGGATATTGGCCATTCTCGGCGCCGTCATTGTCATCGCTTCCGCGGCGATCGGGCCCTTTTCGCAGCAGTCCTCCGCTACCTACCCTTGCGATGAGCTTGACTCTTCTTCAATAGCAAAAGTCAACATTTCTCACATAATAGAAGGGGAAATGGCCCCGGAAATGCGCGGCATCGCCACCAAGGGCCTCGTCTTCGGGGGCTCAGACACCTCGGCCGCATGCGATACCGGGAACTGCACGTTCGCCTCGTACGAATCGATAGGAATTTGCAGCAGCTGTTATCACGCAGCTGATGATACAAAGAGCTTCGATGAAAACGAGAGCGACTTAACGGTTGGTTGGCCTTCTTCGACCGATGGATTCAACTCCTCGTATGCGTTGAGAATGAAGACGGCATTCCAGCCGATGTGGGAGCCAGAGAACTCGAACAGCACAACAGAACGACGAGTCACCGAGGCCTTGCTCGGAGTAAATACGACGATATCCACCATCATGATCACGACCAACAATGACACCCCTAACTCCGTTACGGAGAGACCGGCCCATGATCTCAACGAGCATCTCCGTATTCTCGCTGTCGACTGCACCATGTACCCGTGTGTTCGAAACTACAGCGGCAGAGTCAAGAACGGGAATTTCAGAGAGCTCGTGACTCATCAGACGCCGCTTCCGCTTGTGTCGAGGATGGAATACCGAAACAACACACCTTACGAATATTACGGAGATTTTGTAGAATTCACAGATCCCTGCTTCTTCAAGAATCAATGGTGGACCGCTTCAAACATCACGATGGCGTCCTCGTATCAACACAAGACTCCGACAGCTGACGACAATGCCTTCAACCAACTGACCTGGAGGTTGAACGGCAAAATGGCAAAGATCCCGACCAAATGTTCGAGGATGATCAGCGCCGAAACCTACGGCAGCATACAAAAGTTCATCGACACAAATATCAAAGCTTCTTGTAGCGTTTCCGGTACCGATGATGATCTCAAAAGAGGTTTGAAGACCGTGGATTGCGGGGATAAGTGGTGGATAAACTCAGTATTCAATGACGGCCAAGCCTCACTGACGTCCGTCGATGCCGCTTTCGACGACATGGCGACGGCGATCACGAGCCTCATACGCGTCAACGGCTTGAGCTATGATCGCAAACCCCATGCTTATGCCTACGGTTCGATAAACCAGGGCGCGGTGTGTATCAAGGCTTCCTGGCCGTGGCTGATTTACCCGGGCTCGTTATTGGTTCTTACGATGGCGCTTTTCATGACGACTTACGTGACGAGCATGATGGAGAGGCGCGAACGTCCAGTTTGGAAGTCGTCTGTCCTGCCTCTAATATTCTACTATATCAAGTCTGAAGGGGCAAATTTGAGAGACACGGATGCCGGTGGGAATAAACAGGTCTGCCTCTTACAGCTTTTGGAGCTGGAGGAAGTAGCAAAGAATACGATAGTGCGGTTCGATAATGATACGGATGCCCCTGGGTTTGTTGCGGAGGAGGGAGAAAAGGGGCCGAGCAATAATGTTCCTTAATTCTTGTTAAAGCACCGTCATAGTAAGCTACACATCGTACGAAATTGGAGCTCGGGGTTGCGGTCCAGCAGTTGATCCGCTTGGGAAACTGTTGGTCGAGGTTGTCATCGAGAGTTCCCACTTCGCCGCATATTTGTCTGACATGCATGGAACTCATAACCCCCAAACATTGATTGGCCCGCCGTACGCACGTATCGCAAAGCCTGATCAAGACATGCAGCTGGTAAGACTTCGGCGCTTACGTCGACGTTTCACTGAGAGACAACTCCTTAGGCAGAGGTCGAATCTGATAAACCCCTCGTTTCCCAGTCTTCGTCTACAACTGATTTCGCCCCTGAACCGGATCACTGATACACAAGACAACATGGACCAGAAAACACATACCGAGCATCCCTCACTGACGAACCTATGCGCGAGATGTTCCGTCATTCGCATAGACGACCAAATGCTGCAAAAGTTGGACGACACGGAAAAGCCAGGCACATATGATCAACCGGATTGTAGACTGCTGCTTCCATACAGCTTGATAGATCTCGGTCCAGAGCTGCCAGCCTTGAGGGAAGGTGCAGAAGAAGGCTGCGGGTTCTGTGAGATTCTGCGACAACAGATCAGCAATACGGAGCTGTGTCAAGTCTTCTACCAAGTCTACATCAGGCTGGGTTATCGGCGACAGTCGTCATCCATGGGTGATATTTTCGGTCTTGTGGTTGAGCTGAATGGAGTAAGCCCCACTCGTCTTGAATATCTACCCCTTGCTCAAATGCATTACCCTGATACAACACTTCTTTTCGAAGTCGAGAGTGACTCAGGTAAGTTATGTTTCTACGGAGGATGTGCCGAAGCTCGTGGTACCGCAAATAAAAAAACCCTTACTAATTGTATGTACCACAGCCGATTTACGAACGAGGCTAGGGGTGCCGGGACTTTCAAAAGACGAAACTCTTTGCGGTGATAATGTTCGATTCATGAAGGAGGCGATAAGAAACTGTACATTATCTTGCAGTCATCGCATCTTCAAGGCACACTTTCCAAAGCGGCTGCTCGACGTTAGCACAGCTACCGGCTCACAAGGAGTTCGTCTTGTGGAGAGTTCTACAGTTTTGAGCGGTGACCAACGGCCAAGATACGCAGCACTCAGCTATTGTTGGGGCAACGAAGACGACGCCCGAGCTCAGTTCAAAACAAACAAAGTCAATTATGAAGCCAACAAGCTCGAAATCGACTTGCATCAACTGTCTCAGGCTCAGCTCGATGCAGTAAACGTATGCAGATCACTGAATCTTCAGTACTTGTGGGTTGACTCCCTCTGCATTGTTCAAGGCGATGCTGTCGATTGGGAAGAGGAGAGCGTTATGATGGCAGAGATCTACAACAACGCCACTGTGACAATCGTAGCTGCGAATTCCCGTTCTTGCGAGGAGAGCTTTCTGCAGAGGGATCGCAAACATGTCGAGCTTCAATTTTGTTCTACCACTTCTGGGGTTTGTGGCACGTACAGCTTGGTTCCGTCCACTACATTCGACCTTGAGCCAGTTTGGTTTCGTCACGAATTCGACGAAGCAAGTGATTGGGACAGTCGTGGTTGGACATATCAAGAGAAGATTATGTCGCAACGACAACTGTTTTTCGGAAAAAGCATGGTCCATTTCCTGTGTCCCTCCATGACTGCCTCAGAGAATGGTTTTTACGAAGCTCGTGGCACCAGTTTGGAGTGGGACATGGAAGATCTTGTTAAGCAAATGGAACCAGAAAGTTCTCAGATCCAAAGAATCTGGGCCTCTGTTCTAATGAGATACTGCGCCCGGAAGTTCACCGTCATCGAAGACAGACTCCCCGCACTCTCAAGCCTGGCTGGGATGTTCGCCAAACTAAGCAAGGAGCCTGACAACTCATACATTGCCGGTCTATGGAAAACAGGCCTCCCGTACTACTTATTGTGGATGGGAGCGTCGGACATTTTTGATGACTCTGAAGCCTTAGAGGGAATTGGAGGTCTTGCAACAAGAGTCTCCTCGCCCCCTCATTACCTGGCACCCACGTGGAGTCCGATGAGATGGGGAACGAATGGATTTGCCAACTTCCTGACGATTGTGCTCAACATGCATGAATCGAGATTCATATCGAAATGCCTCAAGATCGAAGCTCACGTGGAGACAGAGAGCGGAAATCCTTTCTGGAAAGTGCGAGATGGCATGCTCCGTGTAAAGGCTTGCTTTGGCCCTGCTCCCCACGCCATCTTGCGGTGCGACTGCTATACGGCGATGAATCTGCGTCTTTGGAGAAGGGGCTGGAGATTCACTCAGAATGAAACCAGAATCGCGTATGGTCAATTTGACAACGGAAGGGATGATCACCATAACTGGTTTCCTCACTCGCGCCTGCCCCGGGATGGATTGATGATGCTGGTGGTTGGAAGTTCTCCGAGTCGAAGGCCGTGGCGTTGGCGACGTCGATATAACGATCACTGCCGGGCTTGTATCGACCCTGGACCCGTCTCCCCGTCGCAGTCTTGCGACGGCGACTCCTCCAGCGAGGCATCCGAATCAGACTCGGGAGAAGATAGTCCACAGCAAGTCACACAGTCACCAACTTGTGAAAAGGACGGCATCATTATGGAAGACGACGATTCTACCACATCTGAGTCATCTGGAGGCAGCTCAGACGAATTATGTACAGATACAGAGAAGGAGGATCTCTGGGGATTGTTACTTTACCCGTGTCAAGTAGAGGGTCAGGAAGACAAGTATGTTCGGGTAGGCGTTTGGGGGTCTTCCGGATACGACAGGGGCGACAGCGATTTCTTCGATCAGTTGAAAGTTCAAGAAGTTGAGATTATTTGACAAGTTATATCCGAAACAGTTGCCAGGTAGCTGATAAGACTAATGGAGTTGACTTGAAGGATGTGGCGATTGATTTTGAACTCGCTACGGATATCAAAACGTCACTTGGGTATGTGACACTGTCTAACGAAGAAATCCTGACCTTGAAAGTAATCTAGCCTTATCCGCATTTCCGATTTCTTTCCCTCCAACAACGAGATTGCTGACAGACTTAGTTACTGCAGCCAATCTCAATACCCGTGGCAAAGTATTCACCAGCGACAGGAATGAAACCAGCCAAAGCGCTAGCAACAGGACCGACCCAACCGCAGCCTCCCTTCTCGTTGTTAACATTGCTGGAACTGAACTCGACAACCAAGTCGTCAGGCTGCAGCTGGTTGTCGATGTAGGCGGTGACGCGCATAAAAGAGGGCACCCGGTGAGCCCACTTGCGGGTGGTGCACTGGATGCCGGGCTCTCCTTTGCAGGGATAGTCGCAGTTGTTTCCGCTGCTAGTGTAAGGGCCGCAAGCAGCGTTGGGGTCGTGAGGGAAACTCGGGATCATGCTGAAGCCCTCGCAGTCGCTGAAGACCTGGTAGGCGTTCTTGTTGGCAACCTCCTCGAGAACTTCATACATGGTCGTGACGAGGCCCTCGCGCATCTCGTTGTTGGAAAGACCGGGCGTCTGTCCCCAGGCTCCCGTCATCTTGAGTTGAACGGAGACGGTCTCCTTCGTGTCGCTGGTGGGACGGCACTCGTGGTTCTGAGCACCGATGGCGCGGTCGGTCGTGATGGCTCGGGCATTGCCCGGCTCAGCGTAGATGGCCTCCCAGGTTGCCTTGAAAAGGTCGAGGTCGCCAACGTCGACCATAGTGTCGCTGAATCTGGCCTCGAGCTGGACAAGAGCTGATGCTTGGGCGGCCATGGTGGCCAGGAGTGCGTTGCTGGAGAACTTCATGATCTGCATTTTCATTCAGATGTTAGCGTATGACCCTTGAGACAAGAATCGAGAGTTCCGACTTACGAGTTCGAGGTTTTTGGAAACGAATGTTTGTAATGAATGGAAGACTTTGGAAAGTAACGAATGATGAATGTGCCACGAGCAAGATGCCTGATGAGCGGTGATGAAAGTCGTGATGAGACCGTAGGAAAACACCACTTTTATACCACAGAAGCTCTCCGAAAGCTCAAGACCTGCGGCTTACAATCCCCGCGGCATTGAGTCTTCAGCACGAGAGCCAAGCAACTTAAACCACCATGTCGACTTGGGTGAATGATGGATTCATCCAAAAAGGTAGTGATAGCATCATCTAGTTCAGTTGACAGTTGTGGGTGTGTGATCCGTTATGCGGTAGCGAACTCCTGCCAAGGCTTGTCCTCTCTAGATATGTGGTGTGCTTTAGCCGACTTCCATAACCATGAAACACTCAGCCTTCAATATTGAACACACCCATCGTGAACGTGGAGAACGACGGTTGGAATTGAGTTACAAACACGAGTCAGATTGCAACTATGGTGGAGTCATCTTCGCCCTGCATGAGCGGGTGATTTGAGCCTCTTTGAACGAACAGAGGATTAAACATCCGATAAGCTTAGATACCTTGTTGGCCATCGCAACTGCTACATACTTTATCATGAACGGCAATAGCGGGAACGGCTTTGCTGAAACCGTCACCCCTGACCCGTTGCCGATACCCGAAAGCCGGTCCTCCTCTCTTGAGTCACTTGTTATGCCCATATCAGATTTTCGCCCTATATATGCGGATCAACTAATACGCAGTATGGATGGTCAGTTTTTGAATTCTTAATACTGATTACGTGGTGGGTGAAGGAAAGCAATTGGTCATCTCATATGAATTGTTACTGTACTTTTCAGGCATCAGCATTCATGGCGACGGAACCTGAGCATTTTGTCTGGAACGTTATTCTAAATATATAGAAAAAAGGGGGGAGGTAGGAACTTCCTAGCTCAGCACTAGTCTGGACTAAAGTCAAAGTCTCCAGTCTGTAATCATATAATCCAGGATATTGATCTTGCGCTACTTTCAATTCGAAAGTCAAGACTCGAGCGGTCCGCAGCAGCTCGAAATGCTCACCTTGTGGTCGAAGGATCAAGTCCTCTATTAACCTAGCCCTAATCACCGGTATATTGCCGGCGCGAACTTCGCCATTGCTCACTCCCAAAATTGCCTTGCTGCCGAGAAACGGGGATCAAGCCTTGGCAGCAGCACGCCGGTGGCTGTGTCAACATATTCCATGCTCGAAGTCATCATTGACCATCCCATACACTATGCACTAGACCCATTGTAGTGTTGGTGTGCCGCTCGTTCACGTCTGGAGGCCACCTGAAATAAATCCCATCATGAGGCCCCTGTGGAATCCCTCTCAATAACCCATGGTGGGCTTCAGCTGGAGACTCAACTCGTCTCTCTCTTCAGTCTTGTGTACTAGGCCCAGAACAAGACTCAGCAAAGCCTCAGAACCACGTCTTCGGCATGAAAAGACCTCCAGACTATCCGCAAACAAGAACAATTTGACCATCTAAGGCAAGATTGATGTCATGAGACCTTCCAAGTAGGCCTCCGTGAAAGAGGCCACCTTGAATTTGTCACCCAGACTCCGCTGATCATCGACACCGAAGCCAGCCTCTGAGCCATAATGAGTAGTTGTCCTGGCTTTCGTGATTCTGTAAGTCCCTCATCGCCATAACCTCTTTAGACATGATCAACGGAGAGTCTATAAGCAAATGCTCTTAGTCTTCCATTAGCTCCACGCCGACTTAGCAGCTATAACGAGACAATGTTCGTTCTTGCTTTAGTAGAAGCTGAGTTCAGAGCCCAGAATAAACTAGAGTAAAAATAGCTGACCAATACAAGAGTGTCATAAATGATGATTATAGTTGTTAAGTATTTCTGTGGTAGTTGAATCCTCAGGGAGCCAATAGAAAAGTTCGTTGAACTTATTTTCAGCTACCCTTCTAGTAAAGCATCAACAGTTGCGGCTGCATCTAGGGCCATACCATAGCCAGCCTGATAGCCGGTGCCACCAGCACCATAGTTATGGACTAGATAACGAGTCTTTCCCCTCACCGTCACTTCAGTCTTCTCAACTCTCGCGCCACCTTTACGGGATGGACGGAGCCCAGCTGCAACAGCCAAGATATCCGGTGCAGGGCCTCCTTGGATCTCAGGGCTCAAGCTGGCCGTACGTTGAAGGATGGAATCCGTTTCATGCGAGAATGTGTCTCCGGTACTTTGCAGTATGTCAGATGAGTGATGTGCTGATGAGGGGTGTCCACAACCGAGGTTCAGTCAGTACTCACCTCACGCCCTTCTGCATGAATCCACCGAGGACGACGTTGCCGTTGGACCAAGGTCTTGGGATTATGTAAGTAACGTAGTCCTTTCCATGCCGCATCATGTTCGTCTTGACATGAGGGACTCTTGCGATTGCGATCTGCCCGCGAGTCGGGTAACAGCTGGCATCTTCGACACCACCCAGGTCCTTGGACGCATTTCCTGTGCAGTTGAAAACCAGAGAGACGCCGTCGGAAAAAGCCTCGTCGATGTTTGAGACTTTCTTCTTGACAATGCGGACTCCGAAATCCGTCTTGAGATAGTTGGAAAGCCATTCGAGATGCTTAGGGGCATTGACGGTGAGGGTCGTGAACGTGACTCCGACAGCAACCCCTGTTGGAAGATCGTCTTTGGGAATAGTTCGAAACTGAGATGTAGGTTAGAACGCCTCTACATCTGGACTCCTCGACGACTCACGTCTTGTAGGTACTGGGACATGGAGTCGATCTTTTCGGTGGACACTGCCTCATCCCAGTACTCGATGGATGGCGTGGGCTGGACGAACGATTCCCTTCCACGATCTTTTGCCAACTGCATGAGATGAAGATACCCAAGGCGATCCCACCTGAGAGCATTTGAGTCGCTGCCAGACACAGCAGAGAAATTGGCGCCAGCCCTGTGAGGCCTATCAGCGAGATGACTCTGCTACCAAGGCTATGGCAACTTACCAAGGAGAGGCATAGTTGATTGACGTATCGCCAGGAAGGTGCTCTGCAAATATTACGATGCGGTCCCCGAGACCTCGACGACATAAGGCTAACGCAGTGTTGAGGCCAATGATACCAGCTCTTGGGAAATGTTGTTAGTCGTAAGCAAGGGATTAACAAAGCGCGGAGGAATCTCACCCTACAATCACAATATACTTCTTCGGGAGGGCATCCATATTGAATAATATGGACGGAAAAAGAAGCCTTTGAAGGTCTAGATGAACATTTGAAGAAAAGAAGAGAAGTGTCGGCCGGTGTAGCTGTGAGTAATATATACCGAGAATTTGTTATCTGCCAATATCGTACACGAGCAAGCCGATGACAGAGTGTAGTATCACTACTACACCAGATGTTGACTTGAACTCGCACTCGCATCGACGAAAGTGGTAATGGAGCCGTCGCCCGACAAAAATGGAAGCGCGGCTACCAGCCGAGTTTTGACTGGACACTTTGCCAAGCTTCTTCGGGGGTCCGCGGATGAGCAACAAGGAATCAACATGTGAACGGTGATTTGGACACAAGGGTATAACTATATAAGATGGCTCTCTGCAAAACACTTTCCAATGCGGGGAACAACTTAACAAGTCAGTAACCGACACTCGAGTCTCATTCTCTGTTCTTTGACTCTTAGTCTTTGAGGTGATCCAACACATCAAATCTCAATTTCCGCATCAAAATGTCTACACATTCGCAGGTTCTCGAGGGCTATCAGAAGCGCCTGGCCGCCCTTGAAGCCTCCTCCAATCCTCTGGCTCAAGGAGCTGCCTTCATCGACGGAGAGATCGTGCCCCTTCTCGAAGCCCGCATTCCAATCATCGATCAGGGTTTCCTCCATGGCGACCTCACCTACGACGTCCCCGCCATCTGGGACGGTCGCATCTTCCGCTGGGAAGACCACTTGGATCGACTGGAGGCGAGCTGCAAGAAACTTCGTCTAGTCTCTCCTCTATCGCGTGAGGAGATCACCAACGCCGTCGTGGAGATGACCAAGAAGAGCGGCATCAAAGATGCCTATGTCGAGCTCATCGTCACCCGCGGCATGCACTTCGTCCGGAGCCTCAACCCCAACGAAGCGCCCAAGCCGTGCGCAATCTATATCATCGTCATGCCATACGTGTGGGTGATGCCTCTGGAAATGCAAGATGTCGGCGGCGCTGCAATCATCACGCGGACCGTCAGACGTATACCCCCTGGCGCCATCGACCCTACCGTCAAGAATCTGCAGTGGGGTGACTTTATCCGCGGCCTCTTCGAGGCTCGGGACCGGGGGTCTATGTATCCTATCCTCACTGACGGCGATACGAACCTGACTGAGGGGGCAGGTTACAACATCTGGATTGTAGTGGATGGCGTCCTGTACACGCCTGAGCGCGGCGTTCTTGAGGGTATTACTAGGAGGACTGTGATTGAGATTGCCCGCGCAAAGGGTATTGAGGTTCGGGTTGAGGTTGTGCCGGTCGAGCTTGCATACAAGGCGCAGGAAATCTTTACATGCACGACGGCGGCCGGCATCTCGCCTATCGTCACGCTGGACGAAGTCCCCGTTGGCGATGGCAAAGTTGGTCCCGTCACCAAGCTCATCTGGGATGAGTACTGGGCGTGGCACTACGACCCTAAGCTCACGGTGGAAATCAACTATGATGCCTAATTTGGGGAAACATTTTGTTGAGGTTTTGCGCGAATCCGAGGTGTTTTAGTGATCTAGAAGCCCTATAGCCAAATGAATTTCACGTTGATGATTGACCACGCATGAGCGACAATCCAACTAAAGATTGCAATATGAGACGATAGACGGTGAACATTGTGTTTGGTTGGCAGAACGTTGAGGGAGCACGCCATCACTGATACGATCGATGGCCAGACGCGCAGCTATGCGAAAGCGAAGCGTGGCATTTCATGACACCTCATCATGAATGCCGTTGGGTGACAACCGACGTAACCAACGTAACCAAATCCAGGGCTGCTATCTGTGGCTGGGGTAGCAGGGAATACAACTATTCGTACCTGGGATATTAGAATTAAAGTGTCGGACCTCTTATCTACCCGCGCTTCCAACTGCTAAGAATGTTACAGTGTCATTGGTCAAACAGATCTACCCGCGCTTTCTCGGCTTGGCTCCGGGTCCTCCGGACTCTCGGGTCCCGCAGCGGGGACCGGTGCCCCACTACTCCGCCTCAACATCCACGTCAATCCTTTGACTCCTACAACCGACTTCTCCTACCCACTCTGAGGCAATAATCACCTCAGTCCTGTCCTGTCTTCTTTGTAACCTCCATTTCTCGGCTCTACTACTGCTGGTTTCGATTCTGTTTCCCATCCCCGGGACTGCCGGCCGAGTTCGATCAGCCACGGAACTTGGAGATCCTCGAAGCGAACGGTGAACCTTTCCCACCTGATCGCCATGCCACCCGCCACGAAGCTCTGGCCACAGTTCAAACGAAGCAGAGATGGATGCCTGACATGCAGATCTCGGAAGAAAAAGTGCAACGAAGTCAAACCTACATGTCGAGGTTGTCATCGCAACAAGCTGACATGTCGCTGGGCGGAGGTGTCTTCTCCGGACCTTGCCGAAAGTGAAGACAATATTTCGACGCTCGGCGGGTCGAGTGCTTCCAGGTCTTCTACCGCGGATATCTCGTTATTCCGCAGATCAACAGACGCCAGTCTACCTGCTCGACGGCCTTCCTTGTCCCCTTCGTTCAAGTCCACCCATAACGTCAACGAGGAGGATCATACGAGCCGTTTGCCAGAGACGCTCTGGGCACCCGGTGTTGGATCTTTCTTGAGCACCATGAAGCCCTGCGCATTCACCTCATCCTCACCACTTCTCATACAGCATTACATTTGTGCTACGGGAAATCTCCTGCCCATGCCCGTGAAGGAAAATGCATTCATCAACGATATCCTGCCGCTCGCCTGTGTGGATGACTTGCTCATGCACAGTCTCCTAGCCCTCAGTGGTGTCCACCTCGGCGTCAAGGAGGCGGGCAATACAACTATTAGAATGGCAGCTCTGAGCCACCACTCTCATGTTCTCCGCCAGCTCCGCATACAACTCGGGAATGCCGATGGCCTTGATGCCAATAAGACTACCAGGCTTCTCCTGGTGCTCATGATGCTGTGTCACTTCGAGGCCTGTCGCTCCCTTCCTCATCGGTGCATGAAATGGCGCCATACTTGTACTAACTCCTTCTCATTCATACAGGTCATTTCTGGACAGAATTCAGGTAGCCTATTTGTGCATCTAGGTGCTTGCAGGCAACTCATTGCTAAGCTTACCACTTTCGGCTCAAAACGACTTGTTGAGAATGACATCGGAAAACAGATAGGCCTGGTCCTAGAACTTTACTCCTACCTGGTGATCGCCAATACATTGACGCCTCACGGACTCATCGTCACACGGACGCTCCCTCATGACGAATACTGTATTTCTCTATCAAAACTCACCTCCTACAAGACCTTTGGGATAATGTTCGCCGGAAGTGACGGCCTATTCGAACTCATCCCCCGCGTCTCGCATCTCTTCAGTCGTCGTCTGGCAGAAGAGGCCACCGGCTCATCAGAACCATCTCCCGAGATCATCGAAGAATATGATCAACTGCGTTCGCGTCTCGACTCCTGGGTGTCTGACGATTCTATCGACTTGACCATCGATACGCAGAGCCTCCGTTTCACGAGCAACGAGGTGATACGACTCGGAGTTCGCCTGTACCTCCTCGCGGCCGCGGCCGGGTCCACGATCACAGACCTGGAGACCCTCCGTGAAGTCCACGACACCGTTGATCAGCTCCTGCTAATGGTGATGAAAATCCGGAACACGCAGTGGACGGCAAACTCGTTATGGCCTGTACTGATGATGGGGTCATGTATGGTCCGGCAAGACCACCGGGACGTACTTAGGCGAAACCTTCGAGGTGGGCACTATTACATGGGCCATACTTCTAGAGCATGTGATCTCTTGGAGCGATTGTGGGATGATCCGGATCCCAGGTGTTATGGGCCGTATGGGCTGTATATGACGATTGAGCGGTATAACCCTACGTTTTGCTCGCTTTGAGAACATCTGTGGTATTTTTATGGTAGTGTTGAGGAATACAGACCTCATGGAATCAGATCTAAATCATTGCCTCCATAATAGCAGGCGTGACCAACGGAAGAATTGTTGAATCGTGTAATGACACAGAACCAGTATAGTGGGGAAAAGAGAGCCGGCACAATGACTCCGCTTCTCTTCCCAGTGAACACCTCGAGACTAAGCTTCCCGATCCCGTTTCCAATGCAGTTTCGTCTACCTCAGGTGGCGCCAAAGAGATCTTGGTGCAGCGGACGAACAAAGACTCTGATAAGGACTCAGATGTTGACCTAGAGGAGAAACAATTGAGAACTTTTGTCAAGGCCCAAGTAAATGCGAGTGGTGCATCAAATGGGTCGAGGATGAGCTAATAAAGAAGAAGAAATCTGCGACGGGGACGGTCATGAGCGACCATTTGGAGATGTTTTCCACAGGAGAATTCTCTGGAAGGATCTCCTCAAGGAGAAGCGCATACAGCATAGCCTCAATAATGAAGACTTTGGCTCTTTATCGGAGGTTGATAGCTGTCAAGTCTGGAATACTGATGGCACGGAGCACACGAGAGAAGGTGTAGATGAAGTAGTTGCGAACTTGCGGATTGTTCTGAATATGCTTGTTAAATCGAGGGGCCCGGTGTCTGATTCTCATGGAACCAGAGAGGAATAGTCGATGACACGAGTAGCTTATCGTGCGAGTGAAAGAGTTATTGTCAGCTTTAGTTGCTACGCGAGTAAAAGTTCTAAGCTACAGCCCTACGAGGAGGAACCCTTCTGGTCTGACTTTACTAGAATATCTGGAGTACTTAATTTCACAGACTTAGTATCCCTAGAGCGCTTCCTCTATCCTCCATAGCGGTATAGCGCCCTTTAGGGCCGCTGCATGGCGTTTATACACGAGAGTGCCCGATTCTGCATCCACGGGCAACATCAGGCAAAAGATGGATCTATCACGGCAATGTTCACCAGCAATTTCATTTACGTTGTTGGAGGACCGGGGCTGTGAGTAGATCTCGTGGGAAACCCGAGGTAATGATTCGTTTCATGATGCAGATGACCATAAATCAAATATGACATGAAAGTATGACATTTGGTTATGATTCATAAATTTTTCTTACAAGATCTCCCCGTCTAGTACTTATAGATACACAAGGCAAGACCTTTAAGCGTACATGATAATAATCAAAGTCTTTCAATCTCCTAAATCTTCTGTGATTTTGGCTCCGATTTCTACTTCTAGCCGGCTAGTTGTTATTTGCCGCTACGTGATCCTTGCATTCTTAGGCTCTCCAATGTTCTAAGTCCAACCAATCCGTAGTCAGAGCGCCATATTCAGTCCGAGTCGTAAGAGCTGTCGGAGTCGTCAAACTCGTCAGAGTCGCTAAGCCATTCTCCAGGAACATGCAACTTGGGGTTCTCCACCAGCTGCCAAAAGTCGCGAGCGAACTCCTCCGTGGCAGGATCCCAAATCAGTTTCCAGTCTTCTGTCCGAGGACCGTAAGTGAAGGATTCTAGGCGAGGCCCGCACACACGCACGTCCCCCATCCCGTAACTACTCGAATAGGCCAACTGCGCATTCATGTACCAACGACGATGCCGATATGACCGTAATCGAGGATGACAAAGAAAGGTCTCCAGTTCCTGTTTACCGTAGTCCGACATGTCAATTCCCGAGAATTTGACATCTTCGAGCCATGCATTCATGGTTCGGGATGAGAAACGAAGAAGAAGACGACGGGCTCTACCCATATCGCGATACCTAGATGCAGATATCGACCAGTGCAAGAAATTCACATGACTACGCCATATTCCCATCATAAAAGGCGTCGCGAAAGCTCTATTATGATAAATGTCTTTACTCACAATCCCAAGCTCGCTCTGGGATATATCTGTGAATAGCCATCGCGCTAACTCTCTCCAGGACAGGAAATCCCCATTCTCGGCAGTTTTACCGAACGATTCAGAATCGTGTTTGGGGCATTTTCCAGAAGTAAATTGCGGCGGTGTTCTCTTGAAGTAGGCCTGTGCAAAGTGGGATAGGTTTGACATTGGAGTCCCCATCGCTTCTTGCCGAAATTGAGCAGGGGCGCAGCCCGAATGCTGAATCGTCCGTAGCAGTAGTCGAGGGTCAACAAAATCCCAGAATAGAGAGCCAAAGCGGGCCGATATAGGCAGCTGATCGAATTCAATATCTCCCTTGCTGGTCAAGAGGGACAGACATCCGGGATACTTCCACATGACGAATGACAGGCCAGTAGCAGTAGAGTTGCGGAAGCTAAGATCAGGACGGAACGAATCTGGAATAGCTGCGTCAAAGTCGCCAAATGACAGAATAAATCTGAGTAGGTCCAAGGCATGTGTGACCCGGGGCATCGACCATTGCCAAAGGTACAATGTATCTGATGTGTTATTTTTTTCCATATTGAAATTGGATTCCGTCAGGTATAGGCCCATGTCAACGAGCTCCCTGGCGACGTCTAGGTGGCACTTGTACAGAGCTAGCTAAGAATTCAGATATAGATTAGCTTAAAGGGGATATCAATGTCAAAGAAAAGGTGATAGACCAGGCCATACATGCAGCAGAGTCCGTCCATCCACCCGACGGTCCCAGAGAGACGCATGGCCCTCCATGAAATGCTGATGAATAGCAGGCCATGATCCCTCTTCGACAAGGCCGAAGATCGGTGCATCGGACGGACGTGTGGCCCATGGTGTGAGGGAACTTTTCCAACCCGTGCAAGGGTTGTATATCGTTTGAAAATCCCATGCTTTTTCTGATATCCACCAAGGCAGCTGGATCCGTGCTTGTCGTGCTGTGAAGTATAAGCATCGTGCACTCAATTGAGGAGTTCCCAACGCTCACTTTGCGTGCCTGTATTCGAAGGATCAGACGAAGTTCGATATGTAAAGCTGCCGAAGAAGGAAGCCCGCTGATAGGGAATAGGTGTCAGCTCCTGTTTTCGCCGTGGACGCCGTCGTTGAATTTCAACGACGCTTTCCTCATCTGTTCCTTCCTTTTGTTTCTTTTTCAAAACGACGCTAGATTCGCTCGAAGGCAGCTCCGATAAACATGTCTGGAGGACATTCAGCACCGGGGTTTGATGAGATAGCTGATCGTGCCTAGAGCTGTCAGTCAAGCTCCGCCAATAAGAATTGATACTGACGAATTTTGAGCAAGCAGCAAGCCGACTTGACTCTTAAGGGAAAGCATCTCGTTATGCACAGACATGATCATAGATGCTGATGTGGTGTTAATAGACATGGAAAGCATCTGAAAGATACAATGCAATCTCTCTTGGTAACTCTGTATCAAGTCCTTCTTGGACGAAACCCTGAGCTTCGTAAGGGTTCTCCGAGTCTTCTTGGCCGTCGTTATCTGATTTTGCCAGTCTTCAGCTAATGGGCTGAGGTCGTTTACTAGGTCACGACAAGACTGGAGAACCGACGCAGTCGCGCTGCCGTGTATCAGGTACTGATGCTGCGTGGACGCGGCAGCAACGGTGTCGAGTATCAATCGAACTTCGTCGAGCTGTTTGAGAAGGCGCTGGATGTCGTCCGGGACGTCCTTGACTTCGTCCCACAGCTTCTTGATCTTGAAGGCGCTCTTGGTAAAGAGCTCGGCGACGGCGATGGCGCTCGCTACCGTGCCAAATATCTCGGCCATCGTTCGATATTGCAATCGTGTACTTCGCCGTTTTCTGTTCTCCGATGAAATGCTTCTCTAAGCGATACCGCGATTTGGGAAGTTTGTCTTGTGGGATCGCAGAATGTTGGTTGCGGCAAGATGTTGGTCACGGCAGAATCAGGCTGTGAGGAGAGCAGAAGTCAGCTGGTCATGGGCATTTTCGAGGCGGGGTTTCCTTCTGCTTATGAAGGCTCAGCGGTCTGCGCCTCCTGCAGCTTGCAGCCTCACTTAAGAATTGTGCCTTCCTGACGTGTGATTCGATGATTCATGCTTATAAGCGGCCCAACTGTTAGCCACGTCTCGGCTCTTGTGCGACATACTCTGACCAGTCACGATCGTGGAAATCGTGCTACTGCGAATGTGTACAAGATGCAATATTGAACAGTCTAAGTTACGTACGAAGCGAAAGTGTATAAACTCTATACGACATATCCCAAAACACCAACACACCATTTCACTGAATAGTCGGGGGCGGAGACGGCCTCTTCTTCCGCTTCGGCGGCTCCGGCATCACCGGCTCCGGCAGCTTGACGACCTCGGGCACCTGGCCGATCTCGGATGCCGTCACGACTTCCGGCTGCTTGTCCAGGAGATCAGACTCCTTCACCAGCTCGAAGGAGTCGAAGCGCCGGACCACCTCGGGCTGTCTGGCGACCTCGGGCTTGACGGGCGTGGGCTGGACTACTTCGACGAAGCTCTGCTCCAGCTCCGTCGCTGGCTCTGGCTTGAGTACCTGGACTTCGAGAGGTGCTCCGTTCATCTGAACGGGCTCGGTCTTTGGTGTCTCGGGCTGCTTGGCCTCGATTTGCTTTGCCTCAGGCTCGACCACGATAGGTTTGGCGGTCTCCGTCTTCACGGTCTCCGTCTTTGCCGATTCAGTCTTTGCGGGCTCGACCTCTGCCGATTTCGCCTGTGTCTGCTCAGGTTGGGCTTCCTCCTGCGACGGAGCCTCCTCCTTCCCATCCCACAACTGCTTCACGGTTCCCCAGTACCTGTCTCCATCCAGCCTCGCGTGAGCAACATGCTGGCTGCCCTCAAATCTCTCCCTCTCAACCTGGAACCCGACCTCCTTAGCCTCGTTAGCGTGCTTCTCGACATCACCCCAGTAAATCATCTCGTCCTCCTTGCTGTAAAGATACACCCTGCGCTGCTCGCTCTGCAACAGCGCCCTGTGCTTCAACGCATTCCACATCTTGCCAAAAATGCCACTCTTCCCGAACGGGATCTGGAAGATCCAGAACCAGCCGATGATGACATGCACGAACGGCGCCAAGAACCGCGGCAGCGCCGCCGACAGCGCGCGGTAGCTCCGCATCCAGTGGAAGCCGCCGGGGCACGAGTCGTAGACGGTGACGTGCGGCGGCAGCTCCAGCCGTCCCGCGCGGTCGGCGGCGGCGTACAGCTCGTAGAACTTTGCGAGGTTGGTGGCGCCGCCGTTGGAGAAGACGTGCAGGAGGAGCTGGGGGCGGGCGGTCTCCCCGGGCGCCGCGGTGGCGGTGGTGTCGGCGAGGGCGCGGACGACGGAGACGGCGGGCTTGATCTCGCGCTTGGCGATGCGGGCGGAGAGGGTGTGGATGAAGGGGCACTTGACGAGGAGGATGCGGGCCGTGGGGTAGAGGGCCGTGTAGCGCGAGGTGTACTTCGCGATGTGCACGTCCTGGGCGGACATCCACGTGAAGAGGACGATGAGTTTGGGGGAGTTCGGGTCCGCGGAGGCGCCGGAGGGGGGTTCGTAGAGGAATGTGTTTGGGGAGAGGGGGACCATGTTGGGTAGGGGGCTTGCGGGCCGAGAGAGTTGATTTGACGCCATGATGGGCTGCAGGAGGTTGAGAGCAACGTTGATGAGGTCGTCAATCGTGTTTGGAGGAGTGATGTGAATGAAGGACGGTGGATGTGTGGAGGAAGTGAGGTTGGATATAAAGTAGTGGACCTGAGGTCATGGACGAGACACTAGCTTGAATTTGGGAGCTGCAAGCCCAGGCCCCAAAGTGTCCTCTTGGGAGTTGTAGTCATGGCAAGGTTGTTAAGGTTTGCAAGGTAATCCTTTCCAGGAGCTACCTCGGTTGGGATCCCTGATCGGCGGGGTTGGGAAAATCGTATTGCGATTATGAAGGATCAAGAGGATTTGGGATATTCATTTATTGATCCACTTAAGCCGAATGGATGTTGAAGCCGGCGGACCGGCGGCGGAATTGCAACGCCGCGTTGGCGAGTTTTAGTGGATAGCCCACGGCCGGGGGGTTCGGAGGAACCGGAGGAACCGGAGGAGCAAGTTTTACGATTCCCAACGGCTGAGAAGGTCAATTCCTCGATCTCAAATGAAACAACATCAATTCAGCCCAGCCTGAGTACGAAGAACGGCTAGTTGACACAGCAAGCGGCATAAAATCATGTCGTCAGTGTTGCACTTCCCGCCGCATGTGAAGTGGAGCGTTTCAGCCAAATTCAAGCAGCGGTATCCCGGTTGAGAAAGTCTTGAATCATCAGTCGTTCCCGTTTCGTCGTTTCTCGAAGTTCGGTTGATTTGGTGTGCCATTGGTGATATGGTGACAGGTGACAGCTGTGACGGCCCGGAAAGGTTGGATGAGCGTACTGCGCAGTGCACAGCAGAGGCGGACAACGCGCCATCTCGCATGTCGTGTGGGAAGCAAACAGATCTCGAGGGCAGGGGTTCATCGGATCTGCACAAGGATTATTTAAACATTTTCTTCTGTTTGCTGGGGCGTGTTCATTCTCTTCTGCGCAGGGTAAAGTAGCTGTGTTGGTCTCTGGCTGCGTTGCGGAGGACATGCCCCGGTAAGCAGCCCTCGCCAAGATGGCCGAGAACCCCCGACGCCTCGCCGTTGCGATCTCAAAGTCACTTCAAGAGCTCGTGTCTTCAACGGCTCCTGTCTGGGACTTTGATGGCTGTGTCTTGTGTCACTATCCCCTGAATGACACCTGGGACGGCTACTGCAGGCGCCCGTCGAGCATGGGCACTGCAGGTCAGGGTAGAACATGGACATTGAGCCGAGATTTGGAAGCACCATCCGTGTTTTGTAGCAGAACCAAGAGGCGTTGCAAGGTGAATGCGTGGCGAAGGTCTCGACATATTGTATATCAATATAGTGACTACGTTGAAGTCAGCGATGAGTCCCTAATCCGAGAGCATTGGGACGATATCTTCCTTGGCGACACGATAGATAGGTGTAATCCGAGAATAGAACCAACCCATACAGGCTCGCCTAACGAACGTGTGCAACACTTGGAGCGTAGAAGTGTGCAAAATAGGATGCCGACTTGTCCGCGACTGCAACCTCGTTTGTCGGGTAAAGGAGAACGGAACCCAGTTCAAAGGGCCGAATTACTTGGGCGTATTCGGGCCACGAGGTCGGCCCAGCTGTCTAGACGGAAAGACTGGACGAGTCTTGGGGCAAACAGAACGGGATCGGCTGCCGTGGACATGGAGCGCCGTATTTGTCGAAGTCCTGACCATCTTCCTGATCAGCGAGTATCTCCTCTGAAGGGATTGGAGGAATGGCGACTTCCGTATACCCAGCTTCGAGGACATGAAGATTCGGGTTGAATGGTTCAGAGAGACGTTGGCTGGGTTTCCTTGAGGCAAGACGGGAAGGTTTGCGATACGTACACTGAACTTTGCGGCAAGTGACGACACCGCCAAACGAGAAGGGCGGAAGACCGTTGCATCGTGACTTCCACAACGGCAAGTACCCCCTCACCCTCAGCCCCTTCCCTTCTTGCGAGTCGACTCCTTCCCGGATGGAAGGCACAAACTACCCAGGAGGAAGTAGCTTCTCGGACACGCCTGCCACACGGGCTCCTTCCCTCTGCCCCCTCTTTAAACCTCGTGCCTCGTTCTTACCTTCAACTTGAACTTCTGCCCAACATCCTCCACATCTCTCCTTTCCACATACCTCATCCATACCAGAACGAAGAGCTGTCGAGCCTCTTTCGTTCATTCTCTCGTTCCACCAGCCACTCGTTTCTATTCCGCTCGTTCCATCTTTCCATTCTGCTTGACGCCATGAAGATTACCAATATCTTCTGCTCCCTGATGGGAGTCGGTGTCCTGACCACTCAGGCCGCCGTCATCGACATCCACAAGTCCGGTGTTGACCTCGTCAGCCCTCTCAAGGGCGTCAGCTTCCAACGCATTGCAGCCCACCGTGAGCCTACTCCCGATGACGTTGTCGGCCGAACCCAGCCTCTCAAGGCCATCCGCAGCAAGATCGCTGGCCACAACGCCGCTACTGCCCTTCAGGCCGCCCAGCCTCGTGACCTCTCCAGCGCCTACCAGAACATCACTGCTCTCACTCCTTGGGGCACTCAGTTCGCTATCGAGGTTGTTTGGGATGGCAAGCCCATCAACATGCTCTTCGATACTGGTAGCAGTGACACCTGGGCTGCCAGCTCCAACCTCTCCTGCGTCAGCGCCATGGGCACAGTGGCCTACCCTCAAGAGGCTTGCGGCTTCGGTCCTGACCTCATTGATGAATTCAAGTACGGCCCTATCGAAGACATCCACTTCCTCTTGAGCTACGGCTCCGGCGAGAAGGTGTCTGGCCCCATGGGCTACAGCGACATCGAGGTTGCCGGCATTGTCGTTCGTCAGCAGCAAGTTGGTCTTGCCAATCAGACTCACTGGTACGGCAACAACTACACCAACGGCATCATCGGCATGGCCTACCCCTCCATCACCAGCGCCTTCACTGGCGATATCGAAGAGAAGCGTCCCGCCTTCCAGGTCCCGTATCAGCCCTTGTTCACCAGCATGGTCCAGCAAGGTCTGTCCGCCGACGCCTTCAGCGTTTCCCTCGTTCGCAACTCCTCGGGTGTGATTGCTTGGGGTGGCCGCACTGGCTTGCCAATCTCGGGTCCCACGGCCTACACCGACCTCATCATTGTAAGTCGTCTCCCTTCTGACGGTCCTTTTTGATCGAGCCTAGCTGACATCCAGAAAGACTCAAATCAACACGGAGCGAGCGGAGTCGTCCTGGCAGTACTCGTACTACACCATCATCGTTGATGGAATCAGCTGGGGGTCCACGACAGACAACAGGAAGTTCCCCTTCATCGTCGATACTGGCACTACCATGATGTACCTCCCGCCGCCCATCGCCCAAGCCATCGCCGACTCCTTTTCTCCTAGCGGCATCTACATGTTCCAGTACGGCTCGTACTTTGCCCCTTGCGATGCCGTCGCTCCCCGTGTCGCCATCGTCATCGAGGGTGCAAGCTTCTGGATCAACCCGGTCGATCTCATCTTCCGCAACTTCAAGGATGACCTCACCGGATACTGCCAGCTCGGCTTCTCCACCGGAAAGGCTGGACCCTATGTTCTGGGTTCTACCTTCCTTCACAACGTCGAGGCCTACTTCGATGTTGGCGCTGGCCAGATGCGCTTCTACGGCCGCGAGACTTACGGTGTTACACCCCAGGTCACGGCGAACCCGAAGAGGCCCGAGTAGTGCGTTTGAGTACCTTCCATATTCTTCACTGGTTGAGCACGTATAGATGTGGTTGAGATGCTTCAGTATCATACTCCAGTTTTGCGAGTTGTCGAGGATTGATTTGCTAAGATTCTTCCGGGGGTGGTGGGACCGGGGAAATTGCTTTGCCAGAGATCGAGAAAGTGTACCTTTTACCTCAACTGGTTGCTAGATAGGTTGATAGGGTTCAGTCTATAACATACCACTTGCCTCATTTCTTTGATAGTGACTCTCGGATGAATGCATTCTGACCTCAACAAGAGGTTTGTTCCAGTGTTTCTGCAGGTGCAATCGAAGTGTTCTGGGTAAAAGGGGGCGCCCGACAGAAGGCGTTTCCACAGTGGACAGTGCTGAAACCTGAAGCTGGCGTCGGGACTTATCGGAGTGGCGATCAAAGGGCTTATCGCAGGCAAGGCCTTATCGATAACGGCTGTGACCTCACCGTCATGGGCATTGATTTCTGCCACCTCGTTCAACAGTTCGTGATCCAAGCCTATTGCAACTCTCGCCCACACCGACTTACCTCCTGTCGACAACTGAACTCATCAAGGACGCGTACGTTCCTTCTTCGGCGTGTTTGTCTCTCATTCTCGGACGCTCCGTGAGTTCTTCTCGCCTTCACGATCGCTTCAGCTCGACCAGTAGTGCAGCGGTTATTCGGCAGTCGCTGTACCGACACTTCTCCCCGACAATCCCCGCCGTCGGCAATCTCCAGGAAAAAGAAACGTCCAGCACTTTGAGCTTCATCAGCGAAAGCGACGACAAATAGCGACGGGACTTTTTCTCGAAGCTTGCGACCATCCAGACCTCGGACTCAAGCCCTTCTTCGGCCAGCAATCATGGGTATCGGAGTGATCCCGGCGGGTGCTCCTTTGGTGGACGGGAAGCGACAGCCTCGGAGGCAGCACACATGGAGCTTCAGCAAGGTACGAGACGAGCGACCCCTTTTCTTCAGTCCTGCGCGTTCGAGAGGTTTTGCGTTTTGGTGTTCTTTGCTCGCCTACCCTCCTCTGCACGTCTGCGCCTGCAGTGCAGGGCGACAGCAGCAGCAGCCATATTGGCTCTCACGAGACACCGTCATCGTCAAGTGATTTTTCTCTTTCCCTTTCGTACTTCATTTTCGCCCCAATCAGCAAGTTTGCTCGGCTCCAGGCGGTGTGAGGAATCATACAGGGGGTTGTTGGTCTATTTGGGAAGAAAAAAAAAGAGACGACCCCTGAAAGCCGGCCGCCGTTGACACGATCTGGCAATCGTGCCGATTTGCTGGGTCCGGGTCCCGGACGGCTGGACCTGCTGGTTCGGAGCTTAATAGGCTGGGGGTGGTGGTGGTGGAATGGATAAAAGAAGAGCCCCCCTGACGGTGGTGAGAACTCACCGGCTCGATTGGCAGCAAGTGCGGCGGCGGTGTACCGCGATTCGATTCCCATGTGCCTTTATTTTTTCTTCCAAGTCAGGAGACTCTGATCGGATGACCTTTTCCCCTGGCGGGTGCGTGGGGGTCACGATGCTAGTGGCTGTTCTTGGGGGTTCTCAATTGAGTCGCCGAGGGGCTTGAGGCGAACCGCAGTTGTTCTTATTCGTGTTATTTCGTTCTATCTGGCGAGAGACAGGGCGACGATACGAAGGCATTTTCTCGTGGACGAAGGCGGACGGGGCATCTGTCGCCGGCCTCGTGGAGGGCGAGTCTCGGTAGTGGCCGGGAATGACCGGGGCGCAAAGTTGCATGTTAGACGGGAGGAAGAATGGAGCAAAAGAGCAGAGTTGCCGAGTGCAGACTTCTTTTAATGCTTTTCTGGAAAGTCATGATGACCTGGCATGTTCTGGGTTGGAACTTTGCTGTTTTACATCTTTCAGACACGAGTGGTTGGACTGCATTTCTTTCCGTCATCGAGAAAAGGCAGTTTGTTCGGTTCCGGCAGGCTTCCGTGGGAAAACCGGCTATGACTGGCAAGTCGGATGGGGCGTTCGGCGTGGTCTGATCTCCACCTCGGTTGTTCGGTGAGAGATGCTCAGCTGGATTGGCAAAACTGCAAAGTTCTGGTAGGGCGGAACTTGAATTGGTGGTGAGGGAGCTCTGCAGCTACGAGATGTCCCGGTTCTGCGGGGGTGGCCGCCTTGCTGGAGCTGGAGCTGAGCTTCCTGCATTTTTTCCAAGCTGGGGAGGTGCAGCGTAAGCTTGGCCAGACGACATGCTAGCCGGGGGGAAGCGGGCACCAGACACATCAAAAATGAGGGGCATCAGATGGGGATTGGAGTTGGGATGGGGTCATGGAGGGGGCGGGAAGGCCACGCCGAGCTTCTTTTCCCGTCCGCTAAAGTGCCTGAGTTCTTTCTAGCTGGCCTGTGGCATGTATTAGTGTGCTGCCCTCCACTGGTTTGTCTCGTGGTGGTGGCCACGGCCGGGCGGACGGGAGTCTAGGAAAGATGGAATTGTCACGAGGTGACTTCTATTTGCAGCCGTGGTCCAACATTCTCACGGAGCCAAGGGCGGATTGCCTTACGGATGCATTACCCTACCGATACCATGTCAAGACGGCGTGGTGGGCCAATCGTCACGTAAATGGACCCTTCACCGGGCAGGACAGTCTAGGCACTGCTCCTAGGAATCCCGATTGCAAGTGCAATTAATTGTAAGCATGCAAGCGGCAGCGTTCTGTGTACTGTGGCACTGACGAGTCCGCCCCAGCGGGTTTGGTTTAAATCTCACGATGGATTCGTCTGTCCAGGTAAGGCGGACACCACAGAATGAGATGTTCGTCGTAGCTCTTGCAGATGCAGATTACTGCATTTCGACGATTACTTAGGACCGTTGAACCAAGTCCAGTCAGCACCATCGAATGCTTGCATAGCTCAGACAACGTAGGTTGACTCTGGGCCGGCAGCTTGCAATTGTCCTCGGGATATCCTCTCGGCGGTTCTTTCCCCTGCTTGCTTTTACGTACCGCTCTCTACTTCCTCCATCTCTCTCACTCCGTCTCTCAGACTCGTGCACACTGCTCACCCACTCATTACTCTATTCCCTCCACCCTCACATCACATCACTCGCCATCAGATCACTTTACCCTCAAGTATTTCCCCTCTTCACCTCACCCACCTCCCTTTGCATTTTACACACCTCAAACGATCAACCTGCGTTCTCATTCACACCTCCCGAGGCATACCTCGCACGCACACGTACGCAAACGGACAAGAAGTCTCGTCAACCATTGCAGACGACCTTATTGCCTACCATATTCTCTCTTCCTGTCTGCCTCGCAGGTCTGCCTCTGCCCCCTGCTAGCGGCTCTTCCATTCACTTGGAGAGGGTAGCTGTCGCCGGGTCGAGAAGTGCCTCCACCCCGGCCCCAATTCACCGCACCCGCCTCCGAAACTCACACCGGGGGGTCCCGCCTCTTTGGGCGCAGAGCTACTTTCCCTGCTGGAAGCATCACGCGAGCTGCCTTCCGTGCCCGCCACGACCTCGCCTGCCGCTTGATTGATCTTTTCTTCATGAATTCAATTACGCGTCGCATCTCGTCTTTTATTGCAAAGTAGCATAGACTCAAAAACGCGGACATCAGACGCGACGTCAAGATGCCCGGTAAGACTAACGGTATCGGCATCCAGGTGGAGGACCTCAAAATATGTGTCGTCATGGTCGGTCTGCCCGCCAGGGGCAAGAGCTTCATCGCGCAAAAAGGCAAGTACAAGCTGTGAAATCGGTGTTCGAGACGTCTTCGACAACTTCTCAGACTTCAAGCCCAATTGGAGTTCCTAATACTGACTTTCGTCCAGCGCAACGGTATCTGGGATGGCTCTCAATCAAGGCCAAGACCTTCAACGTCGGCAGCTACCGCCGCCAGGAAGACGCTCACCCCTCGGCCGACTTCTTTGACTTCCACAACGCCGAGGGTGAGCGGCGACGTCGCGCCGCCGCCGAAAGGGCCATTCAGGACATGCTCGCCTGGTTCCGCCAGGGCGGCGTCATCGGCATCCTGGATGCCACCAACTCCACAAAGGAGCGCCGCAAGTGGGTTCTCGACATTTGCACCAAGGAAGGCATCGAGGTCCTCTTCGTCGAGAGTAAGTGCGATGATGAGAGCCTTATCATGGCCAACATCCGCGACGTCAAGACCACCTCACCCGATTACCAGGGCCAGGACCCAGATGAGGCTGCTCTCGACTTCCGTAACCGCATTCGCAACTACGAGAAGGTGTACAAGACGCTCGATGAAGATGGCGACGAGGACGAGTACACGTATCTCAAGATCATGGATGTCGGCAAACAGGTCATCATCAACCGCATCCAGGACTACCTCCAAAGTCGCGTCGTCTACTACCTCATGAACCTCCACATCCGGCCCCGTTCAATTTGGCTCTCACGAGTGAGTACTTAGCTCATCATAAATGAGCACTCCACTGACTTGACTTAGCACGGCGAGTCGATGTACAACCTTGATGGCCGTATCGGCGGTGACACCATGCTTTCACCTCGCGGTGAGCAATACGCCAGGAAACTGCCTGAGCTGGTCCGAAAATCAGTCGGCGTAGGTAGCCCCCCTCCTCTTACTCCTTACTCTGCTCACATTCACAGGATGACCGCCCTCTCACTGTCTGGACCTCCACGCTGAAGCGCACCATCGCAACTGCTCGCTTCCTCCCCTCGGACTACAACCAGCTGCAGTGGAAGGCGCTCGATGAACTCGACTCTGGCGTTTGCGACGGACTGACCTACCAGGAAATTAAAGACCGTTTCCCGGAAGACTTTGCCGCCCGCGACGACGACAAGTACAACTACCGCTACCGCGGCGGTGAGTCCTACCGCGATGTCGTCATCCGCCTCGAGCCCATCATCATGGAGCTTGAGCGTTCTGAGGATATCCTCATCGTCACCCACCAGGCCGTGCTGCGCTGCATATATGCCTATTTCATGAACAAGTCCCAGGCCGACAGCCCCTGGATGAATGTGCCCCTGCACACTCTCATCAAGCTCACCCCTCGCGCCTACGGAACAGAGGAGGTGCGCTACGAGGCTAACATCCCTGCTGTGAGCACCTGGCGCGGCAAGGGCTCGACCGCGAAACACGAGAACCCTACAGCGGAGTGTAGGTGATCCAGCATGAGTTTAGAGGATTTTGAGAAGAGGACGTTTTACTGAAGGTTGGATACAGGAACAGGAGGGCAGGGAATGCGGCCCCCATAGATCGATCGGACGAATTGCGGACCGGGTTTCCTTATTTTTTCTGTTGAAACCGAAGTATTTCTCACTTAAATTCGGCATACCGTTCACCCCCGATCTTCAATCAATACGGCGTTAAAGGAACCACGAAAAGATAAGAAATGCGCATAGGGGTATTTTGGCGGCAAAAACGCGGGGGAAGTGGCACATCAAGGCGGGCGTGTCCGACAATCATTTTCACATGGAAGCTTGGTCTGCAGATCCCCAACTCCTCTGGATCGTAGTCTCACAGCACTGTTTCGACGTTAGTCGGGTTTCAACGCTTGCTTTTCTTGCTAGAAGTTCCATGATAAGTATGGTATGTTTGGAAGGTCTAGAGCTCCGGCCGAGGGACAAATGCATGCACATTATTCGCGATGGGTCGTCCGTGACGGTGACGGGGGGACTTTCTTTTGTCGGTCCCTTCGTTTTGTCTTTGCGACACTATTAGTACCAATGAACATTCCATGCCTGATATGGGCAAAGATGCCCAATGAAAGCTGGTCGTTATTATTCGCGTGGTGAATGGAGGGATGATGTCGTATTGCGGGGAGAGTCGAGGGAGTGGTGACCCCGTCAGAATAGACTTCGATGTCTCCCGCGGAGGATCGTTGATTGTGATCACCCCGCATTTCATCGGTTGCAGATCATTGAGCTTGTAGACGGTTGCTGAGCGTTGATTGAGGGTTGACTCATTAGACAGGAGTTCAAACGTAACGATATTAGGATATCTCGTTCAATTATGTATGATTGAGAGAGGCGCTTAAAGAAGCACATCGTCAATTAGTTCATAGACCTACATTTAAACGCTAAGTATTGAAATTTAGCAGTAGCCACTCTGACTCGCTGGCCATAGTGGTTATATTATGACTCTTCAAGTTCAAGGTTTTTCTTCATATCGTCACAGTAGCTAGTGGCTGCTGCTAAGTTTTATTTTTTTTCTTTTTGGCGTGGAAAACTTCTTCGCCCTTTGGGGGGCTCAAAAGGTTATTAGTGAAATGAATAAAAGACTTAAAGCAAAAGAGTTAGAAGAAGCTCTAGATTATTTAAGTTAGGACCTATAGCATTTGAGATTTTAAGGAGAGGTGGAATTGACTGTCTTTTCAGTTGAGCGCAACTTTTGAAGACAGCCATCTCGAACTAGGTTGAGTTGATCTTCAAAAAGAGGGGATTAGCTGGAGTTAGGTACGTACCAGTTGCCCGCGCCGGACCGGATCATCCCACTCCGTTATCGCGCAGCTCCACTGAGATTTCCATCCGATAAGAAAAAATTCCCCCAATGGGTCCTTCATTGACCGGTGCTGCAGCAAAAGTCTAGTTCTTTCACGGCGCCGAAGAACACCACGCTTCTTCAACCACCAACACCACCTTCACACCGATACCCCCCCGCGAAGATGGACGCCGCCACGCACAAGAAGCGCAAGTTCCGCGCCGACGCCAATGGCGCAAAATCCTCGAGCGGCAAGCGCTCCGCCGCCTCTGCGCCCGCCGCGGCGCAACCGAAGAAGCAGAAGCGCACCAAGGAACCCGAGCCGGAAGCCGACTCTGACGACTCCGCGAGCGACGAAGAGGAGGACGAGGAGGAGACGGCAGAGAACTTCAAAGACACAGAGGCCCCCTCAGACGACGAGGGCGCCGGCTCAGACCTCGACGACGACGTCAAAGCCCCCGCCGCCCCCTCAAAGTCCTCCTCCGACCTCCCCAACGCGGACTCCCTCGCCCTCCCGACCGTCGGCGCCGAAGCCCACGACTTCTCCCAGCTCAACCTCTCCGAGAGGACGATGAAGGCCATCAAGGACATGGGCTTCACGAAAATGACCGAGATCCAGCGCCGCGGCATCCCCCCCCTGCTCAGCGGCAAGGACGTCCTCGGCGCCGCCAAGACCGGCTCCGGCAAGACCCTCGCCTTCCTCATCCCCGCCGTCGAGATGCTGCACGCCCTGCGCTTCAAGCCCCGCAACGGCACCGGCGTCATCGTCGTCTCCCCGACCCGCGAGCTCGCCCTGCAGATTTTTGGTGTGGCCCGCGAGCTCATGGCCCACCACTCCCAGACCTACGGCATCGTCATCGGCGGCGCCAACCGCCGCGCCGAGGCCGACAAGCTGCAGAAGGGCGTCAACCTGCTGATCGCCACGCCCGGACGCCTGCTCGACCACCTCCAGAACACGCCCTTCGTCTTCAAGAACCTCAAGTCCCTCATCATCGACGAGGCCGACCGCATCCTCGAGATCGGTTTCGAGGACGAGATGCGCCAGATCGTCAAGATCCTGCCCAAGGACGACCGCCAGACGATGCTCTTCTCGGCGACGCAGACGACAAAGGTCGAGGACCTCGCGCGCATCTCGCTGCGCCCGGGCCCGCTGTACGTCAACGTCGACGAGCAGAAGACGCACAGCACCGTCGAGAACCTCGAGCAGGGGTATGTGATTTGCGACGCCGACAAGCGGTTTTTGTTGCTGTTCAGCTTCCTGAAGCGCAACCTCAAGAAGAAGGTCATCGTCTTTTTTAGTAGTTGCAACTCGGTCAAGTACCACGCCGAGCTGCTCAACTACATCGACCTCCCCGTGCTGGACCTGCACGGTAAGCAGAAGCAGCAGAAGCGGACGAACACGTTTTTCGAGTTTTGCAACGCCAAGCAGGGTACTTTGATCTGCACCGACGTCGCCGCTCGTGGATTGGATGTAAGTCTTTTTTGTCTCCTGTCCCAGTATCATCTCAAGAACTACACTGACACCGTCTCTCGTAAACAGATCCCCGCCGTGGACTGGATCGTCCAGGTCGACCCCCCCGACGACCCGCGCGACTACATCCACCGCGTGGGCCGCACGGCGCGCGGCGCCAACTCCAAGGGCCGCTCCCTCATGTTCCTGCAGCCGTCCGAGGTGGGCTTCCTGACGCACCTGAAGGAGGCCCGCGTGCCCGTCGTCGAGTTCGACTTCCCCGCCAGCAAGATCGCCAACATCCAGTCCCTGCTCGAGAAGCTCATCAACCAGAACTACTACCTCAACAAGTCGGCCAAGGACGGGTACCGCTCGTACCTGCACGCGTACGCGTCGCACTCGCTGCGGACGGTGTTCGACGTCAACAAGCTCGACCTGGCCAAGGTGGCCAAGAGTTTCGGGTTCAGCACCCCGCCGCGGGTGGATATCACGGTCGGCGCGAGCGGGCGGGATAAGAAGGTGCAGGGAAGGAGGGCGTACGGGAGCCAGCCGAAGCAAGGGGGTACCGGGGGGTTTTATAAGAAGAGGTGAGAAGGGGGAGGGAGAGTGTGTGGGAAGATGGATGTGTACTTGGCTGGCAGCACGGCGTTGCGTTATTAAAAATGTTTGTTTTTAGAAAGTGAAAAAGGGTAATGGGACTTTGTCTTTCTGCTGAGCTTGAGGTTTTATGGTGATCGTGATCGTGATGTTAGTGAGAGAGCTGCTGTCGTGGTGAGGCTTGGGCCAGGTGTTGGACTTGGGATGATCCATTCGGTATAAGAGGGTGATAACGACGGGTGCTCTCTGCAGACCAGCCAAAGGTGTGTGGATCGATTGCCTCATTGGCCTTGAACTTGCCGGTTTTACTCGATTTCTAGTTGGCGAGGCGAGCCACTACAACAGAGACCTACCTAGGTCGCAGGGAGGCGTGAATGACCGGCCATTAGAATTCAACGCGTTTCTCCCCTTGATCTCCCTTCATCGCCGGAACTTACTTATTCGTAGATGATACGCGGGTGAAATGGCTTAACGATGCGAGTATCTTCCCGTCTAAAGGCGTATAACATGATCAGTGGCTAGGTTTCGGCGAGGACTGGACCTTCGTCGACTCTCGCAACCGATCACGATTCCAGACGTTTCGCCAGATTGGGGTGTAGAGCTAAGTGCGTGATAGGTTTACATGTATTTTTATATGCCCAGATCTGGTAATCTGAACAAGCCTGATGTAGTTCATGCGAGCTTGGCGGTGTTTAAGAATCGCATGTTAGAATACCGGTGTGGGAAAGGGGGGTATATAAAGACGTTTGTGTGTCAGTCTTGGCTCCGTTTCACAGACGAACGCGATTGTGTCTGGACGTACTGCGCGTCTCCTGGCATTGCTCTTTGCCGGGTAATGATACACGGTTCATGCAAGCCACGTCGAAGACGAGTTTCTGTTCGGATCTTCGAATGCCCTGCTGGTTTTTACGTCTGTGGTTAAACTGGCGAGGAGATCTTCTGCCTCTCATCTTCTTCTCTTGCGTATTCATAGGGAAAACCCCGCTGAGATCAAGGATTCGAGGTGATGGTGTGCATTCAGCTCGGTTTGAGTGCTCTCATTCTAGTTAGTTGCAGACACTGCCTTGGAAAGGGGCCGGATCAGGCGGCAGGTTATTGTCCGTCTCAGAGTCTAACAAACACACGACTTGCACGCAAATCGTTACATGGCTTCGAGAGGTCTTGGTGATTATGTTATAAGGTATTTATGTATTGGGCTTGCTGCCGAGATGCGTGGGGGAGGATTACATGACGAAGCAACTACGCTAATTCCCGGCTTAGACATACTGCTTGGATGACTTGCGATAGGTTTACGAGTTGGGTTACCAAGTGCGGAACTGCATTCGTTACTTCGAGATAGGTTGCAGGTGCGTGATATATTGGACGAGAGCAGTGTGAAATGGGATTATCCATAAAGGCCCAGTGACTTCAGCTGGACTGATGCCGTTCTGGGAACACCAACGAGGTTAAGTGAAATAACATCCTCGCTACTGCTGCTGCTGCTGCTGCTGCTGCCGCTGCTACAGCTGCTGCTACAGCTGCTTCCAAATCACCCAACTCCATCTGCCTGGTGTTCTTACTCTTTGTTGGTGGTTTTTGGGTATTCTTGAGCGATGCGTTGGAGATTCATTGTGGTGAGACTATAGTAGACGATGTGCCCAACGGATGGGCTACGTACTGATTCTTGTTGGAAGGTGGATGAGTTGTCTACACCAGCAAACGAAAAGCGTACAAAATGCAGCATATTTGTTGTATGGGCAAGTCTAACAATCGTAGAAGGTATTTTATACGGCGAGTCTGCGGTGGATCAGTTTGGTTGGTCCTCGTGACAAACTTGGTCATTATTTGCTACCGCGGAAGCCATTCTGGACAGACGAAGAGTCACCTTCTTAACGACCGTAATCAAGCTGCCAATAATCAGAGTTGATTTTGAATTGAATGGACGTCTTAATTATTAATAGACTTACGTTATGGTTACACTGTTCTACCGACGTTATCTTCACCTTGTTTTATTTGAAGAATGGTATCAATATGTGGATGACGAGGATAGAATTGAGTAAACTCCTCGATCTCATTTTACTGTATGATAAAAGTCTATATATGTGCTATGGGAAACATACTTTTGCGTAGAAAGTTCTATGTCATCTTTCATCTTATAGCACAAGCTTTTCTTGAGGTGGTTGGAAACAACCGTCCCACATCAGAATGTTTCAGTCCTTCACACATGCTAGAAGGCGAACCTGTATCGCAAAGGCTGCCAAGAGGCTACCGGACCCGGACTCAAGCTGCTGTATAAGTTCTTTAACCCCAGCCCTTACAGAACTCTCCTCCACGTCGTCAGACTCCACAAACTTGCAGTCGTTGCCGTGGAACGTCGTCTTCCTTTCCGCGCCAGGCTTCAGACGAACGGCGTAGTCTATCAAGTACACATGACAAGGCTTCCGTCCCGGTGCATCTTTTAGCATTTCCTGCACGCACCAGAAGAAGTTACCACTCTCCGCGTCTTCAGACTCGTAAGAAAGACGGCTCCGGCTCCGTAGCGAGAGGGGACACAGATCAAAGTCCCAGGTGTCGTCGAACTCGAACGCCCAGTGGTGGACGCTTTCGCAGGGTGCGGTCGCCATCAGGCGCGAGAACCTTTTCCGAAACTGCAATGGACTGGGAACCCGCGACCCGTCCGTTCGTCGCAGACAGAAGAGGTCGTTGCGGGGGAAGACGACGGGCGTCCTGTCGTGGTCGTCGGCAAGCCAGAAACAGCCGAAGGGCGGTGTCCGTAGATTTGATAAGGTTGTTGTTCTAGATGGGGGAGTGTTACTTGAGTATGGTGAGCCAGAGGAGCTATTGGCGAGGGTTGATGGGGCATTCGCGAAGCTCTATGTTGTGCAACGTGGAAGACCCGAGACTTCTTCTGCGTAAGCAGTGGTGATAACGATATCGACTATGAGCAGGTACTACCTTGACGGTAACGGTGCGAGGAGAGCTGGAAGGTACGTAGATGTAAAAGAAGGAGAAATCCTCGCCCTCGGGCATGCAAGCGCCAGAGAGTGTCGTGGGTTTTGCTCTGATGACCGTTTTACGCTTTCTAAAGGTTAAAGGTTTAAATCGCACTACTATCTATCCTTTTGCGGTCTCTACTGTTTTTATATCTTGTCTTTTCCAATCACCTCAATTTGATAATAATTACAAGGCAGTTGCAAATAGATACAGAGAAATTCATTAACATAGCCCTAAAGTCATACCTTTTTAAGCCTCTAACTCTTAGGTTTTATCCCAAATCATTAAACTTGCTAGACTTGGATTTCGATACGGACTTGTCTGTACATCCGTTTTTGGAAGGTCTCGGTGAACCCGCATTTGTGCATTACTCCAGGGCCTGTCCACTTCACAGCAGGCATTCATTTATAACGTCAGCGATCAGACACTAGGCAGAAATTCGATGCGTGGCCAGGTATACGCGTCGTTAAAGTACTGCTGTATAGAAGTAAAGCAGCAGTCGCAAATCATCTGGCAACTGCACTCGTTGAGCATTTTACATTCTTTATACCCAACTGCATACTGCAAATCAATTTCTCAGCAGTTTATGCAGCCATGGCCGAGGACAACAGCCCCAACCAGTCTTCCAATACGTCGACCTCAGTTGACGCAAACGATGCAGCATCTGTCGCCGCCCTGACTTCAGTTGAGCTGGCAGCTCGCGGAAGAGAGGTCACGGGGTTAGACATATTCCAAAAGATTAGCAGCCCCATTGATGGGGCGAGGGTGGAGGAACTCATGGCGGCAATGAACGCCGACGTGCCTACGGGCGGTGCGGACATGGCCTACGGCAACAAAGACACCCAACGCCTGCGACTCTGGAAGCCGGACTCCGATTATGCGCCGATAATCGTTTTCGTTCATGGTGGTAGTTGGGTTGCCGGCACCTACCTCGACTCCATCGGTTCAACCAAGATTGGCCATCTGCTCGCCAAAGGATACGCCATCGCGTCGATCAATTACACTCTGGTTCCCGAAGTGACTGTGGCTGAACAGGTGCAAGAGGTCGCGGATTCGGTGGGCTACCTGGCAAAAAATGCAAGTCACCTCGGCGTCGATGCGGAGAGGGTCGTCCTCGTGGGACACAGCTCTGGCGCTCACGTCGTGACTCTTCTGGGAACCGACACGAGCTACTTCGTCAGATCCGGAGTCAGCATCGAAACCATACGCGGCGTCATCGCCTTGGACGGATCAAACTTCAACGCGGCAGCAGAGATCATCGACAACCCGGGAAACATCGCCCAGAACATGCACATTGGACTGGGCACCGATTTGGAGAGACTTCAAGCTATGTCCCCGACCTACAACGCCCAGCAGCCGAACGCCAAGTCTTTCTTGCTCCTCCAAGTCCAGAGACAAGGAGACATTCGCCAAGCTATCGAACTGGCTGCGGTGCTCAAGACGGCAGGTACTGACTGTGCTCTGCATGTGTTTGAAGGGCCGAGCTTTGAAGGGCATATGGCGATGCTGCTCCGGCTTGGCGACGCGAGCTATCCTGCCACAACGGTGATGGATGAGTGGCTTAAGACTCATGTTCCACTCGCTAACAGTGCGAGAACGAGCCTATAATATGCCAGAACATTGGGTGGAAGCTATTCGCAAAGAATTGGGGGCTGGCTGGCGGATTGAGCTTAACGTGGTAATATCACTACGGAAGTTAGTTCTAGAAGCACGTTCTATAACCTACCTAGGATAACATTAAGATAGGAACAATTTTAACATCTTAGAAGCAGACTACTCTAATCTTCTTAGAAAAAGCTGTTTATTTAAAGGTTTGATAATAAGGTACCTCATATAATGACTTGCCATGTACCTTAGCGGCTACAGCGTGGTACAATACAGGGTCTCTCTGGTTTCTGCACCACCACAAATACATACTGCAGTCCACAGCAGTCAATGGAATAACTCCACCCTAGGTGTTCGCCTTCCCTCCACCGCTTATTTAGACCCTTACCCTGCTCCTTCGGAATCAACGTGGTGACATTCTATGTCCATGACACGACAGCCCCTATACTAGCGACAAACATGTATGACACCCTTTCCCTGAGCACTTGCTTTGATACCCTCCAAGACACCAATTGCGACGATCAAGCCCGCACTTGGATCCGAAAGGCTCTCGATGCCAAGATCGACTTAGCAAGATTTGTTGCCGACCGCCGAGAAAAGGGTCGAGCCACCGAGGTCGTAGGCTACCTCAAAGGAGCCTTCAACCTGGGCTTCCGAATCAGGTTTGAGGATGACGGGCCCGATGCCGTCATCCGTTTCCCTAAGCCCGGGCACATCTCGACGGTTTTCTTGGAGGAGAAGCTTATCAATGAAGTACGCGCCATCGAGTTTATACGCCAGAACACCACAATTCCGGTTCCCTTTGTCCATGCCTGGGGCTTAGCCCACGAGAGTCCCCGGCAGCTCGGCCCCTTCATCATCATGGATTTCATCGAGGGCACCTTAGCCTCGAGGATTCTTCAAAAGCCTCCCGACGATGACCAGCAAGAACTGATATTGAACCCGGACCTCGATAGCTCCTTGCTGGACAAATTCTACCGGCAAGTCGCTGGGTACTTGCTCCAACTGTCAAGAATTCAGTTCAAGCATATTGGCGCTATCCTGAGAGGGCCTGGAGAGCCTGCGGAGGAGAAGGGCATATGGTCCTCTTCCAAGAGACCCCTGACGTACAACATGAACGAGTTGGCCACATCCGCAGGCTACCCAACGGACAGCTTTCCAACCGCAAGCTTCGCCCGCGCCAGCGACTTCTTCAAAAGCGTGGCTCAAGAGCACCTGGTCCATCTGCGCACCCAGCGAAATCTTGCCTTCACCCCCGAGATCGCCCGCGCGCGTTACATCGCCCGCCACCGCTACCTCCAGCTCGTTGACTCCTTCTGCAGCGCCGAAGATGACGCCGGCCCCTTCACCCCGTTTTGTGACGATTTCCGGCCGGCCAATATGCTCGTGGACCCCGACACCATGCAGATCACGGCCGTGCTCGACTGGGAGTTCACCAACGCGATGCCCGCCCAGTTCTCGCACGACCCGCCCTGGTGGCTGCTGCTGAACGACCCGGGCAGCTGGGTTGACCGTAACGCGGTGCAGGAGTTCCGCGACCTCTACGAACCCCGGATGGAACAGTTCCTGCGAATGCTTGAGATGGTCGAGGACGAAGATGGCCGGGACGCCCGTGAGGACGGAGACGGGGACGACCGGCGGCCGCTGTCGGTCCGAATGCGCGCCTCGTGGGCGACGGGCCGATTCTGGTTCAATTTCGCATCCCGGAAGAGCTACGACGTTGACAGTATCTACTGGAGGGTGCTGCACGACGGGGGCGACGCGGCCGAGCTGCTCGACCCTGAGGTACGTGCCGGGATGGACGCCGCCGTGGAGGAAAAGATGGCACAGCTTAGGGAGTACAGAGAAGAATACGCGATGCGTTTCCCTGACGAGAAGACTGACAACAGCGAGTAAAAAGTTGCACAACCAAGTGTCCCCAGCCTAGCTTTATATAGGCTAGTTAATTAACTTATAGATTTCTTTAAGTCGCTATTAACGTTTCAATTGTGCTTAAAAGTCTCCGTTCTCTTTTTCATATTTCTATTTCAGTTGAATCAAGAAGAGAGAGAGAAAGATAAGCAAAATATAAAAGTCATAAACACTAGGCTTAAGTGTGTAGTTAATTCAATATATGAGAGTCTGGGAAAACGTCATCGACCTTCTTAATGATGATTCAACAGTTTCGGGCGAAATTGACAACCGGGGCTTCCCAAAACATTTGGAAGCCTAGAATTTGTGTGAAGTATAAGCTTAGTCGACATGAAGTCCGCAACGCTATTATTGTAGCCCGTCTACTTGCTCTGGCTGATGGTATATAAGTTGACTTTAAATATCTGAGAGGTAACTGAAGTTTAAATTAGGTTTGGTAAGTACTTTAGGGATATGAATAAAGGTTTGGATGATGATGAGAATGTTGCACGAGAAAAGGACAAACGACGAATTATTCTATTACCTCCTCTAGTGGCTATATAGAAGTAATCTCGAGAGCGTGTAGGCAATATTGGAACGCACTCTATGTAAAGTTGATAGAAAGTCTCATCTACACGCAGAACTTCTCTTACTTTTGTTTCTGCATTGCCCTGGTCTAAGACGCTATACACATCTAGTCTACCTACAGCTACCTTAGTCTATACTAGCCTTAAGGAGTCTTCACATCCATACCTAAACTGGTAATACCCACCTGATTAGAATTGAGGGTTCTACATACTACCCGTACTCAGTGGTTTGCCGGAGCCTTGCGCATCTGCGATACAACAAGTTTAGGGGTTCAGGCGTAAGTGCTTTCGAGTAGTGACTGTACCGATCAGTTGATATAGAGTCTGACAGTACGGCTTTGCGGGTTATGATCAAATCATCATAACCAGAAGCAGATGACGTTTTAGTCGTTTTCATGTCATCAGCTTGTGGAAACATGGTAAGATGCTACCTTCGCCAAGAAGCACTTTACAAGCAGGCTGCCGGGTCGCAGCCTGATCAACGATGTATCAACTAAAAATATTCCTTACGCCTCTCGTCTAATTGGTCTGGGAAACTCGGGTCAGCTTCCGTCGTATTGCGCACATGAGAGGCACAGCGCGGGCTGTCTCAACGCTTCTCCTGATAAACAGTCGTTTGTCCTCCATCCACAGCACCGGTCCGTTTCCTCTCCTGTTGTCGAAAAAAGCCAGATTGAAGCACTTCTTTCGTTTTTGACTATTTCACTCCATCTCTCGAGGCTTGACCTGTGTCAATGTCAATCAACTCCTTTATGTCTTGAGATTGTCACCAGAGACCGCTGCACATCGAAGCACAGGAACTTCGGTTTACTACCATGTATCAGCCAGTCCAGGAGCAGGCGCCGCCCCACGCACAACCATCAAATGAGGGTGACAAAAAACGAAAGCCAAGCGAAGATACGAGGCCCTGGGAACCCATCCATCCACGTCATGCCGCTGCAAATTACGATTATCCAACAAGGCTCAACCGAAACGAAAGACGCCTGGGCTTCGTGCTCAGACTTAGCATGGTGTTGTCCTACATTGCCTTGGCAGCGGCCGTCGCCTTCATCTCCTGGCTCTGGTTCGCCTCCCGAGACGAGCCTCGCTGGCGCCACTGGGTGCTCGCCCCAAATCGCCTTCAATTGAGTCTTACTCTTACGGGCGTCATTGTTCGTACTGCCGTTGGAACTCTCGCCGCTGTAGCAACAAGTATGATTGCCTCTATAGCGGTGGAGCGGCGCGGTGTGCACCTCCACGCCGTTGCAGAAATGTCCATCATTCGCTTTACCAGCAGTGGGCCGCTCTCGCTGGCGCCATTCATATTCCAGCTGTCAGTAATAGGAGCAAGGGTTCGTTTTATGCTTCTAATTCTCATCATTACGACTGTCGCCACGCAATTCACTTCAACATTATTGGTTTCCGACCTAGAGCAGACCCAAATTGTCTCCTTTCCACAACTCTCTCAGAACGCATACATTTTCAACTTGAATGAATCCGGGACTCCGGACCCTAAAGCCATCGAGGGCGACGCACAAAGTAACGCAGAAACTAATAGTCACTGGCTCAAAAGACCTCGGTTCGCAGAGACGTTCATGGAATATTCAGAGCTCCCTGCGCAAGAGGACGGGTTGGACGACACAGGCCTTACAGTAAGGGCGTTCTTGCCAGTTGCATCGCAAGCAAGCAGAGAGCGACTCAAAGAGTTTCATGGTGTCGCAAAGACCATTGATTGGCGTGTCGTTTGCATGCGGCCAGAAGTTACGGACATTCGACTATGTGGAGGTCAGACGGGCTGGACTCCAAGCCTATGCGGCTCCGTCCAACCCAGTCGACTCACAGCGGCGCATGCCGCTGGCATAACATCGCCAGAGAAGTTGAGCTTTAACTTCACTTGTCAATTCTCTGGAATGTCAAGGCCAGAATACGTCTGGGAGCTTTGCCCCCTCAGAAATGACGGATTTCGCTCAAGCTCGGATAGCAAACTCGAGTCACCTCTCGATTTCTCACCCACTTCGATTACTCCGACACTTGTCTGGGATGCCGGCAACCCTGCCTTCGAAGAAGTAGCAGATATGGATTTGGATCAAACAGGATCTTACGTCGGTTCTGAAGAGTCTGGCCCCTGGCTGAAACCCACACTTCGCTCGCTGTTAGATGATGGGTCCGAAAGGGATATGACCTTCACTATGGCCATGTGCTTGCAACCTTTATTGTGAGTCCGCATAAGCTTTTCGTCATTCTTTGCCTTAATGAAAGAAACATCTAACGGTTACTCCCAAAAAACAGCGACCAGCATCTCCGGTATCTCAACATATCTGCCTCAAGCGAGGGAAATCGAACTGAGCCAATCTACAAGTGGGACTCGGATAGCGACGCCTACGACACCAGCGCGGTACGCAGACAACTCGGCGCATTTTCAAACTCTTTGTCTATGACCCTGCAAGATCGACAGATCATGTTCATCAACCCGGAAAGTCTCAAGTCATCAGTGGACAACGCTCGCAACAAGTCAACGTCTCACATGGTGTCAGAGTTTCACCCTGGCACATGGTTTACTGCTCGAGCGGAACTCCCCGTTGAACCATTGGCTTTATGCCCAAACTGCTCTGGACCTATGTACACCGGGGGAGGACGGATTAGTACTGGTGACATGGGCATCGCGGATATGCTGTACGGCATACTCTTCAACGACATCATTGCGGAGACAGCATCGCCCGCGCGCGCGCTGCAGGCCATCCATTTTACATTGGCGCGCTCTGTGTATTACAACTTCATCGACGTATACGATCTTAGCGACAACGCAACCCACGTCTACTTTCAGCTCGCGTCTGTCCCTCGACGATTCAGGGGTTACTCGGCATTCATGGCGACACTCGCCTGCTTCGTCGTCACCGTCGCCGTGGTCAGCGCGTCATTCCGCGCCACGAAGTTCAGCCTCCCCAACAACGCATGGCACACAGTCGCGCAGATTGCCGAGAGTCGGGAGCTTTCGGGCATCCTTCACGAGGCGAGGGTCGCAACCGATTCTGCGGTTGGACGTGCCATCCGCAGGGCCGAGGATCGAGATGGCTTCGGCGACGAGGCCGCGAGAGAACCCAACTCGGACAAGAACTCGACGGCGTCTTTGTTTACTCTTTGGCCGCGGAAGCCGAGGTCTCGTTTCATCGTGAGAGGGGGGGTTTTCGTTTGCGCCTCGGGGGTGGAAACTGGCAACGCGGCTGGGACGGAGTTGGGCCCGGTAAACCGGAGCAACCTACATTATGCTGAGTAGATGAAAGAACTCAAGAACTTTGGAAGCGGAGGGTTTTGTGGGTTTGTGTTATGAGAATTAATCTGGACTTGTAACGTTATGTGGATAACATTATGATTAGAAGTTCTTAGTCTGACTATATTGTAATGTAAAGGAAGTGTATTAGCAGAAGGGTCTTGGATGAAGGAGAGAATCGAAGTTGCTTGATGAAGCAGGGCTGCAGGGCCAGCGTTATTGAGTTGGTTGGGTATTCACTCCACAAAACCCAATCAGAAGACAAACATAGTGATAAGATTATCACCAATCACCTCTCGAGTAAGCTGCACTTGGTGCAGTGCTTATGGACCAGTCATCACCTCCCACATGCTGCCAAGTGAAGCAGGCTGTGTGGCCATGCTCGCCAATGAGGACAAAGTGCGCGCTCGCGCATTTGTGCCCTCGCGCGCCATCATTTTCCTGCTTGAATGGTTTTCTCATAAAGTTGACGAACTCTGCTTCAAGAATATCTTGCTCTCCTTGTCCAAAGCTTGAGCCCCTCTGACGAATGAGAGGTCAACATATCAACATGGATTCCTCAGCAGCCTTATCTCAAACATCAATGGAGGGGGGTAAGGCTGGGCGAATGCCCGCACCCAACTGGGAATTTCTCAGACCGCAGATCACTGAATACTATGCACGCAATTCCTTGGAGGACGTAAGAAAGTTATTAGAAAACGACCATGGCATCAAAGTTACGTACGTGCTACTAAATCGTTCAAAGTTCTTGTCTGACTTGTTGATAGCAAACGCCAACTAATCTACAAATTGGACGCATGGGGGTGCAAAAAGTATAGTGTCGAAAACGAAGACGCTTTCAGCATTCCGAAACACTTCGAGTCGCCTCCGTTCAAGTCCACAAAGACTGAAAGTCGAAACCCATCACTCCAAAGAAGCATCGAGCCTAAGGCAGCTGCTGATTTGAAGGTAGCACATTACCACGCCCGAGTATCAGTTATGGACAACGACGGGCCCCGCCAGAAACCCGAAGATTTGCGCTCGGGTAACAACGAAGAGAAGCTCACACTGCTCATCGTCGATTATGTGCGTGAAGCAATGACATCGGGGAACGTTTTCACAGATAAGGACCACGATGACTCCGACGACCCCATTGGCAACGGGAAAACTCTATTCACCTGGGCTAGTGACGTCGCCGGACTTATCAAAGCGAAGCGGATCGCTGCTGCGAGTAACATCACGGCGCCATCTACGATAGACAAGCCCTTGCCGGATATAAGTGCAGTCATAAAGGGCGAACACCCTCACCTGCTCGGTATACTCTTCAAGCTTTGGAGCTACACAACTCTAGTGGACGACGGAGGTCAAACGAGCAGATCTTTCCTCACACTGGTGCTCACAAAGTGCAGACAGATCTTGAAAAGCTCTCACGTTATAACGAAGATATTTGAGTGCTTAAAGGATAATCAGTCTGACCCAGAAACTTGCCTCGAGAGTTTAATAACGCTACCCTCGGAACTTTTCAGCAAGGGGACTCACAAAATCGATCCAAGTTCTGAGGTTGGCAATACCATCACAAGCGACTACGCGACAGTGGCTTCTCTGCCACGTCGAGAGTACCAAAGAGGTTCTCAGATGAAGGGCGCATGGCGTCTTAAGAGGGGTTTTGGCCAAGACAGCGTCCATAATTATGACTATCACGCGGATGCTTCTTCACTAGGTGCTTCTTCACTAGGTGCTAGCGCCGCAGCTGTATGGTCACGGTCACAAAACCCCCAGACAGCGCCTTCTTTCAGTCTTTTCCAGCAGGGACAACGTCCATCGTCGGGTTTTTCCCAACGAGATTCCTCTCCAATGGAAGTATCAGACAGAAAGGTAAAAATGGAGAAAGTCGAGGCAGGTTTCTGCACAAGCAAAGATTCCTACTCAGACACAGCTTCAGTTGCATCTCCCACCTTAGAGCCCGAGACCATTGAGGATGAGAAGGGTAGAGTCGTCAACACCATCATGGAGATTTTTCTCCGAGATATCGACACTTACGTCTCGCAAATCGTCGGTACGCACGATGATGACAACACAAGAGACGCGACGGAAACAGGGGAAACCGGAGGCCAGGCCGGAAGCTCAGCTACAAACTCTCAGGGCAGGAGAAGTATCAAGAGACAGAAGGGCCAGGCGGGACAGAGTACTGTCCCCAATGACGACGGAAGTGACGGAGAGAACGAGAAAGAGGATGGGGACGAAGACCAAAGAAGACGAAAAAAGCCCACGAAGTCATGCGACGCTGGTAAAGTCTTATTCGCGTGCCCCTACTACAAGTGGAATCCCCACGAGTACTGCAGGAGACAAACCTGTGCTGGCCCCGGATGGAGCACAATCCATCGTATGAAGTAAGTGACACTCTAAACTGGAAACTCCCTGTGGTAGTAATGTTAACTTGTTCCAAGGGAGCATTTGTATCGAACCCACCAAAAGAGCCTCTTCCAATGCAGAAGGTGTTGGAAAGACCTCAAAGGTGATCGTGCTCTGGAGGACCACCAGCGACAAGATCCGCCATGCGAAGTAAAACCTGCGCCCACGGGCTGCGACAAGTTTGGCCCCGAGACAAGATCTCGCCTTAAACGACCGAGAGGAACACGGTCGGAGGAAGAGCACTGGTTGGATGTGTACCGAATACTCTTCGATGTGAGAGAGGACGAGCTTCCTAACCCTTGTGAGTCGAAAAACTTGACCCTTCTTTCCAGTTCAGTCATCAAACTGACATCTCCTCAGACTACGACCTGGATCTCAGCCTCTTGGCCCAGACAGAGACGTGGTCCGAGCATGTTCGACGTGAAGTCAGGCCGCTTCTTCGAGACCTGCTCGCCACCGAAGCTGCCAGGGCTGTGGCCAATATTGTCCCAGACATCCTTAGCCGCCTACACGATCTTGTAAGGCACTTGGAGATACCACTGAGGCAAAGTTTCGAACCTGTTCGCGAACAAGACCCGTTGGAGCCAAGCCCCATTGTTCCTGAGCCAAGGCCCTCCGAACCAGCACTTCCTCAGCCAGTGTTTTCTGATCCGGAATTTTCTCAATCAGAGTTTCCTCAACCAGAGTTCTCTTGGCCAGAGCTTTCTCAGCCGGAGTTTCCTCAGCCAGAGTTTCCTCAGTCAGTATTTCTCGAGTCATCATTTCCTCTGTTATCATCTGCTGCACCAGAGGCCCCCGGATACCAACGTGACAATTTTCACATCAGCGACCAAACGGATGCATCTGGTATGTGGGAAGACTGGTCCTTCATGGGGGAAGACTACTATCTACCCCCGGACTTGACGATCCAGGGCCCGCCAGCACCCGATGGGAACAGTGACGCACTTGGAGATACATGAAGGAGGTTGGGCTTACGAGAATCCACCGATTGCAGACAACGCAGATAAGAATACGTTCATGGTAGGATCTAAAGTCTCCGACATTGACACCAGACTTGACGATCTCAAATCAATGTTTTATCTGGCTGATATGCTCCTCTTCCTCTGCCGTGAATCAACGCGCAACAACCCGAATTTCTCCATGAGGTACGTCGTGATTCACCCGCATGCCAAGCCAGCCGGATCTCCTCACTAGAGACCCCTCCCGATCGCCACGCCACTAACGTAGGCTAGGCCGACTAGGCCCAGACCCAAAGGGTATCCGTCTCCTCTCCCACACATGGCCGTTTCCGTTTAACAGCTCATCGTGATCTCTCCCCCGAATCATAGAATCCATTATCCCGTCGTCGGCATGGTATCGATACGAATGCCAAAATGCAATACCGCCAGTGTTTTCCCTGCCTTCCCAACGCCGATCCTGGTCCCGATTGAACACAAACCAAACGCCTCGCCGGGAGTACGAGAAGACTCCCCGATCTGAACCATGTTTCTCGGTCATCTTCCATAAGATCATCGCCGCATCCTTCCGAATGGAGCCGTCGAATCGCAGCTAGAGGCCTTCACGTCCTCGCCCTCTTCTTCCTTCTCCCGTCAGTCTCCTCCTTCGGACTGGGTCGTTTGCTTTGACCCTGCAACACCACTGGTGATGTTGATGACGTTACTGCTGCTACTGCTGCTGCTGATGTTGCCTCTGTGGACCCTGACTGCTGATATGTTTGCTGCTGCTGATGTTGAAGCTGGAACTGCGCGTACTCGTGGTACTGCTGGTAATACGGGTGATGTTGCTGCTCTCCAAAGTCCAAGCCCGCGACGCCCTCGTCCTCGCCGGCGCACGTATCGCACTCTTGGTCGAAGGCGTGCGTCTCGACGTCGACGCCTCGGCGGCACCCGCCGAACTCATCGGCGTTCTTGGCTTCGAGGCACGAGAGCTGCTGGGAGAGGTCGGCCCAGGTGAGGGATTCGTTGCAGCGGGTACAGGTTCCCGCGAAAAGGACGAGACGACACATGGCTCCGGAAGTGTGTTCGGAATTTCTTCGATGAACGAGTTCGTGTGGGAAGCAAACGCAGAGAAGGCGTTCGAAGTAGTCGAGGAGAGACGCAACAGTCGCAACAAATGAAGTCGTGGGGATGGGGTATCAAGGGGTATTATGAGCCGCTCCAACACTCCACCGAACCAATTGACGCCTCTTGCCAGGACAAATTGAGAAGAATAACGATGGGGAGAGTCAAGATTGAAACAGATTGGGGGCGAAAGGTCTTCAAAAAGGGTTATCTCAGGATCGACACATGAGGAGGCCCTAGCACCATCTCAGTGAAAACGGGACGGGAGAAGGGGGAGAGGGGGGGGATGGATCGCACGATCAGCCCGCATGAGCAGAAGGAAACAAATTGTAGAGGCAGAAAATTCAAAAGGCACAGGAAAAGAAAAAGAAAAAAGGGAAGAAATCAGAAGAAAAAGCGCCGGCGTACGCGCGCCAGGCCGCACATGCAGCACACAGCACATGCACCACCAACCGCCTTGCAGCAGCCCACGTCCACGCGGCGCGGCGGCACCTTGCCGGGGCGGAACGAAGCTTTTTCTCCCGCGATGATGCTAAGACCATTTGAGATATCTCTCTTTTTGGGTTTTCCTCTGCGCCAAAGATGTGTTGTGAGGCGAGGTAGCTTGGTGCGGAGGAATGAGGGGGACGGAACATCAGGGGGCTTGTCTCTGTCCCTCTCAGACTCACACTCCCGTCTCTCTCTGACTCTGTTTCTTCTTCTTATTCTTCTTCTCGAATGAGGATCTGCTACGGAAAAGCCACTTCCGTTCCCTGAGACTCGCTCACCAAGACAAACTGCCGAAGTAGGAGATTCCTGCCCGAAGTCGACTGACAATCTAGGCCTAGAACGCCTCTGGATACTTCCGTTCAGGGCTGACATGAAGTGATTTGAAGAGGTACGCTTCCCCTTTGACGGGCACTGAGACACGGGTGCCACGAACGGCCATCGGAGCGTTTGCTCAGGTCCCCCAAGCTGTCTTTGGGGAAACCTCCGCTCGACTATTCCGGTCCAATATGATTCCGAAATGTGTTCTCCGAGAGATATCTCCGAAGTCAAAGATCCTCAACCGAGTGAGCACTGCGTACAACAAACTTCGTGGAGACGAAGAGGACTGGGCAGCAGGGCGGTTGAATGGCAGGCTAGGAGGTGCGCGATGTGAGCTTAAGTTCGGATAAGGTACGCTGTTGTGGCATGAGAAATGGAGAGTGAGGCGGATGGCAGCATGAAGCATGGATCATACAGCGAGCTTTGCACCAAGCTTTTCTGGCAGTTTGCTCTGTTCAAACCCTGTTCAAGGATGAAGCTCCCTTGCGAATCTTAGCGCCGTCTCTCCTCCGGCCCCTCCTCCTCCCCCGCTCAACATACCAAGCTTCCCCAGCTTTACTCACATGTCGGGCAGCCCGAAATAAGAAAACAGATTCCCCGTTTATTACACAGGTCATATATCATACGATCTGCTTACCAGGAAAAACCTGCAATGTAACCCTCAATCGCCCAACGTGATGTGATCCATGCCACTTCTCACGAACCGGCTCACCTCGAACTCACGATACAACCTCGACATGAGCAGATTTCAGACGCAGCCCGATAAAGGTTTGACGCAAAACACAGACATAGCAACACAGAATCCACGGAAATCCAAGACTGCCCTCTTCTTCCTCGTCAAATGCTGCTGCTGCCCAGACCCTGGAATCAACTGCTCATCATCCTGCACAACCCAAAATCCGAACGTCTCGAGAAGCCCCCGATCTCACTCGCTGCATCTTCGCCGCGCATCCGCCCCTCAGACTGGAGGATGGAGCAAGATTCACGGATCACAGCCGGTGGGATCCCGCTCTTCAAAGTCCGTCATGTTCCGAACGTGAAAATTGTCCGTGAATAACTGTGGTGGGTAAACGTCCGCTCAGACTCTGAATCGCGGGCGCGCATGTCGATGCAAGGCAAATCTGGTTCATCACGTCTTCGCCCAATCCAACCTTAACCTTATCGCCCACCGAAAACACCGCATTATAGTTGTCTTGACAGGAACCAGATACGCGAAGCGCAAGCCGGGAAAGTTGACGATGGTTCACGATGCGCCGTCCGCGACCCGCGTCCATGCATGTGTCACTGAAGACAACCGTGATCCTACTCGCATGAGGATGCGGATTCAGGGTAGCTACTCATCCCCAAAGAGGAAACCTAGCCGCGAGCTGTCAAATGTCGTACCTGAGTGAGTTCTTCACGACGAACACTGACAAGGAGACAATCCCGTTGGCACAGACTGGGCTCTCTCACATGTGAGGTGCAGCCGGACGCACTGCTGATTGTCTCGAAGCGCCATACAAGCAACTGTCCGTCACGAAAGGCGCAAGATGGTTCACGATGAGTCGAGCCACACACGCCTGATGAAGCAAACGTCTATTGAGTTGGTCTGGGCTATCGCAGCTTGGTCTTCTGTCTCTAATCCCGTGTCATTCCCTTGCCGTCGAGGGTGGTAGATATGAGATTCTCGTCGCTTAAGAAACACTGGTTCCTGAGACCTTGATTTGAGAGCGACTTTGGTTGGAGAGTGCCCAAGCTCACACCTCGCATCGTCAAGACCCGGACTCACGAAGCCCGAGCCATGTCAACCCAACGTTTCTCGCCAAGTGTTCGGCTGCCAAGCCCGTACGCTCTTTGTTTGCCCGCGCCGTTTTCCGTTCTCTTCACTTTCACTTCGCCAGTAAACGGGTGGTCGAGTCCGGTTCGACCTCACTTTCAACTTCGTGGCAACCGCCATGTCAAACGTCCGCATGAGAAGCCTCAATATGTCACCTGAGTTACTTCAATCACACGTATCCCGCCGGATAAGACTACTAGAATTATGAAAACTGCCAAACTCACATCATGATGGATGAGAATCGGAGCAGACGGAGACATCTCCGAAAAACACAGACATCCTTCTTCAGCTCTCTCTCTCACATGCAAACGCATTGGTCCCGCGTATATCACAAATCTCAATCCACATGCAAGTCAAGACTCTCCTTCTCTCCCTCTCTACCTCGATCTTCTTTCCCGCACAGTCCCTAGAAAAAACGACACGGATGCAAGGCACGACGCACGCGAGGCAAAGCAAATCTCAAGCCTGATGTCGCTGTTAAACCAAAACTCCGATAAGCGAGGGGATGTAGACGTCTGTTCGATGACACCACGATCGAAAAACACTTTTTTTTTTTCTGCTTTTTCCACTTGCTTCAACGCTGCCGCCGCCCGCCCGTCGAACCGTTTGCCAAGAAAACGCGTCTCTGGACTGTCAAGTGGTCTAGACCACGTCGTAAATCCTTCTCCGGCCTCTGCATCATGTAACAACCCGCATGCAACTAATTTGTCACCACGTACTATTCCAATCATTCTCATCACTTTCAACTGGTCGAAACACCAAAACGAACAGAGACATCAATCAAATTCCCCCCACCGTTTGTTGGCGGGAAAGCCGCTCACCTCTCCCGAAATCCGTGTGAAGAAACACGCCATTCGAAACAGGCAATGTCCGTGATGCCACGTGCGAAGCGAACGCCGTGATCAACGGAAACCAACGTAGCGCGATCCACCATCCGAGACGTTCCCGTGTGGAAGAAAGACCTCGAAGGATTTCACATGCAGATGGATGAGCAGCACACATACACACATACAGTGTCCCAGGCACAGGTCAGACACCGCGCGCCCCATCCTCAGATCCTGCGAGCGTTCGGAGATGATTACTATCACTCCTCGGAAATTGTCAGCAGGGGGGGACTTGCTCAATCACCATGTGCTGTGACGAGTAGCCGCCCGGACGTTTGTCGTGGTTTGCGAATGATATGAAAAAAACCAAAGAGGGCGGGTAGCATCTGGGGAATGCAAGATCGCCTCGACGTCTCGGATGACGCTGAGACAATCTAATCCCTCAAAGTCTTCAGTTCAGGTCAGCATGCATCGAAGAGCCATCGCGAGGGCGCGACGCGTGAAATCGTGGGAATCAATTGAGACGGAATTACTATTATACAGAGTGTGCTTTTTTCTTCTTTTTTTGGTCCCCCTTACCATCGCCCTTTGCGTCCGTGTCGTCGTCCACCGTACTGAAAATGGGAATCAAGAGAATTCAACTAAAGCATAAGAAAGGAAAAGGACTAAGGCTTGGCATCCTGTCCGCGAGGGCCATAGATGAGCTGGATTACACGGCAGATGTACCCATAAGAGGCACTTGTGTGAGCTGTGTCTAGGGCGGCATCGACGACGCGAACCAACGCAGATTCAACCGAGACACGAAGTTGACGCGACCCACGTCAGGTATATCAGCCGAGACACACAAGATTGAGAAGCAGTCGAGGCAATCGCTTGAGAGATTGACGCCTTCTTAGGCACCAAAGCCCGAGCGGCGTGTTGCATCATGGCCAGCAGGGTTGTCTCAGAACTTCATCATGACGATCCGCGCGAATGAAGATTCCACGTGTGAATAGTACCAGTGGCGGCGACTCCAGGAGTGTCCAAGTTCCGGCCATCACACAGGCGAAAAGAGCGTGCATCTTGGAGATTTGGCAGAATGCCCATGTCGTCCCAAAGCGTGATTACGCACCGTGTCCATGTCAGGTTCGATGTCCCAGTCATGCCAGTCAAGGTATGTGCAAGCGAAGAGTGCCATCATCATCGTCAAGCGTCGAGAGTGTTCAGTGCATCGAAAGTCAGCGAAGCAAGACCAGAGACAGACTGTTGTCTTCATCCCCTCGACTGATCCTTCCGGTTGGCGATATGTTCGAGTGTAACCAAGCTGGACGCTGTGCTGTTGCAAGTCCAGCGGATGACAGTAATCAGTCGTTGAAAAATGAGGACGGATCGTAAAGTGCAGAATGACGAGCCACCAGAGTCAACGGGTATGTGCGTCGCTTCAGTATACGCAATGCGAAAGGAAGCATCATGTCGAGGTCCAAGACAAGTGATCAGTCACATCACAGAGGCATGGTCCCCACCGAGACGGGCGCACTCCGGAAGCCTCTATGAGGCACTCGGAGGCTGGGCACCTGGTTGACCCGGTGCACCGCCTTGCTGCTGTTGATACAGTACCGACTGGTACCAAAGAGCCAGATAATTCTGGTAGCCTCCATCTGCAAAGAGTTGTCAGTTGAATTCTTGAAGGGCATAATCACGGTACTTACACTGCGCATACGGATCTTCGCCGTTTGCTCCAGCAGGAGCCTGGGCAGCAGCTGGGGGATTAGTCGGTCCTGATGCTGCTGAGTTAGATCCCTGTTGAGAGTAGCTTCTGTTGTCATAGTCCTGGTTCTGACGACCACGGCCACCACCACCACCACCGCCGCCGCCTCCTGAGTTCTTCTGGCGCTGAAGCATGTTAGATATCTCCAAATGACAATCAATATCGGTTTCAACTTACCACTGCGTCGACCTTCTCCTCAATTGCTTGCTTGGCGCGGGCGATGCTATCACGCGAACCAATGAGGGCAATCTCGCGCTGGACTTCGCCAGGGCCTGAGGATTGTGCGACGTTGATCTTGCACCCGGTACCGTTCTGCATGTCGCGAATGGTCTCTCCACCCTTGCCGATAATCATACCAACAGCCTCGGATGGAACATAGATGGCGTCGTGAATCTTGTCGCCGGTGCCTCCTCCTCCAGGGCCAGCATCACGCTGGTAGCCACCGTCTTGTCTGGGCGGTTTCTTTGCGGGAGCTGCAGGCTGGCCTTCGTTTCGGCTGTCGCTATCGACAATCTCCATGATCAGGTCCTTGGCTTGTGCGGCAGACTCGCGGGAGCCAATGAGGTTGACAGGGCGGAGACCGTTGACACTCTTGGATTCACCAACAATATTGATGTGGCACCCGGAGCGCTCTTGGAGATCACGAATCGTCTCACCACCACGGCCGATAATCAAACCGACGGTTCTGTCAGGAACCATGATCTGCATGCAGTCCTCGCCGTCTCTCAGAGCAGCAGCACCAGCGCCAGCGGCAGCAGCAGCGCCACCTCCAGCAGGCATTCCCGGAGGGGCGCCCCGGTTATCGCGAGGAGCACCCTTGGGGTTGGCAGCTCCGCGGTTGATAGCGCCCATGCCGCTGTCGTCGATAATACGGTTGATGGAGGTTTTGACTTCGGCACGTCGTGCTCTGGGACCGGTGATCTTGCACTGACGGTAGGGGCCGTTGTCCGAGGAAGGAAGGAATTGGACGCGGCAGCTAGACTCGGCTTCGATGCGACGGAGATTCTCGCCCTGACGTCCGATGATGAGACCGACCAAGCTGGACTCTATCTGGATAGTCTCGGAATTATCGTCACCACCGCCACCGCTGCCTCTGAGCGGCGATCTCTCTCTGGCGCCTGAGTTGCGGGGAGAGAAGGCGCGGCCACGCGGGCCTGGACTATAGGACCGGTCGCGGCCGTAATCGCGCGGAGGAGGGCGGTCATCGCGGCGCTCGTCTCTGTAAGGGTTGAAGTTGTCGCGGAACTGGTCGCGGCGGTTGGGGGGAGAACGAGATCGAGAACTTCGGTGGTAGCCTCCGCGAGAGTCCTGAGCGCGGGGTTCGTTGGAGTAGACGAGGGGTCGGTCATACGAGGTGACGCCCTTTTCAGCAGCAAAAGCCTTTGCTTGAGCGATGGCATCCGCGATACTAACGGTACCCGAGTTGACGGGCCGGATGGAGCTCAAATCCAGGCTGCCGCTGGCCGAAGGCTGGGGCATAGGGTAGCCACCAGCGGCACCGTAGGGAGAGGCGCTCTGAGGAGGCATGGGCGGGTAGGAAGGCTGAGCACCGGGAGGTGGAGGGTAACCAGGCGGCATGCCAGGCTGGGCCTGAGTGGGTGTGGAAGACGTGCCTCTTTGTGCAGCGCCTGTCGAGAAAGGGTCAGTCAGGGATGTAGACAATGGGCGGACCGTGTTTCGGGTACCTACCTAGGGCGGCGAGAATAGACGAGATGTCGCGAGGTTCGGCCATGTTGACGTTGGATGGGTAGTCGCGTGTGGTCGAAAGTAAAGAATGCCTTGTCAAGTCGGCGAATGTCGAGCGACTCGGAACCAGACTTGTGGGCGCGCAAATCGAATTTTCAGCGCGGTGAGAAGGAGAGTATGGAGGTAATTATGGGAGTGGCTCGATCAGGTGATGAAGAATCGCAATGACGAGGTCGCGATATCACGAGAAAACAGGCGACGCGACAGCAGGCGTAGTGAGGTTGGATAATTATCACCGACGCCTTGATGTTTGAAGCTTGGGATGTAATTACGGACGGAGGGCAGGGCAACAGAAGGCGAGAGGTTGCAAGGTTTGAAGATTGAGCGAGACCGCCTGCCAAAAGCAGAAGACAGCTTCACATTCAGCTGCGATGCGCAGATGAGGCAGGAGAGGGCCAGGCCAGGGGCAGGCGCGAATGGAAGCGCAAGGGGCTGGGTGGTTCGAGCCCCGCTTTTGAAAATTTGGAAGGCACTGCTTCGGACTTTTGCTGTTCCTTTCCGACCAGCAGCTGAGGTAAGCCATTTATTCAGTAAGCACAAAATGCACGTGCCACACTTCTTCAAGGCATTCCAAGTTTTGTGGTACCAAATGGTTGGAGTTTTTCGGGCCAAGTCTACGTCACTTTGAAGCTCGACTCGACGAAGAAGGGCAGGGCGCAGCTAGCGATGGCCATGAGCATGATGACAAGGATGGGATGGCTGCTGTCAGGACACTCCACGTGAGTTTGGGACAATGCAGACACGCCATTTCATGCCTTGCAGAAAGATGTGCAGTCTCGGGCGACTCAGGCACATCTTCAGCCTGTGGAAGATGGCATGGCTGCAAAAGAGCAGTTCGAATAATCTTACGATACGAGCACTTCTCGATGCACGAAATCACTCTGGAAAGTGCTTGTCTAAATATCTCATCCTACTGCCCTCGTCTCGTGCCAGAGATGGCAAGCGCCGGCTTCACCTCTGGCGGTTGAGAGTCGGCAGCGGCAGCGTCTGCAGCGAAGCGCCCAACGTCGCAGAGCGCGGGCCACCAACGGCCAATCATTCTTGGTCGGCGTCAAGACTTGAGACGACTCCACAGAACAAAAGGAAGCCACGGTGCACAGGGCAATGGCGAGTTCTTGTTTAGCGGGTCCATCGCCGGTTGCCGCAAGAACCCTCCGATGGAAATGCGAATCGGCGGAGGCAAGGTCAAGGTCCAACGAAAGAGCGGCGGAGTGCAACTGCAACGTAACTTCTATTCTCACTTGGTGGGCAGATGCTCTTCTCTGGCTAATCATCTCACTCACGAAAAGAAAAGGACAGGGGCTTGGCGGAATGAGGTCGAAGTTGCCTTCTCAGACTTTGCCCAGGCTGGAACGTACCTTACGTTTAGACGAACCTCCTGCGTGCCTCATTCCTCATGTCTGAATGCCACGATTTGTGGGATTGCTTAAGCTTTCCTGCCGTCTGACCAAGATCAGCCTCCCAAAAGCCGTTCCTGTCGCAAACCGGTTTTTTACATACCGTGGTTGTAGTGGCAATTGCTTGGCATTGATCATCGCTCATCGGCCGACTTCCTCTTGGTGGAAAGGAAAGCCCAGCAAACAAATCCACACGTCAAGGGTCCGTCCCCAGTCTTGCCCGTTGCTACCAGTCTTTTTTCCTCGTCGCCATCTTCTCGCAGGGGTCGTATCTTAGCGGCGAGAGCCGAATGGCTGTCTCGGCGTAACGATTGGACAAAATGTTTGTCGAGTGGCAGAGGATCCCCTGCAAGCGCCAGCCATCCCGCCGTCTCTTTTGGGTTCGCTGGCTGACGATCTTTCCTCTGTTCCTGCTTCCATCTTCCCAGTCCATGACCCTTCGTGCAGAACTCCCCGGAAATGCAGCAAAAATCAGCGATTCCAGACCAGCCTGACCCGGGACAGCTCACCGTTTCTCTCGTCCGCATCGCTCCAAAGAGACCTCGCGAGGGCGCCCGACACAGCCACCGGCACCACCTGGCGTGACTCGCGACGGGGATGCGACTGGGCTTGAATCTTGACTGGGCGGCCTGTCCTGTCCACGCCCAAGAGCATTGGATATCGACGAGGGTGAGGGTGAGGGTGAGGTGGGCAGCTCTCCGCAATATTGCCTGGCTTGCCAATGGCGTCAGAGTGCATTCTCGCCGCAACCACGTCTGAACGAACCGGAGCCTACGAACGTGACCGGGTTCTGTTAAAATGCCCTTCTCCTCTGGCATTCCCGAATGGCGATTTCTGGAACGATGGGCACCATCCAACTGTCGCTCCGTGGTGTCCCCTTGCTCAGTGACTCAAACGTCCTACTTGCATATCACTCGGGTTCGCCCCCATTCACGAAGCCATACACAGTTGACTTCGATGAGTGATGGGCTGTTTCCTGCTCTCGTGATACCACAACCTCAACTCACTCTGCAAGCCAAGTTTCAAAACAGCAACGAGTCTCGTCAGCCGATAAGACTCTTGTAGGAGCAACACTGTCAACTCGACTCACAACCAGTAACCGACTTACCCTCCGCCAAGCCAGCTCAACTCATATCAGCTCGCTCTGACCCAGCCGAGCCGCGTGCAATACGAGGAATCATCCATCGAGTCAAATCTATTCCGTGTTGTATGATACGGCTACACGACATCGAGAGCCCCGTTCCGGAACTCCAGGAATATCGCTTTGCCTTAGCAGCGTTTGGGCAGCCGCTCATCGTGACCCTGGACGACGACTTTGGTTGGCTGAGAGCTGCCGTTCAGCGCGCTTAGAAAAGGCTTCACCCAAGTCCTCACCTCGCCTGCCTGACCCGGTGCCACCAAACGGGACAAAGGCTTGGGCCAAGTCCGAATTTCCTCAAGGCCACGGCCAAAAGGGCCTTTACTGGCTTCATTTCAATCTGTATCGAGGTGTGCATCAAGCAAAAAAAGTAAGCAGCCTTCCTTTCTTCTTCCCGAGTCCCCATGCCCCTGTCCCCGTCCTTTCAGATGCGCGGCTGCAGCGTGATGCTGGCCCGGCCGTGTTAGTCGACCCGGTCGTGCCTTCCCTTCTTATTGTACCTCTCTCCCATTCACGACTTCCTTCATCCCACACAAACCCAAGAGTTCTTCACTTGCGCATCAAAGACAACACAATGGATTCATAGAGAGCTTGTTCAGTATCAGTGCTTGACGAGTTTCCTTTGTCAATTTCCTTCTTTCCTCTTTTTTTCCTTGTGCGTCGAGTGATTCATCTAATTCAGTCACCACCAACTTCGACAAAATAATCGCCCTTACTCGTCCCTCACCTCCTCCACACACCTCCTTCCTCAGTTTTAGTCGTCGATTTTTCCTACTTCTCTTCGCTTTTTCTGCTGGTCTCGGAACATTTTGCATCAAATATCTTACACCATCGATAGACTCACCATGTTCTCCTCGCGGAAACAAGAGGCCTACCCGGCCGTTCCCGACTCCCTGAGGTCGGACTCGCTCGAGATGGCGGAGCTTAGAAAGACCCAACAGGCTCGAGCCGACACCTCACCCTACATCACGCCCTATCTCGGCCTCAGCGCCAGACTGTCGCAGATCTGGATCAACCGCTGGACCATCCTCCTCCTGCTCGTCCTCGCCAGGATCATCATCCTCATCGCCAGCTTGAACGACAACGTCGACGAGGCCAACGCCAAGGCACTCTCTGCCTGTACAAAGGTGGAAGACATCGGCAGCGCCATGGCCTCTATGCCTCACTACCTCTCCGTCGGTGTCAACGAGCTCTCCGCCAAGGGCATCGAGAAGACGATGGACGGCATGGTCGCTGTTCTCGGTCTGGTCATTACCGGCGTCCAGAACCTCATCATTTTTGTCATCAACATGATGACTTCCATGTACACCTGTCTCATCACGGCTTTCATCCACGGCGGTCTCGACGTTGCCTCCGATGTCACCAAGAAGGTCACCGACGCCATGAACAAGGCCGTGGGCGCTATTACCGATACCATCGACGACAAGGCCAAGAGCTTGCAGGACGGCATTAACAAGGCCGCCGACGCTATCGAAGACTCTATCCTCGGCAAGGTTCTTCCCGACTTCCCCAAGGTGGACTTTACGGGCCCCGTTAGCGAACTGCGCGACGTCAAGATCGACACCAGCGGCTTCGTCGGCGACCTCAACAAGCTCAACGACGACCTTCCCACTTTCGAGGAGGTCCAGAACATGACTGCTCAAGCGATCTCGTTCCCCTTCAACTTGCTGAAGCAGACCATCAACGAGGCCTACCAGGGCTACAAGTTCGATCGCTCCATCTTCCCTGTCGCTCAGAAGCAAGCACTCAAGTTTTGTTCAACCAACAACAACATTTCTGAGTTCTTCACCAACCTGAGAGAGAAGATCACCAAGGCCCGGATTATCTTCATCGTCGTGCTTTCCGTCTTGGCTATCCTCGTCATTGCCCCCATGGCATGGTTCGAGATCATGCGCTGGAGACGCGAGCGCAAACACGCCCAGATCATTTCTAACGGCCAGTACGACTCGTTAGACGTTGTCTACATTGCTTCTCGCCCAGTGACTGCGAGCTACGGCATTAAGATTGCTTCTCACTTCAAGGGCAAGCGCCAAATCATGGTCCGCTGGGCCATTGCCTACGCCACATCTCTCCCGGCCCTCTTCGTTCTGGCTCTTGCTATTGCCGGCTTCTTCTCCTGCCTCTGCCAGTACATTATCCTTAAGGCGGTCGAGAGAGAAGTGCCTGCCCTTGCTAACCAGGTCGGAAACTTTGCTGGAGAGGTCGTCACCACTCTCGAGGGCGTCTCGAAGGAATGGGCCGACGATGTCAACGGTGTCGTGCTCAACACGCAGAACGAGATCAACCACGATTTGCTCGGATACGTCACGAACGCGACTTCGGCTGTCAATGACACTCTGAACACGTTCACGAGCACCATGACGACCGGTCTCGAGACTGTTTTCAACGGCACGATCCTCATCAACCCTATCAAGGACGTTGTCCGCTGCACCATCGGTCTCAAGGTCGAGGCTGTCCAGAAGGGACTCACCTGGGTGCACGACCACTCGCAAATCTCGTTTCCCACGTTCGCCAACGACACCTTCAGCCTCGGCGCTCAGGAGTCCGTCTCAGGCGACTCGGATCTCAACACTTTCCTGGCCTCACCATCGTCTGTGACCACCGACGAAGTCACTGGCGCCGTTACTCATGTCACCAACTGGCTGGAGCGAGGAATCATTCAAGAAGCGCTCATCTCTACCGGCATACTCCTCGTCTACGTCATCATCGTCCTCATCGGCGTCATTCGCGCGCTCGTTGGCATGGCCATGCCGGACAAGGGACGCGCCGAGGGTGGACTGAAGTACACCGGAGATGACCGTCCCCCGATGACTCCGAGAAGCCCTCCCAGATCGCACGGCAACGATTCGAGATTCCCGCAGTTTGGCAGCGATGCTTCCGCGGTGGAAGATGATCACCACCCCAGAGACTTCCGAGACGAGAAGACAGTCAAGAAGACCAGCATGGGCCGTGCACAGCCCATGGAGGGACACGAGAGAGCAAGCTCGTACGGCCACTTCGACACGGCGTCATCTACGAAGTTCTAAACCGGTATCTACGTCGACAAAAAAGTATAAAACATGCATCAAAATCAACCAAAAAAAAAGAAGACAAGAGGTTGGAGACCATAATACCTCCGGCCTGGCTGGACCGAAGCCGAGAGATACCCCTCATTTACGACAGGTCTGAATAATACGAAAAAGCATGAGATAAATGGCGTTGGATCATGAAGATATTTACCCCAGCGAGCGCGGGCAAAGGGAGGAAAGGGAGTCAAAGATACCAACGGCTCAGATGCCGCACCGTTTGTTTTCGATTCTACAACGGTTCTCATTTTTTGCGTTATCCATTGGAACGAATTGGTTCGTGGCAGCTTCGCTAGCTACCAAAATGTCTATTCGGTATATACCAACCAGGTAGTTCAGATTGAATATACTGCTAGCTGCAACCAACAAAGCTTGATGTCCATCTCGGAGCCGTTTGAAGTCTTGTGTCGGAACAGTCAACAGACCGTGTAAAGGCCCTGACCCTTGTAGGCCTTGGACAAAGATGACCGCGTTGGATATTCGGGCTGAGAAGACCGAAGGATGATCCAGGGAATGTGGAGGTCAATTGGAAGCTTGACTAGCGGGGCATCAGAGTCATCGCGTGTTTGCGGAGCGCGGGCAGTTTGCCTGCCGGAGCGGCGATGAGTGATGTCTATGAAGCTCTTTTGGGCATCTCCGCCCCGCCTCCGAGGGGACCAAGATGTGACCTCAGAGCGGACAGGGACCTGCAGCTCAATTGAACCACTCAGAGCGCCGCATCTCGTGCTTGCCGGCATCGGTGCGGTGGCGGGTGTGGGGGACCTTGCAGAGAGCCCAGCGCTGTAGAGCGATCGTGTTCACTACAGTTGGCTTCCAAACGGCGGGCGGCGGTTGATGTTCAGCGGTCTGGTCATCCCCGGAAAGATTTCCAAGCGCGCCCAGCGTCGGAGCCACCGTCCGTTGAGTTCCCCGTCCCGCCCGCCCTCCTCCGACTTGACCAAAAGTCCATAGTGACTCTCCGATTCCACCCCACGTTGGAAATCATCGCTACTTAAAAGTATCGCCGCCGTCCAACTTCTACCCATTGTCTTCTCGTTTCCCAGGATAATACCCAGTCAATATTTGCATATACCCAATTGACAGGTTCACATTCACAATGGAAGGTCTGAGGCAAACATTCCAGCGCTGCAAGGCCGAGGGCAGGGTGAGTTCTTTCCGCTGGCGGTCTTGTGCCCCTCGTCGCGATGGCGGGGCCGTTGTCACCGTCGAAGCCGACGACATTGGCGATGCAGAGTATGGAAACTGACGATATGACAGTCTGCGCTTGTTACATATGTTACTGCTGGTTACCCTTCACCGCAGGACACCCCCGGTGTCCTGCTTGCTATGGAAAAGGGTGGCGCTGGTAGGTTTTGCCCCTCGTTTTTTTATTTACGGAAAACCAGTCTCTGACACTGCGCCAGATGTGATCGAACTCGGCGCTCCCTTCACCGACCCAATTGCCGACGGCCCGACGATCCAGACATCGAACACTGTGAGTGATACCCGAAAAGCAATATTGCGAGGCGCAACAGGGACTAACGTGCGCAGGTCGCACTGCAACATGGTGTCACGATCGAGTCTACCCTCCAGATGGTCAAGGACGCGAGGAGTCAGGGCCTCAAGGCACCGGTGATGTTGATGGGATACTACAACCCTCTCCTCAGCTACGGCGAGGAGAGACTCTTGACCGACTGCAAGAGCGCAGGCGTCAACGGCTTCATCGTCGTCGACCTCCCTCCCGAGGAGGCCATCTCCTTCCGCAAGCTCTGCACCAAGGGAGGCCTGTCCTACGTCCCCCTGATCGCCCCCGCGACCTCCGACGCCCGCATGAAGATCCTCTGCAAGCTGGCCGACTCCTTCATCTACGTCGTCTCCCGCCAGGGCGTGACCGGCGCCCTCGGCTCCCTCAACGCCAACCTCCCGGACCTCATCGACCGCGTCAAGAAGTACAGCGGCGACAAGCCCGCCGCCGTCGGCTTCGGCGTCAGCACCCGCGAGCACTTCCTCAGCGTCGCCCAGCTCGCCGACGGCGTCGTCGTCGGCTCCCAGATCATCACCACCCTCAAGAACGCGGCCCCCGACGAGCTCTTCAACGACGTCGAGAAGTACTGCGCCTACCTGTGCGGCCGTACCGGCGGAGACTCGACGACGCGCGAGGTCGGCATGGTCGAGGCCATGGCCGCCGCCAAGGAGCCCCAGAACCCTACCGTCGACTCCATCACCGCGGACCAGGACAGCGAGCTGGTCGCGCAGCTCGCCGCCATGCACGGCAAGATCCCCGAGCGTTTCGGCGAGTTCGGCGGCCAGTACGTCCCCGAGTCCCTCATGGACTGCCTGTCGCAGCTCGAGGAGGGCTTCAACAAGATCAAGGACGACCCGTCGTTCTGGGAGGAGTACCGCTCATACTACGAATACATGGGCCGCCCCGGCCACCTCCACCTCGCCGAGCGCCTGACGGAGCACGCCGGCGGCGCCAACATCTGGCTGAAGCGCGAGGATCTCAACCACACCGGCTCGCACAAGATCAACAACGCCCTCGGCCAGCTCCTCCTCGCGAAGCGCCTCGGCAAGACCAAGATCATCGCCGAGACCGGCGCAGGCCAGCACGGCGTCGCTACCGCCACCGTCTGCGCCAAGTTCGGCATGGAGTGCACCGTCTACATGGGCGCCGAGGACGTCCGCAGACAAGCCCTCAACGTGTTCCGCATGAAGCTCCTGGGCGCCAAGGTCGTCGCCGTCGAGGCCGGCAGCAGGACCCTCCGCGACGCCGTCAACGAGGCCATGCGCGCCTGGGTCGTCGAGCTCGACACCACCCACTACATCATCGGTTCCGCCATCGGCCCCCACCCCTTCCCCACCATCGTCCGCACGTTCCAGTCCGTCATCGGTACCGAGACGAAGCAGCAGATGCTCGAGAAGCGCGGCAAGCTCCCCGACGCCGTCGTCGCCTGCGTCGGCGGCGGCTCCAACGCCGTCGGCATGTTCTACCCCTTCGCCAACGACCCCTCCGTCAAGCTCCTCGGCGTCGAGGCCGGCGGCGACGGCATCGACACCGCGAGGCACAGCGCCACCCTCTCCGGGGGCAGCAAGGGCGTCCTGCACGGCGTCAAGACGTACATCCTCCAGGACAAGCACGGACAGGTCGCCGAGACGCACTCCGTGTCCGCCGGCCTGGACTACCCGGGCGTCGGCCCCGAGCTGTCCTCCTGGAAGGACAGCGAGCGCGCCAAGTACGTGGCCGCCACCGACGCCGAGGCCTTCATCGGCTTCCGCCTCATGAGCCAGCTGGAGGGCATCATCCCCGCCCTCGAGTCGGCGCACGGCATCTACGGCGCCATCGAGCTCGCCAAGACGATGAAGAAGGGCGAGGACGTCGTCATCTGCCTCAGCGGGCGCGGCGACAAGGACGTGCAGAGCGTCGCGGACGAGCTGCCCAAGCTGGGCCCCAAGATCGGTTGGGATTTGCGATTTTAAAGAAAGGGGGGGTCTGAACGGGACAACATGAACTTGATGCACGACATACACATTTCAGGCGTAAGAGGGGAATATCCATTTCAAAGGGATCATGGGAATTCAGGGAAAGCATTGTAGACAAAAACCGTAGGCGGGGTTTCACCATTTCTAAACCCCAGTGTTTTTTTTTCATGACATGAGAATTTTTGTACATATGATACAACCGAGTCTTTTTTAAAACAACTGCTTCATCTTCGTCGAGTGCGCATATACACATCTCATACGGTCTTCACCTCCTCCCCCTTCGGCCCATCGATATGCTCCATCTGATACTCCTCGTCCTCAAGCACGCCCTCCTCAGCCTCCTGGCCGAGCGCATACTCCTCCTCCTTCTGCGTCATCCGCGCCATCTGCTTCATCTGCACCTGCCTCATCCTGTACTGCGCCACCGTCTCGGACGCCATCTCCTCGATGATCTTCTGATCGGACGCGCGTATCTTGCCGCTGATGGCGACCCTGGCCATGATGGGCGCGAGCCGCGAGTTGTCGCCCGGCAGCGGCCTGTCGACGACGCCGAGCGCGCGGCGCTCCCGGAACATCCTGTACCTGTACTCGAGGGTCTGCATGACGAGCCAGCGCAGCTTCCAGCCGCCGGGGCCGAGCTCCTTGACGCGGGCGGCCTTGTTCTTGAGGACGTACTCGTCGAGGCCGCCCTCCTTGCGGACGGTGCGCAGGACGCGGGTGGTGAGGCGGGTGCGGACCCAGGCGCCGAGGCACTCGGACCAGAGCTTGCGGCGGTGGACGTTGGGACGCCAGACGCGCGGGGACACCTGGTGGTGTTTCTCGGACACGTTGTGGCCGGTGCGGATGCGGGCGGTGCCGTAGAGGCCGGCGTTGGATTGTTTGTAGATCAGGCGCGGGCCGTAGGGGTACGGCGGGACGTGGGTTTCGGGGATGCGGTGGAGGGGGATCGTTTTTGTGAGGGTGGCGGGGGTTGTTGAGAAGGCGCGCGCGGCGGTGGTGGTTGTTGTTGTTTTGAGGGTGAGGGAGGAGAGGGCGGATGTGAGGGAGGTCGTCCCCGGGCGGAGGGTTGAGAGGTGCATCTTTGGGAGGCTCGATTCGGGGGGTTTCGATCGAGTATGTGTTGTTTAATGGTGTTGCATTTGGCCGACGAGGGGCGGGCGAGGAGGAAGGTCTCGTTGGCGGGCGGCGTCGGCGGCGGCGGTCCTCTCGTCCGGCTGGTGATGCTCGCTGCGATGGATTTTTTGGAGTTGAAGCTTTGAGCTGGTCGGGTGGGTTGATGTTCCGCACTCCGGGAATTGAGGAAGTTGATTGGCTGTGGATGAGGTTGGTGGGGTGTTTGTGGGTGCGATGACCGGCGATGGGAAAGTTGAATTGACGGACCTATCAGGTGATTGCGTGTTGATTTCGCGACCGGGGGTGTCTGGAGCTGGAATTGGGCCCCTCCATGACGGTCACCTACCTTACACCGAGGAGATACTGACCGTTCGTATCTCAACCACGAAGCAACTCAGTACTACCATTCATTGCCCATATCTTGACGAACGAAAATTACGTCGATACCTTGACTGCGCCGTCTCAATGCTTCCCCCAGTCGAGGAGTCAGTCCTCCAAAACAACCCCGACTTCGCGGCGCTACATCACACCCTGACAACAGCGATCCTCAACCCAGACGGATCCTCGAAGAAGCCTTATACAAAGGAACAGTCCGCAATCCAAAATGTAACAACTCCCTTCCCTTGCCTCCACTCCACGCTATTGTGGACTTCCCGTCTAACATTCAACAGGAATTAGCAGACCACACCTACACAACATCAAAAACCCACCTCCTAACATCCGCCCTCTCGACAACAGCCCCTCCCGAGCCGAAACAAACCCAACGCTCCCTCCGCCCGCGACAACCATCAGAACCGCAGCCCTCCTCAACAACACCGCCCCTCCCCGAACCGCTCCTAGACCTCCTCCTCCTCCTCCCGCCGCTCCTCACAAACCCGGAACCCCTCAGCCCGGAATCCGCCACGATCCTCCTCTCCAACCCGCCCTTCACCGAACTCCAGTCCCTCCTCCCCCAGCTCGGCGAGCTCGTCTCCTCGACCCTGCACACCTCGGCCGTCTCCCTCGCCCGCATCGCCAACCCCACCACGAACCCCTCCTTCCTGCACCGCACCGTCCCCGGGCTGAACGCGACCTACCACAAGCTCGAATCCGACGTGCGCGAGGCCAAGTACGCGCTCGCGAGGGAGCGGCTGCGCGCCGCGGCGAGCCTGACGGGGCTGCTGGATAAGCACGCGGGTGCGCTGACGCTGCTGGTGCGCGCGCTCGAGGCCAAGCACGGATTGGTCGCGCGCAGTCTCGAGTTCCGCGCCGCCGAGACGGCGCTGGAGGCGCAGAGGGCCGAGGCGGAGGTCGTTGCTGCGAGGGAGGGCGTGAGGAGGGAGGTGTACTCGCCCGAGATGGTGTCCGCGCTGACAAACTACGAGGCGCATTTGAGGGACGCCAGGATGAGGTTGGAGAGCACGGTGTCTACTCTGAGGGCGGAGTTGGAGGGGTACGGTGTTGGGGTTGGGGATGAGGGGAAGGAGAGGACGATGAGGGAGATTGCGAGGAAGTATCGTGAGTTGGAGAGGGAAAGAGACGAGGCTAGGAGGGATTTGGAACGGTTGGATGGGGCGTAGGGTCATAGAATGACGAGCTGGTCATAGCAGGAAAGACTCATGTGGAAAATGTGTCGCTTTATTGTACACAGCTGGGACGCGTGTGTGGTCTACCTAAGGTGCCCAACGTTCTATATCCGCCGGCCGGTTAAATCCTGGCCTTGCTAAAGAGAAGGCCTCTCCCCTTGTCGTACAAGAACCCCTTTTTTGGAACCAACCACCCATGATATCTTTTTGTAAAAATGCAAGCTAGCTCGGCCTATAAAGCGACCGAGACCCGCCTTGAAAAACATCACCTAACAAAAGCTGAAGCAAGCACGCTTAACCCTTGACCTTGTAGATGGCCTCGGCCAGGCGGCCGACGTTGCCGCTGGTGATGCCGGCGACGGAGATGCGGCCGTCCTTGGTGGCGTAGACGGAGTGGTCCTTGGCGAGGGAGTCCATCTGCTGGGGGGTGAGGCCGGTGTAGGCGAACATGCCGATCTGGCTGGTGATGTGGGACCAGTCGTGGGCGGAGCCGAGCTTCTCGAGGTTGCTCTTGAGGAGGGCGCGCATGGTGATGATGCGGTCGGCCATGCCCTTGACCTCGCCGAGCCACTGCTTGTTGAGGGCGGCGTCGTTGAGGATGGTGGAGGCGATGCGGGCGCCGTGGACCGGGGGGTTGGAGTACATGGGGCGGACGAGGATCTTGACCTGGGAGTCGATGCGCTTGCGCTCCTCGGCGTCCTGGGCGACGATGGAGAAGGCGCCGACGCGCTCGCCGTAGAGGCCCATGTTCTTGGCGAAGGACTGGGCGAGGGCGACGTTGTGGCCCTCCTTGACGAAGTGGCGGACGGCGAAGGCGTCGGTGTCGGTGTTGCCCGAGGCGAAGCCCTGGTAGGCCATGTCGAAGAAGGCGTAGTGGCCGGCGGCCTTGACGGCGTCGGAGATCTCGCGCCACTGCTCGGGGGTGGGGTCGACGCCGGTGGGGTTGTGGGCGCAGGCGTGGAAGAGGAAGATGGAGTTCTTGGGGGCGGCCTTGATGTCGGCGAGCATGCCCTCGAAGTCGAGGCCGATGGTCTTCTGGTCGTAGTAGCGGTACTTCTGGACGGCGAGGCCCGAGTCGGTGAAGACGGCGCCGTGGTTGGCCCAGGAGGGGGTGGGGATGTAGATGTTCTTGGCGCCGGGGAAGTGGCGGGCGAGGAAGGCGCCGCCGATGCGCAGGGCGCCGGTGCCGGAGATGGACTGGGTGATGGCGAGGCGGTCGAGGGCGGACGAGTCGGGGCCGTAGGCGAGGACGGCGGCGGACTTTGTGAACTCGGGGACGCCGGTGATGCCGGCGTACTCCTTGTTCAGCTTGGCGGCGATGACCTTCTCCTCGGCGGCGCGGACGGAGGGGAGGACGTAGGGCTTGCCCTGGTCATCGCGGTAGGCACCAACACCTGTTGCAGTGTTAGTTTGTTTGTTCTGTCTTCGAGTGTGAAGCTGTGTGGAGATGCGGCTGGCCGTGACAGCTTGTCCACAGCTTCTGCTTCATGGCGGGGTTTTCGTACCGAGGTTGATCTTCTGCTCGAAGGTGTCGGCCTTGAAGGCTTCGGTAATACCTGTACGCCACGTTGTTAGCTCCAATTGAGTTCAAAGGTGCTTGCGGGAGGCTTGTGCGAAGGTGCGTCATACCCAGAATGGCCTGTTTGTCGCGAAAAAGAAGACCGGCCTGTTAGCAAAGATCCTTTTCTGACGGGCGCGGCATTTTCGAGATAATCTGCTCCGGCGGGGAGTGGCATTCGTAACTTACATCCTGTTGGAATTCGTTAGCAATCGTGGCGCATTCAATTGGTATTTGGAGGAGGAGTGTGTAAGACATACAGGAGGACCTTGGGGGACGTTGGCCCAGGTAGAGCCGGCTCGCGCGGCCGTGATGGGGAGAGCGGCCGCACGGCGGGCTGCGATTCTGGTGGTGGAGAGCATCTTGATCTGTTTTTTTTCTTTGCGAGATGTTAGAAAGGAAGAAAAAAGAAAGAGAGGAAGAGAGAAGATGGTTGGAGAGGATGGGAAATGTCGGGAGAGGATTGAGGACCCTTACCTAGAAAGAAAAAGCGTGTGACTGACGAACAAAAAAGATTCCGAGACAGCGAAGTGCCGAAAAGAGCTGCAGAAACCAAGGAAATGGTCTGACTTGTGACTCTGCACCTCGAACCGCCAGGTGGTGCGTGGTGCTTCCTAGTCGGGCCACAGCCCACAGCTGAGCAACAGCAACAGCCCAGCTCGTGGGGGGGCCATGGGAGATGGGGGCCGGTCCGGTGCGACTCCGGCGCCTTGTGACCCCACTTTCTGGAGAAGAGAACAGCCGCCGCACCACTGGCGGCATCAGCTGTGGATCGAGTCATGAGAGGGGAGGGTCCCGCTGAAATCGTGCAATCGCGGGGAAGCGGAGGTTTGGTATCGCCGGGTTCCGTCGTCCGGGTTCCACCGGCGTCGCATTTTCGACCAGTCACCGCTCGTTCTGACGCTGTTTCCTGACTGGAGCGCATGCGGTTGCTGCATTCCACCCCAATTGACGAGTTCCGGCTTCGGATCTTTTGACCGTTCTCAGCTTCCCAGGGTAGAGCTCCTCCTCGGGTGAGCTCCTGCTCCCGTCTCGAGGCCATTCGTCATGGGAGGACAGGGATCGGGATGCAGTACCCCTGGGCTCCGGGTTTGGGTGTCTCTCAGTTGAGTTACTCTATTCGTTCGCTTCCAAGGCGGTTTCGTTGCATTCGGATTTTGTGTTTGCTTTTTCGGACTTTGGGTTCCGGGCCGCCGGCCGCATCTCCACATTTCACCGGGTTGAGGCCGCGTGACCGGCCTGAACGCCGAGAGACTATTGAATCTGCAGAAATGGACTTCCGGCAGTGTGAGATGTTCTTGAGACGGCCTTTGAACTTATCATGTTTTTAGGAAGGGACAAGATGCGGGCATTGAATAGGTGATCACCGAGTTTGATTATCTTGCGAATAATCGGCTAATCGATTCTCAGGTCTTAGTTATGGCAGCAAAGGCGGGATTCGCTCCTTGAAATGCATTATCGCGCACCATATACCACGATATCAGTTCTTGCGTATCTGCTTTTCAAAACGTCTCTACGCATTTTCAGCTGCTCACACGCTTCTCACAAAACCCATCTTGGTCGGTTCATCAATACATCCGACAAATCATAAGGGAAAGGTAGAATAAGGGGATTCCTAATCTTATTATCTCATATCTTCATCAACATCCCGCCCACAAACCAAAGTGTCGAATATGCGAAGGCTTTTACGGGCGAATGTTATAGCATAAGAAACCCGCTCAAACCGTAGCAGCCGGCACCTCACTCTTCCTTAGGCTCCTCCGGTCTGCGCGCGTATACAAGATGCCTAGACGTAAAACCGTCAGTATTCTGTGTTATTGTTGGCATCATCATGACTTACAGATCGATTCTTGGTTGCAGGCTCTTATCCTTGATCGCCTTTCGCATCTCCGCCATGAACACGACGATCTCGGCGTGTTCCCAGCCCATGATCTCCTCAGCAAGGAAAGTCCCAAACCCCTCGAGTCCCTCATCGAGGAACTGCAACAGACAAGTGCCGACCTATCTTCACTTAGCGACGGAGCGCGGGTTTGCGGATTGCTATACACTCACCTCCTTCAACACGGGATCCTTCGCCCAGGGTCCAATGGGGACCGGCCACTTCTTCTCGACAACGTCGACGAACCCGGCAGCCTCCAGGTTCCTGGCGATGCCGTGGTCGCGGTGCTGCTTCGCCGTCTTGCCCATCTTGTCGAAGGCCTCGAAGAAGAGCCGGCCCCACCTCTTGAAGACGTGGTCGTCGTCGAGGTCCGGCACGGCCTGGGACTTGAGGTCGATGTCGAACTCCTTGATCTCGATGTACCCGGTGCCGGGCGTCAGGGCCTCGAACGCCTGCTCGTAGAGGCCCGGCCAGTCGGCCACGCACCCCTCGAGGTTGCGGATGTGGATGAAGTCGAAGTACCGCGCCTGCCACGTCCAGGGGAACTTCTCGATGTCGTCGACCTGGAACTTGCAGTTGGGCGGGACCCACGCGGGCTGGGTGGGCGAGATGTCGACGCCGATGGCCTCGGCCGAGGGGAACTCGTCGGCGAAGTCGCTGGGGTCTGCGTGAGTTTTGCTGGGTACTCGTAGTTGTTGGTGGACTTACATGGCCCAGATGCCGGTTCCGGTGCCGAGGTCGAGAACTCTCTAGCGACCCGCGATGTGAGCTCGGGTCCGCGAAGGCAGAGATGTGTCATGTCAATTCCTCACCTGCGGGCTGTCGCCGATCGGCGCGAGGAAAAGCTTGTCGCCCAAGAACAGGGTCATCCAGTAATGGCTTCGCTCGTCAGCTGCGTTGCCCACGATTTCGTGGAGGAGGGCAATTACTTGATTTCGAGAACCTCGCCATGCCTCTCGTCATTGGGGCCGTAGTAATCTGTCTTCTGGGTGTACGTGCGGCCGTGAAGGCGGCGGTATTCGTAGATGCTCTCACTTAACGATGCTGTCGAAGTCGACACGATGCTTCAGGGCGTCAGAACCTGCACATTATGTTTCACTCACTCCAAATCACGAGCATACCTTTGCGCATCTTCTTGGCCATCATTCTCGGTCTCAAGAGCGGGGTCCTATCACAAGTCCAAATCAGCAAGGCTGCAGATCCTCGAGACGTCCTGTCGCCAGGATTCTGGGTCACATACGGCCGCAATTGGGCCTTCGACAGGCCCGCCCGTGGTCGCGCCAGCGTTGGCGGTAGGCGAGCCGGTGGGCGCCGCGGCTTGAGCTGTTGTCGCGAGCATGTTATGTAGCGATTGAGATTGCTGGTCGGTGTGAGGAAAAAGGAAACATGAGCATGCCACGCGGTTGGTGTTTCCCCCTCCTTTTTAATGTTGTTGGTTCACTCGCTGCATCCTACGGGCCGGGGGGCAATTTATCTGCCAAGGGTGCACTTGGAGACAGCCCGATTCCCCGAGCGAATGAGGATGCCCTGTTGCATGCATTCGAACGGAGCTTCTAGGCTGTTGTAGGAAGCATTGTGGGCAGTTGTGCCGCATCGAGCGATGGACTCCGACGTACAAACAACAACTTTCGGCCAATGTACGGTAAGCGAGCTGTCACCAAGCGCTTCGCCAGCCTGATTTGAGTGGGAATGAAGCTTAGCCATTTATCACCATCTCGACACCTAAGCTTTTCGTTTCCTTAACAACGACTTCACCACCGTCATTATTCAGGTAATGGCTAATATCGACGACGCCCGAAGTGCACCTAGGTACCGAAGTTGTGGTGTTTGACAACGCGCCAATCTCAATACTATCAAAACACAAATGAGAACGGAAACATCTAATCTGGTTTGAACCTACCGGAAGCGTTGATCTTTCCTTTGAAGTTTCATTAGTCTCTTACTCTTCGTGATGGGCCAATTCGGTCTCAAACCCGCACGTTATTAAATGTATTTGGCCATAACCACCACCATATTCAGCATGCTCGTCAAGTCCATAAAAGGGTATTGACTTTTATGCGGAATATATAATCCTTGAATTCAATGTGGGATCTGATATCATGACATTGTTCAATTTGACTGGAGACTGAGAGTCTGATACAATTGGTATATCGAGCAACATCAAGACTGAACTGTCAGAAGTTAGAACCAACTACTCCGAAAGTTCAGCAGCCTGTTGGACTCATGAATTAGAAAATGTTGAACAACGGGGTTTCGTATTTCCTTTTGTTTAAACCTGGCAATCGAGATGATACGAGGTTTGGCAGTAACAGTTTCTGAGCCATGAGACACTAGATATTTCGTCGGCCACAAATAGAATGAATCATGTAAGAGACGTTTATCTCACATGAACTCATCTCATCACAGAGCTCACAGAGGCTCCATAGTAGTAGGATGAAGTGAGTTCATGTCAGATAGAGTGCTTGATTTGAATTTTCGCGTAGACTCGTACGACGGACGATAGCCACCCAAATCTCATGTGGGATAGACGTGTTTACAGTATCTCATTGAATAAAACAAGAACGCTCCATCCAAAGTCATCTTAGGAACTTGGTATCTTGCGAACCAATTACCGGAGTATACATAAGTTAGACGCGAACGACTGTCCTTGATAGGTCTCCCGATGTCCTCTGTCACCATGGTCAACATTGTGAATATCAAATCATTTGCGCATGACATGATGGACACCACCATTCCTAGGACCAACTGAAGATTCTTGTTTACCAATGTGATGTCACTCTTCTCAGGTCTGATTTCATACCCGTATTCTGACAGAACTCACCTGGACGGGATGACTTTGCCCGAAACCGGTCGGAGTCCGAGCGAGGAGGATCTGGTCCGAGGCACACGTTTCACATTACCGAATCAAAGGTAAGCCCTCACGTCAGGCTGCTCGACAGAAGGCAAATATTTGACTTTTGTAATTCCTTGTAAGATGAGGAGATGAGTCGTACGCCCTTACATCGTGCCTGGCTAATGGCCGTTTGGCTCCCACTCCGCAGAACGAGGCTTAATCAACGTGTTCACACCACTGCAACGAAGTCACCTAAACCTCGATTTCTGCCTGTCCACTGGCGAGATTCGAGCGCTCGCATTTCTCGGCATTTGCGTTTGTGCCTGTAAGCGAGGTGACCAAGGATACCCCTTTTGCCCCTGAAACGAAAATCGCCGAGTTCAGCCTCCAAGTTCCGAAATGGTCATGTTCCTGCTTCCCTTTGAGATGGCTTCGCTTGTTCTAGACCTTCTGCGGAGCCGACTTTTCATCCAAAAAAGTCTTCAACCGGCCTTGATCACTTCTTTCCGCCGAACACGAATCGTGCTTTCCAAACATCAGATAAGGGCAATTTGATAGCCTTCAGGGCTAAAGCCAAAGACGTGGACGGGGCGCCAAATCTCCCTGGAATACTATATTAGGATAAGATCAATATTACAGATCAAATTGTAAGCTTTGTGAAGATACGACGTATCCAGTAGAGAGGATAGGAGCACATCTATTCACCAATACTATATACGAACTCGAGGCATCCATAATCACGTTGTTTGCCTCGCTTACCCCTCGTCACAACTTCTAGTCATGCATAAAATGAGACCAGATGATCATGATCTAAGACCACATTCACCACGAGTAGAATCACGACATCATTTTCCCCAGAAAGTGAGGATCGCCGAGCAGCATCCATCGTGAACGCGGTATCAACGAAAACCCCGAGTATGGCGTCTCATAGTTCATGAGCGGAGTCAATGGGAGAGATGCGATAGGCGAATGATTCAGTAAGCATACAGGCTTCGTCTGGTATTGCAGCTTCATCGGACAATCAGCTCGGGCCAAGGGTCCAATGACATCGATCAATTGTTTAATTACTTCAGTAAATCCCGAGTCTACGGACATGATGGGAACGCCGGCGGCACTTTTAGATAATCTTTCTCCAAATGACCCCTGATTTGAGTAATAGTGTGGAACTCCTCCGTGTTGTCCACCGGAAGGAACCTTGGCGAAGATGGTCTGGACGGCAGAGGAAGATTGATGCCCCTCTTTCGACCGATGCATGGCAGAAGCTACTCACGATCCGGTGCTCTTCCCGTCTTCTCAGTGACGTAGAACTGAACACTCACTTGGAGGGTGCACCCCGTACTTCACGAACATTCCAACGCGAAAGCGACATCCAATATCCCCCCTTCTCCACGATGATGGATGGAAGTTGAACAGGTAAATACCCAGGCGACCCTCCACAAATATCCTGGAATGTCCTCTGCGGCTCTTATTTCCAACACTCCCGCGATATAGGTCGCTCCCGGTGTTAAGTGTGGGGTGATGAAAACCTCCCACCAGGAGGTGACGACTTTAAAAGCATAACTTGCGAATATTCAAGGAAGTCCCAAGCACCTCAAAGGTTTATGACGACCCGAAGAGTGCACAACTCGCACTCCGATAGGCGACGTTTCATGAGGGGGGGCCTCTGCACCTACCTGTTCGTGGAGGACGAAGTTACCCCATGGGGGACGACAACGATATGCTTGTAAGAAGTGATATGTGCATGGGTGCGGGTGTATTTGGAAACTTTCCTGCCACCACACTGAACCCCGCGTGGGATCATGCTCAACCCTGGCCCAGAGACCTGGGAAACGACCTGCCGAACCCTGGGGAATCGGCGCTTTTCTTTCGATTTCGTCAGTTGCAGATTGTACGGTCGTTTACTCGTTCTGCCCAAGGGGCCCTGTTCGTCAACAACTTTTACCGACGTAGTTCTGATTGCCTCGGCGTCACGGCTTGTGAAAGCTCTGGCCCGACTATTTACGTGATGGTCTATCCCATGACCTTCCGGCGATCCGATCATGACCCTTTTCAGACAGACTAGTCCATTAGTTTTCGGATACCCAACACCGCTACACTCATCATTTGTGAGCTGTCTTCCTTTTCATTCTGTGCCAAAATGAGGCTTTGCATTATCATCCCATTCTTTCTATGTCTCTTCGGCGTGGTCTCTGCGCAGATGGCCATGCCTCTTCAGGCAATGCCTGCAGAGGCGGCAAGAGGCCGCGGCGGTAGAGACAAGAACGACAAAGGCGAGAAATGCAACGGCAGGAAGGGTTGCAAAGGCAAGGGCGACAAGGAGCCTGTGAGGGGTGGATCGGCGGCTCTGCAGACACGCATCGCAGATCTACGGACCAAGGTCGCCAACGCCAATGAAAGTGTCGTGCCCTTCAAAGGGGGTAATCTGAAGGGCTTGGTGGGGTTGTTGAAGGTTAATGTGGCCGTGGTTGAGCTCGGTGACACCATCGATCTCGGGACGAAGACCGCGGAAAACACCGACGTTTTACCCGCGAACGAGTCGTAAGTACTCCTTGCCTATATCATGCACATGGATATGTTCTAAGCCTGTTGTTCATAGGACCCAAATCGGCACCCAATTCTTGGCTCTACAACCGGAGATTTCTACTCTCTTGACGAACCTCCAGGATAAGCGCAAGCAGTTCGACAAGGCCGGGTTCAAGATCCTCGACGTCAAAAGTCTCATTCGTGACGATCTTAAGATTCAACAGAACAAGGCTGGCGACCTAGGAGGCGCTGTACGTGTACTACCTATCCACTACGGGATAACGTACTAACTTGATATAGTTTGTCAAGATTCTGGACCGAAGTCTGGCTCCTATTGCAACACAAGTCGTCGACCAAATCAATGGAAACTTCACGACAGCGATTGATGAGTACAAGGGGCGCGGTGGCAAGATCAAGATCCCAGCCAAGGCTGTCCCCGCGCTCTCCGACCTTCTCGCAGGTGTCGCCAGAGCCCTCGGCATAGGCGACAGAGATCGAGCGGTGATGATGGCGGCCGGTATACAGCCCGACGCTCTTCCGTTTGCCGCCACCAGCTACCCGAACGTGGATGCTGCGGCGGTGGACATTAACGCTGCCGACACGCCCCAGGCGAATACGGCCATTGAGGCCTTCGTCGCGGGAACGCGTGATGAGGACTTTTCTCGACTGGGAGAAGACGAGAACGACCTCCGAGGCATTCCTCCGTTGGTCATGGCAGTCTTACGCCGTTACGAGATTATCTGATCTGACCTGGTGTTTGGGAGCGGGTTTGAGCGGTTGCGTTATGTTTGAGCTTCTTCTAATGTGCGCTTTGGAAATAATATCGTGCGGCTCTATGATGAACGCAGTAATGAATCAACGAACTTCTTTGTATCTATTCAAATGTAAATACCCTGTTATGTAGCTACAGGTTATGAACTGTTTCTCAGTACTTGATCAGTTGCTCAATTCTCAACCGCAAGCGATTCTCTCCGCACTAACAACCTCCGCGAAAAGACACTCTAGCATCATTTTCAGAATAAGTTTGCCTCACATCATATCAGTAATCCTTCAAGCTCAAGTCTGCCTTAACGACTTAGATTGCTTGGCAGTAGTCTCTTGGCGTAGGTTAATTATTTTCAGAAGCACCCCGCATGCCGAGCCACTGCCTCTTGACGATGGTGTTGACTCAGAAGTCATGAGAGTTTTCCCCCGGGCCAGGAACCGACTCAATCCTCACAGATCCTCTCGCGGGGAGCAACCCCAGATCAACCAGTGACAATGACCAACTCTGAATTGCGTTCACCTGACCCTCCTTTACAAGCGGAAGCATCCAGAGCTAGACCACGTTTAGACCGTAATTAGAGTTGCTAGTTTGCTCATAGATGTGGCCGGTGGGCAGATCTGGGATGAAAAAGAGGGGTAAGGAGACGGAGGATGGAGGCTGAAAAAAGGCCAAGACGTACAAGACATTCTTCTCACCGCACCTCCCATTCTTGGGGTAAGACAATGACGCTGGAATCCCACATCAACCCGGCCGAGTCGTCTGAAACTTTCAGTGCCGGCTGTACCTTTGTCCACCGCTGTCTTCTGTCCTCCAATCCACCCATTCCTCTTGCGCCAAAGATTCCTCAACGACCCTCGGCCTTCGGTGTCCGTCCACTATCCATCTGATCTCAAGGCCCTCACAAGACGGCTGCAGCTTTGGAGAAAGGAACAGAAGCCGGTGCGCTCCGCGAAAACAAGGTCCATCCCAAACGTCAGGCACACCCCAACCTCTGGAGGCTCGGACTTCCATAAAATGGCCACCAACACAGGCGTCGAATCGGCGTGGAAGATCATCCCGGCGCTGAGATCGCGCGACATCACAGCGACGGTGAAGTTCTACACAGAGGACCTGGGATTCTCCCTGGGCGGAACCCAGTCCGACAACGAGGACGATCCCGATGCTCGGCCCTACTTCTGCTCTATCTACACCGGCGACAAGGCGGCTGCCAATATGTACTTCTTCAGGTGCGAGCCAACCGAATTCGTCCCTGGGCGAGCACATATTGCGCTGGGAACGGCCGGCCTGGATGATTTCCACGAGTTCGTGATCGCCAGGGGAGTGGCGAAAGTGACCGAGCCGATCCGTGATATGCCATGGGGCTATCGGCAGTTCACCATCGAGGACGTGGATGGAAATCACTTGACGTTTTTCAAGTTTTTGGAAGGGGGAAATCCGGGAACCGACTGATGTCACGAATAATGCACATTGGTTTATGTATTTTGACTGGTTATCTTAACCCTTCTTGGTGCTTCTTTCTGGGTTACTTGAGAAGCGTATTAAGACAATTTCTAGTTGTATCAATGAGATCGCGAGGCCTCATCGTGAGAAATTTGCATCAAGATGACGATCGTCTTGCGCAGGATCTTGCAGCACGTCGTTCTGAGCCGCACCGCCTAGAAAGAACAGGGATTCCACGTCGGCGAGCCCGTACCCGAAAATGTTCATTACGTCAGTGCCCATGAACGTGTTCGGAGCCATGGGGAGACCCTCGATATCCATAGGACCAGCTGACCCGGGCATACCCGGCTCTCCTGCAAGATTCATCTGTATTGTTCTTGATTAGCATGCTATCGCTGGGGTCAAAGGCGAGGGGTTGTCAAACATCTGAGAAGTCGCCCGTCATGTCCATCGGTGTCATTTCCGGCATGTCTTCCTGCGGCAACGACCAATGAGGTTGCAGAAGCAGGCCTTGTGAACCATTCGAGCCGGATGACTGCGGCGTACCGCCAGTCGGAGTCCGGCCATTGACTTCGTGGACGTAGGTACGAGCGATGTGCGCGAACTCCCCGATTAACGATCCTGGAATAACGCCATTCGACATGTACTCCAACTGACTGGAGTGACCAACGACTATGTCAAGTAATGCGAGGTTGGATACGGCCTGGGGTTGGCGGGGATTGTGAATGACAAGATCGAACAGGACGAAGAATCCGGAAATGGGAATACCGGCAAGCATCCTATGAAGATTTCGTCAGAACGTTGGTTCGTAAGAGGCTCTCAGCAAGCAGCACATACCACATTGGGGTGTATGGAGCCACGTCTATAAGTGACGTCAACTCCAGAAGAGATCGAGATGTTCGTTCGACTGTCGCTAATACAGCTTCTCGTCGTGGCATGTTCGAAGATGGAAGATGACGGAGAGCCATTCTGGAAATGGTCTGGAGGAAACTATTGTAGAAGAAGTGCATGACGACTGCCACCGCTTGAGCTTGAGAGGAGGAGGTTACCGCGGTGGGCTTGATCGCGCCGCCTGGCTTGAAGCCGTTGTCAGGAATAGAGGCTCTCCAGTCTTCGAGCTCCTCCGTTAGTTGATTGATGATGTCCAGGAAATATTCGTCCGGGTTGTCGGAGACACCGACAGAGAACAAGGATGTGTATGCTCGCGAAAGAAGTCGGGAGTGACGAATGAACGCGACAAACCAGTTGAAATCTCCAAAGTTGGACTCTGGAGTGTAGGGAATAGGACAAGAAATATCGCAGTCGACGAAGCCCTGGTGGATGATCAGTTCCAACGTACAGCGAGCCACATGAGGGGTGATCACGGGTCCGTTTCGTGGTAAGACGTACAGAGCTTCTGCCGTGATGAAAGCTGGTGATCTTCTCCAAGCCGTAAAGAACCCAGAAAGTCTTCCGGTAAGCTAGAGTCGCATAGTTATTGAATCTCGCCTCTGCAAGGTTTTGAGCCCTCCTCACGGCCTCTGCCATGATGATATGGTCTAGACCGATGCCAGCCATACCAAGTGAGTACACCGTCATTGCTGTAAGGGCTTGTAAGGTCGTGAGTGAGTCCGGAAGAAGCATCAAGTCCGTGAAGTTGGCTAAGGCTACCGAGAAAAGTTCCCAGGACTCTCCTTGGCCCGGTTCGAAGCTACCTCCCCCGTCGTACTGGCTTCCCATGGCGAGAACTGTATGATACAATGACTGCCAGGATTTGCTTCTGGGGACCATTTGGGGTTGATCTTGGCTCGCAGCTGTGGCTTCAAAAGCCGCGCGGTCAAGGAAAGGAAACCGAGGGTGGACGCGCTCAAAGTACACTACCCACCGTTAGTCGATTTCTACAGCCAAGTCCGAAGAAATCTGAGCCGCACATTTTATACATTTCGATACGCGAGCTTTGTCCTGGAGAAAATGTGGAGGCTCGGTCGGGTGAGGTGACAGGATGGAGCTGAACTTCACATTCGTCCTCGTATGCTCTTGAATCGTAGCGGAAATCCGGTCGACCAGAAGTCTCACCCTATCATGACCAAGGCACTGGGATAAGGACTTGAGTCTGCCATCCGAAAAGAAGGTAAGACTTTTGTCGCCACCTATTGAAGGCGCAGTGAGTAAAGAACCATTTCTTGCTCCGCGACTCGGGCCAAAGGCCCAGTCCGGACGGCACTCACCGAATATGCCATTTCCCTGGTGTTACGTCAGTTTATTAGCACTTTCTCATGACGTACAAGAAGATTTTAACAACTCACTCTCATGTACTGAGCACCCTTGGTGTTGAACTTGACCGACGCGGAGGATTTATCTGCACGTCCGATAACACGGTCCACGTAAAGGTCCGGAATCCGGTGCGGCCCGGCCCGTCCAGCATCGGAGGACAGAGACGGAGGAGTGGGGTCAGCATCCGAGACGCCCGGATGAGTCGGCTTCGGCGATGGCGGGGTAGCAAAGTCTAAGACGGATACAGTGCAGTTCTGAGAACCTTCGCCCAGCCCACCCGAATCATCTGAGCCGCTGTTGATGGCCATGAACTGCTTGACGACTGGACATGGCTTTGTGATAAGCAAGGGGTGTTACGTTGGCGTGAATGAGTCTCATCCTTACCATTTGGTCGGCGACCGAGCTTCCTGACGCCGAAGACGCACTCAGATTTCCGTCGCTTCGGGAAACTCGCAATCAGTTTACCTGTACAAGGACTGGGAACCAGAACTGCCGTCAAAAAGCTTACCACGCAGTTGCTACAAGGGCCTGGCGAACCTGGTATACGGGATCAGTGGCCGCGAATGAGGTTTGGACCCGAGAAGCGTACCAGAACAGCGAACTTTGCGAGTCGTGCAGGCGTCGCAGGACTTGTGCGTCCTCGACTGAGATGCATCGCTTGCCATTCTCGGTCAATCCCAATACCGAAGACGAACAAGAATAGCAAAAAGCACGAGGTAGATGTCAATGATTTCGGAAATGTAGGTGGCTTTAGAGCCGTGAGGAAATCCCTTAGCCACGCGAGTCGGGCGCGGCCTCGGGACCGATTTTCCCAATTGGGTAAGTAGCTGCCGAGTGTCGGGGTCAGCAGCCCGAACTCGCCGAAATCTGCTGACCGTGTCATGAGATGAAGTGGAATAACAAGTGGCCAGAACTGAGGAATCGAAGAATTCGCATATTAATCCTATGGAATACAATTTCGCTGAATGCAAGTTGTGACAAAACCACCACCCTAAAGATGTCCATTTGTTGCTGTACTGTGGACCCTCACCAGATCATTTCAGCAACCGTGTACACTGGGTACGGCCAAAACATAACAATTGAAGCAAAACCGGCATATCTGAGAGTGCCATATTAGCCGAGAGAACTCATTTCCTGACAAGTTTACTCACTCTACGATTCTTCTTCCTGCCATTTTGGCCAATTTCGGCCAGTCTCCCGGCTGTGATGCAGTCCTTTCGGGGAACAGCTCTCTCGAGAGGGGTTGTGTTGAAGCATGACGGGCCTGAAGCATTGACAGAGGTCTGCGCGAGAGTTGTCTCGCGAATCTGGCAGCTTGAAGACTCATGATGATTGTGTTGGGCTTGGCCAACTCGGATGACTAGTTTTGCGTAAGGTAGGATAGAGCAATTGTGTGGGAGAATTGAGATGTTGCGGTGATTGGCGCATAGAAATAGTCGCTATTTCGTGCATCGTGGACCTTTTATAGATGCCGAGCTCACGAGTCTCGTCAAAATAACAATCCTGATTAATTGACGTTCACGCCGACGACGTGCGGGCTTTGGCAATGGCCAACAGCGCTGACCGAATTTTCGGGAAGGAGTGGAGTATGGTGAATGAATCAACGGCGGTGGTGGCAATGTATCGATGTTGACTAGAGCTACTGTGATTGGGCATATTGAGTTGAAGAAATCCGGACTGAGGATGGCAGCCCGGCACCATCACGTCGGGATACGGAGACCGGGATTCATAGTGTTACGATTCCTCCGTGTGATGTGGGTCCGCCGGCGTTTGCTTCAACCGGGCTGCCCGGACGGCATCGGGATCTGAACCGGAAGCAGCTGACTTACTGGCCGTGCACAGTGAAAGCCGAGTATTAAATGCTGGGTGCCCCAAAGTTTTCGTCATTTGCTCTGCAACGTTTTGCACTGTCGCATGGGTTTTCGGTCACAGCCACCAGGAAGGTGAAAACGAATTGCCTCCAAACGCCGGTTGCGCAGTATTTTCCGCGTGATATCCCGTCGTCATATTCCACGTTGAATGAACATCCGATAATCCATATCTATATATATATGTGTGCAGGATGCAAGTTTTGCAGCCATACTCTTAACGTCATTGTTTGCCAGAACCTGCAACTCCCACTGCGAGAACTCGGTGTATGTTGACTTGGAATATCCACACCAGCAGCCCAGCGCAACATGGTATGGCGTTGTCAACGACTAGAGACTGTCGCGAACAACCACATGCTCTCTAATGCTATGCAAATTTCCAGCAATTTCAGCGCCATTCAAATCATTGATATGTGCTTGTCTTGTTTTGTTGAACGACTTAGTCCAAACCGACAGGAATCACGACGACGCGGGCAGAGTCAGCCGCCATCAGAGCATGGGGAATATCTCTTTGCCAATACGCATGGCCATTGGCTACATTCCAGGAAGACAAGTATGCATCTTGGTTGGCCGTTCGCAAATCATCAGGCTGCGGACTTCGGAACTCGCATTTGCCTCAGTTAGGAATCTTTCCACGGCCCTAGTTGTGCTGCGGTCGCGGGGCGTCAGCGATGTGGGCATGTAAGCGTGGCATCTCCATGCTAGAGTCCCACTTAACGGGTCAAGTTCATGAACTAGTTATGTGAATCCGCTTTTCGTACGACTCTGATCTCAGCCTGATCCGCGGATGCGGATGGACACGTACAGTTCAAATGCTTATCATTGACTAATATGGTTGAAGACTCTCGGTTCCATCTAATGCTTGAACTTACATATGGTGAAGGACTATGCCTACGATTCTAGTGGGAAACTGTGAGTCGGAACACAACTGATGCCTCGCAACGGCAAAGAACTGAAGCCGTACGACCGGTCACTGGTCTTCAGAAGAGACAATGTCCCCTCTGCTCTCCACTTTTCAATGGTCTGGAGCACGACCGACCAACACATTTCTAAAGCTGAAGAACTTTGATCTCGCGATCCTGAAGAACTCATTTAGTACAGCAACAGCCTTCTATTTTGAAAGTTCAAAGCGTACACCGTACACCGTGCGGCCGTAGTTGTTTACATTGAAATAGCAAGCCAGAAATTCTGTCAGAAAGTCAACAACACAGTAGCCTTCGGCGGCAGGGGACAATCTCACCACGCATGGCTAGCTTCATGCAAGTCCCTCACCATGATCCCTGAGCAGATAGACGCGCAATGCAACTGGGAGAAGTTCAACCAGCCTACGCCAACTGCAAGACTCGCGCAACAATATTTATCTGAGGCAATTTCTCTTCTATCCATTCCATTCTTCTTGATTCAACCCTACGCTAAGCGCTCAACACCGTTATTATGGCATCTTCACAGACTCTTGAGTCATCATACGACTATATCATCGTCGGCGGTGGTACAGCTGGCTTAGTCGTTGCGTCTCGACTCACCGAAGATGCGGAGGTCCGTGTTCTAGTTGTGGAAGCCGGAGCTGACCAGAGCGCCAACCCTCTGGTGTTGACGCCGGGTCTAGTGGCTGGCGTGTATGGCAAGGAGGAATACGATTGGAACTTCAGTTCCGTTCCCCAGGTATGGCTGACATCTCGCAACATGATAAACACCTTGCAAATGCTGACCTTCAACAGCCTGGCCTGAACAATCGTCGCATCAACCAATCTCGAGGCAAGATGCTGGGCGGCAGCTCCGGTCTCAACTTCATGCTAATGCTGTACCCATCAAGGGGCGTCTTGGACGCTTGGGGTGCTCTCGGCAACACTGGTTGGGACTTTGATTCTCTTGCGCCTTATTTCCGCAAGTTGGGAACTGATCATCCCCCTCCACAGTCGGCAAAGGATGTCGTTGGCCTCGACTATCATGACGAGACTCTCAGCGGAAATGGACCTTTGCAGGTGTCCTTCGGAGAGGGTTACAATCCGTCGAATACGGCTTGGATGAGCACCTTCGCCAATCTTGGTCTCGGCGTCACAGGAGACCCCCGAAGTGGCAAAGCGTTTGGGGCTTTCCAGAACCCGTGCAGCATCGACCCAGAAACCAAGACTCGAAGCTATTCGGCAAACGTATACTACTCACCGGAAATCGCGAAGAGGCCGAACCTTATTGTGCTGACGGAAGCCATGGTCAAGAAGATCAACTTCGACACATCCAGCGGTGAAGCCGTCGCAACGGGTGTGCAGGTTGTCACCAAAGATGGCAAAGAGAGAACGATCGCGGCTGACCTCGAGGTCATTCTGGCTGCGGGCGCTCTCCAAACCCCTCAACTTCTGGAACTATCCGGAGTGGGCGGAAAGCAGTTGCTCGAAAGCCACGGCATTCCTGTTGTCATCGACAACCCCAACGTGGGCGAGAATATGCAAGATCATGCGATCGTCTGCCAGAGCTTCGAGGTCAACGATGGAGTCCCATCGGGCGACGTGCTGCGTGACGGGAACATTCTGAACGCTGTCGTGGGACAGTACCAGGCAACACGCGAAGGTCCGCTCGGCCAGAGCACCATCAGTTCCGCCTACACGCCGCTAGCCGACATCAACGGCATTGTTTCGGTGGACGATAAGAAAAAGCTCTTTGCGGCTCATGAAGGAAAAGTGAGCACGCCAGTGTCGAAGCTTGTGCGGTCCCTTCTTGAATCCCCCGATGAGCCAAGCAGTCAATATCTCCTGTTCCCGTCGCAGATCACCATCAACGACAACCCAGCCAACATGGCCGAGTACATCCTACCTTCGCGTCCCGAGAACTACATCACCGTCATGACCGTCTTGAACCACCCATTCTCGCGCGGAACGGTGCACATCACCAGTCCTGACCACAAAATCTTGCCGGCGTGGGACCCGAAGTACAACTCCAACCCTCTCGATCTGGAGTTGCTGGCGCGCAACGTTCAGTTCGTCGAAAGAATCGTCGGCACGGAGCCTTTCAGCGAAATTTTCAAGCCCGGCGGCAAGCGCCTACCCGAGATCAAGGGTGATGATCTTGAGAGCGCCAAGGAGATTGTGCGCCAAAGGCAGATCTCCGTTTTCCATGTTTCTGGAAGTTGCGCAATGTTGCCGCGGGAGCAAGGAGGTGTCGTTGACGAGCGACTTCGTGTCTACGGGGCGAGGAAGCTTCGTGTGGTGGATGCCAGTATCTTCCCGATTGAGCCGTTGGGCAACATCCAGAGTACAGTTTACGCGGTGGCGGAAAAGGCGGCGGATTTAATCAAGGAGGATCGGAAGCAGAACCGCAGTGCATAAGCCTTTGAGTGCTACGCGGTCCTGCTGGTACTGAAGAGTAGATGGAGACAATGACATTATAATCCTTGACTTCGTATTCTATCATTCAACTAAGTACCAAGAATTAAGGACTACGCTATTTAGAAAGAAAACGTCTCAAGCGCTGACCAAAAACAATGTAAACTCGCTTCTCAATCGCTACAGACAGACTTCATCGGTCATTTGCATACGCCGCCTGCTGCAATACTTTTCAACTCCTATCCGTTCTTGCATAACCATGGATGTATCGGCCTGCTCGCAGCTCCGGAGAGCCGCATACGCAACTGCCTCCAAGATCAGATGTTGCCAATCTTCCCAATCAGGAACTCGACAGCTTCGGGCACTCGCTTCACATAGTCGAGATGGGCAGGCTCAACCTCCAGTGTGCCTTTGCAGACGTCATCGCCGTCATTGCAGATGATCTTGACCTTGTCCTTGGGAAAGTTCGGAATTTGTTGCTTGTCCTGCGTATTTTGCGTATCGCCGTACGTGATGACACCAAGAATTCTATTCTTAACTGTGTCCGACAGACTCTCGATGGACCGATGCGCGACAGCCGCCCCTTGACTATGATCTCACATGTTAGCTTTTCCATGCGGATGTTTGTTCAGGTACACGAATAAGAATACTAACCTGTAGCCCCCAGCCACGATCTTTGCATTGGGGCACTTGGAGGTGGCATCATTGAGAAGCTTCTTCATGGCTGTGACCCCCTCCGGATCGGCTCCGCCAGGCAGGAAGTTGGTGGTCAGCCCTGCCGCATAATCGACACCCTCCGTGGCGACCCTGTTATCCCCGTAGCATTTCTTTAATCCGTCTGAAGTCGGGGGACCAACGGTCGAGCCCTGGCACGCATTGACGTTAGCTCCGTCTGATGTCGTTGCACGTTACGAATACGGGACCAAAGAAGGGCGACGCATCCGAGCTGATTGAGGGCGGGGACCTACCATGTTGCCAACTTCTGTGGAGCCGCGAGCAAAGATGAAAATGACATCACGGCAGCCGCCCGTGGTGAATTCTTTTGCTGTCGGTCCAGTCGCGCGGATTTCGAGCGAGCTTGCGATTTCTGGTTGTTCGTAGCTGGCGGGAGGGATTGGGCTCGAGGCTGCGAGTGCGGCGAGCGCAAAAGTGATGAAGGACTTCATGTTGGTCTGTGGTGAGCGCAGGTCTCTTAGTGGCGTGGTTACGAAGAGTCTTGAGAACGTTGGACAGTGCTGGTGGATTGCCGGCTAGTCTGAGAGGCAGTAGTGCTTCTGAAGTCCATCTCCTTCTACTAAGGTCCGTGGCAGAAAGCTTTGCCTTTATACCTGAGATACTTGTCCAAAAGTTGAGCCTCTAGATGGGGCTATTTGATCATGATGGCAAAGTTACGGGGCCGGCATTGCGTGGGACACCGGCCAACATGCAACTATGCACCAAGCTTCGGACAGAACAGCATCAACGGAACGAACATTCCAGTGATGACCAGCTTAAGCACATCACACATGGTACGCCCGGCTTTGACTGACAGAATCAAGAACATGGGACGCGTCCTTCCGTCATCAATGGCACCACCAAGGGACCCCGGCATAGACGACGGCATCTCGGTTGTCCGCTCCCGACTCCGCAGGTGTTTATCATCGCATGATTGTCTGGTTTAGGATGGATGTTCATGGGTAGCGATCTGGATTCCTCGCTAGTCGTCAGTGAGGGGCATCATGATGTCTTTGCTCTGCTTTGGCCAGCTTGGTATCAGAGTGTCTAGTCTCCCGTTTATCACACGTGCTTAAATCTCCGGTCAACGAGTGTTCTGGAAGGTTTATGCCGTGGGCACTGGCGTACGGCCAGACCGCAGGCTCATCTGTAGTACACTCGGGGAGACGCGACACGATCAGTTCAAAGCGGGTATAATCAGGTTCAATTTATGATCTCTGCGCTCGGGAACGAAATGCATAGTTCATGGGTGTGTTTTGCCGAACATCATAGCCAAAAGATGAGATATTCCCGCGTATCTGGTTATATTAGAATGTTGCAGTAATTTCGATTCTTCGAAAAGTTTAGGTAAGATATCCCAGCAGATGTATCTTGGTTCACCACGGAATAACTGCCTGATAGTTTACAAATTCCAAATTCAAGCTGATGATACTGAGCTGTTCGTCATTTGAAATGGGGACTCCGCAAAATGATAACATAGAAAGTATTCTTGAGCCTCGAACTTCAAAGGCGATTCCGTCATGTCATACCATGGTGAAAGCTGGACCTAAACCTTTTTAGTTATCAAACTTCTTTCTGCGAGGAAGAAATACTGTGTTAGTCGAATATCCGCCGACTCAGTGTGCAGAATTTCCAGGCCGGATTTCTTACTGCCGGGTCCGGTAGAACAGCTATACAGTAGCCCGCCCGTAAGGCACTCGGTATGACCGGACGGCTCCGAGAAAGTGGGGCATTCACCTCGGGACCGTGCCCGATCCCAGGCCGTCGACTGAGAAACGTGGATGGGAATATGGCTGAAGTTGGATCTTGCGGTTCATCTCATATTGATCACAATCGATTTACCGCAATCTATAGCTTCATCGCCGTGAAAGAACAAAGGGACCACGTTCCCTACACAGTAGGCTAAATACAGTCTCCTAAGTGTGGATTACATGTAAGACGAGAGTGAATGGTTTGTAACTACGGCAGGCATATCTGACCCAGAGTGCTACACGACGACAAGACCTCTGACTTCTACTTTCATGCGTCTAATCCTGCGTATGTAATCAAAGCTCGACTCACGTTTTCTACGTTCCCCGTCTACTCCAAGCTGCCACTCGACTTTGATCACCCCACTCCAGTTTCTGAACTCGAACTGGCCCTCCTGATGAGGTCCTGATGCTATTTTGTGCTGGTCAATAAACCGCCCGATGAGGAACCATTCCTTGATGCTGTGATGATGCCGTCCAGCTTCAAAGGCATTCCGGCAAACGCCCTGCTCATTAGCATACGAAATCGATGCTCCGCGTCGAACAAGCCGCTTGACTACCTCAAGCCTGCCGTATAAGCTAGCGATCATGAGTGCACTGCCGTGAAAGCTCCCCTCAGAGTTCAAGTCCGCTCCAGCGTCGAGAAGCTTTTCAAGGCACGGGATGTAGTCGCTTGCGGCGGCACTACAAAGAGGACTGTGTTGCGCCACCATGGTGTTGTATCGGTTGAGAAACCTTTCCATCATTTGATGGCCATTAAGGAATCGGAGAAGTCTTTGCAGAAGCCCAACTCGGTTCGTAGCAGCTGCTGCGGTCAATGGATTACCGGTGTCCGTTTGGGAGACTGAGGTCAGTAGGTGACAGTTGAGAATATAGGCAGTGAGTGAGCGATTCTCTGGCATCAGGCAGAACGCATCTGTTGTCGGGCTGCTTTGTCCCGCGCCGTGTCCATGGGCATCAAGCCTTTTTGCAAGGAGCTCGATGAACAGTCTTTTTGCGTTCGGCCCGCTGCCAACCGCAGCGTGAAGAAGGTTGCATCCCCATCCCGTGACAACATGAAGCAAGCTGTCATTCTGAACAAGATGGTCCGCTCCCAAGTTCCCCGAAGCAATCGCGAGTCCAACTGCTGTTTTGCCGTGTTCGTCGCACATCGACTGGTTTGCGCCGGCTTTCACAAGCTTTAGGAGAATTTCTGATGTATCCAGCTGCGCAGCGAGCATCAAAGGGGTCCTCAGTCGTTCGTCCACGGCGTCTAAGTCACACCCATGGGCGACAAGAAATTCAACCTGTAATAAATCGTTGTTTGCAACTGCATAATGAAGCGGGGTGCCTTGAAAGACTGCAATTGCTGTAGAGACTTCGGGTGTGATTGCGAAGTTTGCTTTAATGTTCAGGATAGCCGAGACAAAATGTTCGCAAGACTGGGTTTTGATCCAAGGTCGATGCCGATACATGTTCCTATGGGTCAACAACACGGATCATTAGTGCGGCTCTAGGTAAAATTGAACCGTCAACAATACTGATACTTACCTGTAAAGTTCGAAATTTGCATAGATGTGATCTGTGAGTATTCCGGAAGAAATCCGGTTCCCCCTTATTGACGCTACATGAAATGGGTTCCCACCGTCATCTATCCATTTGACCCCCTGGACAAGGGACTCGTCAAGTAGAGAAAGCAGCATCTCAGCATCTGCGTCGTTCCAAACGGCCAGCGAGATGATGTTTCGCAGACCCAGCGGAAGGGACTTGCACTCAACGTTCCGTAGATTTGCTCCCATCGAAATCAGAATGTCCAAGCCGTCTGAAATACGATGCTGTATGACGTTTACGATTGGAGGCCATGGGCACTTTGAGCAGCCAGGCATGTCCATGTTGATTGACCGTTGGTCGGAAAGAATCATTTCATAGAGTCGCTTTTGTCGCAGTTTGAGGGCGCCCGCTAGGACTCCCGCCCGATCCTGTTCGGGGAGGCTTGATACATCACTCAAGTCTCCAAAAGAGATACTCTTCTTCTCCAAAGGCAATTTGCCATTAGGCTGACTTGCCACATTCTGTGACCATTGATGCATTATCTCAATGGCGTGGGTGTTGCCTCGATGAGATGCTGCTTGCAAAGGACTTCCAAACGGACATTTGACATCATCGGCTTCAGGGTTGAATCCGTAACGGAGCAGTTTCTTCGTGGCGCTGATATTTCCACAGATCGCTGCGTAGTGAAGTGGTGTTGAACCCCTTGTTTGTGGCCATTCCAGCGGAGTCCTTTCCGGAATTTTCTCGCCGGCATGCAGTTCCAAGAACAAAGCAATGGTTCTCTGTCTCTTCTCTGTGCACATACTATCTGTGACCCATTCAGACAGCAGATATATACCCCCAAAAGTAGTGATGTAATAGTCTAGAAAGATATGTTTCCCAGTTATTGCACAGCACAGGTATGCTTGCAGGGTTGGCACACCAATGCCGGCTTCTGCCTCGATTATTGTGGAGCATATTTTTGGCAGCCCCAACGCTGCTGCGTACATGAGCGACGTGAATCGATTCGAAATAACCATCTCAACAATGTTGAGTGATATCAGTGGTGCGTTTTGAAGATTCGTGCCTGCGATGTTAAGTCCCCATAGGTGTTCTTCATCTGGAAAGATGAGGCAATCTGACCAGAATCCTCCAATGGCCAGTTCGATTAATTGCTCTCTGCTTTCTGGCTGGAACAGAGAGAGCGTCTTTTGGTACAACACAGGATCTTCTAATTGGATCACCTCAAACGGGCTACCTTGTAAAGAGCCGCTGAGGAACGCGGTCGAGTAGAAATAAAATGGATGGACCCGGAAAGTGTCCATGAGATGGTCCAGGCGCTCCCTCGTGTGTTCTGTGGAGAAAGGTTGCTTAAACTTTCCTCCCGCAATGAATATAGAGTGCATGCACGTCTTCGACAGCTGTTCGATCGCCTTCTTGTGTTGGAACTTGAACGTAGCGACATCGGAGCTGGAGTCGATGCCGACGAGATATTCTTCGACGGTAAAGTGCGCGAACTCCAGCGTGTCTATCGGTTGGCCGGCTGCGCCGACCATCTGCGCCTTTCGGACGAGGCTGCTACACCTTCTGAATATCTCGTCGGTCTCGATCAGGTCGTCTTCTCCAAAATCATCATTGGTCTCTTCAAGGTCTTCTTCAGGAATGGAAACACCCTCTTGAAGCTGGGCTAAGGTGAGCTCAGCGCCTAGAGCCGTCCAGTGCAGAGTCTTCTGCACAAGTTGTGAAGCTTGAGGACCAGCCTGAATGACGCGTTGAAGAATTCTGTGATACGTCTCCTCAAGCGTCGGCGGTAGACTTTGAAGGGCTTCTCGACGTGCGCGGTTGGTGTTCAGGTCGCATAGGTAGTCCAGTTGACAAGTCATCCAGCGAAACCTAGTCACTGTTAGATATGGCTTCGGTCCTGATGCTAAGAACTCCAACTTACATTCCTTGTGCACCATCAATCAATTTGACCCTGATCTCCTCTGAAAGTGCTGGGTTCTGCACCTCGAGCCTTTTGAGCTGTCTGCGTTTGCTCATCTCTGCGCGGACGTAAAGTTCAAGGTCTTCTCTGTGTGCCGCGATTTCGACATGCGAGCAATATGCTTCGAGCTCCTCCCGGATCTCGAATTCGTTGCGGCTGAAGACCGCAAGGCTCACAGACGGACAGTCCTCGAAAACCTTTGTGATGGCCGGAGCAACTTGTTCGACATTGTTTCCGCATTCATCGAGACCATCGATGACAAGAAAGACTTGCTCATACTTTGAAGTGAGTTGCGAGATGACGTCGTGTAGAGCATCAACCTCAGGCTGTTGCTGTAAACCATTATTCGGATTCAGCAATTTGAAGTATCTCTCAAGGATATCAAATGCTGTGGGATTTTGCTGTGCCAACTGGACTGCGATAGAACATAGAATGTTGACAAGCTGTTGGCTAGCTGGGCTCTTGTAGTCGCAAAAGAAGAAGGCCACAGCGGTGCTGGCACTGCTCAGCTGGAGAACGTCCTCAATCGCAACTCCGCAGAGGATTGTCTTTCCAGCCCCCGGAATACCGCTCAACCAAAGGGCTGAATGCGGTGTCTCGCGCCATTTCCGAAATGTGGCATCGCTCTCTGTGAGCCAGAGTCCCGATAACGGTTGACGCAGCCGCATCGCCGTTTGGTAGTTGAATTGCGGATTGACACGCAGGAAGAACTGGACAATCTCCTGACGGCTTTTGTTCATCTCGACTCGAGTCTGGATCGTGTAGATCCTCTCAATAGCCTGCGTCAAAGACTTGATGCCACTCTTGATCTCATCTTGGCTCGCGAGGCACTGCAGCAATCGTTCGAGGGTCTCGGCGGAGAGCGCCAAATCCAGAGTGTTGCAGTGGTTGGCCAAGTCCGACGCCAGTGACTTGGTTTCTTCCGTTGAGAATGGCCACCTAAAGCTGCGCAACAGAGACTTTGCCTTGCTTCCCTTGTCAAAGTCATCCTGGGCATTCTTCAATTTGATCTCGATGTCGAATAGCGTTTGGCTGCAAGCGAAGAGGTGATGGGCCTTGAAGGTCGTCTTGCTGTTCTCGTCCTCGAGCGACGAAGCTAGTAGAGAAAGGTTCTGAAGCACGCCCGAAAGATTCCGGGCCTGTAGCGCAAGATCTCGGACTTGCTTCTCGGCGCCCTTTACCTCCTTGATGAACTTGGAGACTTGTTGGAAGACGGCTCCAGAGAGAGAAACAAGACCGGCAATGCTTGCCGCTAGGGAAAGGGGGTCGGCCATGGCCTGAATGAGACGAAAAAGGGGCCAGAGGGTTACCTATGACACTAAGCGAAGAATAATCATGCTATGAGGTGTTTTCTGAGGTTGGAGAGGAGCAGAAAACGATCAGGCTGTAGCTGACATCGGGCAGAAGTTGGTCATCATGCCACGCTCACATGATCAGTATGTTGTAAGCGGAGCGCTTCATGCACGTCTGATTGGTTTTTACCAATTATCCAATCATCTTCAATTCGAAGAACTTAACCGCCCAGCTGTCAGTTGGCATCAATTCCCCGGGGGAAAATGTTATGTGTTATTTTTCTTAATTAGTGCTATTATTTAGCGAAAAAGATTGATTTGAGCCTAATCATACCTGGTATGTCTGCAGTCTTAGTAGTAGATTTGATGATCGCTTGTAGAACAACATCTCTTATTAAGGTCTTGCCCCATTTGACCTTAACGATGAGGTTACTTACGCTACTATATACGACGCTAAGCGGCTTATTCGGATATAGTTCTATTCTTTTGAATGTCATATGTTTAATTATTGAAATTCGGTATAGCGAGCTAAAATAATTAGGGCAGCTTGCATAGGATATTGCATTTACTGGCAGCAATTCCTGCAGAGCCGTGCCAGCCTGGAAGCCCATCAGGGAACTTGTAGAATATTAAATGTTGGATGTGTCCTCACTAGGTTTGGTGAGATATCGAGTAGAGCAAAAAGTAATCATAGCAGGGTTGCTGTATTGTAATGCGCGTCACACTGCAATAGTCGGCAGCAATTCATGTGTGATAGAGAGAAGGGCCTCCTATCGTCCACGAACAGAGACACTTCGTTCTCGGAAACTGAACATCGATAGGCTGAAAACTTTGCTGGGAGACTTTACATGTATCCATGGGCTTATAAATTCTCATTGTATTGAGTGCTCGGTGTTTGCACTTATGTTATGTTCGATGTAGAAAGGTATTCCCCAAGGCATTACATGAGATAACTCCTTTTCCCTCTGGCACGCGATGAGCACACCTTTTTCTGGATGTGCATTACTTACATTCGTCCAAGTACTGCTTGCTCCCAATTAATTTTGGTGCGCAGAAGGTGGTTTTCAGCGAAACGATGGTTTCCAAATCCTATGATGCAGATCGAAGCCCGGGGATCACAAGAAGGTTACCGTTGGTAACTGCCGACTTGAGTCATCCTCAACTTGCCGTTGCTCTAAGCATGGTTGCGTTTTCTTGCGACAGGCCTTGCGAACCACGTCAACAGCAGTTTAATTTATTGTGTAGCTGGCGCTTTGCGCAGCTATTGCATCTACCTAGTATAAAAAACAGTAAAATGTAAGGTATTAATAGCCTCTCTGACCCATGCTAGTACGCAGTGTTGTGTGATAGTAAGCAGAATCTTTGCATGAGCCATTGAACTCACCAACGGCATTTTCTGACTATGTCGAGTGCCGAAGACTGTTCTTTTCCATTCTTGAAAGTTTGCATGAGCTCGATTTGGTTTCCTCTGGACAAATGGAGTCATGACCAAGGAAAAGGAGCAGTCGACGGACTTTTCAATCCGCGTTCGGGGCCGAGTGTTTCTTAACACCAGTCTTAAGACCACCCTCATCACCCCTAAAACGGACGAACGCGCCAACGACTCCTTCGGCACCTTCCCAAAAACCCGATCCCATTTCCCCGTTTCTATAATAAACCAAGGCATAAAATCCCAATCAAGCAGGTAGTAGTACCCCGCTCCATCTCAACCATTTCTAATCCGCAGCGTCTGAATGGGCGCGCGCGCCGAGAGCCCCGTCCACTCAATTTAAGTTGCAGCAATTTCCCAGAATACGGGGTGTCGACCCACTTTCGGCCGTCCGCCGGCTCGGGGTCCCCGGGCTGATCGCGCCAGAACAGGCATCAGCCCCCGGTTCCCAAGATCGGAGAGTCCGCCGATCGAGAAGGGGGATTGAAAAAGCATATCTAACACCCGCTCGCATTTGCGATGGTCTCGTCGATCTTTCCGAAAGCAGCACGCGCTCTCTCTCTCTTTCTTTCGTTGTTCTAACTACCAGTCATTCATTTTTACCACAGCCGCAAAAATGCGCGTCGCCGTCCTGTCTCTCGCTCTCTTTACGACTCCGGCTCTCGGCCAGGATGCGCAACACGCGTGGCAGGCACCCGGCGCCGACGACCGTACGTAAACTACTCGGAAGCGCGCCTAGGAATAATCGAACCGTTCCCGACTAACATGGCACAAACCAGGCCGCGCCCCCTGCCCCCTCCTCAACTCCCTCGCGAACCACGGCTACCTCCCGCGCACCGGCCGCGACATCTCCGTCGACGCGCTGATCGAGGGCATGCACGCGGGCCTGAACCTGCGCGAGGACGCCAAGCTCTTCTTCCGGCTGCAGGGCAACAAGGCGCTCGAGGCCTCGTCGACGGGGGACAAGGCCACGTTCCACCTCGACGACCTGAACAAGCACGACCTGATCGAGCACGACGCCTCGCTGAGCCGCGCGGATTTGTTCTCCGGGGACAACTGGTCCTTCAACCAGACCATCTTCGACGAGACCAAGTCGCACTGGCCGAGCGCGACGATCTCGATCGCCGACGCGGCGAGGGCGCTCGTGGCGCGGCAGGAGAGCGCGAAGAAGGTCAACCCGGAGTATCACCTCCCGCTCGACGGGTACACGAACTCGCTGGGCCAGACGGCCATGTACCTGGGCCTGTTTGGGGATTACGACGACGGGAATGCGAACAGGACGTGGGTGGAGTACTTCTTTGGTGAGTTTTCTTTTATGATGATGCCGTGTGTGGGATGTGAGCAGTCGATTTACTGACCGGGGCGGTACTTCTCGAACACAGAAAATGAAAGACTCCCCTTCGAGCTCGGCTGGACGAGGAGGTCCGACGACGACAAGATCCCGGCCACTGGCATCCTGGGCCTGACCACCAAGGTAGCCGTGCATTATCTCGCGGCCAAGATTGGCTTGTAACCCCAGACCGGAAGTAGATAATGCAGAACTGGACATGTCAAAGAAAACTTTTCTTTTTTTTTTCAGAACGGCCCCGAATGTGACTTTGCCGGCGTGTTGCGTCTCCAACGTGATTGGGGGCGGCGCAGGTGTCGTTCCCCAACACACAAGATATATCGAGGTTGGTCGGGGGCCGGGGAACCAACATGAACATTTTCAGCTTGGGCCCGCCCCGGTATAACCGCCCGCAACACTGCAACTCCATCACCCGTCGAAAGAAGGGCGATGATCGTCACATCTCCCAAGCCGGGCCCAGACCAACTCACTTCTGTCAAACGTCCTCTCTCGTATGATCTCGCTGCGCTGATGACAGCATCTGCCAGAACCATAAAGTCCCTCGGAAGCCCACAGTCTCGTCACCTCGCATCCCGCGAATCCCGCACGGCGAACACAGTGACGAGATGGCGCGTATCCGCACTATTGGCCGTCGCGGCTGCCGGGTGCCGGGTCCCTACCTGCGTCGAGGGCCCCGGTCGGGTCTAGCTCTCGGGTGTCCGCTTGATGGCGAGTGGGGCCCCTTGGAAGGCCCCGCAGTAGCGGGCGGAGATGGGGGCCGGCCCCGGCTGTTCGACTTTTTGTTCCTGTCAGTGAAAGGTGTGGAAGCAAGATCGTCGTGTTATTGGGGGTGGCAGATGAGATGGGAGGGCTGGTCTGGTCTGCGGGCCGTTGGTTGTGTGCTGGTTTGGGTGTGAAAGAGATGGGTGAGGAGAGGGTTCGGCCTGGTGAGGATAAAACGGGAGGTCTCGCTCTCGAGAGAGACGGTAGAGGAGAGGACTCTGGTCTCAAGCAGCTTCTTCCTCGTTTTGAACAACGTACCTGTGAGATAATCTTTGGACCGAGACACGCCATGTTTTCCCAGAACACTGAGCAGACCATGGCCTTGTTGGCGCAGGCTGCCCTCGCACCCCTTCTCTTGCACCTCCTCGTATACCTCCTGAGCGGCAGCTTCGTCACCCGGCTCGCGAAGCAGTACCGGTCTTCAATAGAGAAACTCCTCTTCTCAGACAAAGCCCTCGAACCATTCCCAACCCCCATCCCCCAAGACAAGCCAAAGCCCAGAATCCTCCTCACCGGCGCGACCGGCTACGTCGGCGGCTCCGTCCTCCACGCCCTCCTCTCCCACCCCTCCCTGACCACCACCATCACCCCCTCGAACCCCATCACCCTCCCCCTCCGCGGCGCACCAGACCGCCTCGCGAAGCTCACCGCAACCTACGGCCCCCGCGTGCACCCCGTCCCCATCACGTCCCTCGACGACATCCCCACCATAACCCGCCTCGCCTCCGCCCACGACGTCGTCGTCAACGCCGGCTCCGGCTTCCACCCCCCCTCCGCGGAAGCCCTCGTCCGCGGCCTCGCCCTGCGCAAGGCGCGCACCAAGACGCCGGTCTGGATGCTCCACACATCGGGCTGCTCCAACATCGCCGACAAGCCCGTCACCGGCACGCCGCGCCCGGACGTCGAGTACGAGGACGCAAACGCCGAGGCCGTCTTCGCCTTCGAGGAGGAGGAGAATAAGCGTGATTGGTACCCCCAGCGCGCCGCGGAGCTCGCGGTGCTGCGCACGGCGGAGGAGCTCGGCGTGCAAGCCGCGAGCATCCAGGCGCCCTGCATCTTCGGCACCGGGACGGGGCTGTTCCAGACGGCGGGGCTGATGATTCCCATCATGATGGGCTTCGTGCTCGGGCGCGGGTACGGGTTCACGGTCGGCGACGGCTCCGGGGTGATGGACCGGGTCCACGTGGCCGACCTCGCGGACCTGTACGTGCTCTGCGTGCTCGACGTCCTGCAGCGCGACGGGGCGAACGTACCCACGGGACGGGCGGGCATCGTCTTCCCGACCGCCGGACGGACCCTGACGGCGGACATTGCCAGGAAGTGTCTCGACGTGGCGTTCGCGACGAGGAACCTGCCGAAGCCGGGCGGTCCGCGGGGGAAGGAGGTGCGGACGCTGACGATTGAGGAGGCGGCGGTGACGACGGCGGGGAACGCGTCGGTGGCGGAGACGGGCTGGGGCGGACACCGGAAGACGAAGGGGACCGTGGCGAGGGAGAGGCTCGGGTGGAGGCCGACGCGGTTGGATGAGGCGTGGGAGAGGGATTTCGAGACGGAGTTGAGGGCTGCGTTGAGCGGGCGGCGCGGGGCTACCATTGCGGCTTGTATTGCTGACACGAAGTAGAGACTTGACGTTGAAATAGGAGTTTTTTTCTGATCTACCTCGCTTGTGCTTGTGATTCTCTTCGCTTAGCGTTTGGTGGTTGTGACTGGCTCGACCGAGTCTGACAGTTTTATGGTGGTGACACCGCATCGAGATGTAACACGGTGTGACATGATCGGGACGTGATTGGGAACAGGTTCTTGGGGATCTCGATTGTGATCTAATCGATCTATGTACGTTTGATTTTGTTCGTTGTAAAAGAATATGCACACGGGAAACATCATTTAACACTATGGTATGAGAGAGCTCGTTGGTATAAGCAAAGCAGCCAGCTGTTACGCGCAGACATTGGCGAGTTTCCCCAGCCCTCATCGTCTCAAGTCAGATGGTAGACGCGGGTAAGGCTTCGCCCGGATATGTTCAGTATGTGTACAACCCATTATTTGAGACCCCCAAACCTGATGCACTTCTCAATCCATCCCCGCCGAGGCGTCTCGGGCGGTGGCTGCTGCTGCGCGTGCTGTCGGGGCTGCGTCACGCCGCCGCCCCAGCTGCGCCAGGTACTCTCGGTCCTCGTCGTGGCCTCGGTGGGTGCCATGGACACCCCGCGTCCGCGATCGCCGTGCATCAGGGGCGGAGGCGTCTCCAGCCAGAGAGGCTGCGGAGGCTTTCCCTGTGCGGGCTGCTGCGGCGGCTGCTGGTTTTCGTAGAACGAGAGGATCGAGTTGGTGTCGGCCCGGCTCTCGGTGCCGTACCGGCTCGACGCGGTGTACCGGTTGGTGTTCGGCTGCTGCGGGGGAGGAGCCGGACCGGACTGTTGACTGGAGGGGCGGTAGGCGTCGGGGACGGCGGGTACCGGAGGCGCGTTGACGCTCTGGGCGCTGGCGCCGATGGTGCGGTTGGAGTAGATGCTGCTGCGGCCGGAGAGGGGGTTCAGCTTGAGCGGGTGGTGGCGGCGGATCCAGCTGGCGATGGAGTTGCGGACGTTGGGCTGGTGGACGGGGGCGGGCTCGAGGATGGGGAGCTGGCGGGCCGGGTCGTGTCGCTTCTCGTCGAGGTAGCCCTGCGGCGTGAGGGAGTTGCGGTCGGGGTGGCCGGCGTTGCCGTTCTCGGCGGCGTAGGCGGCGCCCATGAGTTCGGCCATGATGCTTGAGGGGGCGCGGCGGGCAGGCTGGGTCGGGGCGGAAAAGGTGGACGTGGGGTTCCAGTGGTTTCCGTCTGGTGACATGGAACGTTCGTACATTTTTCTTGCTTGTCTGCGTTTGCGGTATTTGAGGAACCACCAGAGCCCCCATCCTATGACCAGGAACAACGCGGCGATAGCTGATTTTCATGTTAGTCGCCGTTGCGTGAAATGGGCCAGGAAACTTGGGATGAGGCTGAGAACGTTGAAATTCCGAATAGCAGAAAGACATACCAATGGTTCCAAAGGCGATGGCGGTGGGCGTCCATCCCACCTCATCAGACCTGTCGTTACCAAGACCTGCCTCGTTGCCGCCTCTCGTAGTGCCTCCGGTCGGGGCGGTGGCTGGGTTGGTGGTGGTTGAAAAGCTGTTCGGCAGAGCAGTAGGAAAGCTGCGAGTAGTACTCGACGACGACGACTCGGTGCTGGTGACAGTAGGAAAGGTGGTAGGCCGGGGCTGCTCGCGGGACGGGGCACGGGACGGAGCGGCGGGCTGGACCGACGGCCTGGAAGACGAAGTGGTCGTCGTCGTTTCGGTCTCGGTCTCGGTGGGCCTCGCGGGAGCGAGGACCGGAGGCGGCGGCGGCGGTGCCGGCGGGAGGGTGGTCTTTGGCGACTTTGGCGAGTGCGTCTTGCTCACGCCGGGCGGGAAAGATGAGTGATTTGGTGAAGGCGAGTCTTCGCTGTCCGACGAGTCGTCTCGAATCTCGATGCGCAAGTCGTCTCTCTGGAAGCGCGGACGGCGGATGAGACGCCTACTCTCTCATTAGTATACCGAAATGTGAGCCGTGCCTCTCTCCGTCAGTCATACCTCCTCAGAAAGCTCCTCGGTGCTGCGGGCTCCATCTTGTTACAATGCCAAGCCGATGTTGAAAAAAGGTCCCAATGCGTCAATCACGGAATTGACAATTATGTCAAGTCGACAATCGAGAAAAAGAGTCGAGATAAAAAGGCGAGAAGTGGGGGTGAGTAGTTCGTCGTGAGACGGACGGAAGCAGCCCAGCTGTAGTGACAGAATGAAAGAAAGTTAATGGGCACCGCCCGGTGAAGAGAAGAGAGGCTAAGAGAAAACGAGAAGCTTGAGGTCGAATAGGAAGCTTCACATCATCTTGGCCATGTGTCGACAGGAGGGGGGTTGACGGGTCGAGAAGGGAGTGACGTCCCTTTGTTTCGATGCAGAGATCGAGAACGAGGGAGGGAAGAGCGAGGATGTCGTAAGTCGGAGGCGAAGTAAGTGGCCGTATGTATAACGTAAGGCGAACACTCTCTGTAACAGGAACGCTGGAGGGCGCCAACGATTCTTTCGATTCGACCAGGGGCGACGTCTAGAGTGTTCCTTGCGCTGCCCAAAACCGCCGGTTGGTCTCGTCTTTCGGTTCCCCTGTCACGTCCTGTCGTACTGGCTCGTAATGGTCGTGTGCCCGTGCAGCCCGCTGTCTGTCATTGCGTCAGGAAGCGCCTGCTGCGAACCATCCTTCACGACTTGGGATCAATCTTGCTGGCGTGCTGGCGTGGTGGTGGTGCTGCTCCGCTCCTCCGCTCTGTGTCGCATCGAGGTGCAAGCGGAAACGAGAGGAAGGTTGGAGCGGAGCGATGAGGGTTACAGGACGCGAGGTCCGCAGGTGATGTGTGGACTTGGAAGGGCAAGAAAACGCGAGGCCGGCTGCAGGTGCTGGACGTTGGTGTTTCACAGTTTCAGACTTTTCTGGCCAAGCATTCCCAAAACGGACTGGTGCGACGTTGAACTGGCTGGGGAGGGCCCCAGTCTGCCCCGCCAAGCCGACCCGCTTTCGCCGCGTTCCCGGGCCTCCGATTCGTTCTAACGATGGTGCCGAAGTGGGCGGCCCGGCCGGAGGAAGGGACCCGCAATTATCCAGGGGGTTCCATAAAGTGGGGCCCCGGTGCAGTCAATCGAAGCCAGCTATCCTACATAGTAGATGTGACATTCTTCTCGACCCAGGGTTGATCGCCCAAAGGTGAGAGTCGTACAGTTTCAGAATGCCCTCTCCCCGCCTGCGCCGTGGCCGTCAGCGCTTGAGAAGATCAGATCGGCTATTCCGTCTTGATTCTTTTCTTGGTGACGGGGGTGCCGGGGCCTCTACGGGGCGTTTTCATCTTCCGCCAATCAGTCTCAGAGGCAAGCCTCCCAAAACGTCTTCAATGTGTTGATTTGGGACTACAGCAAATTCCAAATGGTCTGAAAGTCTTGAACTCCCCCAGCCATTTGCTCAATCCTACAAACGCCAAGGTTTCTTTGACAGGCACTCGATCGGGAGAACCACAACCTTCTCTCTGCCCACTGCCCAGCGCGCAAAAGCTCAAACCAGCCTTTAATCAACGGAGAGGTCCACACTGATCTCCACCCAATCAAGTTCGAACAAACTCCCCTTGGTCTCGACTCCTTCTCCTGTTCGAGATGTGTGCTTCCTTTTTGCGCCTCGACCGTGCTCGTGACTTGACCTTTGGTTGTCCAAGAAAATCTAATCATGAATTGGGTATCATCGAATGGCTCGTTGCTCGTCACCGTCGTGGTGCCGGGAACCGATTGTCTTGGCGAGCTGGGTAGACACGAGTCGGCGACGGGCTGTGCTCGACCGTTGAATGAAGGGGAGGGTGATCAATAACCGTAAGGCTCAGCCCCCGTGAGGCTCTGTTCATCAGAACCCCTTCTCCTGTACGCGGTACAGGGCCTGGGCCATAAACTTGAGTCGCGGACACGGCTTCCTCGGTGCTTTGGTTTCTCCTTTCCTTGTGTATCTCTTACACGCCTATTTGGAAAGTCCGTCGGATCAAAGCTTGGCCTTGCAAGCTTAAAGGGGGCTTTGCACCAAGTGGGTACGTTTAATATGTCGCAGAGACAACTCTAAATGCTCCCGCGAGTCAATTCATCGCCGTACCGGGGCCCCTGCGAAGTCATCTCATCTCCAACGTGGCAGTCTTCGATGTCGACATCAAAGCTTTAATCACTCTGCGTTCATTGCTTCTCGAAGAACTGACTTCAAGTCACCACGCAGAAAGTTTGCGAGGATTGTCACGCTGTTGGACGTATGATTAATTGGGATGAATTGATAGAGTCTATGTACGTACTGCAGACAAACCATATCACAAGTTCTGCTAGACTGTGCACGCTATACAAATGGGCCGATTTTCGTCATGGATTGCGGAAAGTTCTCATATCTTGCGTGCTTCTAGTCTCTCTGAAAGTCCGGCTCATTGAGTATAACATCGAAGTTAGGTAACTAAGCTCAGTGACCAAAGTCGAATGAATATGCTCAAGTTTTTCCCTTCTTTTATTTGCTAAGTCCAGCTAGAAGCACAGTCGTGAGCACAATTGTGAACGTGTAAATCTTCACTCTCGACCTCACTTTTGTTGATGACAACAAGCGTTTCGATACGCTAATCTGACAGCCTTGATCAAAAGAACGTTGTCCCAATAGCGAACATACATGGTAACTACATATACTACAAACAATATGCAGGTACTTGTCCAATCCATAATTAAGTACGAAATGATACTGAGTTCATGTTTTCAAGTGATCCCAGTCGATAAGGCTCGGTTCCAAAAATGCCCAGCACTATTGATGCTAAGCCGTCCAATTACGCCTTACATGTCGACTAATAAAACCAGCGGTGTACGAGAGGCTGTGGGGATCTGGATGGACAAGTCCCGCCGTGTAAGGTACACCGTTGATGCTAGCAAATGGTGTCAGTCGTGGTGATTCGTGCGTCTACCGCCGCAACTCGCCTTGTACGACGCTGTCCGGGACGGCAAGCGTGGTGCAGCCTCCGTCCTGAGCACCTCAACTGTGATCGCCTCACGTTAAAAACTGTGCAGTATTCCGCACATGGTTCGCAGGGCTCAAGGGCCAGGCTCTACCCTTATGATTGTTTGCAGCTCACTGGGCAGCAATACATGAAAGTGCCACGTGATAAGGCTGCAGGGATTACTTCCAGGTGTTCAACAAGCTTGCCTTGATGCTCCACGTCGTCTATGCAGTGTAGCCAATTCGTGGCTTGCGGCGTTACGATAGCTGCCCCCCGCCAGCTATTATCTCATAAGGACGTACTTCACAGGCCAATCACCTGCGACATACTGCAGCCACTCTCCCGAAAAGCCCCAAATGCTGCAATAGGTAACCAATGATAATAAATTAGGCCTTCAATTGGAAAAGGGCTGCGTACGTGACCTGCTGGTGGCAAATCGTATGGCTCTTCAAACGGGGCGGGGGTGGAGCGGCAAACCATCTTCAAGGTACTACCTTCCGCACATGGAGTCTTGGACCAGAACTAGACGCGCATTCCATTACAACCGGACAAAGTTCATGAGACTTATGTCTTCCGAGTAGCACTTCAGAAGTGACTGGAGCCGAAGAGCAGCGCGATGGAAACGGATGGATACCAATATATTGGATGTCTTGTAATTCTTAGAACGGATGAACCACCGAACTAGTAGCAGATCACCGTACACTTTGGGGTCAGTTTGCCCGCACGTCAAGCAGGCTGAGCTGCAAGTCAGCAAATCTGCCTTGAATAGGTGCATGACATTCGCATCCATTTAGAAGAGGGTGTGAAGAGTCACAATGTGATTAGACTCGATGAAGTCCCACTAGCCCGAATCGTCCATCATGTCGTGCTGTGTGCATGGTATGAATGTTTGACACAGCCCACATCGGCTGAGTAAATGTAGGAGTAGAGAAGCACTGATGGTCGCGCATCATTGATTCCCCTTAAATTGCGAAATCCCTGTAGACACTCTTCTCCCAAGATCTTCTGTCAATCATGTTTTCGATGTCTCACCGATAAGATTGTAGCACTCCTACAATGGTGGTCTCACTTGAAGAAGACGTGGCAGGCGAGTTCGAAACTTTTGTCAAGGACTACATTAACCTTCATAACTGCTTCGGCATTGATTACCATGATAAGCGACGATCTTTTATTCCACAGCCTGCTCTAGCTGAGTTTTGGAGCACAGAAAAGCTCAGCCATGTTCTGTCGAAAGTGCCTGGGATTCAGACGGAGTCTTGGAATGGTGCTGCTGTCGAGGATTACCTCGCGGTCTTCTCCGTTCTCGTTCTTCTTCGGCGACATGAAACATTTGGGCACTTCACTCACGCAAAGCTCAACGATCAAAAGCTTCCCTTAACCACACCGGAGGATTACCAGAACATCGATCCACAGCTGGAGGCTATACTCCCGGAGTTTATCAAACTGCAGTGGCAGTTTTGCCCTTTTTCTTTCGACAACGGCTCTGGTCACATACCAAGACATTTAAACCTCCAGCCTGACATCATTCTTCCCATTCTGCGGAAAGTAAGGTTGAATGTGAGCGAACACAGCTACCAAACCCATGGACTTGCTACTATCTACAAGGCTGAGCTGCATCCTCTTTGTGGGCGACCCGCAGACACTGTAAGTTGACAAAAGCCTCATTCTGAAAGTCATGCGAGGCTGACAATGCGACTCGAGGTCGTTTTGAAAGAATACCATGAAGGGAATGAACATGCGAAGAAGCTCCACGAGGCCGAGCGGAGTGCGTACGCGCAGGTTCAATCTAGCACAGTTGCAAGTATCAAAACATGCTACGAGTCTTTCGAATTATGTGGGCGCAATACGTTGGTATTGGAGTATGCTCCAGGAGGCACACTTCGCTCGACTTTTGAGGAAGATAGACCGCCAGTGAATGACTGGCAGCGCGAGCGATTTTGGACAAGGATCTTCGGTTTGTTGGATGGATTATCCGCAATTCATAAACTCGCCGCTCGCGAAAAGCTGAAAGGGTACGCCGGGTGATGCTCGGTTTCGATTGCTTTAGAAAATACGATACTCACTATTGTTTTAGATCCCACGGGTTCGTCAGACCACAGAGCGTTATGATCTGCGGCAATGTCTCAAAGGATGCCAACGGCGCTTCTTTCAAATTCGCAGATATGGGGTCATCGTATTTCAGCGAACGAGTTAACTATGCGCAGCGCGAATCGCATGGCACGGGTAGGCATGAATGCTTCTTGCCGTTTTGAATCAAGAAAGCGCTGACGTGAGTAAAGTACCCGGAGTCGACACTTCTCGCACTATTGTGGGCGACCTCCAGGACTTTGGTGCCATATTGAGCGAAGCTCTCATTTGGTCGGTGTTCGGTGAAACAGGCCGCATTGCTTACAAGAAGGAGCGAATTGCCAACACACAGCTTCGGGTTTTCGACGTTGCCGAACGCTGGCACAACCGCACTATCGAGGCAACAGGCGGTGTTGCGAAAGCTCTGAGTAGACTTATCCTAGAGTTGGTGAATGCTACCGGTCCCTCGCAGATAGGCAACTACACTTCTTTCCTGGCGAAGTGGAAAAGTGTGGCCGCTAGTTTGAGGACAGACAACATTCGGAGCGACCTGCCAGGAAATAGGCCGCCATGTTGGCCACGTTCTACGCAACCTTTCATGTTATTTGGTCAAGATAACGCCAAAAACATAGAGCTCGATGGTGTTACGGACTCAGGGTATCATACATTGTCCAGGGGCGATGGCCCAAGCACCGAGGACGCAGGAACAACGAACATGGATTTCGACGACAATGCAACAATAATGACTAACAATGAGGCATTGAACTTGACGCCAGACGAAAAGGATCAAGGAGTCAACGAGTTTGCGGGGCATCTCTACAATGCTGTCAAATCAGACCTCGATGTCGAAGCTTGCAATCCTGGTCCTGGGAGGAGTATGCTCTCACTGTTAAAAGCCTTTTCTGTGAAGCTCGCCGCTGCTGAACCGACAGATGATGCAAAGTACATCAGCACTTTCGTCAGGGCCCACCGCAAGTAAGCATTCCAAGTGAGGCACTCATAACCGCAGTGAACGAGCTCACAACCCTGTCATAGACGTATTGCGACCGAATTTGAACGCCTCGCCGAAAGTCCAGCAACAGGAAGAGTCAGTCCGATTTTACCCAGCCCCAGCATTGAGAGCCTAGAAGAACCAGATCTGTTTCGAAGCAACACAAAGTCTCCAACCCCTAGTGAGAAAGTATCACAATGGGACGAGGGTGGAAGCGCCATGTATGATGATTTTGAGGAGTCGCATGACTGTTGGGGAGACGACAATGACGAGTCAGACGCAGCCAACCTGGATGACAACTTCGAAGGATTCTCAAAATACAAAAGCGAACTCGCAAAGTCAGAAGCGTTTGCATGGCTGGTCTACATGGTAAAGCAACAATCACGCATTAGCTGGAGCAACGCTCCCACTGTTGCCCGGATTCGCGAGGCCTTGCTACGTCCTTCGGGAAAAACAGCACATAGCCAAACAGAAGAAATGGTTCTGTTTCGGATACCTTGGAAACCTCGTGCTTTTTGCAAGCAGCAAGAATACCCGGATTACCAGTCTTTGGAGAGGGCCTTAACGCTCAGCGGGTTGTCGACTGAGTTGCAACTGCTTCCCTGCCTTCAATACGCCCGGCAGTGCTGGCCTCTCTTAGGGGAATCGGTGGTTCGAGGATTCATTTCTTCTCTGGATCGACGGTCAAACACGCATGGATGGATACATCAGCCACAAGGATCGGGTTCGTCATCAGTCACTTTTCCACTTTGAGCTACGGTACTGACGACTTTTAGTTCGCTTACCTGATGATACGGTTCTGGCTTTTGAGACAGAGCCTGGGATAGTTACAGTAGAATGCAAGGGTACCACAGATTCGATTTCCGAGGTTGCGGTTGTACTATCCTGGCTCGCTTCATCGTTACGAGAAGGCAATTCTACACATCGAGTTACCTACATCACCCCCACGATATCGCCGGCGCCACGAGTGGGCCCACTTCCGTCTCTCAGTATTAAGCATTTTGGCTGCACTCATTACGTCATGAAATTCCAAGAGGAAGATCTGGACATACAAGAGCTGGGAGACATCCGTGGTACCTGCTGGCGCAGCCTTCTTGGAAGAGCCGTCGTTGCCAACGGCTTTCCAGTCTTGACCCGCAAAAAGGGCATGGAAGGACTGGAGATACCCCTGCCTGTCATGGCGAGTTTACTCGGATCTGATTACCTGACATCGTTTCGCGGCCAACTCTTCCTGAAGGGCTTCAACGCAGCAGTCGTTCCCCAATCTTGTACAGACGCTATTGTGTTATGGCACCTGGTTATCAATGAGAACGGCGATAGGTTGCCCTACACTGATGACAGAATATCGTCACAGAATTGCCAGACTCAACTCGATTCGGCACTGGATCTTGGAAGCGCGCGACATATTCTGGGTTGGACACCAAATGCATCACACAACATAGGTAAGTCCTGGTTTCAAAAGACCGTAGGCACACATCTAACACGAAACAAAGGATCGGCCACTGCAAACTATGACAAACTTTGGGCAGATCCTGGCTTCACCAGTCCCGAACTTGTTTTGGAAAAAGTCATCTTTCAGTTGGGAATGGGTCCCATCACTTGTGGCACCGAATTCGCCATTGGCAAGAAAGACCCGTCAACAACCATCATCCGCGGAGATATTGCGTACTTACGGAGCATTGAAGCTCTCCTTGGAAGTTATGTTGTACTTTACGATACCCGAGATTGTCGGGCCTGGCTTTCGAATGGCGCCAGTGCTTTGCTGCATCTTACACGTGCCTCGTTGAGGTATAGCCTCCAAGGGAATTTTGCTGCGCAATATGTATGTCAAGAAGCCGACTTCGTTGGCCAAGGGACCGATCCCAGTCCTCAGGCCGCTTTGGACTTTTTATGCGACATGGAAAAGTTACGAAAGCCTCTTTTTCGCCGGAACTCCCAGGAAAGCGAGTCATACAGCAGTTTCGGTCATCGTGTGGAAGAGATTATGCGGTCACTGGAACAGCTTCTCGATTACCAGGTGCAAGTCAGCTCACCGGGGAAGCCGGTGAGACTATCACCAAGAGGCAACTTAGAAGGTTATAGCTTCATGAAGGTTGCTACTAGGAGGCCCATCGCGCCATGCGCGGTCTCATTGAAGCAATTCCGACAGGCTGGGAAGTCATGGGTCGACTTCACCAGAGCCATCAACGCAGTCACACTTTTTGGCAAGGGCTTCGGCGAGCTGATCACTCCAGTAGAAGGCTCAATTGGCGACTGCTCCAAATGGCAAAGCTTGCCAAAAGGCAAAGACTATTTGGGAGTTAGCGTCTATGACTTGAAGAGAATACTTGACGAAAGAGGAGACACTGGCACACAACCTCCTCAGCTAGCTCCGGGAATCGTGTGGCACAGGCCATCCCGACTCTTCGAGGACTGTGCCTGCGGTAAAGAGCGGAAAAGACGGCAACGGATGCATTCATGCGACAGGGTCCAAGTCCTTCTTCCGCAATCATTGAACCTCTCTCGAAAGTCGCCTGCTAACACCCATCCCGATTTAACGAAGCCAAATGGCGCCGTGATATTCGGTAGGAGCCCTTTGTTTCCTTTCCGATGGCCAGAAAAGGGTGATCCTGAGCTGGACTCTGGTGGCGAGGAAACGACCGATGATCTGGAAGATACCGAGCTTGCTGAAAGCCTGGTTTCATTGATGTCTTCGCCTACACAGCCAACAAGTCGTGGCGCATCATCAAGCACAGGGCAAGAAACATCCAAAACAACCACTGAAACAGTAAGCACAGTTGACGATGCTGTCATCGAGGATGAAGGAAAGGTTCCCCAGCTTGAAGAGGTAAAGCCGGCTGCAGACATGACAGTCAATAGATTGACGCTCGCACGACGGTGGAAAGATTGGAAAGATAAGAACCTGGCGAAAGGGGTTTTCAAGGGCGCGAAGCAATTTGGAGGTTAATCTCATGTTTCACTAATTCCCATTCCGTTTTCTCACTATTGTTCGCTGGCCTTCTGAGCTTCTGATGTGACCGTAGAGAGGCTGCGTAGAGAATTCCAAGCAGTTTTAATGGAAGATTGTGACTTGAAAAGACAAACGGCAGACAGCACGACTGTGCTTCCGTCCTTGCCTTGATTGAATACTTACGGTAGGCCTGGGCCTGAAGCCATGTGCTGCCTCCCCCCTCGGAAGCTGTGATGCCGGACTCCGCAGTGGAAAGCCAGATCTGGAAATTATGCAAACTAATAGAATCCGACTTCAGGCAGCCAGTTCTCTTAATACTGAGTCTGGGGTGCAAAAGAAGGGAACTCCTCGGCGGTCAAGTAAACCGTCGGGATGGGCCTTTGACCATGACGGATTCGAAGATCAAGCACCTTCTCATGGCTGTTGGTAATGCATCACATCCAAGTGTACTGATGGCGCTTGAACTGATAATTTACTCCCTCAACCAAAAGAATGTGCAGCGCTTTCCGGCACTGAACGGTGAGTGGCGCTTGAGAAGTGGTAGTTTTCTCGAGTTCCGAGAGACCAACAACGAGTTCGTACTTCAGTCATCCTGTTCTTGCCGGCTTGAAATATCCACGATCTCCTTATCAGCTGTTGAATTGGTTGAATACGAAAAACGAAGAGAAACAACACCTCTCCTCATGACACAACTCACCTAAGAAGGAATAAATATTGGCTCGCGCCTATAGCTATCCAGCAAATACCAACTTCCCGTACGCTCCTCCGCCTGGACTCTCTGGACACTCATTGTTAACATAGTTCGAGTGATGAAGCGCGGTCGGTACTGACTGATAATAATGTGGTCTCCCTTCCTCATCTGGCACGTATTCTTGCCCCCGAGGTTGATCTCTCGAACCCCGAACTCGTCCTTTCGGATCCAGAGATTCTCCCCCGGCGCTCCGGGCTCGCCTCCGCACAGTCCAAAGGGAGGGACAGACCGTCTCTCGCTGAGGACGCTCACTTGCACGTCGCGGCGGAACTCGATGTGTCGTACGCACCCGTCGCCGCCGGGAAACCCACCACGACCACCGGATCCTCTCCTGATCCCGAACTCGTGCAGAATGCATGGGTACCGCCGCTCGAGGGACTCCGGGTCGGTGATTCGGGTGTTCGTCATGTGCACATGGACGCCGGACTGGCCGGCCCAGCTCGGACCGGCGCCGGCTCCGCCTGCAATCGTCTCCGACGTGTCAGTTGAGATTTGCTCCGTGAAACCGCGGGTTGCTGCTTACTTCATAGTACCCAAAGCCCGGCTTCGCCTTCCCGTCAACAACCTCGCCTCCGTACCCGAACGTCAGGTTGTTACACGTGCCTTGGCTGGCTGCGGCGGCCTGGAAAGCCCTCAGCACGAGGTCGGTCACTCGTTGCGACGTCTCCACGTTCCCTCCCACGGTCGCCGCCCCCAGAGAAGGAGACAGTATCGTGCCGGCGGGAAGAATGACGTTGATTGGCGCAAGACAGCCCTGGTTCAGAGGGATGTCTTCTTTGACCAGCGACCGCAGGACGTAGATGATTGCGCTGAACGTGATGGCTCTCGGGGCGTTGAGGTTTCCGTATACCTCGCGGCTGGTGCCGGTGAAATCGAACTCGGCAGAGCCCTCCTCGCGGTTGATGTGGATCTTCAGTACCAGTCGCGACCCGTCGTCCATCTGGTCCTCGGCCTCGAGCGGGAGACCGCTGAACTGGTCGTGGACCCGCCTGAGAAGGTTTCTTACCACCTTCTCGGCGTTGTCCTGGATGCCGAGCATGTATTTCTGCGTCAAAGTCAGCTGATGTTTTGCATGAGAAAGAGTACTCGAAATAGCTCACCTGCACAGTAGCAAGTCCGTACTCCCGGATCGACTCGTGGATGAGTCTGATGCCCTTCTGATTCGCCGCAATCTGGGCCTTCAGGTCGCTGACGTTGTCGTTCCACGTCCTCGTGCCAGATGATCCCGGGTACGACGCCGGTCTCTTCAACATAATCTCAGAAAGCCCCTCTTCGTCAAACTTTCCGTTGTTGACCAGCTTAAAAGACGTGAACGAGGCGCCCTCCTGCCAGATCTCCTTCGAGTGAGGGGGCATCGACCCCGCCGCGATGCCACCTATATCGGCATGATGAGCCCGCGACGCGGTCCAAAACAAAACCTCATTCGTGTCTTCGTCGATGACGGGGGAGATGACGGTGATATCCGGAAGATGAGATCCCCCAGCCGCGGGATGGTTCGAGACGAGCACGTCGCCAGGCCGCAGCGTCTTCCCCCACTTTTCGGCTTGATAGGCCACGGCATAACTCATCGCTCCGAGATGGCAGGGGATATGCGGCGCGTTGGCGACGAGCCCGCCCTGCGGCGAGAAGATGGCGCAGGAGTAGTCGAGGCGTTCCTTGATGTTGATGGACACCGAAGTCAGCTGGAGCGAGCGCCCCATCTGCTCCGCGATGCTCATGAACCGGTGGCCGAACACGGAAAGCTGAATGGGGTCGATGGCGTCACTGTACTCCGAAACCTCGGCGGTCCCACCCGACTGCGATGACTCTTCTCGGTCCAGCACGAGATGGTGGGGAAGCACGACGGCAGACCATTCACGCTGAACCATGATCGTCTGCGTCTGGTCGAGAATGATGGCGGGGCCGCGCACCTTGTCGCCGGGAGCGAGATCTTCGAGCTTGAAGAGGTTCACCTCGTGCCAGCTGCCGCCGGTGTAGAGTCTCGTCTGTTTGACGCTCTTTTCCGAAGATGCGGTGCTCGTGACGAGACCCGCGAGGACGGACGACACGCTGGGTATCTCGGTCCCTGCCGTCTTGCCGAGGGCGCGCACGCGGATGTCCTCGACGAGAATGCCTCGGTCAAGCACGAATCCGAACTCCTCTTCATGGTGCTTGACGAATTTGCCGGCGAAGTCCCAGGAGTCGACCGGTTTCCGGATCATCAGGGAGCTGTTGGTTCCCTGGTATCGTAGGTTGAGGTACAGCTCGTATTCGATATGCTGGTCTGAAAACCCTTGGGCGGTTAGCGTGGCACCAGCCTCCTGTGTAAGAGTATTGAACTCCGTCGCCAGTTGTTCATCACCCATATCGCATAGCTGTGCTGCTCTGGGGCGCTGAATCTCGTGCGTCAAGTCTGCCAGGGCCATCCCGTATGCCGAAAGAATGGAGGAGTACCGATGGATCACCACCTGGCGGATGCCCAGGGCTTCGGCGACGTCGCAGGCGTGCTGGCCGCCGGCGCCGCCAAACGTCGCCAGCACGTGTTCCGAGGTGCGGATGCCTCTACCCTCGGTGAGGGATCGGATCGGTCTGCTCATGCTCTCGTTGGCCACCCGCAAGAAGCCGCTCGCGACCTCTTCCGGGGTAAAGGACTTGCCGTCTTCTTCGTTGATCTTGATGGTGAGATTTTCAAAAGCTCGAGCGGCTGCTTCGTAATCGAGAGGCTCGTTCTCGTCGGGACCGAATATGGCGGGAAAGTATTCAGGGCGGAGGCGGCCTAGGAACAGGTTGGCATCGGTGACCGTGAGAGGGCCGCCTTTCCGGTAGCAAACAGGTCCCGGGTGTGCTCCGGCGGACTGTCCTTTGTTAGAGACCTTCCACCTTTCATCGTGAGCGAAGCACTCACGTCTGGGCCGATGGCAAATAACCCGTTCCTCCAATGCAAAATCGAACCCCCGCCTGCCGCGACCGTGTTGATGTCCAGCTGCGGCGTTTGGAGCGTAACCTCGGCAGTCTCCGTCTCGAATACGTGGTCATAGGATCCCGAGAAGCGGCTGACGTCCGTCGAAGTACCGCCCATATCGAAACTGATGACGGGCATCTTCTTGTCAGTGTCGTAGCACGAACGCGCGAAGCCAATGACGCCGCCTGCCGGGCCGGACAAGATCGCACGCAGCCCGGAGAACTTCTGCCACAGGCAGAGACCGCCGTCGCTTTGCATGAACAGAAGCCTGCCTGCCACGGCATCCAGCCCGCCCTTGAAACCGCTGCCGAAGTTCTCGACGTAGCGCTTGATCAGGGGTGAGAGGTAGGCATCGGCGGTGGCCGAGTTTCCTCTCGACACCATCTTGATCTGCAAACAGAGTCAGAAGGCCATTTGCGTAGCATTCTGTCGAGTGTGACGTACCGTGGGTTGAAGCTCTGATGAGACGGAGACGTCGAACCCCATATCCCGAGCAAGTTGAGCGACCTGGCTCTCGTGATCCGGGTATAGATAGGAATGGATGAAACAGATCGCCAAGCTGTTGATGCCCTGGGCCTGGAGATCCTCGAGTTGCGCCCTGACGATATCCAAGTCGGGCCTTTTCAAAATCCGAACCGGCTCGCCGGTCAAACCCTCAACCAGCGCGTTGTCGCTGTCGATGTCGATCGGCTGCTTCTCGGGGTTCTCCAGGAACTCCTCCATGGTCACCCGCTCGTCGACCTCCACCACCGTGTCGTACAGGTTCTGGAGTTTGTGAATGCTGAGATCGAAGATGTGCGGTCGCGCCTGATTCCCGATGACCAGCAGATCGCGAAATCCCTTGGTAGTCAAAAGCGCGACACGTTCGCCTTGACGCTCGAGAAGAGCGTTAGTCGCGATTGTCGTACCCATGCGGATCGACTCCACGTCGGAAATGTCCAAGGGCTCGTCGCGCGGAATTGAAGTACCGCGGTAGAATGACAAGACGCGCCGGATTCCTTCCGTCGGGGCGTCGTTGTAGTTCCGCGGGTCGACTGACAACAGTTTGAAGACCATCTCGGGCTCGGACGAGCCGGGGATGTAGGCGTGGACATCGGTGAAAGTACTGCCGCGATCTTTACGAGAGTCAGTAAGCGATCATGTAATTGGATTATTAGAACGCGGGCTAGCCTCACCAATGGCGATTCTGATTTTCTTCTGAGTATATCCAAGGGAGCCCATCTTGGCGAATTTGGTGATGGAAGATTCGATCTCGACGTTACCAATTTCACTAATACAGATACTCAGAAATCTTGACCAGGAATACGGTCATATTATGGCACCCGACGTGATAAGTACGAGGCTCTCTCTCTGTGTGTTAGAATCAACCAAAACGCCCGAACTCGGCGATGATATCCGGAGCGGGTCTCCGGCCTGGGGTATCTTGGAGCCCCCCGATCGGTGGGGGCAATGCGGAGGGAAAGAAGCGGGTTGGTGGCCCGAGGCAGCTCAGATAAGACAAAAGGCCTTTCGGTGACCGCTGCCGATATCTTGATTAAAGCCAAGATGTCGGCTCCTGACCCCTCATTTTCCGAACGACTTTCGGTTTGATCTGCAACCGGCGACAGTTCGGTTGATCTAGCCGCTGATGACGCACCTTTCTATGCACGATCGTGCTTTGGCAACAGTGCCGTGGATTATCACATACTATCACAAGGTCATGGTTCAGCAAGGGTCTCATTATCTCGTCATGGCGAAGGCGATATCTGCACCGTCGATATGTAGTATTCTCGTGCCGCCAGGCCGTCATGCGGCTTGTGGTACGCAGCATTCCGAACGGTGGGTGGCCGGGAAGCATGTTAAAAGACGTGTGATGTCAATTAGGACGTTAAATTCAGCTCATTTCAAGTTACACATCGACTCAATCGCCTGCATCAAACTTTCCATTGCGCTAGGCTTTTCGCGTAGAAGCAGATGACCGTTACGTTTCTTTTTCCATTATGTCGGACCTAAAGCAGGAAGGTAGTAATTCAAAAGTCATCAATGAGCAGGCTTTCGAAGATCAACATGCCTCTTCCAGTGGGTTTCAAATCGACCGAGAAAGAGAAGACAAGGTCGTGAGAAAACTTGATCTTGCTCTCACACCAGTACTCTTCGTTGTCTATCTCTCATGCTTCATTGACAGATCAAACATAGGTGCGTCGGCTTTCACCCGCGGTCCTCACCGGGATTTTCACGTTTGTGTTTCGCTCACCTCTCATAGGCAATGTCAAGGTTGCAGGGCTCCTCGAAGACATTGGGGCTACCGAACAGCAGTTTTCGACCGCTGTTTCCCTCTTTTTCGTCACGTATGTCCCTGTCGAGGTGCCTGCCGTCATCCTTGTTAAGCGCTTCGAACCGCGATTTGTCTTGACCGTTCTCTGTGTCATATGGTCTGTCGCCACCATTGCAAACGGTCTCATAGCCAACGTCGGTGGTCTCTACGCATGTAGACTCGTCTTGGGCTTTTGCGAGGGCGGTTTGTTCCCGTCTCTCAACATGTACTTGACAATGGTCTACAAACGAGACGAGCTAGCCAAGAGGACTTCCTACTTGGTATCATGCACGGCACTATCTGGTGCCTTCGGCGGGCTTCTCGCCTATGGTCTACTCCAAATGGATGGTGTAGGTGGCTATGCCGGCTGGAGATGGGTTTACCTCATTGAGGGGGCATTTAGCATTCTTTGTGCCTTCGCGGTATGGTTCGGCCTCCCGAGCGACATCCGCAAGGCGTACTTTCTCAACACTGAGGAGAGACAAGTCATGGAAATTCGTCATCAGCAGAGATTGGATTACATGGGCAGTGAGGAATTCGACTGGGCCGAAGTCAAGCTCGCATTTCTTGACCCCAAGACGTGGCTTTCGTGAGTGAATTCCCCCGCGGTTGTGACTTGAATGGCTTTGTCTCAGACATGCAACTGACTTGATTGTAGCGCGTGGACCCAGTTCTGCCAGAACATTCTGACGAACGGCTTCGGAACCTTCTTGCCATCTATCCTCCGGGCAATGGGACACGATACCCTGGCCGCCAACTACCTGACTGTTCCAGTCTACTGCCTCGGTGCTTTGGCCTTCTTCACCTTCGCATTCCTCTCCGACAAGTACGCAAAATGCGGAATGGTGAGTTGAAGTATCAAATTTCACAACGCGTGATTAAGAGCTTAATGTTCGGGATTTAGTTTCTCTTCGGCACCAATATCCTGGGCGCCGTCGGCTACGCCATTCTCATAGGTGTCAGTAACAATGCGGTCAAGTACTTTGCCTGCTTTGTATGTACCATCGCCGTCTACAACGGAACCGGCCTCAATCTTGCATGGCTCAATGTCAACACGGCCCCCCAGTGTAAGTCCCGCGACAAAAGGCTCGGATCGTAAAAGCCGGAATGGATGCTGACAACAGACGGATAGATCGAAGGGCCACTGCGATTGGAATACAGCAAACAATAGGGAACTCGGCTGGTGCTGTTGCTGGCCAGATCTATAGCGACTCTCCGTATTTGCTCGGCAATAGCTTTTCTCTCGGGGCTATCTTCGTGGCAGAGTGTCTAGTTGCGGTTCATTGGTTCTACCTAAAGAGAATGGAAAGGGCAAAGAAGGCTATCCTGGCGGGCGAAAAGGAGGATACTCGAACCAAGAAGACGGGAGATCGTGACCCGAACTTCCGTTACCGGCTCTGAAGGCCGTTGAACTGGATGGAGAATTACCAGGCCTACTGGGTTCAAGAACGGATATCCAGATCCGAACGTCAATTATTCAGTCGCGAGAGAATTACCAGATCCGGCACTGCCGAGTTCGCCGATGCCCGTACGTCCTCTCCGCTATCCTAATCAACAAACGATGACAACAGCACCTGGCTAAGCATACACCCGGTGGTGCTCACCAACCATTGGAAGTGCTCGCGTAGGTGAGATTGAGGTCATTCTCGAGTACTGAGGTCAAATACCGAAGCTTCGGGCCGGAGAGGATACCCCGCTGTTCCTCCGACACGTGGCCGGGGCCGGGGCCGGTTTAGTGGGGAATGTGGGAAAGACGAAGTTTCCCACATCACGCCGCGTACGTCGCATTTTCCCACACACAGCCACTCTTTCTTGTATTGAAGGGCTCGTCTATGATGCGAATTCCATCTCAATAGCAACCTCGAGTGCCATTTCTGTTAACATGCCGGGCTTTGATCTTGTTTAATGCGGGGTACGGGGACGATCGATGTCACCGTGTTCGTGATGCGAGTCAAGGACAACGATCGAGTCCGTGTTACGGCCCGATTTGACGTTTAATCTCCGAAACCTTAGAGCATGCTTCAATGTTTAGCCATGAAGCATGGACACTTCGTATATATTGACTGTTCGAGCTCGTGAGAGTTGAGGCTCACGGGTTCATCGCATCACGTTCAAGCGCATACTTCTTGTTTCTCCAGTTGATACCCAGCCATACAGACACAATGAAGACTCTTGCAGCTCTCGGACTCGTCGCGGCTGTGGTTGCCACAGACCATGGACCTTCGGTTTGTACCCACAGCAACAGCGCTCTTTGGTGACATGCTGACGAGTGAGTTGGATAGTATGGCGGCACTGGACCTTACAAGTCGGTATGTCTCGCCCATTGCCAAGCCCAGATCGACTCTGAAGTACCTCTAACACTGCAAAAGTACTACTTCGAGGTCGAATCTCTCGCCAATCACAGCTTCTACCAGCCATTGCAGTCATCCGTGGGCTCAGACCTCAAACTGCCTGTCATCGTTTGGGGCAATGGCGGTTGCAAACCTTGGTAAGACTAAGTGTCAAGTATTATTGATAGGTCCGCTAACCTTTGCACAGTATGTTCGGGAAAAGTGCTTCTCTCCCTTCCCATGTTCTCACAACTAACCGCGGAATTCAGTCGGACTCACCTTCAGAGGTTTCCTGGGAGAGGTTGCGTCTCACGGCGCCCTGGCCATCGCCACCGGACCAGCCTACGTCGACCCCGAGACTTACGTGCCGCCCGTGAACGATCCCTCTGTCAATGCATCTGGACAGAATCCCGCCTCCATGACTGCTGCCATCGACTGGGTCGTTGCCAACGCAGGCAAAGGCGACTGGAAGCACATCGACGCCTCTCGCATCGCAGTTTGGGGACAGAGCTGCGGAGGCCTCGAGTCTTACACCGCTGGACTGAACGACACTCGCGTCCAGCACATCGGCATTTTCAACAGCGGCCAGCTGAGCGAGGATGCGAGCAAGACTGTCGCCGGCAACGTCACAAAGCCCATTTTCTATCTGCTTGGTGGACCGGACGATGTTGCATACCCGAACGTGAGTGCCGCCTTTTATCTCTTCCCATGAAAACCCCGTAACGCTGACCTCAATTTATATCAGGGCGAGCGTGACTACACCCTCATTCCCGCAGGAACACCTGCCTGGAAGGGAAACCATGCGCTTGGCCACAGCGCTGCTTTCGATGCCCCCAACGGCGGCATTCCTGCCCAAGTCGGTGCTCAGATCCTGGAATGGATGCTTCGTGGAAACGAGTCCGCCAAGTCGTTCTTCACCGGAGATGCTCCCAAGGCGATTGGAGTCAATGACGTTGTGTTCAAGGACCTGAACAACGTCAAGGTTACCCCTATTCAATGAGATGCGTGGACGACGAAGCCGGAACGGGACGACTTGTGAAGTTGACGTTCAACGTAAATAGTGAAGGCTGCTCACGTCACTTCTACTGTATCTACAATTACATTCCAATTGAGTACATAATTATTGATCAATGACGATTCACACTTTCATGATATGGTAGCTGTATCCCTCTATGCCAAGTGACTGCCGATGTCAAGTCGCACATGAGCTGTACCTCACGAAACATCGAAATTGGGTCACAAACATCAAGTGCACAAACAGAACGTCAATTCCATCAATGCCATGATTACCATCGCATGACATGTGTCAAGACGCCGAGTTGCGTTTGTTCATGTGCTGAAAGGGTGTGACGTTCGTCGGGACTTGTCATTGAACTCCGGATGGACCCCTTTTTTCAGCCACATGCCTGCCGGTGAAAACAACAAAACACCAAGACCACCTTGACACTTGCGCGGCTACCAGAAGCCTTCCAATGATTAATTTCCGTTGTTTCATGCCGGAGGGCGATGATTGTTTTGCCCCACTGCCAAGACAGGAGAGTTGTCCCACAATGTGGGAGACTCCTGGGATGGGTATGTGGGAAACCGGTGACCCTTGGCGCTACGCTGTTGGGGCTCCGGATCCGCGGATAACCTACCGCACGCAGTGCTCCTGCTGGTTAGTGTGAAAGTCATGAACAAGGGTCCTGGTACAACGAAATCGGCGCGTGAAGATGATATACGGAGGACGAGCCCGGGGTATCGGGATTAGACGTGTGTGATCATTGTTGATTCCGGTCGTTTCCATGATGGCTCGTAGCTTGTGGCTCGTCTTGGCTGTATTCTCATCACTGGTCGTGGGAGATGCAAGTTCGGCATTCGTGATTACTACGAACGGCACTGTTGTTGGGGTCAATGATGCGATCAACGGAGTCCAAAGGTTCTTGGGCATTCCTTATGCAGAGCCGCCTGTTGGTGACTTGAGACTACAGCAGGCAGTGCCTTTGAGGAACACATTCGGGGTCCTCCAAGCGAGCAACTTTGGGCCTTCTTGCCTGTCCTCGAGAAATCAAGGAAATTCCAGCGAAGATTGCTTGTCTCTGAACATCTGGAGACCAACCAATGAGTCTGCAAGCAACGGCTCCTTGCCAGTGTTAGTGTGGCTGTATGGAGGTGGTTTGACCAATGGATATACTGTAAGTCCCTCTCCATCTTAAATATTCATGAGCTGCAGCTGAGAAGTTTGGCGTAGGCCGACCCGAGGTTTGAAGGCACCGCCATAACGCGAATCTCACGAGAAATCGGAAAACCAATCATTCTCGTCTCTCTTGTAAGTGCAGAACACCAGTCGAAAAGCACCGTCACTGAATTTTCACGTTAGAATTACAGACTAGGACCTTTCGGGTTCCTTAACGGCAAGGAGATGGCTGAGCTCGGGCTTCTGAACATAGGAATGCTAGACCAGCGACTTGCATTCAAATGGATCCAGGACAACATCGCGTCATTCGGCGGCGACCCCAAGAAAGTCACGTTGGCTGGAGAGTCGTAAGTTTGAGCTCCAGGGTGTGACAACATCCGCTAACTTCGAAACAGCGCCGGTGCGGTCTCCATCTACTCTCACATGATGGCGTACGGTGGAAGAGATGATGGCCTGTTTCGGGGTGCGATTCTTGAAAGCGGCGGAGCGTTTCCGCTTACACCCCCGAATACGACGGCGTTTCAGAGCACCTTCGATTCTCTCATTACCAACACGACTTGTTCTCCGTTGGTGAATGGAAGTGCTGCGGAAAAACTTGACTGCATCAGGAAGCTGCCTGTGGAAGTCTTCAGAGAGAAAGTGGGATCGTCTACGGGACAATCAGTCGATGGAGACTTCACTCGCACATCTATCCAGCGGGCTCTCCCGGCTGGGAAATACCTCAAGGTTCCGACCATAGTCGGAAGTAAGTCATATAGGGTTCATCATAAAGATACAGCCTCTAACAGCATCCAGCAAACACGGACGAGGGCACCACGTCAGCTCCAGCGGGGATTAATACGACTGAGCAACTATTTGACCCAGTGGGTAAGTGCGGTTGAACACCGAAACAACATGATGGGTCTTCTCCTTTTACTGATTAACCACACAGCCAAGGGATACTTCCGACCACAGTCGCTACCAAATGATACAGTGTCGAAGCTCATCAGCATGTACCCTACTAATCCGCGACTGGGGTGCCCATATAACACCGGTATCACTAAATTCTCCTCTGGAACCCTCGACAAAATGGCGTGTTCCATATTCGGTGACATCGTTCAGATCGGACCAGCACGCATGATTGCACAAACTCTTGCGAAAGATGGTATTCCAGTGTACAGATACCGGTTCAACCATCTGCAGTACAATACCTCTTCAGCCTCGAAGGGCATCGGGACCGGTGTAGAACAGGGGTACGTGTTCTCGAACTTGATCCCCGACCAGCCTTGGGATCAAAACATTGCGTATCAGATGTCGGCAGTATGGATCAACTTCGCCCATGATCTGGACCCCAATAGTGGATCTGCTGGTAAGTACAGCCATTATTCTTTGATTAGGCGGTTGCTAAATAAACTTGAAAGAACTGGGCCTGCCCACTTGGCCTCAATACGGGATGGAGGCCAACTCAATCGTACTCAATGGATACGGATCTTGGATCGAGTCAGATACATACCGATCAGAGGCCGTTCAGTTCATAATCGATAATGTCTTGCCAGATGGTGCATCTTAGATGGATCATTGGGGACAGATGTAGTTCATTGTACTATATACTCAAAGTGCCATATCTTCGAAGGCATCTAAAGTGATAAAACATCCAGTTGGAGGGTATCCCTCTGCTGCGATACCCAGTAATATCACCACACAAATATGACTTCAGATACAACGCGCCTCCCATGCCCCAACAACTTCCTCCATCTCTTGTGTGACGCCCCAATGCTGAGACAAACTGTGCAAAAGGATTCTAATCGCGCTCAACTCATACACTAAGTTCCGAACAACCCACCCTGTGGTTCGCCCCTCACCAACGTTATTCAAGAACGCCAGAGTGTCAGTCGCTTGATCCGATGCCTGAGCGATGGATGTTTCTGAAGCGTCGTCCAACCCACACAGAATTACTGTACCCCAGTCCACAGAGGCGGGCACGATGATCTTCGACACGCCCGGTAGGGCGAATGAGCTGTATGTGGTAGCAGCGGCGAACAAAGCCCCGGGAAGACATGTATCGTGAATAATCCCAAGCGGCACTTCAGACGCAATCTTATGGATCTCGAGGGCATGCAACAGACACTTTCGTGCGCGCAAACCTCGCGTCCATTTGTCTGGGTCGATGCGGCTAGGTTCCTCTCGCTTCTTGCCACCGAATATGTGTTGGGTGATGTTGTAGTGGTAGCACATTCTCCGTGCTCCACGCGCCGTACTCACAACGAGGTCGAGACATACGGCATGCCACCGCAGAAGACCGATGGTCTTGTCTGCCGCGGTTAAGCCTGTGCTTTGTGATATGTGTCGACGAAGAGTGACCATGGCTTTCACGGCGGCGAGCTTCTGAGCGGCCTCGGCGCCCCTCGTCGTGCGTTCGAAGTCGGTGGTGAGTGAGGCCAGGATCTCCAAGACTATTCGAATATTGAGTAGCCCAGGTAGGCAGTACACCGGGTTAGACTGGCTCCCTTCGGAGGCCAGCAACTGGTGCAGATCTGAGAACCGCTCAGGTCTCGGGCTGTGGTTCCTATCGCGAACAGTCATGACGTGGATCCAGTTGTCGACAGTATCAGCAGCGAAAGCTTCCTCGTCGGCAGACAGTGGCAGAGAATTAGTTGCTGACCAAGTGTTGACGAGGTTTCCGCTGAACTGTGATACCACACCGTCGATGACGCAGAGGCCGAGCAGTGTTCTCAGCTGGGTCTCTCTCGCCGCCCATGATCTCCAAGCCTGCATCTTCACTTCGATTGGGTCATGAAGCTGGGGCACTGGTTGTCGGCTTGGAACAACGTCATACATGCCGCAGTATTGTGCCCAGTGCATGCTGAGACCGTAGAATGTCTGGCTTGTCATTCGCAATGTTCGGTTCTGGCAGATACGACTTAGTAACGTGAACATAGACTGACAAGGGCGAGTTTCCTTCAAGCCAACTCACCCTGGAAAGAGCTGCGTAGATCTGGCTGAGAAGTGCAGTGAGAACTAATTCGACGCCGCTACAAGCATCGTGTTCCCTCTTATGACCCGTCATCTCGGGCCACGACGTGGCAATGGCGGTGTATGCAAGCCTCCATAGAGCCTCACCCTATTTCCTATTGATTAATCACTTTGGATACTGAGACGCCTTGCATCAGTCGATGTCTTACCTTGACAGTCGCATCCTCCGCTCCAAGAAACAGCGACCCAAGTGCGATTGCGTTAAGCAGCAAAGGGGCGGAGCAATCTCGATACACAAACGTTGGTCTATGGATGATTGGAAGTATTGGTACAAATTTGGTGAAGAACATGTGCAGACTGCTGTCCAGGAAGCGTGGAGTTAAGTCGGAGAGCTCTACGTGGGACGTGACATTGAAAAGCTAGATGGCAGCACCACTCCATCAGCCATATGTCTTCACCGGAACCACACGCAACTACCGAAGCTTACCGTGTTAGTCAAAAGACCATTGATGGTTTGAACAGCTCTATGACCATCTTCAGCTGTGGCGAGCTCATCTCCGTCGGTTGTGCTGCTTAAACCAGCTGATGGTGCGTCATGAGGGCCGGGAGGAAAGGACGCCGGGATGAGTCCAGGCATAGAATGATCCCAATTGATTCCATCTGCCGACATCAAGCTTTGGAACAACTCCTCCGAGTCTGGCCATAGGAGAGACGAAGAAGCGACATGCTGGGGATTACCATTGCCGGCGTTTGGATCCACGCCGACATCAAGTGCTTGAACTCCTTGAGGGGCAATAGCTGATGCTGGATGGTTGCCGCCTTGCACTTGAAGGGGCTGAAGAGATGCAGTCTGAGTTGAAGGCCCACTGGAGATATCACGAGATTTGGCAGGTTGGTTGTGTCCTTTGACGTGCCTGTTCAGTACGTCTCCACGCGAAAAGCTCCTGTCGCATATCGCGCATTTGAAGGGCCTTGAGCCAGTGTCTTCAATCGAGATTAGACTCCGGACGAGTAAGGAACATCAGGAAAACCCTGCGGCAACGCGATTCTTTCTTTGCATGCGGCACTCACGGGCTCTTTCGTGTCTCTGGAATACGATTCAGCCACCGGCGTTGAGTGTGATGTGATGTCTTGAGAGACCATACCTTGAGATGCTCCTTCTTTGTGAACCGCCGCCGACAGTAGGAACACTCGAAATTAGCGGCGCTGGCAACGTCTCGCGATTCGTCAGCCATTGGATTGGGTCATCTGTGCTTCCCACATGTATGCCGCTGGGTAATTTCGGATGTGTTGATGGACAGAAGACTTTTTCCCCAGCTTCCCCGCAAACCCCGCGAGAAGTCTGCGCAGCAATTGCCGACTGCGAAGTGGTGAGGTGTTGTGCCGGGGTTGACAAGGGTATCCTTTTCCCACCGCCAGACATGGATATCAGATTCACCCACTTCCACCCATGCTTCAATTTCCCACTTCACCCACACCGTCTTTCTCCACTCCGAGGTACGGTTACTGTTGCCTTCCCGACCCAGAACTGCGATTTCACGTCAAGTCACATCGTTCATCAGCATTGCCAACGACGAGCAGTTCAGCCCCAATGGCAGTGTGGTTGTCATCCGATTGGAGGGTATAGTTGCCGTCCGGAATCTGACTCGCGAAAGCGTGCGGACATCAGAGCTTCGGTTGAACGTCTGTGGATAAGCTTTTTTGTTGTTGCGATCTAAGTGATACCCCGCTGCTGGCCTACTGACGTTGGCGTCACAGCTGGTACTCCTCTGAACTGTTGTCATGTAAGAGTTCTTCTGACGGATATTCTAGCTAAACAAATGATCCAAGCCAGTGAAAGAGCTATCAAGCAATATTTCTATGGAAATTACTAATTCGCTGAAGCTCTAAAAGTCTACTGAGTTTCTTCTCAGTGTCATCCTCATTGAACGAACCTCATCGGGCAACTGATAATTCCTAGCTCTGGCATTCTTGAGAATTGCAGCTCGCCGTCCACCTCAAAGTCTTTGGTACTTCGCAGAATGACGCGAAGAACGATGTCGAGAGCCCTGGGTAATAGTCAACACCGTGATCGAGTGACGTGGTTGATCCGTCATGACAACTCACAATCTCGCAAGGGGCATTCCAGCACACCGGTGCCTCCCTCTTCCGAACCCCATGTGTGCGGCGACGTTTTCCCTATTGAGAATAAACTCGTCGGGATTTTCAAAGACTTCCGGATCACGATTGGCGGCCGTATAGCACAAGGTTATTGGTTCTTTGGGGTGTATTGTCTTGCCGTGTAGTTGAACATCTTTCGAAGTCGTCCGCGCAAACCCTCTGTACGGGCTGTAGAGTCTTAGGAACTCTTCTAAGGCGGCGGGGATCAGGCTTTCATCTTCTCTGAGCTTCCTTTGCAAGTCTTTATCCTTCGAAAGATGAAGACATATTGACCCGATGAGAATCGGAGGAGCGACGACGCCAACAACCAAGGACTGGCGAAGGCAACCGCTAATACATAGTCAGAAATGATGTATATCGTAACAGGAAAGAGACCTACATGAGATGCTCTTCGCTTAGTGGGTTTCCCTGCGCATCCTTTTCTAACAGCAACGAAGACGCTGGATCTTCCTCTGGATCCCTGGGATGAACGCGACGATCCGCTAAGAGATTCTGAGCAATGTCATACATCTTCTTCGAGTTTGCTGTTACGGTTTCTCCATCTTGCATTCTCCATGCGTTGAGCCAACTGGCTGCTGTCACGGCCAGCTTAGGCGCCACGTCTGGTTCAAGGTTCAGCCATTCCGACTCCATGCGGGCAACGAAGTTGGCGGCAAACTCAGCGCTGATATCTCCTCGACCACGGAGCAGTAACGGAGCGAGTTCTGCCTCTGCATGCTTTTGGAGCGGCTCTCTCAGGCGTCTCAATCGAGCCGGCTTGACTGTGCGTTCCAGCGCGGTCCGGAAAGGAGTATGAGCGGGCGCATCAAAGTTCAGAGGTGGTCGGCGTATGCCCCTAGGATCACTTGGAACCACCGCCTTGACGCTCGAGATGTAGGTTTCAGAATCCATGGCTGCTCTCTTCACATCCTCGTAACGGGTGAGTAGCCAGTATCCGCCATACTGACTGGTGTGGATGACAGGACATTGCTTCCGAAGAAAGCGATACTCTTCGTAAATTTGAGCTGGATCGTTGCTGACAACTGCGGCTGACTTGTCGATATCAAACGGCGCCCCATCTTGTTGGGGATAGTGGTCTGTGGCTGCTGTAGCCATATTGCGGTTGAAACTTCTGGGCAGCCAATAATGTCTGCAGTGAAACAAAGTTGAAAACTTTCGGCGCCGTGTTGCGGTGAAAAGAGTGGTAAAATGTCGACAGGTTGACAGAAACGCGGAGCCAGCGAACATACCAGGTTACTTGGAGCTTGGAATCCGCTGTCTTGGCTCCATAGCAGATAATTGACACTCTCGTCGACACCTTAACGACTGCCGCTATGGTCTTTGTTTGCTTGTTGTAAGGAGATAAGGGCATTGGGGTCACATGGAGTGCTTACACCCTCGTGGGTGCGGTGGCCTAGTGTGTGGGGAAGTGGGTGGCTCAAGACAGGTGATGTGGGAAAATGTGTGCGTAGCCATGAACTACATACCGGAAAACGCAAGTGCAAGGGTTGATAGAATATCCATATAGTAAAATCTGGAGGCTAGCGTTGGAGAAGTCTGGGGATAATCTGGGGTTGGGAAGAATACAAATTGAATTTTGATGAAAGCGTTTGATCTGGCTTCCATCTATCATCCCCGTAGCCGCACTCCCAACACGACAATCTCAAGACCGCATCTCAGAACAGTTATACACACATTATTAGACGATCAAGTGCAAACTGATCAACATGAGTCGGCCGATACCCCATGACAAGGGAGACATCGACCCTGAGCATCTCGAAATCGTGCAGAATGATGTTGCCCACCTGCATCCAACTCATTACCGGCCGGTAGATGACGACGAGAAGAGACTTGATAGGAAGGTCAATCTAAAACTGGACTTCATCGTCGTTAGTCTTTTGGCTATTGAGTTTATTGTTAGTCCCTCCAGAGTCGTCTCACATTGTACACTACTATCAAGTAAGGCGTCGCTAACCCCGACCAGTTTTGCGGCATCGATAAGACGAATGTTGGCTTCGTTGCCACCAGTTCCTTCGTCAAAGATGCTAATCTCTCACCCGATGACATTCCCAACTCACTCTCACTGTTCTCGGCCACCTACGTTCCTCTTCAGCCGTTCATGGTCATTCTCGCCCGTCGAGTCGGTGTGAAATACTTCTTGGGCCTGCAACTCATCGCATGGGGCGGCCTCTGCATGTGCCACGCGGCAATACGAGGCAGTGGAAGTCTCATAGCTCTTCGTCTCTTGATCGGCGCCGCCGAGTCTGGCTTCACGCAGATTGGCATGTACTACATGTCTACCCTCTACCCGAAGTATGACGTGGGCTTCAGAGTCGGCATGTTCACCGGGATGTATTCCGTGGCGGGTGCTTTCGCCGGTGTCCTTGCTTACGGCTTGCTCAGAATCAGCTCAAACAGCATTCATGGCTGGCAGGTTGTGTTTCTTTTCGAAGGCGCTGTAACTGTTTTGCTGGGTATTCTCACGTTTTTCGTTCTCCCGAAGAACCTCTCAAACGCCTGGTTTTTGACGCCTGAAGAGCGCGCTCATGCCATTCGTCGCATGGAGATCGATCTTGCCGGCACGCAAGAAGAGGGCGACATTGGAAGCACTGCCGTCGTCAAACGAGATTTCATTGACGTGGCCAAGGACTGGAAGAAGCTTATGGTGATTGTGTGTAACATCACCACGGTTCTTCCAGTAACAGCATTCACGACATTCTTGCCCTTGATCGTTCAAGGCATGGGATACTCAGGGATCCAGGCAACGCTGATGAGTGTGCCTCCATTCGTGGTGTAAGTTTTGTGTCTCCCTGATGAGTCGCTGGTATCAAGGCGTTTGAGAACACAGCTAACCGTGCATGCAGTGGCACCGTTGGTCTACTGGTCATTGTGTGGCTCAGTGACCACTTCAAAGAGCGGTCGCTGCACACAGTTGGCGGTATGTGTCTCGGTATTGTAGGGTGCATAGTCATGGCTACCTCTACAAACACCCAGCTTCGCTATGGCTTCGCCCATGTGTGCATGGCCGGAGTATTTGTTGGGGGTCCGCTCCTGGCTGTGTGGCTGGCTGGAAACACCCCTTGGAAGGGGACGAGAAGTGTCGTGATGGGCATCAACGGATGGTCAAACATTGCCGGTGTAATTGCTGGACAGATTTTCAAGAGCAAATATGCTCCTAGATGTGAGTTGTTTCGCCACGTAACTCGGGCATGTTTCTAGTTTTGCTAACAAATTCGCAGACGAAGTCCCGCTGATCATCACCATGATCATCATGGCTTGTGGTATCTGCGGACTTGTTTTTCTCAAATACATGTATAAGTTGGAAAATAAGAGGAGGGCTACAGAGATTGCAACGTGGGATGAGACGCAGTTTGCTGCTGAGGCAACGTCCAAAGAAAGGAGAGGCGATCAAAGACGCACCTTCATGTATGGTTCATAATAAGGGAGTGCTTCTTGCGCCCACAGGATGAGGGAATCATTCACTTCTATTCTTATTATGCCTGTTCATACTCTATAAATTCATCCCGAATGAAAGGTGACATGTCGGCTGGGAGCTGTCATCATCGCCGGGGGATGCGGGGACCAGCTGTAGCAGATATCAGTGAGGGAAACGGGAGACTACATACCGATGCACCAGAGAGACTCGGTCCACGCCATAGATAGTAATTTAATGTTCTTTTCGCCGACTCTGCACTTGCAAGGCCTATCAAATCCTTTTTCTCAAATCAATAAATGCATCCCGCCGCTTCGATGCATTAGCCGCCTCCACCTCTTCAACCCAGCTAATCAGAGGAGAGGTTGATGGCAGTAAGCACACATCACCAGGCTCTATGAGCGAGCGTCTGTGCTATATTTGTCCCCCTTTTCCGTCATATCCAGGCCAGCCTGGAGAATCGAATGGTTGAGGCTTCTGTCCATCCATATCAAATGTCAAACTCGGCGCACGTCGCACCACCCGACCCGGTCAACATCTCCGGGTCAACAACGTTCATCTACCACGAAGAAGACATCGACATGGACAGCACAGCTTAAACATCATATTCGCGCGCATATTTACCGCCAATTGAACATAGAACGAGACACTGACAGAGAAGCTCGTAAAGCGCTGCGCGACACGACAGCATAAAGCATAGATGAAGTGAAAGTATCTAGTAAATATGTTTTAATCAACTGTCCACCTAGACACTGATAAAACTCTCGAATTAGCCGGAATTTGTACATAGAAAACATCTAAATGCTTGATCGGAACGTCAATTATTATACTGAAAGAAACCTTTTGCCATTCCCACCAACTCCCAAGCCTCCTCAAGATCATTTGTCTCGGGTAGTCGTCGTCTCGGCGCCAAGTTCAACGAGTGGCACCTGAGGGCGTTGCTCGATGCCATCTAATTCGGTGACTGTGTGCAAGTTGTTCATGCCCCCGCCGGAGTAATGATTTGGGAGCCTTGGGGAGTATCCGCTCAGTGAGCTCACGTTACTGTCGGTATAGGTTGACAAACGATGGTCGTCCTGGCTGTTGGGAGACCCGGGGTGCTTCATGTAGGGCGACGCTGGTGAGTTGCCGTCGTAGTATGAGACGGGATGAGCGGCCGGTGCGTAGGATGCTGCGAAAGTTAGCCGGTCGGTCCAGAAAGCCGCGACCGAAGAAGACTTACTGCCCGAGTCATAGTGGGGGACGTTTGACTCCCACTCTGGCGCGCGCCTCTCCTTGCGCTTCCTCGCGTGCCAACCGCACCTCCAGATAATCATCAGAATGACCCCGACGACGACGGCACATCCAATGGCGATGCCCACAATAGCTCCCGTAGACAGGCCGCTGCTTCCGCCGGATTCGGTGCTCATAAAAGCCGCGGCATTGGTGCTGTTACTGCTCAGAACCGCCGGACCAAGTTTATCTTCCGGGCATCGGCCGCCAAATGCCTTACAGGCGTCCTGAGAGCAGCATCCCATGAAGGTCCTCGACTTGTTCGCATCATTCTGGCATGTATAGAATTGCTGGCTGCGGTCATCCACCGAGGTTCGGTCGCAGTCCTGGTTGAGAATGTCTTTGTAACTGCCGGGGCCGAAGGCCGACAGCCTCAAGTCCTCCTTCGGGCACTTTCCGTCTCTGACACACGGGTCTGACGCACAGCATCCGAGGAACTGTGTTGGCTTACCCTCGCAGATGTAGAACTCGGAGTCGTCGTCGCACTGAAGCCCCAGTTTCGCCTTGACCTTGTCCGACATGGTACTGGTGATTCTTGACGCGTTCTAGAGATGGGTCCCTTCTGCCCCGGATTTGCGTCAGATTCGCGGCGGCGATGATGGGCATACAAATAACCTCGACGTAGGTAACAAGTGTACCTCTCCCAGTAAGACATGTGTGTGGCCGTATATAATAGTGGCCAAGGGCGCCCACACCCGGAATGCCACCAAGCTCGAGCAGCTGATGTGATCCCTTGGCTGGCTGGGGATCATTTGACGAGCCGGGCTCGATGAGGCTCTGATAAGCCAATTCGGAATGGACCGTCAGCTACGCTGCAGGCAGACGGGTAGCTGGCCCTCCCTTCGTATTCAAGAATGAGCCAATATTGCATTTCTCAGCACACAGCCTCTGAGGGTGCGTCTTGGAGAAGCAGGCTAGCTTGGCAGGTCTAGGAAAACGACGCCCGCCAAGATTTAGCTTACCCTCCGTGGGGAGTCTTCGAATGTCAGCCGTATCTGCTGCTCCAGCCTGCTTGGGAGACGAGCGAGTGCGGGAGAACCGAGAAATTAAAACTGGCCAACACGAGGCAAAGGTGTGTCTGTTTGTGATGAACGTAGTGATATGTGACGTGGAATTGGGATATTCTCGTTCCGGGGTCGCAACGAAAGCCAATAATACACCGTGGGCCGACATTTTCATGGCCACCACTACCGGCTACAGCCGGCGTTCTTAGTTCAGCAATTCGTTTGTGCGGCTGGTGATGTGACTGCGCCGTGCAGCGTGCTTGCATCGTCATCTGCGGACTTGATGGGTGTCCAGGTAAGATTCCGAGACTAACCCTCCCAGTTTGCTAAAAATACAAAACAATCCTTCTCCTCATCGCTGCAGCCCGGAAGGCAAGTGCTTCAGAATTTTGTTGAGCCTAGACTCAGGCGATGCGGGAATAGAATTCTCTGTCGGTCTCGGTACCAGAATTCGAGTACCTTCTGCAGAATCATCAGGCAGGCATTCCCACGCTTGTATCAGATTAGGATCAGGCTAGCCCACAGCGCAGCAAATGCGGATGCGCGAGGCAACAACGAATGGTAGATGTGTCGAGGACTCCAGTGTTGGTTTTGTCAAGCCGATTTCAAGACAGTGTTTGATGTTGGCTGCCTGTCGAGACAGATTTCAGGCTGCAAGACCTCATATTGTGGTAGGTATTCCACTGATTCGCGTTGTCGTGATTAGCTAAGCTATGTTCTCTCTTCCCCGGATTATCTATACTACTGTTAAATGAAGTCGAACAAGGCTGCCTCATGGAAATACCCGTGGACATGTACGACCAGTCCCTGAGTATGTGTGCAAAGTACCCAGTACCAGGCCACAATCGTCCAACAGAACGCACCTGATGTGCCAAGGAGGCATCGATCACTTGATTTGACTAACAAAGTATCAAAAGCCGCGCGAGATTTTCTAGTGCTAGTGCGCAAACTTTGAACGACTTGTCTTTGGGTTAGCACTCTGTGCTTGGGACAGAACGATCCAGTCGACTAAGCAGGCGTCAAAGGCATGGACTAGATATACGAGATATTCTGGCTCACCTTAATTGCTGCTTGTTAAAACAATGCCAAAAAGGTTTTGACATTGACAGGTGTGCAGGATGACAGCAGAGCGGAAGGGGCGGTGGGGTTCAATGTAGTTCGAGGGGCAACTTCGAATATGCATGCGACTCTTCAGCTTACATAGATTTCAAGAACCACAACTCGCACGACTGCCAGCTTACTTCATCGATGACAAGATGGTTTTTCCGCTGCAGATAGAACGTGTACACCGAACACCTTCATGATGACGCATGTTGGACCAGTGATTTGAACTCCGATCATTCAATGGTGTCATCGTTACATGTACTCCTTCGAGCAGCCTAATTGGAGTTTTCAGTGCGAGACTTTGCGAGGATGCGTCTTTACTACATCTAACGGGCATTCGCAAATCTAAGTAATGTCCTTAACGATACGCCTGGAATCATCCGGCGATTGGTATAGGCTGAGGTCAAGTCCCCGAGTTGGAGGAGGTAAATCATTGGCTGGTCATAAGATGCAGGTGGCCTTGGACCGACTTTTGTGCGGACATATGTAAGGGGTCACACAGGTGAAAGGCATGTCAAGCCCAACGGTATGAGTTCGGCAGAGAAAAAACTGGAGAATTTTGAGTCTTTGGACAAAAGTCTTAAAGGTCACCCACCCAAGCTAACGTTTGCGGAAAGAAACCATACTTTTTCGACAATGAATGGAAACAGGGAGAAGGGGGGAGTTTTGCTAAGTGCAAGGACTCAGAAAAAGCAGTGGTTCGTTTATGTCGCTTTTAGACAATGCAAAGATCTGGACGCCTGTAGTGAAACATTTCGTTTTCAGCTGTATAAGTTTCACAAACCTCAGTCCAGGCTCGGATCATGACAAAGGAGCGCTGACATGCCGAAACGAGTGAATGACACTCAAGCCAACTAGACTCACCGTAAAACACATAAGAATATAAACTGCGTTGTTCGCAAAGTCTCGAAGGTTGATCCCCTCACTCTTCAGTTTCTCATTGCGAGTATTGATGCCGTTGTTTGCAGCGTGGCGCCGACTCAGTAGTGGTTTGTAAAATGTTTACGTTATAAAGTCTCTTCGTTCTCATATTTGATTGCTTCGAAGGGCCTTTCTCTGGCATATCTCAGCATGGCATCGTCGTGGAAGACAATGAACCTGCTCATCTTACTCGCTATTCATGGCATTATAGCCGTCGTAGCCGCCAGCTCCGTCGAAGACTTCCTCAACATTGGGCCTGGATCTTACGAAAACATCACACAACAGGTCGAAGACTTCTGGGCAGGAGAACTGGCAAAGCGGCAACCGCTCGTCAAGGATACAGCAATTCGGCAAAAAACAAGGATCAACAAAGACGGCAAGATCGAACGATGTGGTGGTGTCTATTTTTGTGACCAAGACGACTTTCGAGGCAAGTGTTTTTGGGGATGCTATCCCGAGTATCATGAAATATTTCCCGACGGATGGTGGGTTGTCCACATCGTTTCTGTCGGACCGGACCCGGGCCTGAAAGTATACCTTTCCGGGTGAGTTTGGATCCGCTCAGAGCATTCCAATCGAGATGTCTAATTCATTTCTGTGAAGCGGCGAATGTGTTGTTCAGGGGCCTTGGGATAAGATTGATTACCCAGGCAAAAACCTCAAGGCGGAAGGTGGTCTAAGGAAACGCGTTGGGTGCTTCTATGTTGGTTACGAGCCCACGCTGGCTGGTTAAGGGTTCAGCCCAGGCACTTCTTCAAATGACATTGAATGAAGTATCACGGCTCGAAATTCGAACTTCACGTCTAGTACAGTCGCTAATGAATCAAAACGCCGGCGCTATCTATCGCCCCCATTCGATTTAGATATTGCATGGGTTTCGTGAAGACTCCGACTCTTCCGTCATTCTGGGACGTTTGTGTTGCTGATCAGACTTTGTGACGTTGAGAGACCATGCTGAACGGCCGCCAAATTATGCGTAGAATTTTATTGGATAGAGAAGAAACTACAGGTTGGTTATTGATGATCCAGTCAGCATCGAAATGAGTGCAGCGGCGGGGCGGAGCGGCGTGCACGGATATCGTCCGGTTATTGTGGGTCAATAGGACCCACTCCTTCCGGTCCCGTTCCGATTGCGGCCGGTTCAACCCAGGAAGCGGTGTTTCCCAGGAGAAGCAGAAAAACGCAGCATCAAGTGGGAGTCAGAACCGCAATATTATCACAAAATTGATCTTAATTTCGGGCACGTCTGTTTCGCAACAGAGCGCCGAAAGTCAACTGCTGAACTCCTGCGACGCAACTGAAATAGAGCCAGGCATCCACCTCATTCTGTCTTGAACCAAACTTTGTTGGCCAGCTTGTGATTTCACTCCATTTACCTAGGTACGAGGCCCTCATGACCCGATGCAATTTTGGCGCCTGCAAAGGGTCAACAACAACAAATGCAATGCTCTGCGCAATATAATGCAGCCACCCACCATTATTGTTCCGCCTATTGCGCAAAGTGGCACGACTCGAGAGACATGACCTCGACTGGCCCAGTCTGCCAGCCCTGTTGCTTGCCGTCAACGAGAGCCAAACAATTCTGGTTTGAATCCCTGCCCATTCCATCCCCTGTCGGCGTTAACGTGTTGCGGTGTGGCTTACATGGGTATTGACTTGGCCAGGTCATCATCGCCAACCAGGGCCACGGCCAGCCAAGTGAACATGACGTCATTTTTCCTTTTGCCCCCGCCAAGATGATGATGGCCTCGAATGAGGTCAATGACTGAGATGCTGTTGGAGCTGTAAGCTTGGAATTTCGCGCTGGAAGATTACTTGGATCTCCAAGAGACTTCTGATAAAGATCAGATATGTCTCTGCGAGAAGTACGCTGAAGTTTTGCCGGTTCCATCCGATCACTTCTCTGCAACTACACCGATCACGATTCACACAAGGATCATCCCCACGACCAGTACCTTATTTCACCCACACGTAGACGGGTTCCTGCATCACAATGGGACAAATAAGTCGCATACTTCTATCTTCATTAGCGGCTACGTCGGCTATTGCACAGTCCGATCTCAGCTCAAAACGCGGTCTCGCCTACCAAGGTGACGACCATGAGGCCGACGCGCAAATCCTTACCTCGGAGAAGTCATTGATCAGCTGGTACTACACCTGGTCGACATGGCCGGCTCAAAAATTAAACAACTCCATCGCATTCGTCCCGCTCATTCACGGCGTTGACGAGGCGGAAGATTCTACTCTCAAGTCACGTCTCAACAACCTTCCCGAGTCATCCACCCGCCTCTTGGCCTTCAACGAGCCAGACGGCGACACGGGGTCTGGCGGCAGCAGCATTGACCCGGAGGACGCCGCGAAGGCCTACATCGAGCACATCGTCCCGCTCAGGGACTCGGACTCCCGCAAGTGGGAGATCAGCCACCCTGTCGTCACCGGCTCGCCGCAGGGTCTCGAGTGGCTGCGCAAGTTCAACGAGTCGTGCTACGACATCGACGACAACGGATGCCCCGCCGACTTCGTCGCCGTGCACTGGTACGGCGACGCCGTCGGCCTTCAGAACTGGCTCGGGTCTCTGCGGGACTTTTACAACGAGACCTCGTCGGATCTCAAGTTCTGGGTCACTGAGATGGCGTTGCCGCAGCAGGATTCGGACGCCACTCTGGCCATGATGAATCAGAGTCTCACGTTCCTTGATGATGCCGACTATGTCGAAGGCTATGCGTGGTTCGGCGCTTTCCGCAAGGACGAGGCGAATGGCTGGACAGGCAAGAGCGTCTCTCTGTTTGACGGCGACGGAGGCCTGACGGAACTCGGTGCCCTTTACTTGGGTGGTGATGAGCGAGGCTTCGAGGAAGGTCAGAAGGGCGAGGGCAGCTTCGCCAGTTCTTTGACTCCTACCGGACTGTTGCTCTGGGTCGCCATGCTGACTGCTACCGCGGCTGCGTGGTAAGACTGGTGGCATGGGCGCCACCCATCAAGAGGTGAAGAATAGAGGGGACACATAAACCTCGTCGCCAATGCGCTGGTCGCATGGGATTGATTTCACGATCAAGAATGATACCTACTAGATATTTCTCATGTTATGGACGATTATGTAGCGAGCATTATACCATCAATCAACAGATACCAAATTTGATCGAAATCGGTCCTCAAAGTTGCAGATATGTTGGTGAATGTGTATGCAGACACAAGGTTTCCTTGCACGGAGTTCTAGACCCGTTTTCCACCTCCGGGTTCACCCTCCGTGTCTTCCGGCCGGGTGGATCACGATGTGGGGCCATACCCGGGATGAAGCGGCTCGGATTTCATCTGATTTGATTGGGTGTCGGCAGATTTGGGTTTCGATGAGGCCCGTTGCTTCTCGGGGTTAGGAGAGATCCACGGCCGGGCTCGTCTTCGCTGAAAGCCGAACGCAATTCAACCTCGTTGACACTGAATCTCTTCAGCATATAAGTAGAGACAAGTTTTATAAAGGACGAGAAATCTCGAATTAAGGTACTCTAACATTTCCTTCATTGAATCCGCATCTCAACAAATCCTTCACGATGTCACCTACCACTACTTCCTGGGATTCCGCGAAAGCAATCAAGCCTCTTGATGGCAAGACAATACTCATTACCGGCGGTAACAACGGTCTTGGGCGGCAATCTGCCATTGAGCTTGCGAAGCACAACCCTGCCGAGATATAGATTGCTGCTCGCAGTGCATCCAAAGCAGAGGTCGTCATCACCAAAATCAAGAAGACCGCCCCGCATGTCTCTATAAAGTTCCTCAAACTCAATCTCACCTCATTCAAGTCAATTTAAGAAGCCGCTTATATATAGCGCCTACTATAAATTAAGTATTCTTAATTAATTTAAGTTAAACCTTCATTAAATTAAGCTCTAAATAGCTTTAATTAATTTAATTTAAAGGGTTAATTTAAATTAAATAGTTTATAAATAAAATAAAGCTCTTAATAATATATTAAGTAAGATCTAAATAAGTAGGTATAACTAATTAAATCTTTTAAAGGGATCTTTTTAGCCTATAAGTAGCTATATTATAAGATTTATTTATAGTATTTTTTATTTATTTTATATAAATTAACCTCTAGCTTCTCCCTTTAGTAGAGTTTTCTTCTCTAGTTAGTATTATTAAATAGTATATCTATATCTTATTTATTTTAATACTATAGCTAATAGTATTATTTATTTAGTTATAGTATTATAAGACTTTAGAAGTCCCTTAATTTATCTCTTTATTATTATTCTATTTATTTTAAATACTTTAAGGATAATAGAGATATTTAGGGATAAGAGAGATCTCTATCTCTTTTAATAAGTTTACTTATATATATCCCTTTTACTTTAGTATTTTCTATTTATCTATTTATCTTCTTAGCTAATAAGTAGTTAAACTTATTAATAAATAAAATAAAATAAATATAGATTTTATTTCCTTTTATCTTTTTAAATATTCCCCCTCTCTTTTATATTTATTAATAAAGGTATTTATAGGTCTATTTTAAATAACCCCTTTTAGCTTATTAATTAAAACTAAGATTCTTTTTATATTATTATTATTAAATAATTTAAATAGAATCTTATTAATAAACCTCTTTTTAACTTTTCTTTAATTATTAATCTCCCTTAAGTTAAAATAAAGTATAAGATATATATAAAGTTTAAAAATATAATAAAGAGTATTAAAAAGAAGTAAAAAAGTTAAATTATAAAGTTTAAGTTCTTTTTAATATTATTTACTCTAAATAAATAAGATATTATTTTAATTTATATTTAAGTTTATAAAATATATAATAAAACTTAAAGCTTTAATATTTTTAATATAGATATTATCTTTATTACTATTAGCTATCTTTAAGTTAAATATAAAATTATTAAGCTTTTATATTTATAGAACTTTAATAATAAAGAGCTTCTCTTTAGCTTTATAGTTACTAATTATTTTCTCTTTTTAACTCTTTATAATAGTTATTTTAAATAAGTAATAAATATTTTAAATTATTATATATAAAATAAAATAAATATTAACTAGAGCTTTATAAAAAACTAGTTTAATTAAAGCTTTATTATAAAAAAGTTTATTATTAAAGCTAAACTTTAAGGATCCTTTAGTAATATATATTTTTACTTTAATCTCTAGATATCTTCTAATTAATATATTATTTTTAGAGTTACTATTTACTTTATTAATACTTAAAAGAAGAACTAAATATATTTTATTACTCTTTAATATTATTAGAGTAACTATATAAACGTCTCTCTATTTTAAAGCCTCTTTAATATCTATATAGACTAAAGAATTATTAATTAACTTAATATTATTATAACTAATAATATATTTAATAATAATATTACTCTAAATAACTTCTTTTTATTTATTTAGCTAAAAATAGATTTAAATAATATTTAAAATTATAGGATTTATTACTTTAAGTATATTTTAAACTTTATTATTTAAGCCTTTTTATAAGATAAAAATAATAAAGCTTTTAAATAAAAAAAAGCTATTTATTTTATTGAAAATAATAAAGCTATTTAGTTTAACTAATAGAGGAGATATAATACTATTAATAAGCTTTATAATATTATAAGGTTTATTAAATTATTATTATAATAAAGAGAACTTTTTAAAAAGATTACTAAAGATATAAAAATATTAAAAGTAACTTTATTTTTTAAAGACTTAACTATTAACTTTAAATTAATCTTTAATAATAAGATAAAATAGAATTTAACTTATTTAATAATTAATTAAGCTATTAAAAAGGAGTTATATATTAAAGCTTTTATAGCCTATAAAAAAATTAATAATATTCTTCTTTAAGAAGATATATTTAGTAATAAGGACTTAAAGGTCTTAATAGAGATATTAAATATCTTAAAGCTTCCATATAATTATACTCTTTAGACTTAAGAGAGAGAGAGGTCTAATAGTATTTAAAGATATTTTTAAGAAGTCTTTAGAGGCTTTAAATTTATTTTCTCCTATTTAGAGAAATAAAAATAATACTATTAATCTATTAATAAGTCTATTAACTTTAATAGAAATAACTATTTTACTTTATTAATAAAAAGACCTTAAAGATTATAATAAATAAATTAACTTAATAAAAAAGCTTTTTCTCTTTATACTTAATTAATATACTCTCTAAATAACTAATTAATTCTATAAGATATTAAAAGTTTAAAAACTTATAGAGCTTTAAAGACTTTAATTAATAATATATAGAAAAAGCTTATTAAGTATTATAATATAGTAAGGAGCTTAAAATTTTATAATATTATTATTATTTTCTATTTTAATATTAACTATAAGGGGTTTAAAAAGATTTAAATAATAAAAAGCTAAAATATTTAAACTTAAAATATTAAGAAAGGCTTTAAGAGGATTTAAATAAAGTAATATAAAACTTATCAATAAAATAAAGTAGCTATTTAATTTTATTCCTTTAGCTTTAACTTCTTCCCTCTTTAAAAGGAAATAAGAAGCTATATAGATAAGTTTTAAAATAAAGTTAATAACCTATCTATTAAAGCTAATAAAAATAAACTAAATATCTATTTTTAAATTTATTAATTATTAACTAAAGATCCTATTAAATAATAAATAAATCATAAAAATTAATTCTTAAGGCTTTATTTTTTAATTATTAATATTTTAGCTATTTCTTTAATATTAATAGATATAAAGAGAGCTTTTAGTTAAGCTAAATTAATAATAACTTTATAATATTATATTATAACTTTAGAGACTATAGAGAAGCTTAAATATTAAAATAGCTAAACTATAAATAGAGTAATCTTATTTATATTATAAATATAAAAGTAATAAACTTTATTTTTTTCTCTTAATCTTAATAAGCTATTTAAATTTTTATTTAAAGTATTAAGTAATTAATAAAATCTCTATATTTTTAAGTATAATAATAAAGTCTTTAACTATTTAAAGAGGTAATAAAGTTAAATAGAGTTTATATTTTATTTACTTTTATTTATTATTAATCTATAGGGGGAATACTTATTACGACCCGTTAGGCACACTTAACAAGGAAGCCCCACTAGGACAGCTAGGCAGCTAAGAACGTCACATTTATATATAGAATCACGGGAACAAAAGATCTCACCTCAGAAGCAGAAGAACTATAGATAGGTCACATATAGATAAGATAAACTAAGCGATTAGTATAGGACACTAAGCGCTCACTCTTAGCACTAAGCGCTTAGTAAGACTAAGTGAGCGCTCACTAGGGAAAGGTTGCCGCTTAGTAACCTAAGCAAAGGGACTATATAGGACTTATATATAGGATAGACTTATTATAACTTAAGGATATACTTCTATAGCTCTTTAGTAATTAACTTTATATTTATCCCTTAAATACTTTTAATATATCTTATACTATAAATATCTTATTAGGCTTATAACTAATTACTATAACCCTTAAGACTTTAATCTATTTAGGACTATATTAATAACCTTATAATAATACGTTACTATTTATTAGTATTATCCCTTAGCTTCTATTAGTAGACCCTACTATTGGATAAGCTGACTATAACAATAGGATTATGGGAATAGGGAGGACTCCTTAGAATAGAAGAACTATAGGTAAGTTATATAACTAAGGAAGTATGAGTACTAATAAGATAAGATGTGAGCTACTTATAGTATAGACTATAAGCGCTCACCTTAAGTAACTACTAAGTGATTACCTAATAAGTGATTAAGGTAAGAAGCTAGGAGGATAAGACTTATATATAGGATAGACTTAAGTCTGCTTGAGAATAGACTTCTATAGCTCTTTAGTAATTAACTTATAATTATTACTTATAATACTTTTAGCTAACGTAGTTGATAAGCAAGGCGATCAGACAAGTGAGGCGATCACCCAACCGGGCAAACCAGACTTCCACCTTTACATACACATTACGCCATACCTAGCAATAT